TAATTCCAATCGATGCCGTTTTCTTTTATGCATAAATAAAAAATTCAAAACCCGAACGAGTTACGCATGCGCCATAAGTATACTCGATTTATAAGCTAGTGTCGATTCTCCGAGACGAGCAGAAAGACAAATGATGCTATTCCGCGAAGCTGCGCGCTCCTGTGTATATACGGCGCGTATTTTTCCTACTACGACTTTCAACATCCTTGGGGCATCCGTTGCAATAATAATGACAATCATCGAGTCGCGTCTCGGAGAAAAATTACTCTCGCTCGATATAGGTATACTCCTTTTTTTCTCCTCTTCCTTCCCTTTTCCGTGAAAATGTCTCGCGGCACTTTTTAATCAGAGTCGAGAGCGCGCACGGCCGCGACAGAGACAGCTCTGCACGACAACGACGACGGCGAGAGCTGCGTGCGATATAAAGCTCTGCGCCTAGCGCATAAACGTCGATTCGCGCGTAACCTGTTGCTGACTATATAGAGATAGCTGCGACTATACACAGACGCACGTAATGCAGCACTCGATCGACCTATCGGTCAAACTCGTCTCCGTCTCGTCTCGTCGTCTTGCATGTACGTCTTTTTCAACTGTCGTCGTCGTCGTCGTCGTCGCAGAATTCATTGTTGGCATGTCGATGAAAGATGAATTGGTGGATCAACCGATATGTGCTGCACTTGGTGTATATATAAACGCACCCACGTGCAGCATCCTCATTACCAACTACTCAAAGCCTGTATAGTATGCGTATATAATATCGAGTGCAGAGAATTTACATCTACCTCTCTCGAGTTACTCGCTCGCGCACTGCCAGTAATCCGCCTCTGCCTCTATATCTATACAGCATGTGGATCTGCGAATCTTACTGTAGCATAATCGGATCATCGTCCAAATATCGGCTTATTCAGTTAATTAGCATAAATTGGCCGTAAATACAAAGTGCCTCAGTCGCGCGCGCAGCCGCAAGAAAAAGCCATCCATCCGGCTTCACTTGGTAAACGACAACTAATTTGTTCCGGTCGGCGCATTTATTTATAGCATCCTCGAGGAATCTTACGTATATACGAATCATCTGTACTCGAGACGTCCGAGTTTTTTTCGAGAGGATCAAACGTTTCGCGCGTTCGGTTACACATAATTTAGGCGCTATTTTCTTTGGAAGCGTCTAGACATTAGAGCTTACTGAGCAGGGTTCACATCGATGAAGTTGTTGCTGTAATCGTGGTCAACTTACGTTTCGATCAGGTTCACGCGTGGGAAATGCAGTCGTTTGGGTGTTTTCGATTTTACTCGCCAAGCAGCGAGCAGAGTTTATACCGCGAGTGCCGAGCGCAGCCAAGAAAACGACGCGGCTTCTCCGAATCATTTAGCAGCGAGGAGAGCGAATCACGCTGCATTTTAACGAGTTGTAAAATGCCCCGATAAATCCATCATCGGAATCCGTCGATTATTGCAGCGGCACGGGTTCCTGCAAATGCCCAAGGTGAAGGGCAAAAAAAGGGGGGGGGGGGAAGGGCGAGAAAAAAATCACGAGTGAAAAAGTAACATCGCCAGAAAGAGTTAAAACTGATTTTTGATTATTTTTACTCGGCCATGCGAGCGGTAAAATAATGTCTCTGGGTTATATTTTTAGGGAATTTATTTAAAGTTTTGTCTTGGCGTGGAATCGCACGCACGGGGTCGTCGTCGTCGGGCTCGCTACGTGTGCGCGCCCACATAAAATCGATTCGGTACACCAACATACACGCCAACGAAATAGGTTACAAAAAGAAACAAAAGGCCTTATATATATTGGAGTAGTAAGCGAGCAAATCGTTACTTCTCTCTCTCTCTCTCGTGTCGCAGGCCTGGCAGGCAGGCAGGCAGGCGGGCGCGCACGCACATTTGGGGTCTCGGGCATCAAAACCATATTCGTTTATAATAGTACTACTGGCACTATTCGAATATAAAGAGCAAAAGGGCAGCGACCCCCATTACTCACTTTTTTTTCTTCTTTCAAATGTGCGTGCGTGGATCGCGTCGTATACTGCACTCGCACACACACACACGTACACGAAGATCGTAACGGCCTACGCTCGCTCGCGTATACGACTCGCATTTCGAATACTGTATGCTATATACATACAGTAGCTGCAGAGCGAACGAGGAGCAGGTTATGCTAACTGCCGTCCGGTTGGCTCTTGGCTGTGCAGCGCAAAGTAGCGAGAGAGAGAAAAAAACACAACACGAACATGTTGTACACCGCGAGAGAGAGAGAACGAGTATTATGCTCTGCGCCAACTTTGCTGCTGCTCCTACACTCGCGATATATAAGCTACATACAAGAATGAAAGAGCTTTTTTCCTCCCTGATACCGAGAGATGTACTCTTACTTTTTTCATCCAATTCATACGCTTTTTTTACTCGGAAACCCTATTATTAATGTTATTGATCTCTTTAATGGAGAAATTATTAGAATCAAGAAATAACATTTCAAGTTAGACTGATGTATATCAAAACAACTGCTGCCGCATTGGAGGGAAAACAATCCTCCGTCACAACTGCCACCAGTGATATATTATCTTTTCTTTGTTTATGAGAAACTCATCAAAGTCAGAAGCGTTTAAGTATCGCTAAAAGCCGAGTAACGGTTAGAACTTCTCCATTTTGTGCGAGGAAAACAATTACACATACACGTATAAAACAATGGAAGGAAAAAATGTGCTAAGCACCGGCGCGGTAGTTTCGACGCGACGCGCTGAACCAAACGATCGGATGCAATTGGCAATAGCGGCTACGCGAGGCTCTCGTTTGCGGAGCGGGCATCTTCGCCGGGATTGGGAATCTCACATGCTCGGGCATGGCCTCACAACTTCATCAAGCTAAGCGCGCCAATTCAATCTCACTTTTCGCATTTAAACACTCGGCTCTCCGCAGCTCGAGGTTCTCGCTTGGCGCGCATTGCTTCTTACACAATTAAATCGCGGCTACTACTGCCGCACTCTTTAATCGAGTAAAGTTTCGCAGACGACGCGCGCACGTTTTACGACAAACACACTATACGTATATACACGCCGGACACGTTAATTGCTCGCGAAAAAGCCGGTTCGCAATTATCCTATCGTTTATGTACTCTATACGCAGTGCAGTTCAGTGCAGTGTACGCGTATACTCGTTTATGCTTCCTGTGGCCCGCGGAGGTCCTTTGACTAATTGACCGAGAGAGGGACGAGAGACGGAGCTCGGCTCGAGCAGCTCACGAGTTTCTTCGAGTCCTGATTTAATCGACCGCAAAAATTTTTTAAAGCCGAAGCTACTTAGCGTTTGGGAAATATGACGACGTTCGTAATTACAGCAGCAGGTCCGATCGCTAAAGTTCAAGATCTCTCTGGCCGATAAACGCTTAGCTCCCGCCTTGATCGATCTTTCACGTATATAAAACAGAAGCCGCGAATTTCTTTTCCTTTTTTGTCGCTGAAAATTTCATCTTCGCTCGTAATTACCCGCGAAAAAGTCCGCGTTCCGTACCGGAGAATAATGCTCTTGCGAGTTTTTTCCGTACAAAGAAAGTGGTGGAGGTTCGGTTTTTTTTCAAGAGCGTTATTAATACTTGTAAAGCAAGAGAGAGAGAGAGAGAGAGGGAGAAAGAGTAAAATGTAAAAAAAAAGTTACAACGAAGCATAAAGTGCAAAGCTTGACCGTAAACAAAAATCCCGTCAGCGAAAAAAATTACTCTCTCCTGCACATGATCGACGTATACGCGCGTAGTACACTCACGCGCAAGAATATCGGGTGTCGAGCTTGCTGCAGTAGTGCGCGGAGCAGTGCTAGTATATACATATGCCCCCATTGCAGCAGGAAAAAAAGAAGGAGAAAGAGAGAAAGAGAGAGAGAAAAGAGAAAAAAAGTTGGGAGAAGGATGAAAAGAAACGACCTTCAGCTCCAGTCCTGCACGCGAAATAACAAACTCTCACAATTACAAGCGAGCGCGCAGGAGATGAACGAGAGGAGAGAGAGAGAAAGAGAGACGAAGATGAAGCAGCAGAAGAAGAAGCTGTGTGTGCTCTTGATATATTGGCCTTCGGCTATACTTAAACGTACGATGCGGGGGCCTGGTCACCCGTAATATTTTTTGAACCTCGCGAGATGCTGCTATATAGTACACCAAATCGTAAATATCGTTGGCTCTTTTTCTCGGGATGCAATATGTGGGTTATGATGTTTCGCCGTAACTTCTAAGCGTCGTCCTAGCTGTATAATATGCAGTTCGCATGGAACATGGACGCTCGGTAATAGCGCTTTTCTCGCGTCCTCGTCGTTCGAACGTGTACGGCATACTGTCAATTAGTTATATTTAGATGGCGATTTTACGCGTTTAGAAAGCCATCGCATAAATTTCGCTTTTAAAATCTTCTCGAGCTGCGCGTTTCGCGTGCGCGTGAGAGCTTTTCTTCGTGACGCTTTGCGCGACTCTGACGTCGAGATATTTTTCTCGATATCAAGACAAATATTGTCCCAAGCACGAGAGACGAGAGCCGCTGCCATTTACATCGACGTGTATTTTATAAACGCGTATACGTACATAATTACGTGGTACATGGTGCCTGCGTGTATAATGTATGTACGTTTGGAGATTGAACTGCCTGAATTACTATTATGAAATCGACCGCACACAAAGGGGCGCGTATACCATTGCTCCGTGTGTGCGTGAAAGTTTCAAATAGGCCATATGTGTCGCGCGGCTAGCAATAACGATTATGTCGTCCCGAGTCCCTTATCGTTCCACTTGTATAAATGCTCCGTGTCATCTATCGAGGACTGCACTTTTCTCTCTCGTTCTCTCATCGATGAGCGAGAAGATGCCCAGGTCCATTAGGTCGACACGCGAGAAGCAGAGAGAGAGAAAGAGATAATGATACTCGACGCGTTTCGAGGAATCCCTCCTCGACAAACGCGCCTGCTGCATATATACACGCACAAACGATCATTTTGTTAATCAATTTCGTTTTATTTCGTTGCAGATCTGTCGGAAAAGCAGTCGTTCGAGCAGGAAGGCGTTGCGGCCTATTCCCAGCTGCTGTTTGACGTCGCCAGACAGCAAGTCGTCGTAGGTGCACGGTAAGTTTTGGCCCTTTGGACGCCAGCCAGAGTGTATAATTAAAACGACGCAGTCCAAGTGCGAATATATTTACCTTTGCCGCCGAGCTCTTTGAAATAGGCTCGACGCGTGCGGCTAATTGACCGGAGTCTCGTGAATATAGCTGCTGCTGCTGCTCCTCTGCCCGAGGTTAAAAACCCTTTCGCAATCGTTTTGGCTGCGCAACAGACGATAGCAACGCGTCGCTATACATACACTATACTATAGTGTATGAAACAACTGACGAAATTTACGATGAGATTTAATTCCTCCATGTATACAAAGTGGAAATACCGAGGCCCGAAAAACACTCGCGCGCGTCTATGTATTTCGATAAGCTGATCTAATCGAATTTTCAGTTCTGTCGTCTGACGATCGCGACAAATGTGGAGCCCAATAATAAAAAGTATAAAATAAGCTAAACGATAGGGAGTAGTACACGGTATAATCTCGAGCGCTGCTTTAAATCAAAAGCGTCGTCGTCGCGGTCAGTGGCACTGCGCGGCATACGATGTGCTCCGCGCACAGTCTGTTATACTAAACGCTCACGTGCGGCACTCATGAGCCAGACAAAACATTTCGCCTTACGCCTGCAATATACAGCAGACTTTATATATATAAGGTTGTATTTTTTAAATTTTAACGCCTCTTGCTCCGAGCTTACTCGACAAAACGAACGTACCAAGGTGCGAGATGTCGCTCGTCTTTCTTTTTTGGCTTTTTGGCCGTCCGCCAAGCCAATTTGTGCGGGCTCAAAGTATATACGTGGGGACTTTTCCCATCGCGAATCGACTCGCTCGCATGCCAAGTTCATTGGCGCACTGTCATTGGGCTTTCCCATGATACCGTATAGAGCCGCAAAATCAAAACTTGAATACCCGCGAAAATAAAAAGCTCGTAAACAAGCGTGTACAACAAGATATAGAGGAATGTAGGTGCGCTCGGCGAACGCGAGAATCGAGGCTACACAACACTGGCTTATCGTTGAAAAGAGGAAGTCGCCATGCGAGATAACGAAATGAGCACGCATAATCGCGTAAACAGAAGTGCACCGATTGACGATGAGCACGCAGATAATGAGAGCGATCTTCTGATGTATTAAAAACAAAAAAGGAGCGCGACAAAGAGCGAGCTATTAAAAATGACATTTTCCCGTACTACCTGAAAGAGTTTTTTTTCTTTCTTTTTTTTGCAAAAAGCGAGGAAGTTTTAATAACGAAATAAGGGGTAAAAAGCCATACACGCGTTGCAGGATATTGTCGTCGTACCGGAATATATATAGTACTCGGTAATATCACTTATTATTCTCGTCACGTTTCGTGGGTGTCGCATCATGACTACCAGATTATGCACCGTCCCTTTGCTCTCTTCTCCCCGGCCTCTGTCTACATATATGTATACACAGTCAGGTAAAATATAATCGCTCGAAGAAACAATATTACGTAAAAAATGGCGATATATATTCTCTGGAGCTGTGGGATGCGCGCGAATTAAATGTTTCGCTGATGCTCCGTTTCTCCACTCGGAGAGGATGCGTATCATCATCATTTATATCGCGGGCACACACGTATATACATGTGGAGGATCGCCGTGCGTACTATAATTACGAGCGAGTTTTAACGGGATCGACATGTTGTAGAGCAGCATCGAGATGAAGCTGAGGCAGGAGGAGCAGGACGAAAGAAAAAAAAAAACTAACGTCCGATACCTCGTTGTCAATCAAGTTGATTATGGGTTTGCGCGCGGATAGCTACTTTACTTCTGATGAAGTCGGAGGTGGATTCTGCGGAAAGCGCGCTGGAATTTTTTCACTCGCCTGCGAACTTCTCGAATACATTAAGGATCTTTTTTTGCTCCCTCTCTCGCTCTCGTGCTCGTTCGATACGACCCAAGGGCATATTAAGGGAGATAGAATTTTTGCTAGAAACAGCGTAAATGACGCAACGGACGATTCATAATGCAATTCTATATAATCAGCGCGCGCGCGCGCGAGACTCGTCAAGGTATATTAATAGAAGCCACACGGCGAGCGCGCGCAAACAAACACTCGACGAGAGCATTTAAATACTGGAGTCTCGGCCTACAGCCGCTCGAGATAAGCCAATTTCTCGCGTTTTCTTGCCTCCACATATATTATATTGCGATTATTATACGATATGGCAGGGAACTTACAGACACACGCTCACACACACAGGTGGAAAAACGAATTGCCTCTACTAGACTGCTAAAGCCGCCTTTTTTCCTCTCTCTACTCTTTCGATTTTTTGTTTTTATTTTTTATTGATGCTCACACCTTACGTAGGCATACCTACCGGTTTCTCGCAGCAGCAGCATATATAGGTACAGCACGCGTTTGATAAGGCACTTTATGTGCGCACACGTGTGTGATTTTGTTTTACCTTTCTCGTTCAGCTCGCGCATTCGCGAGACTGCTGTAATATCTCGTTTTTAAGTCTTGGAGGTGTTAAATTTATATCTTTCTCTCTCTCTCTGTTTCTACCGAGAAAGAGAGGCCGCGAAGAGATGATACGCTCGCCTCGAGCCGTTTTTTTCTTATTTTTCTTCGGATAAGCTTTTTAAAGAATTTTTTTCTCTCGATGCGTGAACGATATTGCAGTATAATTTCGAATAAAAAAAATCTACACATACATGTCGAACGTGAAATTCGACGAGAAAAAAGCTCGCAGCGAAAGCTTATCTCCCTATATATAGGCTAATAAAAAGTATCATTAATTTCCAGCCGATACGCGCGCGCGCGCGCTCGATCTTGTTTCACCCTAAACATGTTTTTCTCTCCTTTTTTCCAATAAAAAAAGGCTAAAATAAAAATATAAAAAATCAGCCCGAAAACCACAAAAATCTTCAACGATCAGATATTCCGCAGCGAAGCAGGATTCCCGAAGTGAAATGTATATTAAACGAAGCGCGGGTCTGCAGACCACACGCGCAGGATCGAGAAAAAAGCTTTCCTCTGCACACAAACAAACACTATATGGTCGCGCCTTCGGAGTCTCGGGCGCGTAACGCGATACATTTCATATCTCGCGCGCTCTTCCATTAGCACTCGAAATCCGCTTTGTATATGTGCTGTACTTTTGGCCAGGAGTCGTGCTGCTCCCCATGGAATACATACATATCCAACATTTTGTTGTCGACTTTTCTCCGAGTAAATGTGTATCGCCGCAGCTAGAGTAGGTCATTAAGAAGTACTGCATGCATGTGTCGAGCCGAGAGAGAAAAGTCCGTCGAAGCCATTATATATCTATATACCGCGTGTGCGTGCAGGGTATGCATGACGCTTGAATGGTATCGCGCGCGTATTATTTTACACGTACGGGTACGTCTCTCCGCGCGGCTAAAGAGAGATCGAGTTCGAGCCTTTCAATCCAATACGTACGCAAATTAATTTTATCGCCCGACCGCTGCTCGGTTTTTTTTTAATATTATTATTTTCTTCAAACCTCCGACGCACCTTGAAACGTTGCCATCCACGAGAGAGAGAGAGAGTAAAAATACAATCTATATATACGATACGGCAGTGTGTACGGAGAGAGAGATGCAATCATCGAAACAAGCCCGAAATGTGGAACACACCAGGTGCATTATCAGTGCGTGTACGCGCGGCCAAACGATCGATAGCTTGAAATTCTGCGCTGTGTACCTAGCTAGCTATAAAGTACTGCAAGCCTCGTGGCAGTGCGCGACTATATATATCGCTGCGACGACGGCCGCAGCAATGCATCATATTGTGGCCTATGTAAACTAACTACATGTACTACGCTACACGTATCGTGCGATACGATGTACAGAGAAAGAGAGGGAGGGGGTGGAGGGGCCAAAGTGCATATCAAAGGCTTGCCTGCGAACGCACGGTAAAAATTTAATTGCTTTTTACAATGAAACCTCTCGCTCGCTCACGCCATATACGCTCTCTCGCATGTGTGTGTGTGTGTGTCTGTGTGAGCTAGTGCATCATCGTGTACCGTTGCAATTACATTATACCTGCACCGACGTATGGATATTACGCTTCTTTTTTATTTGCAGTACAACCGAATGTACAAGAGCTGGTGAAGAAGAATGGAACCTCGAATCTTTTCTTTCGTTCTCTCGGCGACGCGCATCAACGCGACGACGACTTTCTAACGATATTAATCGCGACGCAACACAAAACGCATCAATTAGAAGCTTTTACTTGGTTGGGCAAAAAATTGCTGGCCTTTTACGATGATTATTATGCGGCGTTAATCTTTCAAACACACATAGCGAGCTAGCTAAAAGAGGCGAATGCGGTTTCGCCGTTGAGTTTTTAAACATTCAACGTGGTGGCGATGGTGGTTATGAGCGAGTACAAAGAGCTCGATCGTTATTCTTTCATTCGTGCAAAGCTCCACACTGCTGCTCAAAATTGCATATATACATCGCGTAGTGGCTCTAACCGCGCGCAAAGTCCGCCTCTCCTCTCCTCTCTCTGTGTGCTTTGGCCCTTTACAAATTCAAACCGCAAATTTGAGCCGAATAGACTTTGTTCTTTTTTTTGGCGAGGAGTTCTCCAGCAGTACGATAAACACGACGCACTATCGCGTTTCGAGGACGCTGAATTTTCAGGTGCAGTGAACTCGTTAATCGGCACCGATCGGCGCGTAACGCGCGCGTCACCGAAAACTTAAACGAGGATGAGGATATCCGTTCTCCGATGAGATCTCATATTGTGGAACGTATACACACGCGGCGAGTGTAGGGGAGAGGGGAGGATGCGCGGCTTTACGTTTACTATAAAAATTTGATAAAAACGCGCCGTGAGTAGAGAGACGAGCTAGCTTATTTTTCGCTTGCAAAGCACACACGTTGTCGTCGGTTTTTTGCTTGCGACTCGATAGGGTCCACGTGCATACACGACGGCGAGCTCTGCTGCTGCTGCTGCTGCCTGCAGTGAATTTTGATGAGCTAGTTGCTAGCCGCGCGCTAGTACATGTAAGCGAAATACGGTGTCGAATATCCGATGCGAGATGCAATTCGATATAGCGCGGTGAGAAAAGCACGGGATCATCTTTTCGTCATTTTCCAGTGCTTTTGTTCCTCGCGATGGTCTGTTTGCTGGTAATTATTTGATTTCGATGTTCGGAAACGAATGAAAAAAGAATCACGATCAACGGCAGCTCCGATTTTGCAACGTACATCGCGGAGCTGGGAGCGCGATGCATCATTGTTCGCGTACTCGATGCATGCCACACATGGTGCAAACGCAACAAAAAAAAAGTCCGTTTAAATACACCCACGTATTGAATAACTCGACTCAGCTGACACAGATCGGCGACCGATCGATCGATGACATAAACAGTGCGAGTTTTCACTCGAATCGCAGTGACTCGCCTGCGTTTGTTGCTGCTCTATAGAAAAAGCTTACACGAACCAATATTACATCCTTGTCGAGTGTACACATTGTACACGAGCCGATCGTATAGTTGGTATTTTTTTCCTCCTTAATCATAATTTCATCTGCGCGCGCGTGTTTATGTAGGAACACACATGGACGGAATAATATGCGATAGAACACCTCATAAATTCATAAAACAAGGCGTTCGGAACGCTGTATGTATATGCGCGCGCATGTGTACGATTTACTGACCATTGTTTGTCGCTGCTCACATTCTCTCTCTCCCTGCGCGCACCGACTCTCAGGTGTACGATACAAGCTCGGCGAGATAATAATAAAAGAAGCGAAAGTGTCTCTTTCTCTCTCTCACCCGCGCGTATAATGAGTAGCTTGCCTTGCAGATCCTAGCAAGAGCAACAACAACATTTGCATTTTGCAAAGCTCGTTCGCAGCTTATATTGTCCATATCGTGATTGCGCCTGCTGTTATTCGTCGAGCACATTTATAATACAGCTGGGACGAGTGAAAAAAAACTGCCTTCGATCTCGCGATCGCGATGTTCCATTTGTTCGATCGGGCGATAATTACGTTTCCCATGCGCGCCGGTATACGCATTACGCGCTCGCGCTGATTATCACCCAACGCTGCCAAGTATGTGTACAGTCAATTTGACACACGATCATCGGCATTTCCGCGCTCGTATCGAAGCGGTGTAGTAGCGAGCATCGTGAACTCATACGGCCTTCGGGCTCGTGCTTCTGAAATTCCGAAGCTCGCTACGGATAAGATTCATCAAAAATGCAGAAATTCCAGTTGACAAGTCGAGATATTAGCGAGTCAGGCAAGCAGGGAAGGAGACACGGGATTCATTGAAAAATTAATCGCACTCGCGTAATCCTGGCGGAGGTCGCGCACATCCATTAGGACTGGATTAGACGATTAAAATAATAAAAACTCGAGAGCACGCCCGTGTGCGCGACTGCGACTGCTTTCCAGTTTTTCTAGTTAAAAGTTTAATGGAAATTTTTACACATCATATTGGACGAGATTATAATGTACCGTATAATCCCCTGGTGAGCCACACCGTCCTCGCTCCTCGTATAATATGTACTGTATACACACACACACATACACAGGAGGACTGAAAGAATAATTCAGGCGAGTGGCCTTGCGGACTGAACATGCAGCTCTTTATACGGACTGTACACGCGCGCAGGTGACTCGCGCAGCAAAGGATGCACGCCGACTCGCACGCTTTATTATTATACATACGCATGATCGACGATGATTAAATCTTCCGATTGATTTTTTACGTTGTAATTTAATTAAAGTTTTATGTCGCTGCCGCATCCACGGTCGTTTATTTTTACCGCGCGCGCGATACTGACTCGAGAGTTGATTAATTTTCGCACTTACGCATCTATGCATATAAATCGGACTACCGTATATACGTCTTCCGCGTGAGAATATATATATGCATACGCATTATTATACATTGCGAATATTTGCCGCGCGCGCGGACAGCTTTACGAAGCTATATCTCGAGCGAAACAGCTTCCAACAAAGGCACGCGCGCGCGCCTCGAGGAAAGTTTGCGCTAGCCAGAGAAACTTTGGCTCAATAGATATGCTCGTAAAACGCGCTCGTATACGCACATTGTACACGCGAGGCATTCATCGGAGCCAGCCGGAAAAGTTCGAAGAAAGACATAATGGCGATAGGGCAAAGTCACGCGGTGTCAATCTCTATATTATGCCCGAAGAAAATAAATTGACCGCGCAGTCCTACTGCCGCTGCTGAACAGGAAATAATCTTCGGCCACTTTGAGACTGGCTCAGTTGTAGTATATATGCCGCATGTACCTACACGTCATATTTCGTACCTTACAGCTCGAAAGACAGCTTGTAAAACGTTTTGAATTGCGATCGCGCTACCGTAGCGGCCTGAGCTTATACACTGCTTACATATACACATCGTGTGCATGTGTGCGTGCGCGCGCCAATTGATTCTGATTGCCTCGGCTATTGACTGATACACTTTTTGTTGTGCCCACACGATATACGTATGCGAGCTTAGGCAGAGATCGACTGCACTCGGGTCGTTGGTCCATTTACGACTGATGCTTTCATTATGCGCTCATATACATGTGCGGCTGTACTTCGAAATCGTCGACTCTGGCCTGCGCCTGGCTGATCCACACACACACGCGTTGCAGCTCAGCTGGAAAACTATCGCTGCGCATAACTTCAAAACCAATCACGAAATCATTCGATCAACATAAGCTCATAAAACTTCAAACTCGAGTAGTCGCTGTATACGATTGAGAGATGATTTCCCATCGTTCGCATTATGTGCAGTATAAGCGCATCGTTGACAATTCGACGAGTGCAGCAATGTCGCAACTTCGAGTTATGCCCCGCGCGTCAATGTCAGATTGTAGCTTCGAAGTCATTAACTTCGCTCGTCGCGATCGTCATTGCGGATCGTGCACCGCCGCTGCATAATTAAGAATTATAACGATCCGATATATTTTTCCAAATCGACGTCTAACTTATTAGAGTCGTTGAGATAAGAAACCCGATGCCATATAAGCTACTTTCGAGTCAGTCGCGGTGCAGGTATACATACGCATGCGTTATAATATATTGATAAGCGACGCAGAGAAAAAGTGATCTAACGCGCGTGGCTATACGGAGCGCGTATATAGTACGACACGCGCTTCTATACGAGTACATGTTTATTATAAGTGCCATTAATTGGCGGCGCTACGTCGGGCAATGCGCCTTGCCGATTAATTTTTCATGTACGCGAGCGCGAGTATAGAGACAGTTGTTGCTGCTGCCGTTGCTGTTACCTGCCACTGTCTATAAGTACGAGCGATTAATATATTACGCGACACTCCGGCGTAACATGTATACGCTATGGAAAATTACAGCTCGTGTCTTATATAGGGTATTATATACGTGCGCTGATATATTCGTTATGGCGCCCACGAAAGGTGTATACAGGCGCCGCCGCGACGTTGTATACAAAAGTCGCGCGACCGACTTGATCGAGATTTGTCCGACGCTCGAATTTAGATCAACTTTGTATACAATATAGGTACACGCGGTGAGTGAGCGATAAGAGCTCGCGTGTCTATCAAAACTCCAATCGTCCGAGTGTGAACGCAATTTTTACTCGTCGTATAGAATTATACAAGTATATGTATAGTTGGCCTGGAAACAGTGTCGTTTCGATGATGCATCCAAGGGTCGTATTAACTTACGAGATCAACATCTCTTGATGACCAATATCGAGATTGATCGATGTTACGCATTCCACGACTGCATGATAATGCACGCCGATTAACTGCTGACCTATACACACTCGATCGACGAGGATCGCAAAAACAAACTGATTCTCTTTTCAATTACGCGCGCTGCCGTGCAAAGAAAACAGAGTCGGCGATGCGCTGGAGGGCTCGAGCTTCATTTTTCCTAGCGGATAAATATTATTGACAATCTGTCTCTCGATTTTAACGTTGAAATTCACTCGCGCTTCTTGTACATCACAGCCATCATCCTAGGCTTCGGCTTCCTTCTGTCCTTCTTTTTTCTCGCTCGGCAGCTGTCATAATTGAATTTAAGCCGCGCGCGAAACGATAATATGCGCGCAGAAATTTCAAAATCGATACATATATATCGCGCGCTGCTCTGCACGCGCTTTTGAAATTGTTCGCGCAACGTTACCTGCAGTATATGTGTATTACGTGGCACAGGTATATATGCGTATAATAAAATGCGAATATAAGCGACGACTATGCGTCGCAGCAGCTCTCGATCGCGTGCGCGAGCTGCATAACAACGTACTTATGAGGAATGTTGACTGGTGTGGGCTGTACCTACCTTGTAGTGTATGCCGTAGAGCTATATGAATAATATAGCAGGTATGGGTGCGAGCTCGCGAGAGAGAGAGAGAAAAACTCATCAAGTTGCGGTCTTCCCGCGCGCATCGAGAAAATCTTGACGACTCTATGTATGCAGACTCTATGTGCGCGACTTTTTACGAGCAAAAATAACAACGTTTTCTCTGGCTTTTTTGTTGCAGCGACAACCTGTACAGACTCACCCTGACCTCGTTGACGCCGCTGGAGCACGCGGCCTGGCCGGCGTCGCGCGACAAGAGCGAGATCTGCCAGGCCAAGGGCCAGAGCATCGACGACTGCCGCAACTACGTCAAGGTGCTGCTGAGCAATGGCAAGAAGCTCTTCACTTGCGGCACCAACGCCTTCAGCCCGCAGTGCTCGTGGCGCGAGATCGAGAACATCAACAGCGCCTCCAAGCCGATCGCCGGCGTGGCCATGTGCCCCTACTCGCCGCACTCCAACGTCACGGCCCTGCTGTCCAGGGGACCCGGCGGCGGCCTGTTCGCCGGCACGCCGACCGACTTTTCCGGCGCCGACACGGCCATCTACCGGAGTCTCGTGACCCCGCATCTCAGGACGAGGCAGTACGATTCAAAGTGAGTGACCGTGTCCACGCGTTCAAGCGGAATTTACTCGATTTCGTTTTATGCAAGACGATTCTGTAATTAAATCCTTTTTTTCATGTGTCTCTCTGCGCAGATGGCTCAACGATCCGCAATTCGTCGGCAGTTTCGAGACGGAGAACTACATCTACTTTTTATTCAGGGAGTCCGCCGTGGAGTACATCAATTGCGGCAAGGTAAGCCAACAGCGATAGCTGAATATAGTCCTGCCATTAGCGCGGTGCAATCGAGTCTAACGATTTTCTTTCGTTCCGACAGCGAATTTACTCTAGGATTGGTCGCGTGTGCAAACACGACCAGGGCAGCCCGATGCTCATGAAGGACACCTGGACGACCTTTAGCAAGGCCAGGCTCAATTGCTCCCTGCCCGGCGAGTTTCCCTTCTACTACGACGAGATTCAAGGGGCGGCTTATCACGCGGAGGAAGGCCTGGTCTATGCCACTTTCACCACACCGAGGTACGTTTAAATAATTGCCTCGTCTCGTGCTCATTCGAGTGCAACGGATCATCAAAAATCACTCGAGAGATGCTTTTAACGATTTCTTTTTGGCATGGAATTAAGCTCATTTTATACGCACCGTTGGAACGCAAAAATGCGTGAGCTATTTTTGCTTTTTTTATGATTTTCGTCTATTTCGATGTTTACGAATGCTCGCGCGTGCCGCCAGTCGATCGTAAAAATAAAACTATTTACTCCTTTACGATCCTGGGATGGTATACAATAAAGAAACTTGTTATGTCGACGTGCCATTAAAAAAAATGCGAGGCGAGCGAGCGCGAGGCCCCATTATACAGTAGCAGAATTTCTCGGCGTAATCTCGCCGCGGCTCTCCAGCATACATTAAAAATTTAAATATATATCTTTCACCCAACGGCAAATGATGAAAACTCGATCGCGGTTTAATTTTTTTATTCGCAGCAATGCCATCGCCGGTTCGGCCATTTGCGCCTTCAACATGTCGGCGATCGAGGCGGCCTTCAACGGGCCGTACAAGCACCAGGAGCACTCGGGCGCGGCCTGGGAGCGCAAACCCGTGCAGCATCAGCACGGCCAGGCCAAGTGCGGCCAGCAGCACAGCAGCGCCGGCGGCGGCCCGCATCAGGACAAGTCGTCGCAGCACGTGCTCACCGACAATCAGCGCTATCAGCTCATGGACGAGGCCGTCCAGCCGATAAGTCCTAGGCCACTTCACACCACTACCCTCGAGAGGTAATCAAATTTATATCAATTATCGCTGACGAGCTATTCTCGTCCTCTAGCTCCTACTATATGCCATTGTTGTCGTACTCGTTTCTCATGCGAATCGAACGAATGTGTATACAGATTCAGTCATCTGGCGGTGGACGTGACACCGACGAAGCGTCACAGAGCCGTCGCCGTGCTGTACGTGTCGACGAGCTCCGGCACGATCAAGAAGATATCGGTTTTGCCGGGCTCGCTGGAGACGTGCATCGTCGAGGTTTGGGGACCGCTCCCGTCGGCGCCCATCACGCTGCAGTTCCTCAAAGAAACCAAGAGCCTCTACGTTGGTATGCAGAACTCCCTGCTCAGGTAAGGAATATTATTACGATAATATAATGAGATGTGTACGTTCAATCGCACATAATATATTGAGTTCGGGGAATCGTGTCACGAGTAAAGTTCGGCCGCTACCGTTGCATGCGATATCCTTCATGTATAACGCTATATATGCAATTCGTCCTGAGCTTCGAATGCTAATTTTTCTCGAGGCCATTCACCGACTCGCGACGACGTCGCGCGCGCGATCACGTAACGCTAACCCAACCCATCCCTGCACTCTGCTGATCTACCGATTCGATGAATCTCATTTTTTTTTCTCTTCCTTTTCTCTCGTTGCTATGCAGGATACCGACGGTGCAGTGCCATCGTCACCGGGACGCCCAGTCGTGCCTCAATGCCCAGGAGCCCTACTGCGGCTGGGACGAGCACCTGATGCGCTGCGCCCCGGCGCCGAGCCAGACACCCGGCGGCTACCAGTCGAACCATTGGAAGCAGGAGCTCGACAAGTGTCCCGTGCTCGACGGCCCCATCAACGGCGGCTGGAGCGCTTGGGGCTCGTGGCGTAGCTGCCAGTTCGAGAGTGGCCAGGCTGTGGCGAGATCGGCCAACGATAACGAGGTAAGTCAGAGGCACACCAGCTATTATATCGACATTGACCATCCCCCACGCTTGTTTTTGACTTTTCGTCAACGGACTTGGCCGTGCATTATTATGTTATACTTGCACGGTACACGGAGGCACGTTCGTGTGACATATCGTTCCGAGCTATCGAGCTAATAATCAGAAACCGTTCCACCGAGACAAACTTCGGTAAAGCTCACCTAAACTGCGTGCTCCTGGCTGGAGTGCGCCCTGACTATGTGTTGCTCATTAAAGACCGCTTTGAATTAATTTTCAACTAAATTTGTTGGCTGGTATATCGAGTTAATTTGCCGACTTCTCGAAAGTCCCCTCTCTAGTAGGACAGATCTTCTTGTCCATTAATGATTTGAAAATCGAGACCAGCTTTATAATACACAAACGAGCACATATAATTATAATTATAATTTATAGAATGACGACGAAGAATGCTTTTTAAATTATCACATCTGTATTTTGTACTGTATATAGTTTGTAAAGTTTAGTAGGCCAAAAGTTGAGCAATGGAAAGTACAAAGATGAGTTTAACGGTTTAGTGTTATTTCTATTTAATCAAAATCATTCGTTTTGTTATTTTTTTAAACATTACATACGTAATTTTGCATGTCGTTCAAAATTATCTAAAAAATTTTTATATTTTGCGCGTCGTACAGAATACGGACAGCTGCATGTGTCGGACGCGCGAATGCAACAACCCCGAGCCGAAGAACGGCGGCGAGTCGTGCAAGGGTGCCCAAGTCCGAGTGACCAACTGCACGGTGCACGGCGGCTGGACCGACTGGTCGGACTGGTCCGGTTGCAATAAAAACTGCGGGCTCGCGTTGAAGACGCGACGTCGCACCTGCTCCAATCCAACTCCACAGCATGGTGGACGCGTCTGCCTCGGCGCCGACCACGAGGAAGCTTACTGCAACGATTTGCCGCCCTGTTCCCTGCACGGCGACAAGATCGCAGCCGCTACCGCGGCGGTCGCGCCAGCGACACCGACCAAGGGTGTGTGGTCCGGCTACGGGCCCTGGACCAGTTGCTCGAAAAAATGCGGAGGAGGTTTCCGCACGAGGCGCAGGACTTGCGAGCCTCAGTCGAGACACAAGGACAGCAAAGTCGAGTGCGTCGGCTGCGACTTCCAAATCGAGGAATGCAACTTGCACGCGTGTCCCGAACCGAAACGCTTCCTGTCGACTCCTTGGATACTGGCTGGCAACTCGAGCTCCGATACGAGACTGGAGAAGCGTTACAAATTTGCCTGTAAAGCTTCGACCGACGACATATCCAGCATCAAGATACAGGCAAAGGAAGAGGAGAGACACTGTCGACCCGATGGTTCGTGCACCCGTAGGCCAGCCCCAGTGAGCAATCTCAATCTCGAGGCCAGCGCCGATTCCTCTTGGAACGATTGGTCACCGTGGTCGGCCTGCTCGCAGACTTGCGGTGGTGGCATTCAGTACAGAGTGAGTATTTTATTTACGACTATCTCATAAACGCTCGTAAAAGATAATTATTCGCTAACCCGTTGTATGACATTAATTTTTTGCGCAGATGAAAAATTGCGACACGTCCACGTGCGAAGGTCCCATGACCGAATCGCGTCCCTGCAACACGAAACCGTGCCGACTGACCTTCAGCCAGCAGACGGACAGCAGCTTGGAAATCACGGAGCAGTCGGCCACGACGATGGGCCAATGGAGCTGCTGGACCGACTGGACCGAGTGCTCGGCCGTCTGCGGCTTCGGTCTGCGCAGCCGAACCCGAGTCTGCCTCGGACCCGGCGAGTGCCAAGGCCTCAGCAGCATGACCGAGTCCTGCGAGATGCCCAGCTGCGAGTACTTCCGCGGCTGGGACGAGTGGTCCGCCTGGACGCCCTGCGACAGCAGCAACTCGCAGCACCGTAAACGCAAGTGCACGGTGCAGCCCAACGGCGAGGACTGCATCGGACCGACCAAGCAGACCAGATGGTGCGCCAACGAATTTTATGGAAACGGTAAGTTCGACTCGCGCACACAGAACACAATCAATTTTTTCCGATGGCGCAGTCAATGCAATGTTCTATCTTTTTCAGATGTTAATGCATTGCCATCGAGGGTAGAAGCGGCTGGAGTTGCCGTTGGTGCCGTGGTTGGCAGCTGCATAATTGGTTTTCTTCTTGGTTTGTTGATGACTGCCATCATATGCTTCTACTATATGAAACGCAAGAAGCCCGGTCTGCCTAGTAATCCGCATTATATAAGCAGGCAAAATCCCTACGTCACCGTGCCTTTGAAAGAGGTTAGTACTTGCATCATCAAATTTTTAGCTACTCCATGAACAATCGTAACTTTAATTTTTTAAACTTTTTAGCAGGTCAAACAAACGAATAACAAACCAGTAAAGCGCCAGCCCAGCTTCACCGGCAGCATAAATGGTACTCTGCGCTCGATCAAAAACAACAGCCTGATAAACGGCGGCCATCATCATTCGAATCACCAGTGCAACCATCATCATCATCATTCGCATCATCACAGTTGCAACGGTGTCAACAGCCTGCCCAAGCTCTATCCAAAAGCACTCGAGTACGAATCGGCGACGCTCAAGCGCAACAGCCGCGAGGCCGTCATACGTGCTGAGCTCGATCAGTACTATTAGAGAAGACAACCCGTGAGAGACTTTTTTCACGACCACAAGACTGTGTAAATTTCGTTTTCAACAAAAAAGAGTACGAGAAAAAAGAATCGAGCTCATTTGTCATGGGTAAAAAGTATTATATATTGACGGAATTTAAGGACAATAGCATATAATGACACTTTATTATCATGATATACTCGATTTCAACGACTCTTAGTGATAACTAAACGTTTCGCGATTTCAACGTAACTTTGAATTTAGTTTTATAACTATAATTATAAATATTAAATTTAAGCATATACGAGAATGAAAAAGCTTTCGGACAAATTATATTATGTATATTATCATTGTTAAGGATTTGAGAACGACTAATTATTTTTAATAATCGTACAAAAAGAGGCAATCTTCCGATGATGTATGCATGTTAATGTATTTTTTAGAAAGACTATAGTGGTTTTGAAAGCTATAGCGTGACAATCCGTAAATCGCCGAATTTCGAGATTTATTACTATACGATACGCTAATGTTTTTTCGCAATATTAACATTAGTCATTAATTAAACTGATCGATTTCTACAATCGAAAAATGTATGTTATTTTATGTGCGAGTGTGTAAATAGTTAGAAAATCGAATTTTTGACGTTTGAGTATACGTGTGCGCGTTGTAATTTGGGGCATTCTCTCATTTCATTTGTATAAAAAAACTTCACAAATGTGTAATTGAAATTTTTACGCGTTGTTTCATTCTTCACTCTCGTTTAAATTGTGAAAACGTGAAATATATAAATATATATTTATATAAATGAATTTAAAAGCGGATATTATATTATATTTATAGAAAATAGCATATCTAATAGGATAAACAGAGATTTATTATAATGTTAAGAATCCCTGCACATCTATATATTTTGTAAATAGCGTCTCTGTAAGATGTAAGTATTTTATACTCGTAAAAAGCGTCGTAATATTTTTTAAGAACTCTTCGTTTTTTTATAATGATATTGTACATTTACTATTATTATTATTTTTTTATTAAGTCTTAAATTTTGTAAACTATATACAGAGTGCCAGGAACGTGTGTATTTTCGCCCGTAAATAAGTATCACTTTTTCCTTTACAAAAAATGTCGAGCAAACATTCGAATATATATTCTACGGTGTATTTTGTGAAAGTCAGCGTGCCTTTTGAAATAGACTAAAAGAAAAAGGAAACTGCAATTATGTGAGGATTTCCTTTTGATTGACAAAGAATAAGGAAGAGAATAAGAAAGCGGAAGTAGATGAGCAATATATTTTGGCTCACATTGAGTCGAAGCCAAGACACTATTTAACTACGCGTTATTTGAATTGAAATTGAATGACTGCCACCTTCTTTCTTTAATGAAAGTGAAAAAAATGTAACGTCAACTTCCGATTTTAGGCATTTATTCGTACAACCCAGGATATTGTGCGGCATATGTATGAATCTACGAAACTTTAGTATTGAATATGCGGGGATACGCAACAGCGATATTTTTTGTGACTTTTTATCGTTTACTGATAAAATAAACGTTTGTAATAAATACTCATGACTTTGTTTAATTTGCCCATAATTAGTTTATTAATATATTTAATCAGATTTCTGATAAGTTAAAATTATAAAATGCAGACAAGCCTTGAACTTTGACTCTTGATAGTCCGTATACACAAAAAATTTACATTTTTGAACATTGGATTTTTATTTATTGAATTGTAGCTAATATTTGAAATATTCTATTTACACATAAAATTTACGAAATATATTGTAAATAATTTTAAAGCTTACAGCCGTGTTCAACGATATTATTAATAACGAAGTCCATACTGCTATGGTTCGGCGGTGGCTGGCAACTGACAACCATGCGGAAGAAATTCGGCATGTTTTTCGAGGGCAGCGGCGTGTAGCCGATCATCAACGAGCCGACCTTGATCAGCTTCTCTTTTATAGTGGGCGCTATCCTGTTTAATTTATTTTTCCACTCTTCATTTTCTTCCTGGCCCTGCATACTCGGCGGTATGTACCTGTGAAATATTTATTCATCGTAAAACACCGAGACTGCTTTTTATTCAGTTCTAGTGCAGAGAGAGCCGGACTTACCAAAAGCAAATATTAGATCCTTCGTATTCGGGCAAGACGAGCCTGAAGTCTGGTCTGTCTTTGATTTGCTCGTAAAAGTAGTTGGCGCAATCCATGGCAATGTCGACGGACTTTCTCAGACCCGCAGTGCCTCTGGCTTTCCACATGAGCCAGAATTTCAGCGCGTCCGGCTGAAAAATTTACGAGACACAAAATGTGAGTAAAAAAACAGTGTCCTATTTTTTTTTGTCGCAACTTTGTATTAAGAGATCGTTACACATACACATACACACACTCACATATACGTATACACACGCACACAACTGACCTTTCGTCCACACTGAACGCTTTTGTCGCCCGTGTCCCAGGAGACATCGTAGAATTTGTCCTGCTGGAATAGATACTTGGCGTTGGCGCAATTGGCCTCGTGCAGGGCGTTCGTGCCCTTGGTCAAAAATATCGAGCACTGGAACGGGGCACCGAGCATTTTGTGCGGATTCCATGATATCGAGTTCGATCTGAAACGGAATAGACACCGTTTTAAATTTTTTATTTCTTTTTTCATCATATTTTTTTATCAACAACTGCAGTTTACCTCTCGACGCCTTTCAGACGGTTGCGATACTGATGCGACAGCAGTAAGGTACCTCCCAAGCAACCCTAGCCATAAAAAAAAGAAGAAAATAATAAATTTCCGTATAATTTTAATCACTAGCTAAGCGACGAGATATCGCGCGTAGACTTACATCGACGTGCAGCCAAATGTCGTGCTCCTCGCAGACATCGGCGATCTTATCGATCGGATCGAAAGCCGCCAAGACGGTCGAGCCGGCCGTGGCGTTGACGAAGAACGGCTCGCAGCCTTTATTGCGAGCCTGATGAATCTTCTCTTTGAGATCGTCCACGTCCATCTGACCCAGCTCGTTGACGCGGATCTTGTAGACGTTGTCGGTGCCGATGCCCAGCCAGTGGGCGCCTTTGGTCATGGAGTAGTGGCCGTCCTCGCTGGTGAAGATGGCCAAGGGTGGTACGACGCTCATGCCCTTGGTCTTGATCTCGGGGAAGCGCTTGTAGCGAGCCAGCACGATGCCGTACATGTTGGACATGCTGCCGCCGGGCGCGAGGAGTCCATCGGCCTCGGGCAGGGCCGGATAGCCGACCAGTTCCAGGGACCGCTTGATGATCTCGCGCTCGAGCAAGGTGAAAACCGGCGCCACTTCGTAAGTGTATCTAACGTAAAACGAGCGCCGAGTTAGTCATTCGAGTTGATACAGCAGCCCATCGTTAAAAAAAAAAGCAAATCATGGCAACTAATCACTTACTGGCTGGTATTGAGCGCCTCGGTGAGCCATGCTCCGGCAAGGCCGTAGATGTCTGTGCCCGCGTACAGCTGATTATGGAAGTGCGGACTGAAGGTGCGTACCGAGTATTGGACGATGAGCGAGGCGATTCGCTTGACTTCGTTTTGCGGGACACCCTCTTCGTCGAGATTCGAGGGAAAATCTTTCTATGGAAGAGTATGTGGAAAGTTACGCAAAAGTCAAGAGAGAGAGAGAGAGAGAGAGAGCCGCAGATTTAACATCGTATTTGAATGCGTATGTGAACGCGGCTCGTTGATAGCGTGTATTTTATCAAAGTGCAACGAGCTCGATGCGTTACGTACACACAAACGCATAGGCGATTGCAACAATAGTGCGATACGGCGCCGCGCGCTGTTGTGCAAGGTGCACATGCCAAAGCCTCGCGCGACCCGCTCCGATATTATTATGGTGCAATACTCACGACCAGTTGGTCCGGGTGGACGAATCGGACGATCGGCTGATCGGACGTCACGTCGAAGCACTCGTACTCCTCGAGGATCTTCAGGACATCCTTGAGGATCTCGTGACCGTGTCCCGTGCGATCGTCGACGCTCATCTTTTCCGTCGTGCGATGCAAACTACTATTTTATCGAACAGCGGACCGGCCTAAACACGGGTGTGTATCTATCAACAAACACTCATTCACTCACAATACACATGCACAGAAGCGAATGGCTCAAGCGCTCGATCGACTCTGGCGCGCTGCAAGAGTTTTTCGATTCGAGTAGGGGAACACGTTTTCACTCTCGCCTTTATAATGCCCGTGTGTATGCGCGGATCGAGAAGGAGATCGAGAATGAGTATATATAATGTATACGCGAACTCCGATGATCCGCGCCGTAGCCGCAGCCAGCCGCTCTTATCGATGATGCTTGCTCGTTGCTGCTCTTGCTTCTTTTCTCTCTCTCTCTCTCTTTCTCTCGCTCGTGGAGTATGGAAATTTAATCTTCATCTGTTTCAAAGTTGACTGACTCGCTTCTTCGCTTGTGCCTGCGTACGAGTACGTACGCAGAGTTACGTTATATTCGTAAACGCGTTTGATACAATTAACGTATCTCATTTGTGAATCGATTTAACCTCTAATTGTATACGTCTTCTTTTCCAACCCAAATTGATGGATATTTAATTTTGACACCGTACTCGTTTAACTGTTCGATTTCGAAAATTCCTCTCGCACGTGTATGTTAATCAATCGATTTTAAAATTTAGTACGAATTTCTTTTAGCGTCTCTGCGTCCGTGATGTAAGAGTAAAGATGAACTTTCACTGCAACTGTTTAGAGCGTCGGAGCGGTGGCATTTCAAATTGCAATCGGCTGAAACGTAATGTTGCATGACAGCCCAACCTGTCTGAATTTCGTAATTAGATGAAAAATGCTTAATAATTAAATCAAATAAAATCGTCATTTTCTTACGAATGATGTATATATAATTACAATATTTACAAAATTAATATTTACTTTAATACACACATGTGTATAAAAGATCGATTAATTGTAGCAATGCGAAAAAAAGAATAAAAATAAATGAACGATCGAACGATAAATCGATACTGTCTTTGTTGCTCTCGTATAAATTTGCCTTATATATACGTATTTATAAATCAATAAACATGCACGACTATTAATCTGTGCGCTGGCGCGCATAACGACGCCGGTGCAAAGTTCACCGAACGATATATTTCGCTCTTATCGTGTTTTGACGCTGCACACAGACACACGCAGACGAGGATCGATTTTTATCTTTACGACGCATTGACTGCTGCAGGCTCGGATTCTCTCTGCTTGTCCTTGTTTTTCGAGTGGAAATTCGTTTCAGACCTACCAATCACACGACCAGCGACTGATTCGTGATATCACAATTTTTTTTTTCAAAGATAATGTGAAAAAAATGCCATTACTTGCTCGTGCTCGTCCAACATCGTTTCGTCGGCGAACTCCACGGGTATTCTCGGTGCGAAGCCCTTCATGGAGGCCCACTCGCCGTCGCAGAGCAGACGATAGCTCAGCCTCACGAGCAGCTGCCCGCCGAGGGTGCCCGGACCCCGACAGACGAGGCCGGCCGTGAAGTCCAAGTGATTGGCGCCGCCGAAGGCAGGGGTTGTACCGTTGCCGGCCCGACTCTCGGCCTCGATGAGCCTCAAACGGTAACGTCTTCGCAGCCAAAGCGCCAAGTAACTCGAGGCGCAATCGCAGTGCCAGGGATTTCGTCCCAGGCGCAGCTGAAGCAGATCCGAGTTCTCGTCGAACAGGCCCTTGGGCAAGTGGCTCAGTCGGTTTCCCTCCAATTGTCTGCAAATGTCATCATAGCCGCAGCCGCAGCGCAGCTCAAAAGTTCGTACATTTGCATAATGTATTTATTAGTCGAGCTCGTTGTTATAGAGCAGCAGACCGAGGAAATGAGTAAACTTTGTTGGGCTTGACTTCATTAATGGAGCATCCCGGTGAGAATAAGCCAGAACTTTTTCTGGCGCATCTCCTCAAATAATAATTCGCATAATATAATAAATGTCGCGCTCGAGCTACTCACAATTTGCGGAGCTTCGGGACGTCCTTGAGCGAGGCTGGATGCAGATACCTTAGATGGTTCGAGTGTAAAAATAGAGCCGTAAGATTGTCGAGGCCTCGCAGCTCGCCGGCGTCGAGTAGCTGCAATAGATTGTCGTGGATGACGAGGCGTTCGAGACTCGTCAGAGGCTCGAACAAGCCGCGAGTCAAGCGGCGAAGACGGTTATTGCCGAGATCCAGTTGAATCAGCGAGCTCAAGCCTCGAAATGCACCTGCGTTTATCTGAGAATATAATTCGAGTCAAAATTCGTGTAAAGTAGACACGATAGTCGCCGACAAGAAACTAACGTATGTAATTTTATTTTTCGACAGGTCGAGTGTCTTGAGTTTATTCAACGATTCGAAAACACCGTTTTGCAAGCTCTGTAGCCTGTTGTCGCGCAAATTCAACTCGGTCAATGATTCCAACGAGGAGAAGAGCTCTCGGTCGAGATCGTCCAGTCGGTTCTCGTCCAGAGTCAGACGGTGTAATTTTTTCAGTCCAGAAAAACAGTCGGCCGGTAAATCGTTCAGCTGATTGCGGCCGAGCAACAGCTCCTCGAGGATGCATAAACCATGGAAGATTTTGGAAGGGAGAATTCCCAAACGGTTGCTAGACAGGTCCAGTAAGACTAATGAACTGCTCGAGGAGAATAGACCTTCCGGCAGTGTTCGCAATTTGTTGGACGATAAATCTCTAGAAACAGCGACGCTATATTTTGTCAATCTTATTTATTGCATTGTTTAATGTTTAAAAATTTAATTGAGTACAATATTTCAAGATTTTTCATGCGTATCAAATGACTTTGGTCCAGTTCTCTGAGTAAATTTTTACTTAACCGTATGTGGGTGACATTGTATAAAGAATAAAATAAGCTCACTGGCAGATATTCTATGACGTTATCATTGGCGTCTCTGTAAAGAAATAGCGAGCTCAAAATAAGTCCGTTAAACATCGAGCATCTGCTTCTATACTCACAGGTAGTTCAATCGGTACAGTCCATCGAAACTTTCTTTGTGAATAGCAGCCAATTGATTGCCACTGACGTCTCTGCAGTTTCCAACACACAAATGCATTGACATAAATATCGAAACGAGATGAAATAGAGACGCGAAAGTCGACTTACAGTCTGAGCACGCTGTCGGGCACGATCTGAGCGGCCGGCAGATCCGTGAGGCCGAGCTTCCAGCACGACAGCGAGCTCGTCTCGATGCGACACTTGCAGGGGCCCCTCGCGCACAGATCCCACTTGGACTCGGCCTGGCTGATCTGCCAGACGGGCAGCTCGATGGCCCGCAGTCGCCGCTCCAGGCTGGAAACTCGCGCCTCGAGCTCTTCGAGGTACGTCTCGTCGGCTCGGGCCACTAACACTATCATCATCAGCGTCAACGACAGACAACAACGACAGTAAGCCAACGTCATCTTCGAGAGACTGACTCGATAATTCGCAGATGAGACGCAAGAGCATGTGGCGGATGCGAGGGTTGAGCGCGATTAACGGACAATGCCATTAACGCGCGCCCTTGTCCCTCCGTCTTCGATTACCGCGGGTTCAATGCGGAGGAAGTGGCTCTTGTTTATTTTCATTTTTTTCTCCTTTTTTTTTTCAATTATAATAACAAGAGTCGCATACGGCGTAATTTGTTTTGTGTCTGCGCACGATAAGGCGAGCTGATTTGAATATATCCAAAATCATACCGGCAGATTCTCGCATATATGTGTAGCTCATTAATAATTCATTAAATTATTATTCATGATAATGAATAATCAACGATATGAGTTATAATAAATATAATACATGACTGCATTTGTATTTCAGAGGGGTATTTATTATCACATGTATTAAATGTATATCTGCATAAATGGTCAAACATGATACAATTTATTGTTCGATAACGGGCCAGGGTTTCGGTAGCCGCATGATTAATTCATTACAGTCTAATTCCTTCCGATCCGGGGCACGCACCTTTGCTCTTCACGACCAGTTCTGAAAATTAATTTAAAAAATTAGTTCACTTCGAGCGCTCGAGACTAATTTGAATGCGCGAAACAAAACAAAGACACGTACTGGTTCCCATTTCGCAGTTGTGCACGTCGAGGACGCACTGGCTGCCGAAGGAGCGCGGCTTGTTGCCAGCATTGGTCGGATCGTGAGCGCAGACGGGATCGTAAATGTCCGTGCAGGCTTTTCGGCAATTCTGCTTGGTCTTTTGTTCCTCCTTGGCTCGCTTGATCGCGTCCTTCACGTCCTTCGAGGCTTGAGGCTTGTCCGTAGCCACGGGTTTTTCCGTGGGGACGGCTTCGCTGCTCGCGATCAGGCAGATCACGACGAGAGCTGCAATTGTTTTTTTGTTTTTCATTTTTCTCCTCGTGTATATTTTGTTGTTTTCAAACTTTTATATTAAAAGTTATTCACCATCCAATGTTTGAAGCTTTTAAAGTATTTTTATTTTGCCTAACAGGTTTTTGTAGCTCCGAAAAAATATTTCAACCAACAGGCAATACATGATAATACTAAAAATTTAAAACGAATTATTCAAAGTCGTTGAAAAAACTCGTTTTACCCTGTTCTTTATAAATTTATTAAACCACTGTAAAATCTAAAAAATGACCAAATGCTTTGAAATCTTTATTGATTATCAAGACGAGCATTATATAAATTTTAAAATTTATTCTTGAAGTAATTATTCTCGACACCCAAGAAAAATTATCTTTGTTATTGTTTCGCATAGGAATCTTGAGGATCTTAAAACTTCGTTACACGAAATCAAAGCAATTACTCTTGAGTGTAATTGCGTGCACCGCAGCTAATTACAGCTGTTACATCGTCGAAACGAAAAATAATAAAACCTCTTGGACTAAGAAAAATCGTGAAAACGTCAAGCGCATATTCTCGAATGAATTATGGGCTACTCAAAAAATTACGCTCAACACCTTTCTCGCGCACAAGACTAGTTTATTAAATGAAAAAATTACCTCCTAGCGCCAAAGCGATCTTCATGTTTTCACGGTTATATATTATCTGGTCGACGTACACAAGGGAAAAGTACAGAGAATCAAGAAGAGCTGCGAATCTCGAGCGCAGTTTCTTCGTTGTTGCTTTGTCGAATGAGAAAGACTGGATTCTGTTTAACGCGATAGTCGCCTTTTATACACACGCTCAAACGCTGCTGCTGTGCTATAAAGTTCATACGTGTATATTTAGCTCGTCCTGCACAACACACGTGTCCCCACCTTTGCGCGTGTGTATGCGGTCATTTCGTGTTTTTCACGCGTCCACTCGGCGAAACTCATCGCAAGCGGGCAGGTGCAAGCGTAAAAAACCTCGTTAACGACTCGCGCATCTCTATAAGTCGCGTTTTTTCCAATGTTTGTGTTTTGTTGTGCTGCCTCGCTAGCTATATTAGCCAAGTCGTCGGGGGCGTAGGTCGAGGAAAATAATGGAATAATCTCATCGTTTTTGCGATGAAACACTTTGTTGCGCGATTAATTTTATCGTGTCGTGTCAAAACCAGTTCAGTTTGCTTTTCATCAATAAGCAATTTTCGCTCCCATTCATATACCAACGCATCCAATTACCCTTCATTGTGATACGACACGAACGTCGAGCTATTTTTGATCTAGATCTCTAGCGGCGCAGCAATTGATTTAATTTTGTTATGGGTTGCGTTTGTGAAAATTTTTTAAATATTTACAAAAAATTAAAATACGTTTAATGATTCGATGAATTATATGCAAATGAGTGTAAACAACATAATTAAATGTATTCATAAAAATAAGTTCATTTCCTCCTTCTCCGTCTTTTCATTCTGCTGGCATTGTCTTTATGAGCTACTTGTGCCTCCTCTGCTAAATAAAGTTTAAACAGTTCTTTGTAGTCAGTCCAGGTATCACCCGTTAGAAGCAGTTTTTTGGTCGATTGACAGTCAAGACTCGTGCAATTTGCCTCCTCCTCCTCTCCTTCGCTTCTCCTCAGCTTTTCATTCTCATTTCTATAATGATCGATCGAGCTCGTCACTGTGCTCGATAACATCCACAACTTTTCCTTCGATAATGTTGCTGCAAAGTGTAATGTATACTTTCAAATAACGATACAGAACATTTTTTTTTTTTTTTCAAACTTACGAGCATCTCCAAACTTTCTCGATTTGTCGTCCTCGTCGTCCTCGTCGTCGTCTTTTTTCGGTATGAGTTTTGGTATAAAAAGCAGCAAACAGATAGCAGCGATGAATTTAACGACCATTTTAAAAACGACGATCTTCAAAACGATCTTGAGAAGAGTGTAAGCATTTATTTTCAAGGATATCGGCCAGCTGAAGTCGAAACCTGGGAGAAAAGTGAGCGGGAACAGGTCCGGCAGAGGATAGGACGTGCTGTAGGAAGCTGTCAGCGAGCCTAAGCCTGAAAAAACATCATAATTAAGCGTTATCTTTCACATTGTACAAAAGAACAATTGCAGGCTCGGGGATGAGTTTCGTTCGCCAAAACATACGGTACCTCTGTTCTCACCTTGGTGCGAAGGCACAACGTAAGATGAGATACCACTGTTCGTCGGCGAGGAAAACGAAGACGGAGGTCCGTAAGAGCTGCTCAATGGGACACCGTAGCTCGTCGAAATGGACGGGGATTCCCCGAACGAGCTCGTCGGAGGCAACCCATAGCTGGTAGAAAGCGATGGTTCTCCATAGACGGACGCGGGAGGCTCGCCGTAAGTTTTTTTCGGTGCTCCGTAATGACTTTTCAAAGGTAAGCTGTACGAAGCTTTCGGGGGTGTCCCGTACGATTTGTCGGAACTACTGTACGTGTCGTAGGGTTGAAATTCACTGATGGTAACGTGAGGTAGGCCGTAGGGAATTTCTTCGCTTTGCTGTATATAAAACGGTCCGTTGCTTTGAGATACTTTGGATACTGCGGGCTCTGCATCTATCATGTTTATAGAAAAAAAATATATAAATACGTTGATGAAAAAAATAGAAATATTCTCAAATGTCAATGATTTACGTACCTTTGGTGACGATTTTAATTTTTACTCCACCAGTATTATTACTATCGGCTCTGTATACTGGGCTCGGTGCATGCTCGCGCCTCGTGATTTTCGGCCACGTTTTCACTGAATCCCGCGGATCCTTGATTATGATCGTGTGCGAGTGCTTCAATGCATTGAGATAACTGTCTTCTACCGACGGCTGAAATTTGTAACGATACCTTGGCGATATCATCGGCTGCACCGATTGACGGTTGTCCGATTTGACGCTCTCGGAGCTCGCTGCCCCATTGTACTTGAAGCCGGCATCATCCAAAGGATTCACGACGTTATTGTAGCTCTGGTACGTTTTGACGTTCGGGGCGGGGCTGGTGCTGTTTTTCGCGGTTGAATTGCTCGCGCCGAGGACTTGGTGTACGATCAGCGAGAAAACCAGCAGACCGACGGCAGATAATGATTTCGTCTGCGGCGACCCTAACAACGTCGACCTATTTATAAAGTAATTATAATAAATTTAATGGACAGGGTGTTTCATATGCTGATTGGGTGTCACAGTAATTCGTGTATTAATAAAATAGATGAATGCTGTATTGTTAGTTTGCCTTTGATATCTATGATTATTCCGTATGTAAATTAAGCTCTTCATTACGGAATGGTAATTTTAATGATATGCACTCGGGCTTTGATGGGCAAACATGAAAAAACTAGATGAGAAATACTACTGTCAGCATAATTTTCATTAACGTTATGATGTTTAAACGCAGTATCGAACAAATTTTTGGCATTTGCAAAAAGCTGTCAAGTCAAATTTTTTGATACGACAAAGTAAAGGTTTGCACTTACATAGTCCTTGCGATTGCTGCAACATCTATAACAATCAAAGTTCATGGGCACGAAACAAATCGTTGATTTTAACACCTTGGTTATTTTTTTTCACTAAATATGTTGACGAAAACAATTATTAAGCACGAGTCTCGGAGAATTTCGCGGCTTCAAGGCGCAACGAACCTCTGCGAAGGTCAAGAAAGACGTGTCGTCGGCCACGCCGCATGACACCTGCGTTATAGGCCTCAGCACGAAAAAAAGTCACGGTCAGTGTCGCGCCTAACTTTATATACCGTACGGGCACAAAAGCTCGCGGGCTGCCCGAGGAGGGATGCAACGAGGCGAATCGAACTAGGTTACTATTGTCATTGCATCGCCAAAAATGCATCGTCGCACGTTTACGCCGTAATTCGCATCGAAACTTTCACTACGCCGCAACGGTACGCGCGCGTGATCGTTATTAAGTGTTTGTGTTATGCGCGCGTTGAATGGGATGCGGTTCAAAGGGACTTTGAACGTCGTGACAAAAGTATACATTGTTTCTTTATTAATTTTATATTTTCGCATGGGCGCTTGATTTTTTCTCCAATTTGTTGATGTAATTGTTTTATTTTTAATTTACAAAGTAATTTTGCATTTACCACCTTGATACATAGTTATTATTTCTCTCGATAGATATAAAGCTAAACTCAGTACGCATATAAAAATGATCTCATATCGCCGGCGAGCGAGACATTGTTATGCGTACGACGATACCGGGCTATATAACGGAGCCCTCGATCCTTCACTTCACAAATACTTTTCTGATCCAGTGGCATACTTTCTCTGTGCTGCGACAGTTCGATTATCATCTTTGTTCAATTAATATTTAAGATATACGAAGGTGAATAAGTTTTATTTACATTAGCAGTCCTTGATGCATAAAAAATACATATTGCTTGCCGTATGTTGATTTTTGAAAAAAAAATTATATTAATATTAAACAAATTACATATTTGATATGCAAATAAGCAGTTTTGATATGAATTATCAATCTTGGCGTGAAATTGACTTCCTAGAATATTTCGACTTGTGCATATCGAGCAATCGAGCAGTCTCTTGTATGTAGTAGTTGCTCGTCTCCAGGCGACCGAGTAACTTGTGCCAGCGGCAAACGCGAGTATTCTAGGTATTCTCAGCAAAGCCCGAGTAATGCACGTGCATTCGACAACTTTTCATTTTTCCTAAACATGAACTTTACAACAAAGTAAGATGCCTCGTTCGTATGCAGCGTATTTTGTGATTGATATTATTTGTAAAAATATGTTCTTGTCGACAGATGGATCAAAACAGGTAGACCTCATGATTTTGTTTTCGTCAGCAAAGAGGTCGTGGCTACTGCGTCGGGCTACTACGTGATATTTTACAATTTGGCGAATGGAGAGGAACGCATAGAATATTTCAATAGCCAAGACAGAGGAAATGGGGTCAGCTGTTTATGCGCTCACCCGGTAAAATTATTATATTTTTCAATTGTATCAATCTCGCAGCTTTGCATAACCAGTGAAAATTTAAATAGGTAATATCAGTTTTTTCTACGGCTGAAAGATGCCGCAATCCTAGATTATTGGTCCATACTTATCCCGAAATCAGGAGGGTAGCCTCGTGTAAATTGACCAGTAATACGAATGCATACGTCTCTTGTTGCTTCTCTGGCTCCGAATATCTCGTCAGTTTGACTTCGATTCCGAATTATCAACTTGTCGTGTGGCTGTGGAGAACCGGACATAAATTGGCTCAAATCGATAGCGGAATCGCCGACGAATTTCAACTGATCCAGTACGAAATTATTCTTTGTCATGACAATTCCCCTGACAAGCAATTAATTTTTTTCAGACCATCGCCCTACGCTTCCCATTTGGTGTATCAATTTTCATCCCGGCTGGATCAATTACTTACCTACGAGATATATGCGTACTCGAAAAAAGCAACCATAACGAAGAACGAAATTAGTTTGATCAAAAACGAAATATCATGCATCTCGTGGACGAACAATAACAATTTACTCATCAGTGACGTTTATGGAAACGTGTATATTGTCAGTAATGATGGTAAAAAATTTCAAGTGATTTTTTGCCATGAAACGAGGAATAGAAAGGAAAACGTAATTTTGTCGTTAAATTTTGGCTACATAATATCGGAAAATAATTCGCAATTAACCGTAAGTTTTTTTCATTGTTTCCCATCTATTTTGTCCGAGTAATTAGCCAATCGTTAAAAACTGCAATTTCAGTGTTACACCAAGTCGCTCGGCAGCGCAAAAGAGTCTTGGAAGGCCGCTTGGTCGATAAAATGCTCGTCCGTGCCTGTGAAAATTGCATTAGCGCGTCACAAAGAGGCTTTTTTAGTATATTGCGAGAACGGCGACGTTAATGAATTATGCTTGACAAATGACAGTAAGCCTGAAATGAAAACGCTATTGAAAAATTGCCGCAAAATCCTATGTTTAAAGCTACTCAAGTCAGACGACGAATTTTGCGTTTGTCTCGATGAATTGAATTATCTGATAGTTTTTAATGCTATAGATGGTTATTTCGTCACAGACACCAAAATTCCTTTTGAAGATCAAGGTACTTAAGAATTTATGATTAGATTTACATTTTTATGATATTTTACCGATATATTCTTCACAGTTGCTTGTCTAGAAGTCCATCCTAAAATACCTCTGATATCGATAAGCACCATATCTGGGAAATGTATCTTTTTTGTATTTTCGTCTCGCAGTTTACATGAAATCAAAATGATTCATATTTTGCGATATCCAATTGAAATTATTAAGTTTTCCAATGACGGATCAGTGATGGGTGCCATTTCCAAAAATAAAAACGATATATTTATTTTAAACACTGTCGAAAACGAAGCTATAGAAGTTCTTTACCACGTACCAATGAGCTACCCTGTTGTGGATATTTTAATTTTTGAATGTGAAAAAAAAGTAAGATTGATGATTCTTACAAATTCGCTTAATCGTTCAAACATTGGAAACATTGTTGATTTATATGAGCTTGACGAAATAAATGAATCGCTAATTTTCATTAGTACATTTGAAATGCCTTGTAGTTATCACGAATTAAAGTATGGTTTTGATGATGCAACATTTATAGGGCAGTCACACTTCTTTAAACGTATCCAAATTTTTGATATACAAGTAAGATAGATCCTGCGTATAACCAATAATATCATCCTTGTCATTGACTGCTTCTATACTTATTCCAGGATGATTTTAGACAAATAATAGTTAAAAGTATTACTCCAAGCGAACATTTACTTAAAAAATTTGATATATTTGTAAGCGAAAAATACACAATTACGAGTGGCTTTGATGGCTTAGTTTTTATAAGGGAAAACTTGAATTCACTGAAATTTTTAGACTCATTTAATGTACACCATTACCGTGAAAATGGCTCAAAAGAATCTTTTTTGATACAAAGTTACAAGATGATAGTGACTTTAGGAAGAGATGGAAGTATAGTTGCTCAAAAATTTTGGTAATAACATTTAATAAAATATTTGAATTTTTAAATAGAAAAAGATCAATTTAATTATTCTAGTGAATTAGAAGAAAGTGAAGAGAAAGCTCAGAAAAGGAAAATAGCCAATATTTTTCAGTGGAAGAGTGATCAGATCAATGAATTACCTTTTGGAATAACTTGGCTTGAAGAGAAACAATTGCGCTATGAAGAAAACGAAAAAAAATTGTATTTAGATTTGAAACACAAGTTAGAACATGAACTATGCGAGCTACGCGAAAAGGTAATAAAAATAAACAGTTTAATTTTAAATGATTTTCGGCATCTTTAATGATCAAGTCCTTGTCATTATTAGGTGAAAAATATTCTGGACTTGAACGAGTCAAAAAATGAATTTTGTCAACTGACGCTTTCAGATTTTGATATATTAAAATACAGAAGAGAAAATTTACTTAAGAAAGCTTTACAAAATGAGGTAGAAAACGAGCAAAGGGTACAAGAAATTATTAAAGCCAAAGAAAAAATCATTGATTTTATTATTCATTCATTCTGGGAGCCACTAAGAGTCCATGACAGAACTATTTTGTCCTTTAGTCACAACACGCGGATCAGTAATTTTACGATACCAAATGCTGCACCTTCCGAGCAACTCTACGACTCGACCATAGAATTATTTAATACGCCTTTTAATGATCCCGTTACAATTATAGACCACGAAAACTTCGATAGAAGTAAAGAGCAGAAGCATTTTTGCTCTGAATATAGCAACGAAGATGCATTTAGTGGAACCACAAGTTTCAAATGGATCAATAACGATATGTCCCGAGATCAATTACTAGAACCAAGTTTACCATACGTCACAAGTGATTTCGTAAACTTGTGCGAAAATAAACTTAAGGTTTAATATTTTTGATACATGCGTTTTTATTGTTCATTATTGTGATGATTAATTTTTTCACAGATGGTTTTTAATGAAAAATTCAATCATATGGTTCAGTTGAAAAGTAATGTGTTGAAAAAGAATACTGACCTATTAAAAATTCAAAATGATTGCAGAGCAGAGCTAGAAAGAGTGTTTGGTATTTTGCCGGAAAGCGACGAATTTTCGAATGTAAATTGGAAGTCTACAGAAGATTTGGATGCTGCGTGTGCTCCAACTGAAAAAGACGCAACTTATAGTTACGATAGCAATTTTTATTGTGACGAAGATGATCTAACTCTTGATGATTTGAGTAACATTAATCCATTGGATAGTGTTACGATTGAACAGGCCAAATTTCGAGAGGAAGCTCTGAAACGTATGATGGATGGTGTATTAGAAATAAGGTGAGTAACTGAAAAAATTAATGGTAAACCTTGTAATGTAATGTTAATTTTAATAGGTGGGAAGATGAAATAAAGAAAAATATTCCAAAGCCATTATGTCTGTTGCTAAAGAAGCCCTCGAAATATGATATTAAAGATTTAATAGCTATTAAAGCTTATAAAAACAAAGTTGATAAATTACAAAAAGAAAGACAGAAATATCGCTTACAATTAGAAGAAAAAATCGATTCAATCAATAGTAAGCCAACGAATCCTATCGTTTAATGCAATTTAATTCTAATCGCAATATTTTCTAGGTCAAATAAAAGCTGATATTGAAATGTTTGATAAAAAAATGGAAATGCTGGCTATGGAAAAATTGAACATTCAATCGGCGATATTTCAAGAATTTTTACTGCGATTTCAACATGTGAAACTATCATTAGGCCATCAGCAAAACGAAAAGTTAATGCGTACTTTAAACGATAATTTTGAGAGTTTAGAGAAAAAATGTAAACTTGTAGCCACTGATATTAATCACGTGGAACAAACGGTAATAGATTTAAGGATCAAGTTCGAGGGTTTGAGTAGGCGTGACAAAGCCGTGGAGACAAAATTTCGTACAGAATTTGCCGATTTGAAGCAGCCAATGGTAGAGCATTTGCTGCGCCAATATAAACGACGCCCGAATGTTGAGAAAATAATTTACACTTCGCTGACTTTTCTATTGGAAGCAAATAAATGTCTGACAAGTGGAAAAAAGTCTGTGATATTACCGCAAGAATATTTAGAATTTTTACGTTTCATGGATTCATTAGACGTGATGCCTAACAGTTTGCCGCCTCAGATTGAGGCAAGTCATTGGCAATCGCTTTGCAAATTACGTAGAAACAAAGTCGATTTGGAATTCAAGGTAACATACTTGAGAATTTTGAGCTTTGACGAATTTTAATGAAAATTATTGCTTTGCAGTTAAAAATAGCATCGCTAGAGCTAAGTGAATCTGAACATACTCTTCTTTACCTGCAGAAGCTGCATTCTGTAATACAAAGTAAAATGAGCTCCACGAGAAACAGCATAGAAGCCGCAAAATCGAAACAATTAAAGTTGTTAAGCGATAACGATGTGCAACTTGTGTTAAAAACGGCGCAAATAGAAATTGTCACCACCGGAGAGACGTCCAATTATGTAAATGCGACTTTTGTTTTTTTCAGTAAATTGATTGAGATAAATAGTGCAATTTTACGAGAGGGAAAAAGAAAAATTAGTGAAATGCGTAGTTTAGTAGCTTTGAAAAAATCAATCAAGTTTCAAAATTGGAAGAGAAAATGCACCGTAAAACGACTGAATCATTCTAAAGATCATTTTTTAGTTCTGCAAAGCACCAAAGTAATTATACCTGTATTATGGGGACATGAATTCGTACATAAATAAAAATTATTTCCATTTTAGATCCAAAAGGACATGCAAACGTATCTAGTGGAAAGATTTAAAAAATGTAAGAAACAGAAGGATATACATCAGTGCGATAAAATGCTGAAGTCTGTCGAAAAGGTTTGTTATTTGATAATCTTAAGGTATCATTAAAAAATATTTCAATGAAAAAATTTTCAGAAATTTCAAAGGATGTTGACAGAAAAACAGAAAGAAGTCACACATTTAGTAACCGAGATAAATTATTGGCAAAAAATGAATTCTGTTTTGATACATGATCTAGAGCGATCGACTGAATTAAAAGAAAACAAAGCCTTGGCTCTGAAGAAAGATAATTTTAGAAATAAAAACCAATTGTTTAAGAAAAGTTATTTATCTTTTATTATGAAGAGAAATTGCCTATCTAGAAAACTAAAAGAAAATCACGAAGAAATAACGAACTTGCAATGGCAATTAGAAATATTAAAACTGAAAACGTACCCTACCCTTCGGTTCAAAGATGTTCCATTCAGTAAATACCACGAGAGTATACGAAAATCTTTTTAAATTTGTTTATTTTTTGACTCGCATATAGTGAAAAATCATGTTGAATATTTGGTTGCTTTTAAAATGGAAAATAAATTTCTTACCGAATTCGCGAAAATATCTATTCTTTAAATTTTAATTATATTATAATTATAAATGAAAATACTAACGAATAATAGACGTGGTTTTCTCAAAATACATGAGCGTAGATTCAAAATTTTCTCAAAGTCGATATTTCATTATGTACTTGACCATTCATTGCATTGATTATAATGCTAATACTTTTTTAATAAACCTAAATCTTATTGGATCAAATCTAAAATATGGTTATTTTGTTTTCAAATAAGAAGTCCCTAAATAATGTTTGGTGAGCATCTGCGAAACAAAGTTCTCGAAAAAAAATAAGTGTAACTGTCAATGTCGTTTTTTCGATTTCACATTAAAATTATGGAAGAACTAAACGTTTTTAAGTGACAAATTGAAAGCACGAAGCAATAATCATCGTAACTGTTTCACGTAAATCACGAATAGGAGTAATTTGAATCTAGCACTTCAAATTTAATATTCAGTTGTACTTTGTAAATATAGAAGAACTCATTATTCCATCAGCTTTTTGTGTATAGCAAGTAAAAAATGAAGCAAAAACTTTTATTACTTTTGTTTGCCAGTTACAACCTTTCTTGGGCCGCTTACACCTACCAAAAGGGTATGATCTATGTATTATTACAAAATATATATATATATGTTGAATTGCTGAGAGATTAGAGTTTAAATATTGTAACTCACATTTTAGCTTATACTGTCCAAGAATATCAATACCCTGTTATGAATCAATATCAAACTCAAGGATCATATGGCTCAAATAATATGAATACCTACCAATTAACTTATAACACAGGTTCAGTTTATTCAATGCCGCCAATCACATATGTTGGTGTTCCCATGTACAAGCAATATCTGATAAGAAAAACCTACGAAACATCAGTTCCAGTGTACATCAGTAAAAGCACTGCTGATATTTCGAATCTGAATAGACAAAATACAAACCAAATATTAAAAATATTTTTCAATTTAAATGTCGGCGAAGATGTTAAGCAAAACATTCATCAACTTTTAACGTTAGATGCAAATGCAAACGGCACATATACTCAGTACATTTATCAACTGATACTTCAAATTATCAGTTTGAACGTTAACGATGACGCTAAAAGAACTATAATCAACCTCTTGAATTCGAGAATTCAAGGGCTTACGACAAATGGTGGATCTAATGCATCTGAAGAACAGTCAATTATAAATCAAATCGGTAGTTTGAATATTGATGAGAGTAATAAGCAACAGCTGGTTCAAATTTTGGTAAGTAATTTCAAAGGACCGCAAAATCAAATAAGCATTCATAGCAAAACTCAGACAGGTACTATAATTAATAAAGATAACAATGATGAGTATACTATGAATCAAAATATTGAAAAGGCCCCTGATGATATTTCAGAGAATTTTAATGCAAATGACTTAAATAAAAAAAAAATTATGGAAATATTGGTTGAAGAAAATGTCGATGAAAATACTAGAAATAAATTACTTGAAATTTTGGCAGCCGACTCAAATGCTGATGGAGCATATACTCAATACATTTTAGAATTAGTTTCTCGCATAAATAGTTGGGATATAAGTGCTGATGTTCGGAAGAGAGTACTACAACTTTTGGCTTTTAGAATTCTACAATATCAAACAAACGGAGGATATTCCGATGCTGATATAGTTTCAGTTAAAAATGAAATTGATAATTTGAATACAACCAAAAGTTGGAAAAATCGTATACTTGAATGTTTGATCATGGAATTTAAAGGATTTCAACTTCGTGCAACGAATGTTGAGACTACTCAACCTGGGTCACAAAATAATATTGCAGAAACAGAATATCCAAACGAAAAAGATGAAAATCAGCGAAAAATCAAGGAGATAATGAATGTCAAGAATGTAAATAAGAATATGCAGAACAAATTACTTGAACTTTTAGCTATTGATTCCAATGCAGATGGTGCATACACTCAGTATATTTTGCATCTGGTGTCACAAATTGTCTCTTGGGATGTAAAAGAAGACGTTCAACAGAAAGTATTAGAGTTGTTATGTTTGAGAGTATTGCAGTTTCAAGATCATGGAGAATATACTCAGAACAATGACCAATTAATTAAAAATGAAGTTTTACAGCTAAATACAACCGATCTATGGAAAAACAAAATAAATCAGTTTTTGTTAAACGATTTTAAAGGGCTTCTTCTTCAAGTAGAAAGTAGTATGGATTTTCAAGGCCAATCAACACTTCCACTTAATTTAAATGAATCTTTATATGTTGGAGAAGGATATAATCAAAAATCCAATCGTCAAATACAAAACCAAGGCACTTTAAATACACAAGAATCTCACACCAATAATGTTAATTTAGTTACATCTACTGAAACTCTTCATAATAAAAATCAAAATCCAGTTTTTACGGATAAACAAACTTCTAATGAAGAATCTCACAATCAAGGTAATACAAATATACAGGTTTCTACTCCAAATAATAATTTTGCGAACACTACTGTCATCACCACCAGTAATTCAACTCCTCGTAAGAATAATGCAAACGGACAAGTATTTAACACAAATATAAATAAAATAGGAGAATCTATCAGTACTCCTGTCCAAAAAGATTTGAAACCAATGATGGTTTCTGCACCTATTCAAGATGTATCTCAAAAGAATAAAATACCAAATAACAATTCAAATGAATATGGCGAAAATGGAAAAAAGATAGTAGACTTATTGACTAAGAAAAACGTGAATGAAGAAATGAAAAAAAAATTACTCGAACTACTAGCAGTTGATTCCAAAGGAAATGGAGCTTATACTTCATACATATTGGAATTGATTACTCAAATTGAAGGATGGAATATAAACGTCAACGTTAAGAGAAGAGTTCTTGAAATTTTAATTGATAGAATTCTGAAATATCAGGTAAATGGTGGATACTCTGACGCTGATATCCAGACAATCAAAAATGAAATTGAAAAATTGAACGAGTCCAGAAGTTGGAAAAATATTATATTCCGATATCTAATAATTGATTTCAAAGGCCAGCAACTTCAATCCACTGGTACCGATTCTTCTCAGAATAATGTACAAAAAACTGTAATTAAGTCCAAAACTTCTAATCAAAATGACGAGAATATACAAAAAATATACAATATATTGGTTTTAAAGAATGTTAACAGCGATGCTAGGAATAGTTTGTTAAAACTTTTGACAGATCACATAGAAGATACTGGATATACTCAGTACATATTGCAAGTGATAACTAAAATTATCAATTCAGAAATTACTGATGATATTCAGGGACAAGTACTTCACCTATTGGTATTGAGGATTTTACAATATGAATTAAACGGTGGATCGACTGAAGCCGACGAAAAGTTAATTAAGAGTCAAATCGAGCAACTCAAAACAACTTCTTATTGGAAAAATATTATAACTCGATACTTAATCACCGACTTTAAAGGGCACCTTTATCAGGTCAAAGGCAGCGGACCAAGTAAGAATCTTCCACAAGCGGCATCCGTTCAAGGTGTTTCACAAAAAAATCAGGATCAATTAGAGAATTACAGCCAGTATGGAGAACATGTTCAAAACGTAATGAAAATATTGATTGAAAGAAAAATTGATGAAAATACAAGAAATAGATTACTGACAATTTTAGTATCTGATACAGAGGCCGGAGGAACATATACTGACTATATTTTGAATGTTATAAATCAAATTATCAGTTGGGACGTAAGTAGTAATACACAGAAAAAAATACTTGAACTATTGATATTCAGAATTGTACAGTATCAGAAAAATGGTAAATATTCCGATGCTGACATAATATCAGTAAAAAATGAAATTGAGCAATTAAAAATATCGAGAAAGTGGAAAAATATTATACTCAACTTCTTGATTATATATTTCAAAGGAGTATATCTTGAAAGAAGGTACTATGGTACCGCCCCAGATGGGTCCAGAAAAGTGGTGCTTCAAGCACGTTATTCGGAAGAAAAAGAAGAAAATCGTCAAAAAATTATGGAAATAATGATAGTCAAAAGTGTTAATGAGGACATGCAGAAAAAATTACTCGATATTATTATTGATGATTCTACTGAAGGAGTGGCATACACTCAATATATTTTGCAACTTATGATACAAATCGTTTCCTGGGATATTAGTAATGACATTCAAACAAAAATGATTGAATTGTTAATCTTTAGAATATGTCAATTCGAAATTAATGGTGGATCTACCCAAGCCGATGAACAATCAATTAGAACTCAAATTTCACAATTGGATACAACGGAATCTTGGAAGAATAGATTTATTCAATTTTTGATATTAAACTTTAAAGGGCAGCTCCTCCATGCAAAAAGTAGTAGGTCTGATAACTCTCAATCAAATACAATTCAAACCGATAAATTAAATGTCAATGAAGGAAACGAAGGATCATGTATTGGTTCATGTTCTGGTTCAACGCAATACTTGCCTCATACAGATTGCTCAAAGTTTTGTCAATGTTCCAATGGTCAACCGATTGTTATGCCTTGCCCAGCCACTCTTCAATGGGATACAAAAATTAATAATTGCAATTATCCTTCTCAAGTACAGTGTCCCAATCAAGGTGGTCAAAACCAAATAGGGCAAGCTTCTACTCAAGATTCTGTACAAACCACTGTAACGGAAAACCAAATTTCAAATTCCGGTAGTGGAAACGAAGGATCATGTATTGGTTCATGTTCTGGCTCAACGCAATATTTGCCCCATGCAGATTGCTCAAAGTTTTGTCAATGTTCCAATGGTCAACCGATTGTTATGCCTTGCCCAGCCACTCTTCAATGGGATACAAAAATTAATAATTGCAATTATCCTTCTCAAGTACAGTGTCCCAATCAAGGTGGTCAAAACCAAATCGGACAAGCTTCTTCGCAAGATTCTGTACAAACCACTGTAACGGAAAACCATATTTCAAATTCCGGTAGTGGAAACGAAGGATCGTGTATTGGTTCATGTTCTGGCTCAACGCAATATTTGCCTCATGCAGATTGCTCAAAGTTTTGTCAGTGTTCCAATGGTCAACCGGTTGTTATGCCTTGCCCAGCAACTCTTCAGTGGGATACAAAAATAAATAATTGTAATTATCCTTCTCAAGTTCAGTGTCCACGCTGAAAAGTTAAAGGATATTTTTTAATAAAGTTGTGTTGAAGTTATCCAAATAAAAATGTAAAATTAAACAGATCGATTATTAACTGGGTTTTATTAAAATAATTCAATCTCAAAAATAGCCTTATTCACAAACCAAAAAAGTTTTGTAACCTAATGTTTTAACATTTTTAATCTATAAAAAATGCCAATTATGGTTTTCCTGATTTTATTAAATAATTTATGAGTAGTTTCGAAAGTTTTTCGAATGTACACTAGGGTTTTCGTTATTTCTCAAACTCATTCTTATGCCTTCTTGCAGAGTTTTTCGACAGTATTTACCTAAAAAGTCTTTAATACTTTATAAGTCCCAAAGTAATCGATATCTATTCCTCTAAAGGCCTTGAACATTATTTAAATAACATTGGGAAAAATATTCACTTAGCAAAATGAGTTCCCGAATTAGCCTGGAGTGACCAACACGGCTATAACTTGGAATATTTATTGTACTTTGTATTTAGAAAGTATTACTCTTCAAAAGATCCAACTAAAAATAAAATTTCACAGTCTTCAAATATGTTGAGAAGAGTGTACAAGTTAATGGAGATAATTTTTATAGTCCTTTTAAGAATTATATAAAGTCAATTACTATATTGGAAGCATAAAAAAATTAACGATAAATTCAGTAAACAGTAGTAGTTAATTGATAGATTTTTTTTATAAAATAAAGAATATGATTTTTGACTAAATAAGTTCATTAACCTCGTAGGATGACAAGTTGGTTTATGAAATTGGAACTTCTGGTCCCAACCTAATAAAAATAAGCGGGTTCTAATGTATACGAATCATCTTAGATTTGAGCTTTTCGTAGAATTCGTTGCATTTTTATATACTTTTTTTAAAAAAACCAAAATTAATTATCTCATACAAAGATCCAGTCGCTTCATAAGATATTTTTTGTACAATTTACATCAATCTCCTCAGGGAAATTTTTTCCTCAATCTTATACGCACTTTATCACTTACAAATAATTTACATATCCTCGATTAGATCCATATCCTGTATTTTTTAAAAGCTATGTGCTGCATTTCAAATGATTTTTTCTAAAAATCTCTTCATCTATTCGCATTATAAAAGAAAAAAGGGAAAGAATAGGTAACAAATCGATTACAAGGATGAGAACAGTTTGATCAATCCCAAGCTTGCGTTTCACAGAAATAAGCTTGTTGGGTTAACATTAACTCACGTACTGTACTTTTTATTGTTTTTGTGAAAAACTTTTTTAAATAATGATAACATTCAGATGTCTAAATATGAAATAGAAACAATTATATCAAGATATACGGCTATACGAACAAAATCAATGTTTATTCAAATCATTTGCCGTGTTAAAAAAATACCATTACAGAAAAAAAGGTATTTAGCATGTAATTGAATGTATTAAAAAAGATTTTTCCTCGATATTTGTAAAAAGCATATTTATGAAAAATCATCAAGTCACCTCGCGCGTAGCTCGTACGAATTGCGTAGATTTTTCTCTTCTCTCTGTCTCTTTCAGAGGCTCATTCGTAAACGAGTTAATCCTTTGGCTTCTTTCGCACGAGCAAAGAGAAAGAGAAGGAAGCAGCGGGTAGAGGGAGTCGCGATAATAGCGAAAGTATGCAAAACACGATTTTAGTCGGCGCAGAAAGCACAGCAGCGACTTAGTGCAGCCTAAGAGAAGACGATGTGTCCCTTCCCTCTCCAAGGCGAAGTTTCCGTGTAGCGGCAAAGGGAAACAGCCACGTTTCTATATATGGTCACTACAGGCTATCCTGCGTATAGAAGCCGCCCGCACGCGCACACGGATTCGTGTCCTGCGAGCGCATATACATAATATATAAATATACACAACAGCGGTCCAGCATACGTCAGCCATTGGCTTTGTGCGTGCAACGTTTTATAATTCATGCGTGCGTTTTAGTGATACATTATCATTCTAAAAAAAAACCTTGAACGAGATGACGAAGACGACGCTCGTGATGCTGTTTCGGTCACTTTTTTTGATTTTGGCATTCGTGGCGTTCACCGGGGCGAAAAATGAAAAGAAAGTCATTTGTGAGTATTATATACGTACACTTGGTCATTGCATTTGACAAGCTATACTGAAAATACGTTTCATAACAGTCACGATGTGCGTCCCGGAGATTTACTGGGACGACTGCATCCAAATGAAAGTCGACTCGTCGAAGAAGGGCATACCGATATCGTGCATATCGGGTCGCGATCGTTTCGAGTGCATCGACAAAGTTGGTAGACGCGAGGCCGACGTCGTGGCCGTCGACCCCGAGGACATGTACTTGGCCGCCAAGCACGAGCTTGCCACCAAAGCTCAGTACAACATAGTCGAGCAGGTAACGCATTTGATCGCAAATTTTTACCCTGCCTCGCGGGCACTCGATTCTTTTTTTTAATCTTTTTTAGATCAAAACGAAGGAAGAGTCGGAGGCGCCGTATAGATACGAAGCCGTGGCCGTGGTCCACAAAGATATGAAGCTGGACAACATTCGTAAGCTGAACGGCTTGAAGTCGTGCCACACGGGCATCGGTCGAAACGTCGGCTACAAGATTCCGCTGACGAAACTCTCGAGCTTGGGTGCACTGGGCGACCTCAACAATCCCGAGTACTCGGCGCGGGAGAACGAGTTGCGAGCTCTAAGCTTTTTCTTCAGCAAAGCCTGCATAGTCGGCACTTGGTCGCCCGATCCCAGCATCAATCAGAGGCTTAGTAAGTTTTCTCGCGCGAGCTCGGCTCTCGGGTACGAGGCAGGAACCGGTTTTGCTCTCGTGGCTTATTTATGTATACGTATCCGCATCTTATCTCCACCATCGAATTCGCTAACACACACACACGTAGGCTGGCACATTATTACAACTGAAATTTGAACTCTGCACACACAGAGGAGACGTACAGCAATTTATGTGCCCTGTGCGAGAAGCCCGAGACCTGCGACTATCCCGACGCCAACAGCGGCTACGAGGGAGCGCTGCGCTGCTTGACCCAGAGCGGCGGCGACATCGCCTGGACGAAGCTCATCTACGTGCGACGTTACTTCGGCATTAACTTTGGACCGGCCAGCAACGACGCGGCGACCCCGGCGCCGACCGCCGGTCCGTCCAAGGCCGATCCCGCGGACTACCGAATTCTCTGCCCGGACGGAAGCACGGTTCCCATCGACGACAAGACCAAGCCTTGCACTTGGGCTGCTCGGCCCTGGCAGGGATACATGACCAATGGCGGTGTCACCGACATGGATGCCGTGCAAAAGGTTTTTACCCGCGTCGCCTCATTCGTTTTTGGATAATATGTAACTCACTCGATCGCTGTACAGGAACTCACTCAATTGGGCAAATTCGGCGAGGAAAAGAAAGCAGGCTGGTGGAAAAACATCATGTTACTGAGTAATAAGACTGTGGCTGTCGCAACTTCGCCGGTCGATCCGGCTCAACATCTCAAAGTCGCCAAATACATGGAAGTGGTCGAGCGAAATTTCGGAGCTCCAGAGCGAACTGCCAGATGGTGCGTCTACGAAACTAAAGCGCTGGAAAAATGTCGCGCGCTTGCAAAGGCTGCCTTTTCCAGGTAAGTCGTGTGTTTAGCCTTTGTGATGAAAAATATTGGAAATGACTATCTTTGATCGCAGAGATGTGAGACCAAGATTCGATTGTATTCTTCAAAAAGATGAAGAGGCTTGTCTTAAGTCACTCCGCGACGATGGAGCTGATCTACTAGTTATGAGTGGTGAGAGGGTTGAGTACGCGATAAAAAATTATAATATCAGACCGATAGTGGCTGAGGCTTATGGTCCAGGATCGACCGAATTCAGCGAGAGACCGGCTGTGGCAGTTGTAAAACGTGGCAGTTATATCAAATCGTTGCGTGAGTATTTTGTTAACATACAGAATATCACACCAGCAAAAATTGAATAAATTTCTATTCAATGTTTATGATGCCTGAATTTTGCAGCATATTGCAAATGTAGTAAACCTGGTGTTTTTCGCAGGTCATTTGAAAGGACGAAATTCCTGCCACAGCGGCTACAAAGATGACTTTTCCGGCTGGATTGCACCTGTACGAACTATGAAAACCGTCCATTTAATAAATTCAGAGGACGATGTGTCAGAATTTTTCGACAAATCGTGCGTGCCCGGTGCGTCTCGCGACACAACATTGTGCAGTCTCTGCATTGGTAATCTTGCCTCGAAGGACGAAGCTTTAGCTGAATTCACCAGATGTAGTGCTACTGATGCCGAAGATTACAAAGGTGGACGTGGTGCTCTCAAGTAAGTATTTTTTTTTATCAAAGTATCGTTCTTGTTTACATCATCCCAAAAAAAGGGATTTTTTTGAATTTATGGTGAAAAAATAGCATTATTGTTACGCAACATCTTCTTCATTTACTAGTTACATGTGATTATTGGCGCACGTTTCGTCCGTGAAACGAGATTTTTTTTATGACGCTTAGGGTTAAAAAACCAGAGTTTCGCGCAACTTATCATACCTATATAAGTGCCAGAACTCATTTGTCAACCAACGTTTTTGACATGTGACGCGCTATGTACGTAACTGTGCCCACATATGCATTGTTCGAAAATTTTTTTTTACAATTTTCACACACTTATTGTGTTGAAATAATTTTGTTTAAATCAGTTGAATATTTAAATGGTTTAATATTTTACGGGCGAGCCTGATAGTTATTTTTTACGATTGTAAACACGTAAATCATAAAAATTAATATGTTATAAAATGCTTGATTGTGGCTAAACCAAGTTACAAAGTCACTATTCGTCTCCTACACAGCGATCGTGTTACGAGTATGAAATTTTTAGTTTTTTTCCTATTTATTGTAAGCCTTCATTTTTGTGGGGCCACTCACTCCTATCAAAATGGTATGTACAAAGTAAAAAATAAATTATATCATAATATAATAAGATACAAATCAACATTGTAACTCACATTTTAGCTTACACCATCCAAAAATATGAATACCCAGTTCTCAATCAATATCAAACTCAAGGATCGTATAGCTCAAATAATATGAATACCTACCAAACTTATAACACAGGTTCAGTTTATTCAATGCCGACAATCAAATATGTTGGTGTTCCTATGTACCAGCAATATCTGATAAGAAATACTTACAAACCATCAGTTCCAGTGTACATCAGTAAAAGCACTGCTGATATTTCGAATCTAAATAGACAAAATACAAACCAAATATTAAAAATATTTTTCAATTTAAATGTCGGCGAAGATGTTAAGCAAAACATTCATCAACTTTTAACGTTAGATGCAAATGCAAACGGCACATATACTCAGTACATTTATCAACTGATACTTCAAATTTTCAGTTTAAACATTAACGATGACGCTAAAAGAACTATAATCAACCTCTTGAATTCGAGAATTCAAGGGCTTACGACAAATGGTGGATCTAATGCAGCTGAAGAACAGTCAATTAAAAATCAAATCGGGAGTTTGAATATTGATGAGAGTAATAAGCAACAGCTGGTTCGAATTTTAGTTAGTAATTTCAAAGGACCGCAAAATGAAGCAGTTATTACAACTCGAAATGAAAGTTCAAATAAAGATATTACCGATGAACGATTAACAAACAGAAATAAAAATTATGCAGCAGTTTCAACAGATACTACGGAACATTTGAAACCGATGGTGGTTTCTGCACCTATTCAAGATGTATCTCAAAAGAATATAGTACAAAATAGCAATTTAAATGAATATAGTGAAAATGAAAAAAAGATAGTAGGCTTATTGACTAAGAAAAACGTGAATGAAGAAATGAGAAAAAAATTACTCGAACTACTAGCAGTTGACACCAAAGGAAATGGAGCTTATACTTCATACATATTGGCATTGATTACTCAAATTGAAGGATGGAATATAAACGTCGACATTCAGAGAAGAGTTCTTGAAATTTTAATTGATAGAATTCTGAAATATCAGTTAAATGGTGGATACTCTGACGCTGATATCCAGACAATCAAAAATGAAATTGAAAAACTGAACGAGTCCAGAAGTTGGAAAAATATTATAATCCGATATCTAATAATTGATTTCAAAGGCCAGCAACTTCAATCCACCGGTACCGATTCTTCTCAGAATAATGTACAAAAAACTATAATTCAGTCTAATACTTCCAATCAAAATGACGAGAATATACAAAAAATATACAATATATTGGTTTTAAAGAATGTTAACAATGATGCTAGGAATAGCTTATTGAAACTTTTGACAGATCACATAGAAGATACTGGATATACTCAGTACATATTGCAAGTGATAACTAAAATTATCAATTCAGAAATTACTGATGATATTCAGGGACAAGTACTTCACCTATTGGTATTGAGGATTTTACAATATGAATTAAACGGTGGATCGACTGAAGCCGACGAAAAGTTAATTAAGAGTCAAATCGAGCAACTCAAAACAACTTCTTATTGGAAAAATATTATAACCCGATACTTAATCACCGACTTTAAAGGGTACCTTTATCAGGTCAAAGGCAGCGGACCAAGTAAGAATCTTCCACAAGCGGCATCCGTTCCAGGTGTTTCACAAAAAAATCAGGATCAACTAGAGAATTTCAGCCAGTACGGAGAACATGTTAAAAACGTGATGAAAATATTGATCGAAAGAAAAATTGATGAAAATATAAGAAATAGATTACTTACAATTTTAGTATTTGATACAGAAGCTGGTGGAACATATACTGAATATATTTTAAATTTTATAAATCAAATTATTAGTTGGGATTTAAGCAGTGATATACAGAAAAAAATACTTGAACTATTGATATTCAGAATTGTACAGTATCAAAAAAACCGTAAATATTCCGATGCCGACATAATATCAGTAAAAAATGAAATTGAGCACTTAAAAATATCCAGAAAGTGGAAAAATATTATACTCCACTTCTTGATTATATATTTCAGAGGAGTATACCTTGAAAGAAGTTACCATGGTACCGCCCCAGGTGGATCCAGAAAAGTGGTACTTGAAGCACGTTATACGGAAGAAAAAGAAGAAAATCGTCAAAAAATTATGGAAATAATGATGGTGAAGAGTGTTAATGAGGACATGCAGAAAAAATTACTCGAAATTATTATTAATGATTCTACTGAAGGAGTTGCATACACTCAATATATTTTGCAACTTATGATACAAATCGTTTCCTGGGATATTAGTAATGACATTCAAACAAAAATGATCGAATTGTTAATCTTCAGAATATGCCAATTTGAAATAAATGGTGGATCTACCGAAACCGATGAACAATCAATTAGAACTCAAATTTCACAATTGGATACAACGGAATCTTGGAAGAATAGATTTATTCAATTTTTGGTGTTAAACTTTAAAGGGCAGCTCCTCCATACAAAAAGTAGTGGGTCTGACAAATCTCAATCAATTACAATTCAAACCGATAAATTAAATGTCAATGAAGGAAACGAAGGATCATGTATTGGTTCATGTTCTGGTTCAATGCAATACTTGCCTCATACAGATTGCTCAAAGTTTTGTCAATGTTCCAATGGTCAACCGATTGTTATGCCTTGCCCAGCTACTCTTCAGTGGGATACAAAAATAAATAATTGCAATTATCCTTCTCAAGTTCAGTGTCCCAGCCAAGGTGGTCAGAACCAAGTCGAACAAGCTTCTTCGCAAGATTCTGTACAAACCACTGTGTCCGACAGCCAAATTTCAAATTCCGGTAGTGGAAACGAAGGATCATGTATTGGTTCATGTTCTGGTTCAACGCAATACTTGCCTCATACAGATTGCTCAATGTATTGTCAATGTTCCAATGGTCAACCCATTGTGAAGTCTTGTTCAGCTACTCTTCAGTGGGATACCAAAATAAATAATTGCAATTATCCTTCTCAAGTTCAGTGCCCCAGCCAAGGTAATCAGAACCAAGAAGCTCAATTACGAGCAACTGAAATACGATCTCAAAATATAAATCAAATTAATAGCAAAGGAGCGCTAAACGCCATTTCAGAGAATGAAGTCAATAGAGGCAGCTCTCTGTACGGAGAACAAGAAATAATAATGCCTCGAACCGAAATTAAAAACCTGCAGTACAATTTATACAAGGAAAAAAAATTAGTAACAAACGGGTTTACCGATAATTTAGGAAACCTTGGTAAATCTCAGTATGGAGGCTACCAAACACGTGTACTTCAAATAGGGGGTACAAAAGTCAATTATAATGGAAACAATCGATACTCTTTTAACCAAGTTGGACAATCATATAATAAAATTAATTACTCGCATAATAGTGATAAATTTAAGCAATCGAATTTCGAAAATGATGTATTAGTTAATAACAATGTGCAGTCTGATGAACGCGAAGCAAGGAGTAAATATTTCGGTTATAATTATGGAAATGCAGGAGTTGGTTCTGACAGTTATGGATTCAAATTGAATGGTTATACAACATCTGGTTTTAGTTCAAGTTCATTATTAGATGGTTTTCGTATAGATGAAAACATAGTAGGAAATGAAATTGGTAAAATGATGAAAGTTACAAGTCTATCTGGTTTTCATCGTCCAAACAGTGTGAAGACTTCTATTAGAACAGAAATAAGACGATATACGTATTCGAATTAATAAATGATTTTTTTGTAGACTTTACATTCAATTTTATAAATATATAGTTTGAATAGTACCACAATTGTTTCTATTTATTTCTTGTAAAATTCATACAACTTTTAAAATTTATTGAACATATATTCATTCTGTCCATTTATTTACAGGTGCTTATTGGATGGCAAAGGACAAGTGGCTTTTATACCTCTAAGTGCTCTAAAACAAGGTAAATAATAAATGGTAAATGGATAGATAAAAGCCTGAGAAAATACTATGCTTGACTTTATAATTTATAGATAATACAACGAAAAATTCCGACTTCAATTTGGTTTGTCCCAATGGAGGAATAGCTAGAGTCGAAGATTGGCCACGATGCCATTTTGGTTTAGAACCACCCCGAGTTATTGTTAGTTTTGCTGGTAAATCGGCTAACTCAATCGAGGAACTCACTCACGGTATTTTAGCAGCAAGCGCTCTGTACTCGAAAAATCCTGATTATTTCCGACTCTTCGGTACTTGGGCAGGACAATCGAATATCTTGTTTAAAGTAAGTAATTAAATCTTGAAAATAATTTTTTCGATATTTTAAAATAAACAAAATCTGAAGAAAATGACAATTTATTCATGTAAGAATACATCATTTTTTAATTCATTAGAATTCATCATTTTTAATGACCGGCATTATACTAAAGAAAAAGTTTTTATCAATAGATACACATAAATATAATTTTTTACAAATTTATACTATATTATTTACCTCTAATTAATCATTGATTTTTAATATACAATTTGAATGCTTTACAGGACGAAACAAAAAATTTAATTACCGTCGACAAATCATGGAATCGATGGAAACAATGGGCAACGATCAAACGAGAATACAATTATTGATTGGGCTATGCTGTAATGTTAAACAATCACGTTTAAACTCGTCATACATCTTCCCAACGAATTTCTATCATATTTTTATCGCCTAATTCATCGAAATTCATTGCACAATAAAGTCTGATAAATAAAATAGATAAAAAGTATAGTAATAATTCCTGAATCATCACCAAAAAATGGTAAATTTACATATACAATATTTTCGTTCGCTCGATGAAGATGTCGATAAATTCGCCCTCTGCGTTCTCGTGCTCGACACGACTTTTTGTAGATCATTTTATAGAGGCGCAAAAGTCACATTTTAAACATTACATGAGAAAAATATGCCGACAGCTTCACCGTTAAAACGAAATTGATCAATTTCTATTCTATGTACAAATTATTAATTAATTAGAAAAATAAATTATAATATTCTAAGCTGTTCTCGTATAGAGACACGTCTTTAAAAGACGATTGGACGCGAGCGGTAAACTGGATCATTGACCTTCTTTAAATACATGGCCGTTATTTTCGACGTTATAAATTGCGAGATCGGTCCGTATCGTTTGGTGCTGTATTTTTTGTAAACCGCGTGATAATCGGTGTTCTCCTCCTTCGATTGGATGACTTTTTGCATAAGTTGCGTACCGACGTAATCCATCTGCTCTTCCGGCAAGCTGTAACTCAAATTCGAAAATATTTTCTATCACTACTCTGTCGCATTTCGTCGGTGACAATTCGATGATGATGCTAATTACCGATACTTGGCGAGGATAGGATTGGCCGTGTACACTCGATTCCTCCAGTAGTTCTTGGGACAATCCAAATTTGCAATATTCGGCATGGTTATGACGAGCGCCATCTCGGCGCAGATCGCTGCCAAGTGCACTGCCGACAGATTGTAAATCTTGTGATGCAGCAGCGACAGGTCGATCTGTGCAGTAGAAACGTTTCCATTGACAGTACAGATCAAATTTGAGGAAAAGAACACAATTTTTATCTCTTACCAGATAACTACCACAGTAGTATATATCCTGGACCTGGGACGAGGACTGCCGTTGAACTTCCTCGAGCATTACCGTGTACAATGCGAGAAGCGAGAAGGGCTCAGAAAACGATACCTCAAAATTCAGCGACATCAAGATTTTCCTCTCGTAGTTCGCAAGAGTCTGATTGTCATCTTGGACATCTTTACTTATCAATTTGGTTAGAGTCGAGGCCTGAAAATACGATTCAAGCAATTGTCAATCGATGCTGTACGCGCTTTTCATCAAGCTCGATATGAATGTTTTATTACGTCTGGGGTTTCATCGATCCTCGAATTTTTTTTCAAAGATATCCACAGAGCCGCCAGGGCCAATATCTGCAGCTCGTCAGTGTGTGCCGACACCGTGTCGATGTAAGCATCAAATATTTTCACTGCTTGGTATAGTACAAAGGACGGATATTTGTAGTAAGTCTGAGAAATCGGAGCAATCGTTATTTTTGAATATTGAGAAAAAACTCTGCCACTTGATTCGAACTCACCCCTGCCCTGATGAGCCATTTCACAATCAATCGCCTCTGGTCCGGAGTAATATTTTTCTTCAAAAAATTGTCGGATAATTTTTTCTTATCGTTGATCTCCATTTGAAAGCGTATGTACTCGGCCATGTAATCCATATTGTAGGCTAATTCAAGCGACAAATTGCCGCGTTTCGGGCGCTGATCTTTTTTCTCCGATACTCTTTTATGCTCTTCTTTGATCTGCAATTATAAAACATTAAGACGGGAGTGCAACAACAAAAATGCGACAATGACTTCACAGTCTTTTTAAGTCGCGAGCTTTTAACAAAGAAGTTAACGAAGAAGTCATTTTTTCAATAATGCAGGTTGAAAGTATAACGTATAAATTATTATTACTTTTTACTCTATTCTATAGTAAAACCATCTTACGATACATTGAAAAATTGCCATCGCATTCGATCAGTACTCACTTTGAAGACATTTGTTTTCGGTATATGTGGAAGATCTTGAGGTGATTTTACCGGCCTCTTATCCTCTTGCAACACTCGTAACACTAACTTATTGCACATTTGCTTGTATTCACCGATATTGGCATCAACATCATTTTGCGTATCAGCGTCGTGGACGATGCTGGGAATCGAATATTTCGTATAAGTTTTGTTATTCGATACGTCTGTATCGGACGACAGCTTTTTCTTGTCCTCTTGCAACGTCCGAGAAGGTTTTTTGTTGTGTACATGGCTGACTTCTTGCATTTTTTCGGTATTGGCTTCAGCATCGTTTGGCGTATTAGAGCCATCAGCGTAGACCGGAACCGAAGATTTGGGGTAGGTTTCAGTACTCGGTACGCCTACATCATTCGACGTCTTTTTCTCAACGAAGTAGGTCCGACGGGAGGTGGATTCATTTTCATTTTCTACGGGGATAGGCTCGAAGTTGAGTTCATTCGACGATGTAGTTCAATCGTGAGCGAACTTACCTGTTAAACCCTTGGGCCGTAGGGGCTTGTTGTCGCAGCTGACATCGGGGGCCTTCCTGGCGATAAAAGCAGCGGACTGCTTGGACGCGTCAGAGACCGTAGGGATTTTCGAGCCGCCCAGGCACTCGACGTTCTCCTTGCCAGTCATCGTCTTCTTTACCGACCCGTTGACGACGAGTGACTTGTTGTTGTTGTCCGACAGTGGATTCGTTTTCGTTGGATTTCTTACCGACGAGTTCATGTTTTAACAATCTTTTTTACTTTCGGTACCGTTGAACAATCGTTCCTCGCATGAGAACGAATTAGAAAAGCCCCGCCGACAACGAAGAAAACTCGATAAGAATCGCTCGCGTACTTTTCGCGCAACTCAATAAATACAAGAGACAAGAAAAGAAAATGATTAATCGAAAAATCGTAATTGCAAGAAGGCAGCCGCACTGCGCGAGGCTTACCGACACACTAACCCGCGTCCTTGAATGGCTACTACTTGTTTCACTGTAGCTCGCGCGCCCGCGTGTAAACAATGGCTCCTCGCGCGCGCGTGTACCTGTCTAGTTATATACTCGTATGCTGCCGCGTGTTGATACGCGTATGTGTGTGTGCGCGCGCGTCTGTGTATGTGAGTTTGTTGTTGACCACCCTGCAGTTATAGAGTGCCGATATATATTTTGATCGATATCGTAGTTGCTCGATCAAATATTTGTCGTCGATGGAAGTGAACGCTATTTACGTGTGATGCTCTCGTGATGTACACGTATATACCGTATTATATATTCCAACTTGCCTATAAATAAGCATAATATGTTTGTACCTTGCGCGCAACACTGGTTTTTTCTCGGTACTCGCATCGTTGTCGGTAATTAAAATTTCTAAATGATCAGCAAGTATCTTTATTTTCATCGCTACATACTCTCGAGAGAATATTATTTTTGTACACGGTGCATCAAAATCATATCGAATCAGTCGACTACGAGGCGATTCGATTGTCGCAGCTTTTGTGCGAGAGAAGCTTTCAGCTGGTGCGCGAATTGCGAATGATGTAATTTTTCCAACAGCATAATCATTGTCGCGAAAAACACTCCGCCAATTATCAACAGCATTAGGGGTAATATGTCAATTATTTCCACCGCCGATAAGTTTTCTCCACTCTGTAATGAGGAACAATTGTTTTGAGTTAACGGACATATCGGTAGATTAATAATACGATTTTCCGACCTTGCTGCCTTGGATGGCCAATTCAGTAGCTATGACCCTTTGCAGAACTCCGCTGTCACCCATCATCAAAATACTACCAAAAATTCAAGCATTCTTAATTCGATAATTTGCATTTTTATTTAACGAGATCTGTTGCTTACTTGCTATTTATGATCCCTCGAAATGGGCTTCGTTTTTGCACTCCCATTGCCAAAGTTGTCTGCATTATCGGCTCCAAGGGCTCCAATATGCAAGTCATCAGATGTTCGAGTATAGCGAACATGTTGTCGGTTATCATGAACGCGTAATCCTGTTCAGTGCAGACTTTGCTCAAGCCCTCCAAGTAATTGTTCGGCAGCTTTTCAACATCGTCGAGTATTTCACTGAACATCCTTTGCAATACTTTGTCCGAAGTTGTCTAAATAATGGTTAAAGCAGTCAACTGTTATTGTCGTTAAGAATTAAAAAGAAATAATAAGCGCGAACTTGAAAGAATCCATAATCGGCCGAATCCTTGACTACGCCGAATTTGTAGGAGCCATCCTCCAGAAGACCGACCATCGTTGTGAAGGGCATGACAAAAACCTTGACGGCCAAAAAGCTTATCAGAGCCGCCGAGTAGGCCGCGACCAGGATGACACCGGTAAAGTGAATAACCAGATGGATTATTCTTATGGGATCGATGTCGACCTCGACGCTTCCCTGCGAGCAGACGTCGCCGAAAATGTGGAAGAATGTGTCAAGGAAGTGCACGTCGAGCTCTTCGCTGCTGAACTGGAAACGCGACGGAGACGTTTTGAACGATATCAATATGAAGCCGCTCGACAGCAGCATGATGATTAAAATGCATAACCAAATTCCCCCGTAGAAGGGATCCGAGTACGCGGTCCATTTGACTGCGGCGTACTGCGGTCTTTTGATAAAAGTACGACATCTGCAATCAACGATGATAACACATTAACTTTATGAATATTGCAAGTTCGAGAAAGAAAACGAATGTTATCGACTTAGTTGAGAAAACAGGAGTTGTGAATGCTATGGAGTCAAGTCTGTCGGAGCTCATTAACAATTCGGCCGCTACCAAGTCGGTTTCCTTACGGACGAGCATTCCAATGGCCCCGCTCCACGAGCCATCGGGGTGCTTCGAGCCCCAATCTTCGCTCTTCGAATAGACGATTCTGCAAAAGTTCATGTCATACTGGGTATAGAAGTTTTTGGTGCATAACGTCAGGCCACAAGCAGCTGCTGCGATGTGTTTTTTTGCGCGTGAATTCTCACGTTAACCTCGAACGTACGAATAATGTCCAGGCCAATTTTGCATCATGTTACGTAAAATTTTGAATAAAAATTCTCTGAGCAATGCTATAAATTTCGAACGTCAGCTGCAGTGTTTTTATTGCGAGCGGAGGAGACGAAAGGGCGACGGCACGAAAACCGACATATTCGAGGAAAGGGCTGCGGCCTCGCAAGAGGAATATTTTCGTAAAAGAACTGCTCGGCAGTTGGATATTTTGCGGGAAAAACTGCGCAAGATGAACGAAGAAGTAAAGACCACGATTGAAGGAGTCGGCTCCGAAAAAGATAAGGAAAAGGACAAGTAACACTCTTGAAAGCGCGCAAATAAAATTGACCGTCTTACGTGCAATTAAGATTTTCCTCGAGTATTTGAATAATCGTGCCAAAGAAACCTTTGATGCCGGTCATCATTCCATCGGAATTTTCTATCGCTACGGAAACCGGTGGATCCTGGAACAGGTAACGATTCATAAGCATTAATTAAACGCCGAGAGCGAGCCCAACATCGATCGGCACTGACTTCCACCGTTGTAACTCGTATCAATTGTCCTTGCAGATTACTTCTTCGTTGATAGAGCGCGAGTCTCGTTATCTCCAGTCCGCTCTCTTCCTCCCATGTACCGAAAACATTGGTAATCAATTCCCGACCCTTGTCGATGCTGTAAACCTCCGTCAGCACGTAAGTCTTGCTGTCCTCGAACTTCTGGACGACCAAAAATATGCAGTCCAAGGGCACATAAATGTTGGAAAAGAAATCGCGTATGCTCGTGTTGCTGCGGAAAAATATAACCCAATTTATGTAAGCCATGTCGATCCACGGAGCGATGAGCTGAGAAAATAAAAAAAAAAACTCAAATGCCCCGATCGCAGCTTTGATTTTTATTGAGTTGAGAATCAAGTATCTAGGTACCGTGGAATATTGTTCTCGCAGCTCGTCCGAGTCGTTGATGAGAATAAACAACGGACGCTTCAATGAGTAGTAACTTTCTCCAATCTAACATGCTCAAAAATTAATGAATCTCCTTCCGGAAAAGTTTCCTCGAGCGTAAGCTTACCTGCTGTCTGAAAGTTTTTATAGCGTAAGCCGTGGTGCGCACGTGAAGTCGACCCATGTAAATCGGCAGAGAAACGAGATCTTGACTCTCGTGAAGTCCTTCAAATTTTAACGATGATTTTTTATCGATACGGGCGGTTACTACGAGATACGAGAAAAAAACTTCATACCAAGATTATTCATGGGATTTTCTACGGTGTACATGAAAATGAGGCAAGTGTTGTTGAATACATTGTGAACGGCTTCGGCGACGAGCTGATAAATTTTCGCTTCGTGTACTAACTGAGCTTTTACAGATGTCAGTGCCAAGAAAAAGCACAAAAAGTAATTCGTTTTCCAGTATTTAAACATTATTAAAAGGAAAATTGAAAAAAAAATTTAATTGAAGAAGATGAAAGTAAAAAATTTTAACAAAAAAATAAGCTTGCATGGCCATAGACGCGACTGATTTCCCAAGACAGAATGTCAGGGTGGATCGATTTTTTGTGCCAACATTAGTCTTGTTTGAATTGAAATTATGTTAAGTACTTTAATAATAGCTTTTGATATACCATCAAATACTAATGAAAAATAAAAGAAGGTTCGGGATTTAGCTAAATAAAAATTTCATCGAGTTGCATGAAAACGAAATTTCCTTTTACGTAGATGACGCATAAATTCGCGCAAGGTAATTGTGATAACTGAAATACTCAATAGTTGAAAATAATTAAAAAATGCAAAAGTGATAAACGGAATAAGTTAGTATTCAGTGTAAGAATAATACTCGAAAGAGTCATACAGTTTACAAGTATAGTCAAAATCCATGTGTGTTTGAAAATAAAAAACAAAAATGACAGTTTACACGAAATCTTTGATTTTACTAACAGTTTTTTCATGCTTCGCGTGGTCAATGACAATGGCTCAGGAATCACCGATAAATGGTACAATAATTTTTTTCTTAAAAATGTTTAGCCTTCTCTTATTTCATTGTTTTTTTTTAGTTTTAAAAAGTATGAATTCATCGAATGCTAAAGAGGCAGTGCAAAACGCCATGTCAAAGTTCGATACACAGGGAATGAATATTTCCGACGTGATCGTGGAAATTCGTAAATACGTCATTCCTTTCTTCAAAATTTCTCTTTTCCTTCTCGACAATTTGTTGAGAAACACGCAAAATATGTCTTTACCTTGCATTATTACATCATGGATACCACTGCAGGCCATGTGTACGTCGTTGAAGAGACATTGACTAATTATACGAAACATGTAAAGAAATACTTTCATAGTGTACAAGGATTATTTACCATAAAATATACTTTAAATAAAGAGTTTTTATCTTGAAAACATGGCATAAGATTTTAGTTGAATTTAATTTCCTGCCAAATCTTTTATACTTCACATCATCCTTCCAATTATTTTTCTCCATCACTTGATGCATATAATGTATAATTTTAATTAGTGCAGCGCATCGCCAATTTACATAAGTAATTGAACATACGAAGCTCGTATACCGATAAGGTTACTCGTCCGTTTTACCTCATCATATCACCAAAATAATGGTTACTTTTTCTTAGCCGCAGTCTAGCCTTTGGCATCATTCGTGAGCTCAAAAATAATGATGCTCACGAGTAGCGTTGTTTTGCTGTTCTCTCTAAGTGTCACGGGCTGTTTTAATATCGCCGAGGCAAAAAATGACTCTGGTAACTATATAATTTGAAATATTGAAAAAATGAATGGTAGAGTAATTATTATGTGGTCTAACTCTAGATCTTCAGGCAAAACCAGTCATTCCTCTCAACATGGTGCCTCTTTTGTTGCCGAATTTCGGCTGGAGTGGGTTTCCAATTAAAATTTTGCAGTTTTTAAAACAGATTTTGAAAAATATCATCGAGCAAGCCGTCGAAAAACTAACGCCCGTCGTATATTGGCTAACTGAAAAGTTGATAGATCAACTAGCCTACCTCGCGAGTAGCGAGGACAAGAGAGTGGCCAAGAGATACGAGTGGTCTTTTCACGACGCAACTCAAAGTGGCGAGGGCCGAAGGAGCTACCCCGTTCGCTTTGCGAGCATCCTGTCGGCTGCATTTATGATGCCGTTCAAAGCGGCTTTCGGAGCTGTGCGCTTGCTGCCCGTCGATGCAATTGCCAAAGGGACTTTGAAGGCTTTTAAACCCCTTGGACACATTGCCAAATGGCCTTTAATTGAGAAAGCTATAAACAAGACGATAATTGCCAAGGATGCAGTCATTCTTGTAGTTTGGGAATTCGCAAAGGTGAATGTTTTTCCGAGACTCGACAACGTGGCGAACGGACTGAAAGAATCGAATAATCTACCTACTGTTGTACTCAATTACCTGAACGAAGTGCAGTCTTTTTATCACATTTGCAAAGTATTTGGTTTAGCGTGATTTCGAAAGTTTTCAAATCGATAAAAATGAATTGCTTCGTATTAAAACAAAAGTTAATTTTACCCTGCAATAAAATAATATAATTTGGATTTTCAAATAGCACATCTGTTAATTTTTTTCTTCTTAAAGATTTTGTTAATCATTGATACATTTGCACAGATTATAATAATTTAAAACCTATATACTTACAAATTAGATATTTTTCATAAAAGTAAAATCTCAGATAATGTATACTAGAGATACTTGATGATTCTAGATCATACAGGAATGAAAGTAATAAAAATGAAAACTCAATAATCCATGTACTCGTGATTATTATAAATTCAAAAGCGTTTTTTTTTTATTATTAAAATACTTTCATCATAAATGGAACAAATGAGAAACAATTTTTTGATGTTAAAAATGAGATGGAATTGTTGTCTATGTATACATTCGTAAATCATACACCTTTGTTAAATACGTCAAACTGGTCAATAATATTATCGATAGTTTTGAATGTTGGGTCAATCAGGAGTTAGTTTGATATGTAAATATCTCTATTATGCAGATGTAACGTGCGCATAACTAATGATTCGTGATTCTAATGATACACGCGACAAATACAAACGCAATAAATAAAATAATGTCTTTATTCAACAATTACAGTCTCGGTAATTACGTTTCACCATCACATCGTTAGATTATTACATCATATTTTTTTTGTCCTTCGTCTTTTTCTCCTCCTGTGAAGTCTGATTTTTACTTCATGCCCGTCAACGGTTTACTCGGTCCGCTTAAGATCTGATTGATCATTGGCAGAAAAGTAACTCTGAACGAGCTCAGTACGAGCATTTTGGCGAATTCAGGCAAAATCGAGGACGGTATGGCATCCAAAGCGCTTCGAAGCATACCGTCGAGACCTCCTTTTTTCGAGGCACCTCGGCAGCGCAGGCCGTGATTCAAACTCAGCTCGCACGGTAACGAGCCGTTAAGAATTTTTTTCAGCATGCCGTCGGTCAAGTCATCGAGAGACATGAGAGTCTCCGCGATATTGTCCAACGACGAACGAAATAATGCCCCGACGAAAGGTAATGTTGTCACTGTGCTTAATAGATTACCCAAGTGCTGTGGATCCAACATTAGTCCTGTATCGGAGTTTTTGCCGCGGCTCACTGCAATGGGTATTGTTAATGCACGTTCTTTGAAATTATGAAGTCATTGAAAATTCACTTACGATCATTGGCTTGAACTTGCAACATCGACACGAATAATGAAACGCCTATGATAAAACCCGCAGAAAATATCTTCATAGTGAAGTTTCTCTATATTCAAATTTAATGTAAAAACTTTGATTGCAGCGATGGAACAAAATTTGGTTCACAAATATATAAACTTTGAAAAAAAATTTAAAGTCGGGCAAAAAACATTTTCATTCTAAACATTTACGTTACTTTCAAGTTGAAAACGATAACTAATTCGGATTGGCCTCTCGACGATTCGGCTTATCGTCTGCCTTGTTAAAATTTTTATCATAATTTCTTCTAATTACATCGTTTTTACCATGACCAATTTCCTTATGTTTTTGTAATGCTTCTAACGTCATCTTTGAAATGAAAATAGGTAATTTTTTTGTATTTTGACTCATCATGAAAACATTCAATGAAAATTTTGAATGAATACTGTTTCTAATGAAGAAAAGATAAAATTTAATATTGAGTTGTGAATAAAAAGAAAGCATACCATACCGTACGGACATGTTTAGCATAAAATAAATTATTCTTTTTAAAGTCCTGTAAAAACCCTATTTAAAAAACATCAAAAAATGAACTTTTAGTTGAATTCCCGTTAGTTTATTCAGTTGTTTACAAATTTCGTGCGTGTTTTTTTATGAATTAGTTTTAGTAGCAGTAAGCGTACAGATGGTTGTTTATTCGGATATCGAACTCGCTGGCGACCAAAAAAAGGCTTGTTGCGTAACGTGAGCTTGAATTCAATTTCAGATATATACGTGACAGGGCCGTGAATTAACGTGACCCGAAGTTTTCTGGGTACAAAAATATTCGATCTTTCGAATACACATTGTTACCATTGGTCAGAACTCATTTTATTATTATGCAGTGACCAAAAGCTTACGGAAATAATGCATAGAAGCAAAGCGAGGTTAATGGCACTAAGCTAATATTTTGCCATCAGATACGTATGTATAAAAAACGGAAAACGAATCATACTTTAGATCGAATTCGAGCGATATAACGACAATTAAGTCCTGAATATATACGTTCATTCGTGCATTACGCGCTTTCCAATTTTTACATTTTTACGCATAGAAATTCCAGATAATTTTCTTTGTCTCATTTTGGAGTTGATTCAAAATTAATTGGACTTAATAAATCAAACACAAAGACATCGTAATTATAAAAGATATCCGTATCTGTTAAATTGATACCTATAAATGAAGCCTACATATTATTGGAATTTAAAGAGAAAAAAAAACATTTGAAATAATTTACATAACAGTCATTTCCGCAGCAGAGAGAAAGAAAAGAGCGGAAAAAGCGCTCTCGTGAGCCACCGAAATCAGAGCAAAAGCACGCGCACGAAAACTAAATGTTGCGGGAGAGAAAAAGAGAGAGAAAAAAAGAGGCGTCGAGTGTTTTCAGGCCATTTTCACCTCGTTCCATCACACTAGGTGCATTTTTCCATCGACGAAGGAAAAAAGAGAGGAAAGATACGCACGCGTAAAATAAAGCAATTTATCGAGAGTTGCGCAAATTCACATGTCCCACGCTCCTGATGCTCGACGTAATATGACGAGTGTGCAGAATCAAATGAACAAGAGAGAACAACGTTTGATTCCAATGGTCCTGAGCATCAAGTTTAGAGGCTCGTCCGGAAATCGCGAGATCATACGGTAACCGAATTCTCTTATTTATTTATTTATTTATTCGTTTATTTAATTCGGACTTTTACATGATTTAGTTTCAAAACCTTGGTTGATCTACTCCTCGTGATGGGCACGAGTGCATACATCAGATTTATTAGATCGATCGTTCGAAAATTGATTTTGACAACATTGCGTAAGTGCACTCAAGGATGAACGATACCGACAAGCGCGCGTATATACATGTTTATGCCTACACATAGTTTGCTTTCCCACTTAAACAGTTTATAACATATTTCAGAAGAATAAATATAAGCAAAAAATAGGACAATTAATAATTTATGAAAAATTCGTAATATTTGAAGAAAACAACCAATAATTAGCAGCCGCAAGAAGTAACAAGTATCGATATCTCGAGTCGAGTCTGAGACATACAAACTACAAAACAATTGAACAACGAACTAAACTTTTCTCATCGTTATAATCCCGAAAGGTGAGCGAGAGAAAGAGAGAGAAGTTCACGTAGTAGTAGTCATGCTATGGCGGCGGCCGTGATGGGACGAGCCACACATCTCCATACACAGGCAGTGAATTATATTCACGCTATATACGTACGCCGAGAGATCTTATCATTCTTCTGTTTTTTCTTTTTTATAGTTTATTGTGTGCGTGTAAAACATAATGTCAAGGCATATCGCGCGGAAAATGCACACGTCTGCCGAGCGAGCGTCACGCACTCGTCTATCCATCCAACAACTGGACAAAAGCTAGGCATTTCGCTGAAAAGGCCGACCTTGAGTCCCGCAGACCTAAATCCCTTTATTAGAAAGTACTCGGTACTGACCCATTGTCTAGCCATGGAACCGTGCTCGATTTCATCCTCGTTTCTATATTTGTTATAAAACGCTAATTTTTTCCATGACCACTTTGTCGAATTATTCCCATCGGTAATTGAATTATTCAGTATAACGCTTGATTGCTGGATTATATTTCTAGCCGATTATTTTGCATTGTATCGAATCAACTCTTTCAAGTACATGTTTTCTAACGGCATTCGACAAGTCACCGAGTTGCATTGCATCACGAAACAAAAGCCAAATTTACAATCAATACGCGCATCTTATCAAACATGTCGCGCACTTGTTCCAATAGCGAACTATTCTGAAATAGGTCGAACTATATCCATATTAGCGTACCTACACAGAACATGAAATATGTGTCCGTGACAGTGTCGCAATACGCAGGTTGTTTTTTATTCTCCAGTCGGCCCGCATCATACGGCTACAAAATAAAAGCTTCAATGTCGATATCAACCTCGGATTCCACCTATTATACTCCATGAATGGGAAGCCTCTCTCACATCGGGGCAACTTAATAAACGCGTCGCGTGTTTTTTCGTTAAATGTTCGCTTTCATTGCGCGCGCGCGCTGACATCATTATCCTGCGCGCTTTGATATTAGGCGAAATTTTACATCTGAATAGCCGTGCGCAGTGTGCATTACGACACGCGGCTATTTTCGATACACACACATGAAATTGCGTCGTCGTCGTCGTTGTCGTTGTTCAGAGTATAAATAATTACTACACGTGTAAACGAGCCCGATAATTATATTGCCTCTAAACATGCCCTTTATATTGTCGCGTTGCGGCAGAACTGCATTGTCGTAATGCCGCACGGCGTTATATGGCACAGTGGCGGCAGGCGCTCCATTGCATGCATCAACGCATTACCGACTTGTCAAACTCGCATTCGTTTATTGCTTATGCTTTCTTTATCACCGCATCGAGAGAAGAGCTGTGGGGCTATTATCGTATACGCGCCTCTCTCGAGAGCCGCTGCAAAAAGAAATCTCTGCGGCAGTAACCGATTACTGTTAACATGAACGAGAGACGCGCGGAGAGTTACCATCGAGTCGAAATTGACGCGATGCTATGTACGTATCGTACATACTGTCCTGCGTGCGTATCGCGCGAAGGCGTTACAAAATAAAAATCTCGATACCCGCATCCAGCGCGTTTAGTACCTCGTGCGCAGTATTACGCAAAAAAAAAATAATAATAATAAAAACGGAAAGAAAAACAGAAAAAAGCGCAGCGTCCCGATGCATATTACGTTATCGGATGTACGTGTTTGCACGTGCGTATAAGTATTGGTACGCGCGTTTGTATGTATATTTCTATACAGTCGTGCGCAATGGATGGATCTGTGTCACGCATGAATCGTTTCGAGCACGCGCCTTTGTAGTTTGCGTTATCACCCGAAGGCGATGATGATGCCACGCGACGCGAATATGAGCTAACTTTTTGTTCGTTTCGATGTTTGAACGATTTTTTGTTCGTCGAAAGTTGCAACGATCGCTGCTCTCTGATTTGAATTTGGTCGAGTGAAGATCCTCGCGCCTCAATGCGTTAAATATAGCATACGCAAGACGCTAAAGACGTGCGGGATCGTCGACTCCTTGTCCCGAGGAATCCCCCATAGGGTCACGCGTGCCCTTAGCCGTAGTTCCGTAAAAATTCACGCTCGCTCCTCTGCTCTAGGCGGCTATATAGAGTAAACTAAATCGCTATAAACGAGGGCCATTATCACGAGGCAGAGATCGGTGGTAGCACACATCATTACCTGGCTCGCACAGGCCTGCGGTGGGAAGGGGACGGAAGCGCCGCGTAGCTCCGGCCTACACCATGTGTCAGATTGCCTTTTGACAATGCACCTGTGCAGTGCATCGGCCACTTTTGCTTTTGCTCGTCTACTACTACTACTGCCTATATCTATATACTATATATAAGTGTAATATATACGAGCGCGAATGGATGAACTACAGTGTGTCAGTCAGTCGTTGCGCTGACGCGCGTAAGTGCACACACACATACACAGTCTCACACGTAATAATATCCAAGCGGGTCATTACCTGAACCGCACTTTTAGTTTCGCGGCGAATCAACTAGTGTCTCGTTGTTTTTTCCGCGTTCGAGTATTAATAAATCTCGTTGGTATGCCATAATTCACAAGTGATATCTTCGTAATCGTCGTATTATCCAACGTGGTGAAGATTATCTCACTAAATTCAGTGTGCTCTATCGTAGTGTCAACTCAACTGGCTCACATTCGTAAACGCGTGTGATGCAGCAATAGCCTGCCAAGTTTGGAATATTTTCCTCATTGTTTTTTTTTTTCGTAAGCGCGTACAACACCGATTTTTCTTAGGAAGCTGAGTTCATTACGTAACTGATTACACGCCGCAATCGAGTCGGAAAAAGAAGTCGAGGAATGACACGCCAAGTGGAATTCGTCGATTTATCAGCCGAGGGTCGTTAAGGAGAGATCGCCCGATGAGACAGGAAAATTGAGCGCCCCCGCGCCGCAGAGGATGAGTTGCCGAGCGATTTTCGCGCTAACCGCGGCAATTTTGTTCGCTTGCATCGCAGGTGATGATTTTTTTTCACTCTTCTTGGCACTATTATTATTGTTCTTGCTTCGTGTCATGAACGTGCGAGCAAGTATATATTGTATTTTTTCAGATGTTGAGAGTCGTGATAATGCGAATATTTATTTGTAAAACCTTTAAAGTCATAAAAGCGGCGAGAAAAACAAAGTAGCTGATACACGTATGACATTATACATAACGTGTTCGGTGGCGGATTTCTCTTCTTTTTTTTTTTTTTTTAGCTTCAATGTCACGATTTCATATTTTCAAGAACAAAAATGGAAAATAAATGTATGCAAACACCTTTTCAGGACAAACGCCGAGATGCAAGAGCACCGCCTGGGAAAAGATACGAGGCATGAGGCCGGACTTTTTCAGGTCCTTGAAGCTCCTTCATACCGGCGTCGATTCGCATGGCCTGACGAGCACGTGCTTCGAAAAGTGAGTCGCTGTGTGCCTCGTATATTAGCTTATACATTGAGCTCGAAAGATCGCGTGCGATATGTAAACGATCGAGAAAAAAAACTCCAAAACGTGTAAATTAAATTGCCATTCGCTTTTTTACCATGAAATCTCGTTATTGTATTTGTCTTTTATGTATTTCGCTGAGGTTAGATGATAAATCATGTCTCGCGAACAAAAAAATCATCAATGCATACGCGAAACGTCATAATGAGAAACTATATGCGACAACGTGTCAATAAGCGAGGCTATGTAGCGCAATTATTCAGGTATATAATATGTGACAACCTTAAGGCACGCGAGCTATCCACATAGATATACAAACGCGCTGCTGCAAATATTATTTCTTCTTCTTCTTCTTTTCTTCTTATTCTTGCAGATGTAAAAATATTAGCTGCGAGGCTTTTATAATCGATCTCGAAGGTAGCTCCTGCATGGCCCTCTTACCCGACGGAGACGAGCTAGTTAACGAACCGAACGTCACATTTTTCCATGAAATATGCCTCGAAGGTATATATGGGACATTTTTTTAAATCAATCGAGAATTTATAATAAATGCAAGAACGAATGACATGTTATAGTTCCTCCGAATTGTTTAAAAACGCGATTATGGCACGTGGAGAGATATCTAGGATCCGAATTATTGGATTCATCGGCTCAGCTGCAATCCGACGTTATCAGTAGAACCGAATGTTACGAGAGATGCTTTGAAAAAGGTAATTTTTAAATGTGTTGAGCACATAGCTAATAATTTCAAAGTATCGATATAGCTTGAGAATTACTTTCTTTATTGTCCATCATTTTTGTTGTATGTAAAGGTAAGAAATGCAAGTCAGCTCAGTTTCGCGCCAGCGAGCCCGTGAAAATCGAAGACAGTTACGGAAGCTGTACGTTGTTGACGATCGATCGAGGAACAAAGCCCCAAGCCTACAGAACTTCCATGTACAGGGATGAATATTTGGAAAACCAGTGCCATGATTTAGGTGAGCCATTATATTATAAGCTGTATATGCAATATATCGTTTGTTAAGAGGGTTCTAGCACATACAACGTGAGTCCAATTAAAACTACTAATAGAGATACGCAGCTACATATCCACCAATTTTTTACCAAAACGTCGTTTTTTTCTGTTGCCGTAAACAGTTTTTTTTTCGACATGAACAGATACATAAAAAACGCCACTTTCTTTGCAAGTTTGGACAATGAGATATACTGCTTTCCAAGCAGCTATTCAACGATCCAAGTTAATTTTCCGAGCTTTGCAGTCAAATTACCCAAAATTTGAAAGGGAAGCGTGCATTTTAATCTATTGAAAAAGTCTAATCCAGATTTTGGACCCAAAGTGCTAGAACACCCATGTCGTCGAAATAATAATTTATTCAATTTTTTTAGCGAGAACAGACTACTGTTCGTATGCGGAGTATCGCAATGTCTCGATGCCTTACTCAGATTTTGCTGTGACAGGCTTGAGCCCCAAGCAGGTAAACACATCTTTGTAACAAATTTTATCTCAATATGTGCTATTTGAACTTGCAACTTTTAAATCAAGCATAATTCGGAATACTTTTATACCGGCATTTCCGTTGATATTTCCTCATATAATTTTTAATGCAAGCTAAAATGAACAGCTGACTTTTATAAGATTGTAGTATTTTTGCCTGTATTTTAGAAAAATCTGATTGAAACACTACAAACATGTATTCATACATTCGATGAACGCGTATATGAAAGAAAAATAAAACTTGAATAAAATGTAAACATGATATTATGAATCAAAATATTTCGTCGAATATTTAATGCCGATACTCATTAACGAGGACACGCGTATTAATTGGAAACCTTTACCCTCTATACATACACGCTTCGCACGCGCAAGCTCGAAATACCATTCAACTATGCATATTCCATTTGTTGTGCAATGGACCTGAATTGTGGATCAATAATTGGATGCTCTCTGACTGCAACGCGCGGGTGTTACAGTGCGAAAAAAGATGCGACGCCAGCAGCGACGGTTTCATCTGCCGAGCTTATACCATCGAGTTCGCAGCCGAGAGTACAAATTTACCGACCTGCTACCTGCACTCGGAGGATACCATTGGTGCCGGGGTCAGCGTGCTCACCCACACAGCTCGCGCTTTTTATAAAGAACGCGAGCCCTGCATCGATGGTATGATTGTATTTTACTTTGCACACGGCTCTTGATTCGAGGAAAAAGTCGACTCTTTGCCTTTGCCTTGTAGTTACCGTTGAATGCACCAACTCGTCGCTGACGGTCGAATTGAAAACGGCCGAACCCTTCGCAGGCCGAATGTACGCGAGCGGCTACAGCGACACGTGCGGGGTCACGGGCCAGAGCGAAAAATTGACGCGGTTGGTTTTACCGATGCCCGATACGAGGGACACGGAAAAGAAGGAGGCCAGCTGCGGTCTCTTGCCGGTCATGTCGATGAATCAAGAAAATCGGTAAGCTCGAGGAAAAATCGATTTCATGCGTCGTGCAGTAGTTTTCAAAATTATGTTTGCAGCACCTCGTCCGTCATCTGGTCAACGGTAATCATTCAGTTTAATCCAATAATTCAACGATTGGGAGATCAAGCCATCAGAGTTGGATGCTCTTTGGACAAGGCTGCGTTACCCACGCCACGCAATATCACCGTTAATTCTGGCTTCACTTTTGTTAATTCCAAGTAATAATTGTTCAGTACCTACATGAAAACATTTGGAGCTCAATTCGTGATCAAGTTAAGATTTGAGGTAGATTTTCAAACCATAGCGATCGCAAACTTATATTCACTGAGGGGCTTTTAATTGTTCACGCCATGAAGATACAATTTATTTGCGTATAAAGGGTCACCAATTGAATCCAAATTTTTTCCCATCTATGTATTTTATTACATGCCAATCACATAAAAATGTATCATGACGTAAAAAATTACTAACAAAACGTGTAATAACAGTGCAGGATTGCCATCAATCGTTTCTACTATCAGAAACAAATCGTCGGATGCTCCACTGGTTACTATGAGCATCCTGGATCTATCGCACAACCGAGCCAATGTTACTCACCTCGGCCAGAAATTACTTCTCAAAATTCAGATAAAACCTAACGACGGTACTGAAACGTGCTTTGAAACCTGGCCATGATTACTCAGCTACAGCTCATTTAATGAATATCGATTTTCAGGACCCTTCGACATAATGGCAGGTCATCTGATAGCGAGCACCAATACCGGTGACTCTTCGCTTCTGCTGTTGGACGAGCTCGGATGTCCAGTGACGAACGTATTTCCAGCACTGACCAGAGACCCGTCCAACAATCGAACGCTCCTGGCCGAATTTAGCGCTTTCAAGTTCCCTAACAGCCAACACGTTAAATTTAACGGCGTTGTAACGTTTTGCATCGACACTTGCGAGCCGGTAAGTAAATGCGTCAGCGACAAAATTTGACACGTTGATTTTAAATGGTTTATTAACGTGCCTACAGGCACTGTGCAAAGGTAACGTGAGCTCTTTTGGTCGCAAAAAGCGTTCGATCGAAGAGCAGTCAGCCAACGTCACCCAAATAGCAAAAGAAAAATCTACGTCAGTCGATAAGCTTGCGCTCGAAGCCTCCGTGATAGTTAAGGGATCGGAAAACGAAGAAGTGTACCCGAATCCACTGCGCTCCAAGGACGACACCATCCTTTTACACGACAAATTTTGCATGGACCCGAGCTTGGCGCTCTTTTTGCTGATATTCCTCTTGATCATTCAGATAATACTTCTTGCCGCTTGTTTACTATCGGTCAGAGCCTACCGATCTATGGCCATCAGGGCCGAGGAGGACCGAGCCGATATTCTAGCCCGTCATTTGTACGGGGTGCACGGCGGAAATTTCGAGATTGGAAGAAGAGTGCGCTGGGCTGATAATCCAAGTTCGACACTCAGTTGAATTGGGATAATTTTTAATTAATAACTGTGAATAGAAAATAAATGTATACATTTTGACTCCTCGAACCAACTTAAAAACGCTCGGTTTTGATGTAATTTAAATTGGGGCGTTAGTGCTTTAAGCTCCTTCGATCGAACCGAGTTACTGTTTGTTTATAATATATCAGTCCTAGTTTACAGACTGACCTAACATTACAAAAGCGTTCATTCGGTCTGATTTAATTAAGATATTTTTTATTTACAATTGACCAGACATATTTTAAGATGTCGTCAAACTGCCATTCATTGTGAATGTAAAATTGTATAAATAAACTTAAACTGAAATTACCAGTTATTACACGTGTTTGTTGATCAAACTGGGCTTCTTAAGATTAAGATATCACTCCGCAACATTGAAAATATTATTTTTTATACTTGTATACTACAGCTAGTCATCAGGCTCACCCGATGACTCTTATGAACTCAACTATCCAATCCACTGTATTATTTGATAATTTAAAAATAAGTCATCGTGTTTAGATTTCAAAAGTGGATAGACCAATTATAAAATTGATAAATGATCAGATTGACCTATGGTCACGGGGGAATTATATTCTAAATCATGAAACTAATTCTACTTTTGCCTTGAATTGTAAAAATTAATTATTAAGTCATTTGCTAACTGAGTAAGCAAAAAAATTCGATTTTTTGATCGAGTCTCATGAGAGCCTCCCCTTAATATTAGAAAAGTTTCATTATTTTCATTCTTATTATTAAAAATTCTAATTTTTATATGTAGATAACATTTTATAGTATAAGTTTTTTTTGCAATAAATTATTAATTGGGCATATTTTTTCTTTATAACTCCAACTTTGTCGTACTAGCTTCGTAGTAATTCACCACTTGTATTAATATTGATTTTTGTAACAAATGTGTATTGTACATTATGGATTTTCACAATATTTCAAAATTCAACTTACGTCTATGTGATTCTATTACGAAAATATGTACACAAATACAGTACACAATAATACGTACTTGTGAATATTTTATAGGTGTTTTTATAGGGATAGAACTTATACATCCAACCTCTTCTTATTGACAAATTTTTGTGATATTATATTCAATAATATATTCATTTGAAGAAAATTTCTCATAAATTTATTTGTTTTATTAAAATTTTGTTTCAAATTTTAGTAGATCAATTTTTCACCCTCGCAAGTGGACTTACACTTTTGTAAAATATTTTATTATGTATAATAATGCCGTGAGCTGTTATTTTTTAAATATTTTATTTTCGATGACTATATTCATTGATTAAAAAAATATGTTTCACGAGTCTATATACTAGCATATGGGTCAGATTCAGAATTTTTCAAATAAACCTGCGGGCGAGATTCACGGATTTTCCTTAAATTTTGGTATGTTATAGTACATGATAAAAAAGTGCCAAAACCAAAATTTTGGACCCCTTCCCCCCTCCTACCCCCCTCCTCCCCTATAGACGTCCATTTTCTATCTATATTTTTTCTGAAGGCCTGAAGCTATTAAAAAATCTTAAAAAATTCATGAAGGTACTTTTCAACAATCCAAACAATTTTGAGTTTTTTCAGATTTTTCGAGTGCTTCAGGCCTTCAGAAAAAATCATTAAAAATTTAAATTATTTTATTTTCGGTGAAATGGTTCGATGTACCAGACCGGAGTATTTTTTTCTGAATTCTGACGTCAAAAAACGTTTCCTTGAATTTTTTCAGAATTTTTCATTCATGTCCATTCAGCCTAGAGCTGAAAAACCGCTTTTTTTCACGAAAATAATTTTTTTAAGGCGCTACGGAGACTCAAAAAATCTGGAAAAATTTTTTTCTCATTTTGTTCATCAAAATACATAATCTCAAATTTTTTCAGATTTTTTAATTGAAGGCGATAGCGCCTGGAACCGAAAAACGTTATTTTTAACAAAAAAGGTTCCTGGAACCCGATGGTTCCGGTAAAAAAATTTGAAAAAAATTTTTTTGAATTCCTTGTCAAATTTTAATAAATTTTGACCGTCGCAAAATTTCGATTGGAGCTTCCTAGCTTATTCTAGAGCATAACAAAGATTAATGCGAAATTCTGAAGACATTCATCACATTTAAATTTTTTTCAGATGTCTTCAGAATTTCGCATTAATCTTTGTTATGCTCTAGAATGAGCTAGGAAGCTCCAATCGAAATTTTGCGACGGTCAAAATTTATTAAAATTTGACAAGGAATTCAAAAAAATTTTTTTCAAATTTTTTTACCGGAACCATCGGGTTCCAGGAACCTTTTTTGTTAAAAATAACGTTTTTCGGCTCCAGACGCTATCGCCTTCAATTAAAAAATCTGAAAAAATTTGAGATTATGTATTTTGATGAACAAAATGAGAAAAAAATTTTTCCAGATTTTTTGAGGCTCCGTAGCGCCTTAAAAAAATTATTTTCGTGAAAAAAAGCGGTTTTTCAGCTCTAGGCTGAATGGACATGAATGAAAAATTCTGAAAAAATTCAAGGAATCGTTTTTTGACGTCAGAATTCAGAAAAAAATACTCCGGTCTGGTACATCGAACCATTTCACCGAAAATAAAATAATTTAAATTTTCAATGATTTTTTCTGAAGGCCTGAAGCACTCGAAAAATCTGAAAAAATTCAAGATTGTTTGGATTGTTGAAAAGTACCTTCATGAATTTTTTCAGATTTTTTAATAGCTTCAGGCCTTCAGAAAAAATATAGATAGAAAATGGACGTCTATAGGGGAGGAGGGGGGTAGGAGGGGGGAGGGGGTCCAAAATTTTGGTTTTGGCACTTTTTTATCATGTACTATAACATACCAAAATTTCAGGAAAATCCGTGAACCTCGCCCGCAGGTTTATTTGAAAAATTCTGAATCTGACCCATATATATTTATACGCTTGCAATGGATCAGAATCAGATACTTTCACATATTTTAGTTACGCTGCCCTTTCGATTGTTACAAAAATGAATAATAAAATGTATACATTCAAAAACAACAAACTTTTTCTGATTTACTTAAGGACAAATAAAAAAACTAAAAAAATAAAACTGAAATATTTGTATAACCAATTGTTCTGGCATATATTTTTTTTAAATTATCTTTTATGTGGCCCTTCTGGAGGGGTATGAAAAAAAAGGTATTCCAGCATTAAGGATAATACTTAATTTAATATCTTACGTATCAGCGGTAAAATTAAGCTCTGATTATTTTTACATTGTTTAATTACGTATTAGCTATATTAAAAAGGACCATTTTTACAGATAATGTGTATTTTTCTGGAATTGGAAAAAGAAAGTGGATTTAAATATAATAGCTGAATGTTTTTTTCAAAAAATATTTTTAACATACCTCTTGCAAATTATGTACATTGCTATAATAAACGAAGATAATCGTTTATATGTAAGAACATTTTATAAGATAACTTTCTTATATACCCATAGAGTTTGAAATAGACAGATTTTCACCATTACCATACCATAAAAGTTGTAAACTTGTTTTAAGAGATTTAAAAAAACTTAATATATTATTAGAGGCATTTTTAGAAACATTTGTTTCGTTGTTTTCTACGGGTCTATTTTAAAAAATATCCTTTATGCAACAGTATGACGAAAAATGTCTTTTTTCGCACATTTTTTAGTGCGCAAAAAGCGTTTTTGGACACTTGTGTGCGGTAAAATGCATCATTTTGGACACGGGTGTGCGGTAAAACGCCTCATTTAAATGAGCGTATTTTTCGTCTCCTATTGCATAAAATTTTGTATGCAACACGTGCCCAGCTTTTTGCGCACAGTGTGCGCAAAAAACACCCACTGGTGCCGGCATAGCCGGCACTCGTGTCTTTTTCCGCACACTCGTGCCCAAAAACGCCTTTTGGGCACTTGTTACATAAATAACTATTTCGTCATACTATTGCATAAAATACTTTCATTTAAATGCTTAATGCTGAATGCATTAAAAACTTAATGCATTCATGCACAATCTATATCACGTTGCAATACTTATGAATAATTTAGTTGAGTCTACAAGTTTACACTTATAACTTTTTTCTATTCGCAAGTATGAGTTTATTCTTATATACTTTTTGTGTATCCCGAAATTACTTGTTGATAGATCGAGTAAAATAAAATTTGAACATTAACGTAACAATAAGATTAAAAAAAAATTTAAAATGTCTATTGAGGAAACAAATAATGTCCTACTTAAGACATTTTTCAAAGATTTCCATTGGCATGTATTATCCCTTAAAATAACATTCATCTGGCCATACTGGAATGGTATAAAAAAATATGGTGTCCCGATAATACAAATATTTCTCAATATTTTAGCTCTTATATCAGCAGTAAAATAATCTCTAATTATTTAAACTATGACGTTTGAAAAAAATTAATATTCAGTATTAAAATGATTACAAAATTTTATTACAGGTAACTAATATCATTCTTGAAGTACAATGTGAAAATGCGGATTTGACCAAGATAGCTCAGTGCAGTTTTCAAATAACATTTATCATATATCTTCTAGTTATAATTTATGTCGTTTTGATAAACCAAAAAAACATTATACTTGTAACAACACTTATTAATTTTATTATCTATCAGCAACTCTACTTAAACCCACAAATTAATCATAATTATACTTTAGCTACGAAACGATGTACAAGAATACTCAATTGATTGGATATACTCTTCTTCACAAGAGAAAGTTTTTTTAAAAAGATATTTAAATACGGGTAATCAAATCAGTCTAATAATTATAGGTAAATCTAAGTTATAAGAAATAATTTAAAATTTGTATAATTAATTTAAACATTTTTCAAGGACTGTGCAATATCTTCATGTTTTTATATATTCTGCTGCCTGTTATAATTCCAACACTGGCAAATATCATATTAAGGAACCAAAAATATGAAAAAAAATTGTTTTTTCACTTCTTACTTGCAATTGACGAAAAAAAAAACTTTATTTACGTATTCATTTATACATATTTTCTCGCCTGTTTTGATCTATTATTTTTCTCTGTGGTAGTTTACTATCATATCATGACTATTTATTATAATATTGGAAAATTGGAGTATTTGAGGTCTTAAATTATTATTTAATATTGTATTTTATAATTTATTAAACTATATTTTTCATTTGTAGTTTCCAGTTACATCAATTGTTTATCTCGCAAAGCGTTCAAGAGCTTCTAAATGTTCGTAATCACGATTCAGTTTATCAACGTATTTGCCTTATGGTCCAACGACATCAATTCTGTCTAAAGTAAAGTACACCAACGTTACATAAATAAAAATATAATAAACGACAAAGTTTAATTTTTAAAAAGTTTTTATCTGAAAGATATAATTGATTGATTCATTTTGAATATAAAGACAGTTAAAGGCATTTTATAAAAAATATATTAAACGCCAAAAAACGTAAAAGAGGAAACATAAAACGTTTCATCGAAATTTTAACATGCAAACAATATCAAAACGGCGAATGGAAACGTCTGCATCTCAGGAAAAACTTAGCAATTTTGAAAATCTAAAAAAGGCATCATAAAAGAAGAAGAATCCTTTATTTTATTTTAAGACCCCTATATAGTCCAGTGAAAACTTACATGAAATTGCATTTTTTGGGGATAGATGAAACCTAGTCTACTTTATGTTTTTGGGTGCGCTGAATTCATTGCCGATGTTATTTTTTACCTAAAACATCAGCGTCAGGGTGAAAATCGAGGGTGAAAGAGTTTTTCGCTGATATTTCGCGAACGAAGCAAGGTACAGAAAAAATAATTGCACCAATCGATTCCTCGTGAAATTTTACATCGAAATACACTTTGAACTTTTCAAGTGTCAGTGCAAAATTGTTCACAATATTGAAAAATTAGTTTACAGCGGTCGGCGGTAGTGGGGGCCAGCGGCGCCGCGCTAGTATATCTATATATCGCCGTTGCTTACGAGTAAAAACACACATCATCGAAGCGCCGTGAAAAAAACACACCTCTTTGGATACCATGAAAAAAAACACACCTCTTTGGAACGCTGCGAAAAAAAACACACCTCATCGGAGCGCTGCGAAAAAAAACACACCTCTTCGGAGCGCTGCGAAAAAAAACACACCTCATAGAATGCCATGAAAAAAAACACAGCACATTGGATGCCGCGAAAAAAACACAGCTCATTAGATGCCGCGAAAAAAAACACAGCTCACTGGATGCCGCGAAAAAAAAACACACCGAATCGAATTTTGTTGCGTTTTTATTCTGCTGTGTTTTTTTTCGCGGCATCCAATGAGATGTGTTTTTTTTCACGGTATCCAATGTGCTGTGTTTTTTTTCATGGCATTCAATGAGGTGTGTTTTTTTTCGTGGCGCTCCGATGAGGTGTGTTTTTTTTCACAGCATTCAATGAGCTGTGTTTTTTTTCGGGGCATTTTATCAGTATGTTTTTTTTCGTAGCGTTTTTCACTGTGTTTTTACTCGTAAGCAACGGCGATATGTCGCTTCCCCTTCGCTGCCGGCCCCCACTACCGCCGACCGCTGTAAACTAATTTTTCAATATTGTGAACAATTTTGCACTGACACTTGAAAAGTTCAAAGTGTATTTCGATGTAAAATTTCACGAGGAATCGATTGGTGCAATTAGTTTTTCTGTACCTTGCTTCGTTCGCGAGATATCAGCGAAAAACTCTTTCACCCTCGATTTTCACCCTGACGCTGATGTTTTAGGTAAAAAATAACATCGGCAATGAATTCAGCGCACCCAAAAACATAAAGTAGACTAGGTTTCATCTTTCCCCAAAAAAATGCAATTTCATGTAAGTTTTCACTGGACTATATACCCCTTAATATAAATCCTTATTAGAATTGAATAATATTTAAATTGTTTTAATTTTAGCATAACAAATAGTATTCAAGCAATGGCCAATCCAATTTATTTAAGTGTTATGTTTAGTTTAATGGTGTGCAGTAGTGTTGCAGGTTGCATGGTAAACTTAATACGTAAGATATACTATAATACATATAAAAAGTGAAAATTATATATTTTCAAACAGATGGTCATCCACTTCAATAATGATACAAATTTTGCAATCATGATGGCATTTGTTTACGTTATGACTTTTGAATTTACATTTGGAGTATGCATTTTATCCCAAAAATTGTATGATTGCAACTACAATATTTTTATTTCGTGGTAGGAGTCATCATAAGGATATTCACTGTATAAACAAGTACTTTTTTCTAAAATCGTATTTTTGTGCATTCTTGTAGTTATGATTGTGGCTGGTACAGACTTGCCCCGAAAATGAGGAAAAATTTACAACTTATGATGTCTATATCTATGGAACCTTCTGGTATAAAGTGTGGACCATCTCTTCCATTCAATTTCGAAACTTATGGAAATGTAAATTTGATTAAGAAAGCATTAAGGATTTCAAATGCTTTCTGAAATACTATTTTCGAATTGTTACAGATCGTGCGTTTATCTGCATCGTATCTAACTGCATTAATATCAATTCTTACACTGGAATAAAATAAGGCAAATGAAATTTTACTAATTAAAGGAACAGGAATAACGTATTATAACCAGACGATACACTATTTAGTATACTGTTTATGTGCAATACTCGTTCAAGTCATTGACGAATAAAAATATACCGTTTTGCCAACTTAAATTCTATACAAAATGACCCCACTCTTCTCTATATGCACGAATTCTATTAATATAATATTTGAATGTGTTAGGAGTGGAAAAAATTCTTGATCTCATTGTATTTTGTTATTTTCATTACTTGGTAAAGTGCAAATACAGAATAAGTACATAATATTATCAAATAGTTTTCATATTGATTTGGTATAAATAAAATTATCAATAATATACAAAATATTTTGGAAGGATTTTCTATAATTTTAGAAATTAAATGTTTATTAAGAGTGATCATAGTACAAACTTCTATGCTATATTAATTATTTGTTCCGTCAGTAAAACTCTCTCGAAGAGAAAAAAAGGGAAGGGATAAAATAACAACATTTTTATTTCCTGAAAGAAAATCTCATCCCAGGTAAAAATAGTATATCAGATCTGATATAAGTTCTGGTGAATGCCCATCAGATCTTATGATAGATCTTATATCAGAATTTCCATACGATAATCGACATCAGAACTTACATCAGATCTGATTCTTAAAGTTATCCAAAAATTCTGAAAAAAATTCACACTTATTCTTAAAATGATTACAAACACTTTTTGTTCTATAAAAATTTTTCGTCAAGCTTACGGTTGTCGAGTAAAAAATTGATGAAGTTTGATAAAGCTGCATATGGTCCAAATCCGCCAATTTAAAAGCAAAGGGGCTGGATGAAAATCCTGATTATGTTTTTCTCGAAGGTTTATAGCAAAATTGCACGACTATTGGGATTTCCAGAGCCCTCCGATAGCAGGAAGAGGTCGAAAATCGACTTTTAAAAAAGTTTTCGAGTCGAAAAATCACGTTTTTTTATTTTCATTTGCATAATAAACAATGATTTTGTTAATATTTTGCAAAAGTAGTAGTAGATTCTGAAAGAGCACACCCAAAAACCCCCGTGTATGAATTTTCGAGAAAAAACATTAACTTTATCTATGGTTTTCAAGCCATCAAACATTTATGTGCAAAATTGCAATTTTAGGTGTTAAGGGGACACATACACCTTAAACTCAAAAAAAAATTTATTGCATTTTTGAATAGGATTTTTCTGTCCCTTTCCATTGCATTTTTCGAAATTCCAAAATTTTGATTTTGCACTGAGATGCATTACAAATCATTTTGTAGCTTGCGAAGAGCCAAAAACATGGAAAATGAGGAAAAAACCATGTTTTTTGGGCCTTCGAAAGCTACAAAATCATCTGTAATCGAAACTCACAAGGAGACCACCCCAGCTCCGGGTCATGGATTTGCGCCAAAATTTTTTTGGGGTCTCCTAGTACCCACTACTGAAGCACCCTGTGCTTATTTTGATCTCATGGGCCTTAGGGCCCATTTTTTGAGGATTTTTCATATTATGAAAAAATCTTTGTTATTTTCTATATCGATACAGAAGTACTTGAACGAAAAAATGCAACGATAAAAAGTTTTGAAATTCTTCAAAGAATCTGCTTGAATTTTTTCAGAATTTTTGGGACCATCTATCACTTTATTCAAGAGGCCAAAATTTGACCCTTTTTTTTATAGATTTTAGGACTTCTTAAAGAGAGTGATAGATGGTCCCAAAAATTCTGAAAAAATTCAAGCAGATTCTTTGAAAAATTTTAAAAATTTTAATCATTGCATTTTTTCGTTTAAGTACTTTTATAGCGATATAAAAAATAAGAAAGATTTTTTAATAATGTGGAAAATCTTCAAAAAATTGGGACCTAAGGCCCATGAGATCAAACTAAGCACAGGAAGTTTCAGTATTGGGTACCAGGAGACCCCAAAAAAATTTTGGAGCAAATCCATGAGCCGGAGCTGGGGTGGTCTCCTTGTCAGTTACAAAACTTTATCAGAAGTTTTAATTTGGTGTATCGATAAACATATTGCAATATGGGCCAATTTGAGACATACGAACATATTTATTTTTTGACTTTGATGGTCTTTTACACTATTTTTTCAATTTTAAGGGGTTTCGAGGTTATGAATGTCTCATCTGGGTACAGATTTGAATTCTACATCAAATTTTACATGAAAAAACATGGTTTAAAATTTTTTTCATATGCACCTCAGAAAAGCAGAGTAACAAGCAGAATATCCTCAAAACATAAAAATCCAATTTTGAGCCCCTGTAGATCCATGAGGGTTGGACCTAGGGAGCTATGGGGTTCAGAATTTTCGTTTTTCATTGTGTTCTTGAAGATTAAGTGGTTAGTTTAACTTCATTTTTCGGGCCTGCAACACCTGTTGTGGAATAGCCAATGTATATAAACCAAATTCAGTCATCTCAGTACTCCCCAGTACATTTTTGATGATGTTATAAGGCTTTCTGCTGCATTAGAGTGAGTTCACTTTTTTCACGAAAATCACTTGCATAGAATTTTCATCTCTCTAATTATAGGTAAACAAATGTAATAAACCGCAATGAAAAGTAAAAAAGTGTAGAAAAACGTATCATATGTCCGAAATCGTTAGTGATCTTACATTTTTTTAGACTTTTTTACTTTTTATTACAATTCACAACATTATTATGCACTTTATTTAAAAAAAAATTTCCGCAGGGGTATGTTTCAAGGATTGTAGGACTTCTGCGTCATTTCGTATGTCATGCTTCCTGTTCTAATCCCAGTACTAATAAATATGGTATTAGGGAAAAATTTGTACAAAAAAACATTGGTGCTTCAACATTTTAGGAAGAAAAACAACACTTCATTTACGTAATTAATAAATACTATTTATTTATGTATTATTTCTCACAATCGTTAACCTATTGTTTTTTACTGTGGCAGTTTATTTTCATAGTATGAGTATTTATTATAATATTGGAAAATAGAAATACATCAGGTATAAAATTATTTATCAAATCGATTTTTACGATTTTTGATTGATTTATTTAAACATTAGATTCAGGTTTGGAAAAATGTTCAGTTCTAAAGAAATAGAAAACTTTGTGAAAAATCATCAACTTAATTCTGTTAATAAATGCATGGCTAACATTATTCAGCGGCATCAATATTGCCTTGAGTATATTTTACATTATCACATTAAAAATGTATTTTTTATTATGGGGTAATTATCAAAAGAATTTTTTTACTTGTTTTACAGCATAACAAAATCTATTCAGATCTCTGACAATACTATGTATTTGATGGGGGTGGCATGTTTAATATTTTGCCGTACTGTGGCCGGTGGCATGGTAAACATATCAGTACTATTGATTTTACAAAAGAAAAAGTTTTTTACATATCAGTAATATTAATTTTGAAAATGAAAAATTTAACATTAATACAGATGATCATTCATTTCAAAAGTAACAAAAATTTCGCTTTAATGATGTTATTTATTTACTTGATGATCATGGAATTTACAGTCGAAGTTTGCGTCTTGGCTCAAAAATTATATAATTGTAACTTAAGTATCTATTACTTATGGTACGAAGTAAAACAAGACCAATTTAAGAATTTAGAAACCATTTTTACAGTTAACAATTATGTTTTTTTACGTAATTGTATAGTTACAATTGTGAGTGGTATCGATTTTCACCAAGGACACGGAAAATGTTACAGTTTATAATGTTAAAATCGATGCAACCATTAGGAATAAGAATAGGACCATCTACTCCATTCAATTTTGAAACTTATTTCAGTGTAAGTGCGATGGGCATCATCAATTTTGTCGGATTTACTTTTATCTATTTTGAAAATGTATTTTTAATTCTTGTAGATGGTACGATTGTCTGCGTCTTATCTTACCGCATTAATATCGATGCTAGATTCATGATCTAGTTCGCGTATTATGGTAATTTTTAAGTAAGCAAATTTGTTTAATTAGTTGTCTCGTGAATAAAAAAAGTAGGAAAAATTCAGACTCCTGGCAATACTATAATATTTAATCAATAATCCTGATCAATGTAGTCATTTTTAACAATGGTTCGATGAGTAGTTGATTTCGTGATGATAGTTAAATGAATGCACGTACATATAGTCACACATTCGATTTAGTTTACGAAAGTATTACTATAATTTTTCGAAGAATTTTCATTGAATGAATTAATTTTGATCTCAGCACAGATTTTCCTTCAGAAAAAGCAATCTCGAATTCCTATCCCTATATATTTTTGTATTTTTAACTTTCTCATGCTAGAGAAGTATTTTATTTAAAATTACCCTCCATTTTCAATATTTTGCTTATTTCGCGGTTTAATATATCATAAGTAAATAATTTATAAAAATCAAAAAATATTGATACTATCTGTTCATCCTCGAGCACTTCCATTTACATCACATGGCCCAAATCGTACCACTGTAACTTCTGCAATTAAAAACCATTTATATTATTTTCTAATTGAATAAATAATTTTACGTTATCAAAGGTCTATTCAGAGGTTAAATTCGTGTAAGAATTATTTATAGATATTTTTAGGCTTAGTTGGAATTTTATGTACGAATTTTACCCTGAATAACGAAATCCTTACGATATTTACGTTTTCCGCAAGTATTTGCACAGCCCAATCTTCCTGGATTTGAATAAACAACACCATCGGAGCCGCATACCGGATTATATTCAGAAGTAGCCTGCATATATTAAAAACACATTTAAATTTTTTTTCTCTTTACCTTTCTGTTTTGATGTATATTTTTATATTAAAAAATAAAACACGGGCCTCAAGAAGGATACATTTTGTCGATATTGGGTAGATACAAAATGTAAAAATATTTTAAAAATGTCAATAATATAAATAGCTTATTCTGCTGTTTTATAAATAATTTTGATTATCAATAAGATTCGTTCAAGGAACTTCTTTTATTTTAATCACTACATTGGTACATTTTAAAAATTAACAATTTTTTTTTATGTATTTTAGTCATTTGGTAACATTTTTAATCACTCTCAGTATTGTTTATTATAAAATGCTGCAACCAATGAGTATTTTGCTATTAAATTATTATCACAATCATCAATATACGAAACATAAATTTCATACATTCATGAATTGAATGATGACTCATTTTTTCTTATAATTTTATGAATACTGTTATTGGTAACAGTAATGTAGGTAAAAAATCATAAAATATACACAGCTGTACTGAAATACTACTTGTATCGGTAACGTCTTTAATTCGTAGTTGGGCATTGTCCACGTTTCACTTGAGTGATCGCTGAAAAAAAAACAAAGTAAAAATCAAATTTTATCGAATTAAATCAATTATCAAAAATAAATAAAGATAGATTACTTTTTCCACAGGCGTTAGCGCAGTTGAACTTCCCTGGGTTACTGTAAACTACGTTGTCCGATCCACAAATTGGATTATATTCGGACGTGGTCTAAATGAATAATACAAAAAAAAAAAAAATAAAGTATTATTTTGAGCCAAATGATAATGTTCACGTGAACATTTTTTTAACAGCAGATAAGCAGTTTGTAAACGTCGTTACGTTCATTTGCGTTGCGTAAATTCATGTGTACACTTTTTTAGGATCATTATTGAAAGGCTAGAGTAAAAAGCTACCTGACAGCTATTGAAACATCTAGTGTAAGCGGGGCTATCCGTTGTACTTTGACCCGCACCAGAGGTCACAGGGGCCTGAGTTGTTGTCGGGGTCGTATTCGTACTCCAGTAATCGTTATTAGTGGTAGGTGGTTGCCACGATCCTCCGTTGTTGCCTCCGTTTCCTGGCTGCTGCCACGATCCTCCATTATTGCCTCCGTTTCCGGGCTGCTGCCATGATCCTCCGTTGTTGACTCCGTTACCTGGTTGTAGCCAGAAGTCACCATTAGTTAACCAGTCATTGCCTGGTCGTTGCCACAAGTCACCATTGTTTGGCCTATTGAAGCCTGGTTGTTGCCACACACCTCCATTATTTCCTCCGCCGATACCCGGATCTTGCCATCCTGGATTATGGGGATTTAATGGGAATTTATCCGGTCTGTCGGCTACTCCCGGAAAGACGAAGCCATCTTGGTTCGAGTACAGGTCTGTTTGCTTTATAATAAGGAAAAAAAAACCATTAACTCGTTTTGCATGCTTTAGGTAAATAAACGAACACTTACCGGTCTTGCTAGGCAGACACTGGCGACACCTGAAACATAAAAAAAAAAAAAAATGATTTACCAAGGTACTTGTAAATTACTTTTTAGCTACTCTGAAATCGTCTTGCACAATTTATCACGCGTAATTTGTTCACTTTTTTAACCATATTGCTACTTGATCTCTATGCACGCCAAAAATACATTTCTCCGCATTTACTACTGATTATCATTTATTACAGAAAAACAATTAATAATTAACACAAATAAGGTGTGGACTTTTTTAAAAGTAATTCACTCACTTATAAATATAAAGCAAATTACAGAGCTTCTCATTTTTCTTGAATATTCCGAAGACTTGAAATTGCTCGAAATACGCAATGAAACTGATCCGGTAACTCTGTGGAGATTGGCGATTTGCAAAGAGAGCGGAAAGCAACTGAGAGGAAACTGAAGAAGCGCATGGCTTTTATAGTTTTCTGTCCTTGTCTCTTTACGTAAAAACCTACAACTGCTTTCGATTATATTAATTAAAATATCAATCAAGAGAAGCGCTTTAATGAAAAAATAAAAAAAGAGTGGCAACGAAAAATGTTTAATAATTGTTTAATGATGGAATTAGGTAATATTTATCAATGAAATAAAAACTGGTTTTAATTTCGTTTATCAAACGCCTCATCACTTTTTATGATGTCGAAATATTTATCAGAGCTTATTATTATTATTAGTTGTTTGAATTTTGAACTTGCTGCTGCTCTGTTTCAAAAATTAAAATTAAAAACGAAACTTGTCGAGTTTTTATTTATTTATATAGACTACGCATTCGATCCCCGATGACTAAGTGTGGGAATTCCTGAAATAAATTTGTTACCTATGAAGTTGTGCATACAAACTGTGTATACCACGTCTTTTGAACGTAAACTCATGACAAAATTTGTCCTTTAAAAATTGTTTTTATATCATGTCATACTCATTAATATGATCCGCAAGCCTATGTAGAATACTTCCTTCAGATTTCACCTATAAATGTCTGCAATCGAATGCATAATACTCATGTATCACAAGTCGATGCTGTTGGCGAATGCGATCATCTGAATTGGTAATTATAATGACTCCCACCAAGATCGGCGCTTGCCTTCTTGAATCATATTTCGAGAGCTAATATTCTGGAGACCAGCGAGTCTTGTTTATTTGAGTTCTTCCAGTTGTTACACGTTAATGTAGTGAAAAGTTTTCGTTAAAGTGAACATTGAGAATCGATTTCTTTTGTAACCATGTCAAAACTGATTGTGAGTTTAGTAGTGATTGCAGGTGAGTGAATATTTGAAGTACATTTTTTTATTATTATTACTTTGATGACGAGCGAAAAAATGAATTTTTTATGATCCAGCACTGACGTTAGCTGTGTCTGCTTCGCGTGAAGACGTCGAGGATCCGAAAAAAGTTTTGCCCGAAGGATGCATGTGCCGAGGAACGAATCAATACGATCCGGTTTGCGGTAACAACGGTGTAACATATCCGAATCTGGCCACACTTAGATGTGCCAACGATTGCGTTAAATACAGTGAGTATAATCGATGTACCGGCCGTGCGATTGAATTAAAAGTAAAAAAAAAATTAAATCTTTCTTTCCGTCATTTTCCAAGCAGGTATTCATCACATGCATCATGGCCCTTGCAAGACGTAAAAATTCGATGGAAGAATCCACCATGAATTACGGAATTGGCGCACTTGTGTCGAGTCGAATGATCAATTTATCGAATCCTAACAACTACTAACGTCAGTGCTGGCACGGTTAAAAATGTATAAATATATTGATAAAATATGCAAAATATAATAAATCATATTGAAAAATACTCGATATTGTCTCATTTGTTTCGTACAAGTTGATGAAGTTTGATAAAAAATTTAAACTAATCGAAGAGAAACTTGGTTCAAACGCACCATTATTCTGTTGCAGCGACCGTTCAAAAATACTCGAGTAGAGTGCATGAATAAAACATTTAGTCTCAATGCGATCTATTTCTTCTGTAAACATGAGAAGCAGTGGTTAACCTTGGCCTTCGAGGTCTGCTTCGAGCCGAGCAAAGTTTACTGGCTTATTATAAGTAAAATGCAGATTATATTGACGCTCAATGCAGCGTGTTAATCCCGATTATTTTCGAGAATTTCTGGAGGAAGACCCTTGTGTAGGGCTGTCTTATTGCTTTAGATTTATTATTAATCGAATTAAATGATACCTGATAAAAAGCCTTCTTCAAAAATAAAAACGTTTCGGAGTTTTCTCGTTTGCTTAGATACTAGCTGCATCGATTGATATGGACATCACGAGCGAAAAGTTAAATAAGAACCGCAAGGAACACCTTCAAGTATACAAGTCTAATTAATTGAAAAAACAACCCAATGCTCGTAGTCTAATCAATGACAAAACTGAACTGGGAATTATGCGGTATCTTATTGTACAAAAGTAACCAGATTGCGTAATTTTACGTTAGATCGCACAAATTTCAAGTTGCTTCTTTAAAGCCATCAAATTACTGTTACTCGATGGTGTTTGAATTAAAATCACTGAATATTCGAGAAGAGGCAGTTCGATTTGACGAATAGCACTTACATTTTTGATAATCAAATAACAACTGCTTCATGTATCGAGTGAATACTACTCGACAAACGTATAACCGCGATCCGTTATTGAGTGCCAGTTACTCGATGACAGAGGGAAATTCACTCCGCGATGAAGGTAACTTTCATTCACAAGTTCGCGCAATAACGCCATCAGTGATGACACAAGATTACTGCCACTCGAAAATTTTTTCATTGTAGAATAGTTGCTGATGACCTGTTGAAGATGTTCAAGTTTCTACTTTTTATGGTTGTCATTTTGCACGGACGAAAAAATTGAATTTTTTATTTCTAACGTTCAGTGCATCGAAGATAAGCCAAACCCTATCACCAAGGATATTGAGTAGCACAAAATTAAATTTTCTTTCAGAAGAAAAACAAATAATGAAAATGGCTCATTTTTAGCTGTATTCGTTATCAATAGACTTTTAATTTCGAAATTTTCACTAGATTTTAAAATATATTTAAGTATACTGAAACATGCCGAATTGAAAATATGTTGAAAAAATAATCAATGAATCGTTTTAAATTTTTTTAAAAATAAAAGCAATTTTGAAAAAGTGTCTCCCTTTGCGTATAAAAACTTCGTAATAATGTAGCTGCAACTCGTTTATTATCTTTTATTTTATTTCAACTGGACAACATGTTATTCCGGTTTTTTGCAGTTTATCCTCTTAGTCTACAAGTTAGATTTACTGTTTATTTATGTGTAGGACTATGCGTTCCATACAAGAATTTCAATCCTATATTGAAGTTCTCATTTTTTACACACGTTACATTTTATCGTTAAATATTTTTACTACTCCATGTTTAGTAATTTAATAATTCGGTGAAATCGAATGTTTCCCTAATATTTGCGGTTTAAGTGAAAAATTTCGAGATATTTATTTTGTTTCAAAGATCAGAAAATTAACATAAACTCTTATGAAACTGTCTACAAGAAAGACAGTTATTAAAATTATCCGAGTTTTTCAAAAAGATTTTTGAAATGTAGTAAATCACTCCCCATGCCTAAAACGTACCACTTGCAATATAGCGATTAAAATTTTTGTTATTTAGGACCCACAAAACATAAGGTACACATATGGGTAGTCGGACAGTGGACTTGAAGTTGATACACGGGCGCGAGCAACTGTATTATTAGAATTGTTTTTTCTGTCATCGTTATTGTTAATACAAACCAAAATACAAAATTCAAATAAATTTTTGATACATAGGGCATCGTGGGCTGCGATGTAGAAAATGTAAAAATCGTGGTGGTATAACGGTAAATAACGTGTATTTTTTACCTTGATCACATTGTTTCTTCGCGGGAGGTTTATATGAATTTAAATAAAGTCGAAGGATACACGAGACGATTCTGTATTTTTTACGTATACTCTTATTGGGGAATTTATAAGTCATTCCAGTTTTGATAATATGCAGGCGATTGTAAACCTATGTTATGATAAGTGAAAATCGACCTGAGAATTTGAGAGGACACATTTTATAAATATCTGCGTTATCTAATTTTCCGGATCGTAACCTTTCAATTTAAAACAGTTTGATTTATATCATGCACCCCTAAAAATTTATTTATAGATAACAGATTGTTTCGAACGTGAGATTAAAAAATGTTACATTACCAAATATCATTTGGTGTAAGACATTCGTCAATGTTTTCACACGTGTATCTTATCCAACGCAAATATGTTTTGGTAAGATATCACTGTTTCTTCAAATTTTCATAATTTTTGCAACGAATGAAAATTTGATAACAAGCATTGATACCGAAACTAAATTTAGTTCATACTTCTTTTTCATTTGTTTTACTACTTTTTTCAACGATCAAAATGAAAATCATTATTTTCTTCGTTATGATTGGTATTGAGATTATTTTATGTTATTATTGAATTTCACCTATAAAATTTATATTTTTTTTAGTACTTACTGTTTTATATGGAAAGTCATCAGGTGCACTCAATGAAGGCGCAACGGATTGTTTGTGTCCTGTAACAGCTAATATTGATTACGTTTGTGGAAGCAATGGCGTGACTTATGTTAATCCATCAGCTCTTAGATGTGCAGCCAAATGCACAAGACAACGTAAGACCAATCCCACTGTAATCTTTGTCATTATAACTCGAAAAAAATTAATTAATTTTTTTGTTTTAGAAATAAGTCAAGCCTACTACGGAAAATGTAATACTGATTGAGTATTACCTATACTTATAAATGTATTCAATAAAACTTGAACAGGAAAAATAAAAATATAATCAAAATATCTCTAAAATTCTTATCATTTATTATGTATAACTAAGATGTATAATTTATGTACAGAAATCGTTTGAAAAATGAAGTTAAAAATATACTTCATTGTACATAATTTGTCTTTGTAAGTATTTCATGGATTCTATCATACCCAATTTACGGAAAATAATCCGAAAAAAACTTCAATATTTGAGCATGCTAAATATGAAATAGTTACGTTATTTATAAATAAAATTTTTTCTTATGTACACATGACTTCTATATACATTAACATTTTCATAGAAAAAAATTTTTGAATCCGTAACATGATCGTTCCATGGTATAAATATTTAAGTATGACATGAATTGGATATTATTCAAAAAAATTATTTCACTTCTACAAACCAAAGTTTGCCTAATAACTTAACATACTGTAGCTTTCAAGATAATTTACTTTTCATTTGAATCTTATTTTATTGATCAAATGAAGACACATCTATAAATTAGTTTTTTCTGGCAGTTCTTAGAAATACTATCACTTGGATAAAAACAATATAAAAATTTTATCAACCATTTTCTGAACAGTAAAATTATCGCAATGAAAATTTTACGATTAATCACTGGCATAAACAGTTTGAATGGATCCAGCCTTTTGTTTTGCGAGATCAGTTGCTTTCTTAGCTGCGTCTTTCATTTTTTCAGCCTTATCTTGAAAACTATGTTGCAAATCTTCTGCTGCGTGTGACAGCCTTATCATTGGTTCACCAGCCTGTAAGAAATGAATTGTTTTGCTTAAATGGAATTTCAACTACTCATACACTACAACACACACACATATAATCAAGACAAAAAACCAAGAAAACTTAAAATTAAAAAGTTTTGTCACCTTATCAGCAAATCCCATTTGAGATAAACTTGGATTCATCATTTGAGCAGTAAGAGGAAACATGTGGGCAAGAACATAATTGAATCCATTTGACATTTTAATGCAATTCTTCTTAAATCTTTCCAGCCCAAAAGCTTGTATTGCACGACTAAAACCAAAAACTGAACTTTCTATCCACGCTGATCTTTTAGCAATAGTCCATTGGGGGTTTTCATCAGATGCTTTATAAATTACTTTTTCTACAACACTCTGAAAGTCACACCATTAGTTAATTCATGGAATTGATTTTAAATAAATAAAAAATTTAACTTTAGTTATTTAATTATTTACCATAACTTTGGTGTAGCCCAAATTTCTTGTATAAGTAGTAAGAGTCTTTTCTTTAGGATCAACAATACTCTCTTCAATGATTTTGACATTGTTGTGTTTTATAAATTTTTCACCCCATTTCGGCACACGATTTGTTTTGGTTAACAATCTTTTTGAATACAACTTTCCATCTTTGATTTCCCTGGAAATTGTATCTTCACTAATCACATGAGAACTGTTTGAAAAATAAAATTTTAGATAAGTAAATGTTACAACGACATTGAAAAGCAAAGAAATGATTTAAATGTCTGTACCTGTGAGGGTTGGGGTATCTGCGCCAGAAACCCTGAGCAACTTGCTCCCAGTTAAATTGAAAAATCGTGTTGGTTTCGTAGTACTTCACCATTTTGTCAATGATCCAAATTCGCCTCTAAGAAAAATTTACTGAGCCAACGTCGGCCTTCATCAGCAAGTATAACAATGTAATCATTGAACCTTTTCAAAAGTCCATCGCTACTTTGCTTTCGTACGATCTGTAATTAAAGCAACAAAGAACAAATCAAACGACTATTTAACAAAAATCAACGAATGTATAATTCATCGCGAGCTGCATAATCTAGAGCTAAAGTCATCGCGATAGACTTACGGCTCTCCACGCCGAGTTACATAACCTAAACACAGATCGTCACTTTTCTCGCATATAAGTAGTCATTTCGCAACTTACTAGGCTCTCATCAGCCGCTATATAGATAACACAATCTAAGATCATCTGAGTTAGTTAAACTACAAGTTGAATCATGACGATCCCCTAATACTGATTGACATGTGAATAAGGTTGAAGGACACCATAACAAATATCCCATGACTAACCTGCACGTAAACAAAGAGACAGTTTCATCTGTATCGTGAATGCCATTAGTTGACATGCACAATGCAAAAAAAGGATTCACTCCTTAATCGTTGCTCGCGTGGAAGTTGTAATGAACTGCCTGGGTTGAAACACCACACGTGCTTTTTTCGCGTAAACATCAAACTACTTGAGGCCTTTTTCGCATTTACTCAGTGACTTTTATTGACTTTCACTGAATCGCATGGTGCGAAGCAGCAGAACTCGCGGACGCACCGCTTTCCTTTCCCTGCCCAAGTACTGCAGTCTGCAATTCACCTGTCACCCCCCTCCCCTTCGGCATCTCGCACGAGTGACACAGATCGATCAAGAGCAAGCCAATTCGTTTTTTCAATTATGATCTAGTAATTTACACACGTTCCAAGTGTCAACGTCAAAATTGATGTTCCTTTTAATGCAAAAAATCAAACTCGAGCGAGTCTGGGTTTTGTTTTAAATTTTTCATAAAATAGCATAATCAAGAATGAGAAATCATTGGCAATAGGGTGAGGGTCGCGATTTCTTACTTGACAAGTTTTCGAAAAAGGCGACTAGAAAATTCAGTAAAGCATATAACAACATAGTTCGGCACGAGCTCTCATACCTACAGTTCTTACAGTGCATACCTGTAGTACCTACCGTGAACCAAGTCCTAAAACTTATAATTCAATTGAGTGCGCCACCACACTCCACAGTCCACGCTCCACAGTGCACGCACAGCTCATTAGTATAGATATATATTGTAATTCAGACTTTGCTGGTGCGTTCATTCGAAGTTGGAACTTGAGTTCACGCAGATTTTTTTAACCTGCAAGCAGCACGCGCAATTCCCATAACAATAATAGATAAGCCGTTTAAACGAGCTGTCATTTCGTCATTGTGTCGAGTTCTCTCCACGCGAATTTTTAAAAGTTTTAAGTGTAGAAATAAGTTTGTAAATATGTCTACTATTCTATTTGACCAAATACAACATCTTTACGATCAAGCTCTCTACTCAAATGTCATCTCAGTGGTGAGTTTTTTGATTGTTCAAATATCTTAAATTAATTTTAATAAAAAATTATTCGTAGGCAAACCTTGTGTTATCCCTAAGCGATCACAACAATGAGCAACTACCCGCGAACTCAAAATTCCTTGTGTACGTTTATTGTGCGGACTCGTACTTTTATTTAGGCATGTACAGAAGAGCTGAGTCTTATTACAAGAAGTCTTTGCAAATTCGAAAATGTTTACTCAAGTCCAAGGGAGCCACAAAGCCCAACAATCAAGAAGGACAAAACAAAGAGCTTGCCTCCGATGTTGATATAAAATATCAAATTTATTCTTGTTTGATTAAACTGAAAAATCAGCAAGAAGCTTTGCACATTTTACAAAGTATTCAAGTCAAACAGAGAACCCCAAAGGTTTCGTATATTATTTAATAATTTTAAATGGTTTAATTTATTTTTGATAAAGTGATATGGTTTTATTTATAGATAAACATGGCTCTAGCAAAAATGTTTCAAGAGCAAGGAATGGAACGTTCTGCTATTGCCACTTACAAAGAAGTATTGAGAGAAAGTCCTCTTGCTCTAGAAGCTGCAGAGGGTCTTTTGTCACTGGGTGTGAAAGGAATCGAAGTTCATTCGATGATGAGCTGCAACTTAAATTTACTCAATTATGATTGGTTAAATGCTTGGATCAAAGCACACGCTCATATTAATAATAGAGAATACAATCTTGCTGTAACAACACTAAGATCACTCGACAATATAAATTGCTTAAGAGATAACTTTAATCTACTCATAAGAATGGGTGAATGCTACTATTATTCAGGAGACTATAAGAATGCCTTGATGTTTTTACGACGTGCAAGAGCTTTAGAACCTGATTCTACAAGAGGGTATGAATTAAAACTTACTCACGATCATTTGTATGAATAAAAAGTATCAAGAACTGTTAAATAAGATAATTTTTAAATTTCTAGTTTGGACATTTATGCTGCAGTACTTCACAATTCTAAGTCTGTTTCTGAATTAGAAAAATTGATACCACTTATATCGTCATTAAATGAATCTTCTACTGAAGCTTATACAGCAATGGCATATGCGCTGTTTGCCCTAAATAAACTCAATCGAGCAAATAGTATAGCTACACAAGCTATGAATATTTCACCAACTAATATAGAAGCTGTTATTCTGAGAGGAAATATTCTAATAGAGCAAAAGAAATTTCAGGATGCATTGCAGCATTTTAGACAAGCCTTACAACTAAAACCTCTCAGGTATGAAGCACACAAAGGTCTTGTAGACTGTTTCGTTGGAATGCATAGACTGAGAGATGCTTCTAACATTGCTAGCAGTGCTTACAAGCAATTAGGTCCCACACCACGAGTACTCACTGTGAGTTTTAAAAAGCAAATATTTCATTGCTGCAATTAATTTTATAATATTTAACAAATAATAATTAATTTTTTCCCATAGTTATACGCATCAGTTCTTATGAAGGATGTAGTTACAGTATCAAAAGCTAAAAATTTGTTAGAAAAAGCTATTAGTCAAGATGAATCTTTCTTACCAGCAGTCTATTCACTGGCGAAAATTTATGAGCAAGAATCGAACTTAGAATTAGCCATAGAACTTTTGGAAAAACAAGCCGAAGTACAGCCTACTTGTAAAATACACCAAATGCTTGGAGATTTATGGGGAAGAATACATAATGCAGAAAAAGCTCTTGACCATTACGCGATTGCATTAAAGTAAACATTACTAATTACTAATTAATACCACTTGATTCAGTTTAGTTCCAAATTATAATCAATTAAATTTTTTTCAGTATAAATCCCAGTGATCGGAGAGTATTAGAAGGAATGCACAGACTCGAAAGTACGTCAAACGCAATGGATTCATCTTCGTACTACATGACTGTGAGCGACGATAATCCTGATCCCCAGTATGAAATAGGAGAAGGTCTTCCTGATACTGATAATGACGAAGGAGCCGATGAAAGTGAAACAGAAGCAGTTTGGTCTGATATGGACTTGGAAGCAAATAGTCAATAATTAAACTAGAAAATTTGTAGAACTTATAAGTTCCAAATTGTTTTATATATAGATTTATAATTTTATTTTGTAAATACATAGAGCAAATTTCTTTGTTAAAATAATTTGTTATAATTATTTGTTGTGCAGTTTAAAATCTTGTTTAACGGTGCATGCACACAGGATAATAATATACTGCAGGACATCTAAATCAAACCTTTTAGTTTTTACAAGTGTATATTTTTCCATTTATTGATAATATATTTTATGTATAAAGTTGAAATTCCACTCGATCAACGAGCATACTTCATTTTCTATTACAACTTGGTCATCATTGTTTTATAAATAAGAACAAGCCGTGTGAAATATATAATTTTAAAAACATGATCAAATTTCTAAAATTTTGTTCATGTTATACGACGATTATACGTATTTTAAACGATGCATAGAATGAATTTCAAAAACAGGTCAATTGCACTTCAATTAAAACTTAAGGAAGACCGTAAAAATATAATCGTACTTAATATAATTTTACAATCTTTTTACAGATTTGAAAGCTGCAAAATTCCGCGGATATTCACTCGATAAATTAAAATTTGTTGTTACATAAAATAGATTAAGTGAATACTTGCTGCAATGTACAATGTGAAAAGTTATCAAACTTTGTTATGTCTCTTTAGATCTAAATGTGCCACAAATCTTTGTTAAAAAATAAATCTCAACTGTTACGTTCGCTTTGCCGTAAAGCTAAAGCAAATTCTCAATAGAAACATATACGTATATAAAAAGTCTCTAACCCATCTTTACTAAAATTAAAATCAGCTAATGTTAAAAATCATTTTCTCCCTCAAATTGCCTAAATGCACGTAACTTAGTCGTCGTTAAAATCTGCTCTCACAAATATGAGTAAATGTAAAGCATTCTTATATTAGTACTATTACCCTAAAAGTGTACACTGACATATTTATAAACAATTTCTAAAATTTGGCAGTCTTTCCCTGCTTTGAAAAGCCACGAGATATGCGTGTGTACTTGTGCGACACTTAAGAATTACATGCCGGAAGCTCAGCTTCTTCGTAAAATATGTGTATGCAATATCCAATAATTGCTGGTCTTTATTTTCTCTCTCACTGCTGAAAGATTGTAAAAAATATATAATATGTATTCTTGTGGTTGCGTAAGATTGCTGCTCGTCGAAAAAGGAGCTGCGCGAATCATTACTGTATTCGCTCTGTTGTGTGCACGTGCGATATGCGATGATTCGTTGTCGTCGTCGTCGTCGTCGTCATTATTAATTAAGCTGCCTTATAGCCTAGGATGATGAAACGCTTATTTACAAGATGCTGCACTTCTTCGAGTGGCCTTTGTAATTGAGCTTGAGCGGCGGCCTCTCCGACAGCTGAAACTTGCGGACTATTCGCACGAGCTCGTGGAAGGCCTGGTCGACGTTCATGCGCTGCTTGGCGCTGCACTCGATGTACGGGATTTTTAGCTGTCGCGCGAGATTTTGCGCCTCGTCCACGGAAACCTGTTGTTGGTGGCAAACGAGGGAGAATCGATGAGTAAACAACAACTATATAGGTGGTCTGTAAAAATGAAGCGTATTTGTACACGCTGTAAATAGACGTACCGCTCGCTGATGATCGAGGTCGCACTTGTTGCCGACCAGTAGCATGGGAAACTCGTCGCGGTCTTTGACCCGCAGGATCTGCCGGTGAAATTTGAAGATCTCCTCGAAGGACATACGATCCGCGAGCGAAAAGACAAGGAGGAATCCCTCGCCGCTGCGCATGTACTGCTCTCGCATGGCACTGAACTCTTCCTGGCCGGCCGTGTCGAGGACTGTTAAAAAAAAAATAACGCATTCGTTATTCCGAGCGCATTCGTTTTTGCCGCTATACATGCACGTGAACTTATAAGTGGTAATACTCACTGTCGAGTTTCGACGGGATGTCATCGATGACGCATTGCTTTGTGTACGAGTCCTCGATCGTTGGATCGTAATCGGTAACGAAGTAGCTCTGAAATTTAGACAGAAAAGCTGCATTAATTAAGTCTATTGTTATGACAATAGAGTCAAAATCTTTCGCTATACGATGTAAGCAGAATAACCGGTAGAGAGGAGGCGCGATCTCGCAACTTCCGCATACGGCAGGAAAGAATCGAAATAAGCAATTAGAGTCTCGTGCCCACGCACGATGAGCAAAATGACGTACAGATGTGGGTATGCACGTACAGCTTTTCGGGCTCGCGCGTACGTGCGCTTTCTTCTGCGCTCCGAGAGAGGAAAACTTGTTGTGTATTGCGTAACGATCGTTCGCGTTGGCTAAAAAGTATCGAATTTGTTTATTATATCAGCAATTGCGCGAAACAGGTCAGACGGAATTATAACTTTTGCGCGTATCGTTTTGGAGCTGTCAAAGTTACAACGCGATACTCGCGTCGAGGCTGAAATAATTACTAAAATATTTCATGTAAAAGATTACGAGCAGTCACGTAAGGTCAGATGTACTACGAGCACGTGAACTACTTTAACTGGCTATTTTTGTCTTATACGGTCTATGGGAACGAGTGATTCATCGCTAATTTACGACCACAATGCAGCCCTACGCCTGTTATGCGTCATAATTTGATTTTCCAATTTGATTTCATAAACGATCGATGCCTGTATATTACGCGATGACAAACGCACGAGTATGTGGATCGTAACAGATAAGCATCTGAATGACGTTAATAGAAATTCGTGAATTTTTATACAATAATAATATTAGCCTAGCTCGGCGTCTGCCAACAATGCCATTCATTGCCCGCGCGGCAACTTGGACTTCCGAATGACCATATTTCAATTCGAGCTCGTTCGATCGACACACAAACAGGTTTACTGTTCTAAAATCAGCTGAAAATAATTTCAAAGTTTTTTTATCAACAACGTTATCGGAATCTTTTAAAACGGAGTTTTAAATACATTTAATTTATTGATTCACTAATTGCATGTTGGAACGTTCGCGATCAATTGAGTTAGTTACCAAAGAAGACTAAAGTGTATTCTTTAATAATTTCTTCATCTTTGGGAATGGCTCGTATGTAATTTTTCGGCCCATCACGCTTGACGTGATTTAGCCCATATTTGCTCGTTTATTATTACCCATGGGTACAAACTATGGCGTAATAATGGGCGTCGAGAGTTTCGAAAATAATACCGCACAGACGCGCACATCCGAGGTGTAGTGTACACGCCGACGAGCTTTAAGCTAGACCTAGTTTTCAATGGGGCTATAAACACTTATAGAAGACGGCGGCCCCTAGCGCAGCAAGGAAAATATAACAAGTTTTTGGCGTCTACGAGTCGGCCCCGCGACGTTTTATGCCAATATATGTATATGAGCGCGTGTACACATGCACGAGCAAATAATACGCGTGTGTCAGATTTTATCATTTATTGCGACTGCCACTGCTGCTGCGTCGAGTTGAAATTTTAATGACTTATAAATCGGCGAATGGCAAATTAGTTGTGCAAGCGCGCGATGCAAGAGACAAATATATGAAATGCGAGCAAAAAAGGGAGTCGAGCCAATCGCCGCCGAGTAAAGACATTTGCCCTTTTCGATTGTTTTCGAATGGGGGAAAAACAAAACAAAATAAAAAGTAACGAGACGGAAAAGTCGAAGATAGAATTAAGTGGTTCGAACGGTAGTATACGTAATGTTATATTTATGGACGCGGAGCTGTCAATGAAAACAATGCTACTACGACGAAGCTCGCTGCGGATCCGAGAAAGCGTTAAATGCGAATGTCATTAGCGATTCAACGGTGACGCGTGAGAACTCGGTGCCTCCTTTCGATCGTCGAAATGTATAATAACAACGGCTAAGTATATACTTGTATGCGTATCGTTGCTTTTAACGGGCAGTCTGCGTGCGAGTTTAATCAACGATTTATAGAAACTCCTTTGGTATACAATTAGCTGGCAAATCGGAGCTGCGTTAAAATCGCAAACATTCCTCGCGCGAGGAAAAAATGTAGCTATATTAGGGGTCAACGGCAAGCGGAGTATGCCGCTTCGTGCGTATTCGATACAACGCAAAAGATCGCTGCCTCGGCCTTTTTTTTGTGCAAAGCAATTTTTATATACGAGTTGAGGTAATGCGAATACATTCGAGTATCGCAAAGACGCACGTGACGACGTCGGGCTGCTGTTATAACGCAGCAACAGCAGCAGCAGCAGCAGCAGCGGCGGCGCCAAGTTTTTCATCGAAAAATAAGGTGTGTCACGGTCGTAGCAAGTGAGTACATGTATAATATATACGCATACACACGCAGAGGCATCGTCCCGCATTAAACAGCAGTGGCAACGAGAGAAAGACGGCGTCAGAATCGGAGAGAGAGTGAGACAGAGAGAGGCTGATCACGCCGAGAGTGAGAGTATGCGTTTATACTCACTCGCACACTCTAATTTATAGCAAGAGCAGCAGCCGCTCTCGGCAGCAATTAGACAACGTAATATTGAATGACTCGCCACGATCAATTGCTCTTTCTCTCTCCGTCTCTCTTTCTCGAGTTCCGATGCTCCTACAAGTCCATTGGCTACATCACCTTATTATCGACTGTATATTATGTAGTGTGTCGCGATCGCTCGTACCTGAATGAACTGTATGGTGATCGCGGATTTGCCAACGCCGCCACCGCCCACGACAACGAGTTTGTACGTCGTCGACGGGCTCGAGCTCTGCTTCTCCTGGTGATGGTTCTGATGCGCCCAAGACATGGCAATTACTTTTTATTTTTGACACAGTTTCTGTTTTTGTATTTATTTTTTTATTCAAATGCTCCCGTCACTCACTACTGACACTGCCGACGACACTACAGTTGGTGTATGTATATCTCGTTCGACGAGCTAAACAAAAATATCACGCTCTCTCTTTATCTGCCTGCACGAACTGACTGTTGGCACACGCGCTCGCACTCGTGCATCGAATTAAAACTCCAACTCCGGTATGCACTTGTCCCGAAATTACGAAGCAGCGTGTGCGCATAGGCACACTGCACTACGTACGCGCAACAGGTATATTCAGTCGTGCGCACGTACGTGGTAAATACAGCGCCGATGCGCGCTCGAAGCCTGTATTATAAAGACGTCTTGCGATGCGAGATGTAACATAAAGCTGCCGCTATATTATGTAGCAAGCACGCCCCGCGACCCAAGAACGACGGCGGATTATTCGCCGCGGAGAAAAATGATATCCGAGTCTTATGAGCTGCTGCTGATGGCGATCGCAGAGGCTGTGTTTTGCAGCAGCTGCGGGCGGCGACGCGGACGACTACTGGCTGGCAGCAGCATTTCTGCCCGCTGTTGTAGCAGCGTCTCGCGCGAGCCGCAAGACAGATCGACGACTCGAGCGACCGTCACCGCTTACTTTAATAATAATGAGTTATATATAGGAAGAAATTGAGCGCGAGCACGGAGAGGCAGTATACATTATGCTGCTGCACGATGGGAGCAGCGCAGCTCGGTGATACGCGCACAAACTGCTGCTTTGCGCGTATTACAAGCTCGCACTGCGCATGTATAGGGCACATTAGGTAAAAGCGCAAAAGAGAGGGTTTTGCAGTGACCAATTGATGCGGGAGCGTCGCCGCGCTCGGAGCAAATGTTACAAGTGCGCGAAAGTCCGTCGGCGATGTTACTGGCCGCTGGTGCGACGATTGCCTCAAAAGTACGCGCCGCGCGCGAAAATCGGTAACAACGATGCCTACCAGTTGTTAATTTTGAAATTGATTGTCTCTTTCTCCCCCTCTCTCGTCGCAGCTCCTCGTGCAGATTTTAGCAAATTCATCCTATTGATTTATGTATGCGCTCGAGCTTTTTTCAATAATGAAATTTGGCCAAAAGCATCTATTCGAAATCCACCGAAAGAGGAAAAAGAAAAAAATCAAAACCCTAATGCGACTGCTCCAAAGTCGATTGTAATTTGTCTAGCAAATTACGTCATCTTCGAAACTTATGTGCAACCTTGAAAATGAAAAGAATCGAAACGCGCCCAAAGTTACAATTAACAAAATTACGCGTTTGTGAATCGTACGTACTTTACAAGCCGCGAGCAAGTATGATACTCGAGCAGACGCAACAATAAAACGTTAATTGCGAGAACGGAGCACGTGGCCACAGATAACAGCGGCCGCTATATAATACAACGTACGATCACATGTATAGGATATATTTTGCAGTAACGATATTCCGCCTCTCTCTGGATTTTTTTACAATCATAACATTATATGTGTGTTGTGTGTACGTGCGCGCGCGCATGTCTACATACACAGTTTTACTTTTTACACATCTTCCTCTCATTGAGCTATAACGGCACAAGCACACATATTTTCTACATTCATACCCGCGCACATCTAGTTTTTTAGCGCTTTTGTATATACATATAGACGTTCGCGACTTATACCGTGTAAGTGGAGAAGAGTAGGTATTGCGCACATGCCACACTGCATGTTCTGCACGGGTGCGAATCTCGCGAGGCAGTTGCGTTTCATCTCCGCTATTGCACCGATCATCGATCATCGTCGCGCCTATCCTAACGATATAGTATAACACATCGCCCGTTAACAAGAGTGAGTGATAATAGCACTCCGCGCTTTACATCTGTCCCCGAGATTATTATTTGAGCGAGCTCTCCTGCGGCTTTATACTGCTGCAAATCCGTACATTAACTCAAAATTCACTGCAAAAGTATGTTATCGATTTTTTTGCGAGTATCTCACCACTTTTATTGATTAACCAGATCACGCGATCGTATAACAAACAATATCTTCCTCTGATATCGACCTTTTTTATATAGAATAAGTCATATTTTTTTTTAATCGTACTACTCCTTCAAATTTATTTGTCTTTTCATTTTTTTACTGCAGTCAACTGAAAATGACGACAATATTCAACGGCATCGAATTGGGACCACCCATCGAGGTATTCGCCCTCAGCAAGGCTTTCCAGGATGATCCCCATTCACCAAAAGTCAATTTGACCGTTGGAGGTAAGAAGACCTCGATCTATTTGGATTCATCCTAACTGCGAAAAAAAACATTAGTCTAGCTAGAATCTCTCGGAATATTCGTACAAATGATATTGAAACTCTCCAATCAAATTGTTATCTGTGACCTTCAGGTTCATGCTAGTATATTATGCAATGCATTGAGAGCAAACTATTCACAGTGCTGTAATTTTTTTTTTTTCTACATTTTTTCATTCTATATTATCAACAATAATTTTTCATTGGAAATAGTAGTTTTAATTGAAAATTAATTTTTTTGCAGCCTACCGAACCAATGAAGGCAAACCATGGGTGCTACCTGTTGTAAGGAAAACTGAATCTGCTCTTGCAGCTGATGAAACCTTAAACCATGAATATCTCCCTGTGCTGGGCTTAGATTCATTCAGTCAAGCAGCCACTCGCATGCTATTGGGAAATGATTCCAAAGCTATTTTGGAAGGAAGAGTTATTGCAGTACAAAGTTTATCTGGTACAGGTGCTCTCAGATTGGCAGCTGAATTTCTTTCTCGTATTATGCATTTAGATACATTTTATTATAGTAAACCAACATGGGGTTAGTATGACTTACTATAAAATTAATTTTCTCTTAGTTCTTAGTATAATTCTAATTGATTTATAATTTTCTAGAAAATCACAGGTTGGTCTTTTTGAATGGAGGTTTCACTAAAAATTGTGAATACCGCTATTGGAATCCCAAAACCTGTGGTATTGACTTTGAAGGCATGATCGAGGATCTTGAAAAGGCTCCAGAACATGCTGTTGTTATTTTGCATGCTTGTGCTCATAATCCTACCGGTTGTGATCCAACTCATGAACAATGGAATAAAATAGCAGATGTGATTGAAAAAAAGAGGCTGTTTACTCTTTTTGACAGCGCGTATCAAGTAAGTTATTAAATAAAATAAAATACATATTTTTAACACACTTTATAAATTCATTTAATGAATTTCAGGGCTTTGCTAGTGGAGATCTAGATTTTGATGCTTATGCTCCAAGATTATTTGTGTCAAGAGGCATTGAATTCATTTGCACCCAAAGTTTTGCAAAAAATTTTGGATTGTATAATGAAAGAGTGGGTAATTTTGTATTAGTATCTAATACTACAAAACAAATTCCTGAGATGAAATCTCAGTTAACTCTAATTGTAAGAGGAATGTATAGCAATCCACCAAATCATGGAGCTAGAGTCGTTTCTACAGTACTCAATAATCCTGAACTGTACGAAGAATGGTGAGTTAAAATTTTTCATAAATTTAAATAATATGGAATACTAAGTTTTTTGAACTTTGTAGGAGAGATCATATTCGTACAATGTCTGGTAGAATTAAAGAGATGAGAAAAGGTCTTTATAATAGACTAGTGACTTTAAATACTCCTGGAAATTGGGAACATATTGTAAATCAAATTGGAATGTTTTCTTATACTGGTCTTTCAGGTACTAATTTTTCTTGGTTTTAATAAAAAAAAAAATTGTGTGGTATTAACTAGGCTAATTTTTTTTACAGAAAAACAAGTGGAGTATCTGATTCAAAATTATCACATTTATTTATTAAGAAGTGGACGTATCAACATGTCTGGTTTAAGTGAAAACAATATAGATTACGTTGCTACAGCCATTCATGATGCTGTCACTAAACATACATCAAAAATATAAAGAATTTTTCTTTAATTTGTTGAGAAAGTACAAATTGTTAAGGAAAAATGCTTAACACATTTCTCAAAGACAATTCCAACTTTTCAAAGATATATTTGTAAAAATATATTTTTTTAAAGAGAAATATTTTTTAATGTCATCATATATTATCAAATAATAATTAAAAAATTAATTGACTGCAATAATTATCACGTAAGAACAAAAAAACATCGAATTTATTCAGTGAATATTAGTTGGTTCCATGTCAAAGATAAATGAATTGAAGCAAATATTCTCATATAATATACCCAGGTAGATTGATAGAAAGAGAAAAAATAGATATGTATAAATAGAAATGCAACTTACAATAATATCAAAACATAAGTGTCAAAACTTTAAACAGAAAGTATTGAAACTGTTTGTTATAGTGCAGTTTTACAAATGTGTTATGATAATAATTTTGAAATATATTCCATTATTGTACTGCCGATATCTATATTACGTGGCATTTGAAAAATTCATACTTTATTTTTAAAAAAATTGTCAAAAATCTGTTTTACTTATCCTTTGACTGTTAATTTATTTATATTTGTTGGACTAGATAAATACCACAAATTTATATTTAAAGTTTTTCCACCAACACAAGTTATAATAAATTTATAATAGATATGTATTTATTTATGTAATTAAATTCAGAAGAGAAAAAAATCAGATTACCATAAACATATTTAAAATAAAAGGTATTTGTACAAAGTTTATAATCAATCAAATGTTAAAAATATTTAAAAAAATATCTTTATATTTAGTTGTCATGGATGTATTTGAAAATTGTTTTAATGACAATTTTTTTAGATGTGTATTATATATTATGTTAGAAAAAACTTTGTAACAATAAGTAAAGTTATAAATAAAAAATTTTTTGATGAGTTTAATCATTTAATATTAACTGTACATTTAGACATCAACTATACTTAGATTAACAATTTTTGTACATCACTTCAGTTAAAACTGAACAATAAAATATATATTTACAAGCATTACATTTCCCATTTAGAAACTTTCTTTTGGAAAGTTTCAGTACCATCTGGTCCTACTGCTGTATAATAGCCCATGTCTTTATATTTTGATCTCATATATGCAATATATCCAACGCATCCAGCCATTCCAATTAGTCCTATAGCCATCACAACATTGTTCTGAAGCACAGAAAAAGGAAAGTAAATAAAAACTTTCAACTATTTAATTCAAATTAAAAATTTGACTTACAGGTTTTACATAAAGTTCATAATTAATTGCTCTAAACATCGGGGAACTTCTTAAAGATCGTATTCCATCGCCAGGTGTATATTTTTCTTCTGGTTTCTTACTCATTTTAAATCTAGAAGCATGAAATTTTATTTTCTTTCATCACCTTCAAATCAATGAATTAAAGATAAACTTTATAGAAAATTTTAACATTCAACACAATAAGCACTTCCATAAAAAATTGAAAGCTATTGCAAGGAAAATTTTTCAATTGACTTACATGTGATAGTCCTTTGAAACTTGAAGATAAACTTAATTATCGTGATTTTTAATCTTTGTTTTCGTACTAAATTGACATTGGCCACTTGATTACTTGTGTCACAATTGAAAGGTTATATTTTTTACTGAATTTCGTCTGCTACGCAGCAGAAATTATGATGGATCATTCTTCAACAAAGACGCGGTATATGGCTAGTGCCTAGTGGCTACAGCCTATAGCGCTAGTCGCTACTGACACCGCATGCAGGCACAGAGAACGCTATTCGCTCTGAGAGTCGGGGCGGAGCCTAGAGTGGCGCGCAGTCACAATTTTATATGTAATCTCATGGAAACGTTCTGTCAAAAACGCCAGCGTCGGCCACTCGAACTAATTTTTTTCTTGAAAATTAATATGAGAAAGCGCTACGTTGCACTAACACTCGGGGCCAATTTGCAACTTTGAGCTACTACTAAATTGACCAAATGAAACTTGAAAAAAATTATGAGTTGTATGTCAAAATCGAATCCTTTTAGCGGGGTCGAGATGCTATTATTTTTAGATAATTCTTCAAGAAAATATTTTCATTTCAGGGTCGTCCATTATCAAATTTATGTATTTGATAAAAAAAAAGTAAATTCAACTTCACAAATAAAAATTTGAAGTTTGACAGTTATAAGTATTCTCTTCACTTACTCTTCAAAAATAAAAATTACTAAAATACTACATAAGTGTTAAATATTTCATGTCAATAACTTTTTTAAGAATCATCTCTTTTTGGTGATACTCTTCAACGGAGTCATAACAAAATTGTTTTCATAAAATATAATAAAAAGTTGTACACATTAGATGAGTCTGCATAGTGAATTAAACATGATTTATCTCAAAGGAGTTCAAGAAAAAATATATTTTCTTAAGCCTCCAGAATATAATTTTACATCAAGGTTCGTCAAGGATTTTTTTGTGTAGGTGCCAATATTACTATAATAATATATGCTAAGAATATGTCAAAAACACATTTTATTTTTTTCATTTTTAACAACAGATGTTTACTTCTTGTAACCACAGCTCTTCCTGCGTCCTCTAGCTCTCTCAAACTTGCGGCCCTTTGATCTGACCAAAGGCTTAGTGTGCGAGTGAGGCACACCTGGAGCTGGGCCAAAGTGTTTGTTGGCCTCACGGGCATTCCTGCGACCTTGCATCAACACAGTCTTGTTACCAGTTGGTGAACGAAGAGCCAACTGATCGAAGGTGATGATTTCACCACCAGCTTTCAAGATGCGACCACGAGCTTTCTCAGTCACATGTGTAGCACATACCTAAACAAAAAAAAAGTTGAATTAATACTTTGAAAACTACTAGCTAACTATTATTTAACTTTATAAATATTTGTTTATAACAATGAAAGCAAAAAGATTCGATTTAATTAATAAGTTTAAATTATAGAAATTATCAGATAAATTATATTTTGAATATTTTTCGGGCTTTGTTTCTAAGTAGTTTTTAGACATTTTATGATTGATTAATTCATCTTTACTTACAGTCATTTTTGGGATCTCGAAGATACGAGCATCATCGGTGACAGTACCAACAACAACAGCGGTACAGTTTTCACGACCTGGCTTCTTCATGAATCTAGTGACACGAGCCAAAGAAATTGCTGGGCGATTTCTGCGGCTCATGAAAAGCCTTCTCAAGATAATTTTGTTGAACTTGGCATCAGTTCTTCTGGCCAAGAATCTATAAAGCTACACAATTGAAAATCATCATTAGTAAACTTTGGGAATGATTGTGCATGATAATTAACATTTTGTTAATTAAACTGTTTCAACCAGAATAATAATCTTTCAGAAAGATCAGAAAGATTGAATAGGAAGGTTGATCTTTAATCTAGCGAACATATAAATTGGACTGGAAAATTGACAATTTCCAACACAGAGTGCAGTTCGCACGTGCTATGGAAGGAAGAAACATGTTAAACAGCATATCTATTTCCATTAAACACGCCGATGGTTAACCTAACAAAGTGCACGAAAAATTGTATATCTTGAAAAAGACTAAATTGAAAATTCGTCAATCTAGTATTGTATCAAGGAAAATGTAATCAAATAAGGTATCAATAAAGGAGAATCAATGAGATTTTAAATAAGTAATAAAAAATTTACCTTAACAAGAAGTCGTAGGTAGACATCCTGACTTTTAGGTTCTGTTCGTCGAACCTTGCGGTCGTGCTTATGGCTGATATCGATACCCTAGAAAGAAAATTTGCAATGTAACACTTAAATAAATAATTCATCTCTCGAGACATTAGTAATAAATTGTTGATGATAAAAAATCATATTGATCATTAAAGATTTTATGCGTGCATCACGTACCATTTTGGGAAATCAAAAGAAAGAAGAACGTGGCGAAGTTCTAGACGTACACTCAAACCCGAAAAAAGTTTCTGCGCATACAACGCCGCGCGTAGCACCAGTTATTCACAAAAGTAACAGAAATGACCGTCACAACCGTGCGACTCCTAGCCACTACACATCCACTGCGTAGCGGCACTTTAATCTATAACTAAAACAAAACTCATCCTATAAAATTAAATATCCATAAACCTGGTCGCTTCTCATCGTACCCTTACCTGACTATTCTTTGCTTATTATTAATACTTGTTGAAGAAGCTAGCAATTAAGTAATTCATTCGATTTCTGTATGTCGCGAGGGCCTTCAAAAGCTGCTTTCGATTCTGCGCGCCAGAAAGACTTGACTGACCCTCAAATTTCATGGCAATTTTGATTTCTCAACAGCATTTGTATAGTATGAAAAAAAACTTGATTATTACATGAAAAAATTATCAATAATCCATCGTGATTTCAGTTTAAAAATTAAATGTAAACAAATTTGATCATTTAAAAAATCATGCCAACAAGTGCTCTTTCATTCTCTAAAATGACTCATTTGTTAATTTAGAATGAGAAATCACTTAAAAATCTAACAAGTGCATTTTTATTTTATATTTTCTTACGCTGATGAGATATATTTTAAAAAAAGCATTACAATACATGCCTAATGAAATTTTTATAAAATTTTAAATATTTTAGAAGGGCTTACCGAATAGGGCGGTGTAACAACTGTTATATATTTTGCGGAAATTTTGCAAATTAGTATTGCTAAAATATTCGGAAATTACTATTAACTTAATACTACATAATATTGTTGCTGTTTAAAATGTTTTCCATTTTTTAATCGATCCTTATCTCAATTATAAATTACTTTAGATAAACAATTTTTAATTTTCATAAAAGATTTAAAAAAGTAATTGTATTCACGATTTCAAATAAGATCGCCAATACAGATTGCAGACTTGAGTCATGTCATTATATATTTTATGTACTCGTTCATCAATCACTTAACAGCTTTTTTCACAGTTGCGTGTGGCATGTAGCGACGTGCGTGACATTTAATGTCTACCATGAGACACACCGATATCTAACTAAACCCGTGACGTTTTTTTCCATTAAACCGTAAACATTGTACCAATTTTTAATTTACTTAAGTTGCTTCTTGAAGCGGATTATCTCGAGTTTATGGCGATTTTTAAATCAAAATACAGAAATATTAGTGCTGAAGATTAATCTGGAAATAAATTTGGTACTTAGGTGTGGCCAAAAAAATGTCTGAGTATCGATCGAGAATTAAATAGAAAAAAATTCAGCTATTCACATGATCACGTAGTATCACATGGTCCGAACTACTTGTGAGCTGCTGATCTAAATCAGCATTTGAATATATTGATTATTTTGTATTTTTACTCATTTTTGTCTTGAAAAATGATACTTTGACAAAAGAGGTATGACGACAGTAATCGTTGCGCAAGTTTCTGCGTTGGACTTATACTATATCTATGAATAACTACTTATTTTGATCAATTTTACTAGTGTTGCGAGAAATTTGTTCGAGTACATACTTATCGGTGTTAATTTTTTTAGTTTCTTTTTCGTGAAAATAACGAATAATCTCCATTGAATAAAATATTTCTAATACTTTAAAAGATTTTCAATGACAAATTAAAAAAGTAACGATAAAAAAATTCCAAGCCGGTCAATTACTATGAAAAAGCTTTAAGTTAGTCAGAGCGATTGAAAAATTGTTTCTAAATTTTTGTTTGGCTGCAGAACATCGTATTTTCATCATGGGTCAGGCTTACAGTGAACTTGAAAAATATAGACAACACTTTTATCACGGCGAAGAGCAAATACCAGCGCAGTTGATGAAAAAATTCGAGGATAGAAAATGGATGCGCACTATGTATTCGTTGGCGTTCAGGTACGAACATAGCCATCCTCCAGAAAGCACGACGGCGTACAAAACGGCAGGAACGAGATACAAACTGTCGACGCTCCATGCGTACGGAAAATATAGAAGAGAACCTACAGCCATAAAGGACTATCTTCTTCGGGTGTGGGGTTTGAACGTAACACAGGTCAACTACGAACAGTTGATGGGCCACCTGGAATTCAAGAGGCACTTCGCAGGCAAGGACTGTTGTTTGGAATGCGAGATCGACTATCTGAAGAACGAGAGCAACTGTGAATTCTACTTGGACGGCGTCGAATTCTGGTCCCCGCCCCTGCAGGTGAATCTCTTGGCCCTGCATCACTTTATATCCGAGCGGATGCTTAAGCACAACGATCCCAACACTTGGGACATTTTTAGCAGTGCATCTATGTACAGAGTCTGCCACGAGCTTTACAACGTTTATCAACGCGAGGGCGATCTAAAGTGCAACCGAGAAATGGACCTGTTCAAGCTTCTGATCGAAAAGACATCCTGGATCGGCATCCGCGAAAGCGCCTACGAAGGTCATCCGATTTTCCAGATTCTTTCCTGCCACATGTACAACGTCCTCGTGAGCGACGAGACGGAGGAGACGATACACGCCCGAGCCATCATGTCGGGCTTCGAGTACCAGTTGAACGTCTACGCCAAGGTCTTTTTTCGCGATCGAATCGCTGTCGAGGCGATCGAATCGACCTTCAAGAGAGGAATCGGCCCTAATCTATTTGACGATAAAGGCAATTCTTTGCTGAGCATGGCCGTGTCCTATCTCAATTATAACGTGGTGAAGCTACTTTTGGAGCATGGTGCGGATCCGAAAACCGTCAGCTTCACTGGAGGCTACTTTAACAGTGGAGTTCACATTCTTCTCAGCTTCGAACTCGTCCAAAATCTTGTTGACATCATAACACTTTTGAAGATGAGTGAATACGAATTGTCTTACAAAGATAAAGTGAACATTTTGAATTTCATAGTCGCACATAAATATGTCGCTCGCTATCACAATATTGGTGCTTTATTAGCACTCGGTTAGTATCGAATTTCTTTGTATATCTAATTAAAATATGACGAAATAATTGATTTTATTTTTGTCAAATACAGGATCTCCACAATTGATTCGACAAAATTCAGATCAAGTCTTGAATGGCGATGTCGAAACCGTACACGATGAAAATTATCGCCATATCATCGCGGAAAGACGATTGACGATCGAGAGGTATGTGCTGGCTGTAAAAACTGGTAAAATGTACCGACAAGATGAAGGACTCTTTCAAGAAATTTGCGAGCAATGTTCCGGTTACGATCGGCGTAACATGGTCAGTAATGTCGAACATGAAATTGAAGAAGCTATGACCATGATGTTGAGCCAAACTACATCGCTTCTCGACGTTTGTCAGGCTAGTCCAGATGACGCTTTGAAATTATTTGTCGGCACGAACTACCTGGACTTACTGACATCCGAGGACTTCGATAATCGTTTTCGGGAGCTTAAGCTGATAATAAAAGGCTACTTTGCTAAAGCATTGATCCGAGATATGTGTATAATGTGGGGAGCGGACTTTTTGAAATATCATTGTCGCGAACGTATGACGCATTCAATTTGTATCAATATTATGAGACATTTGAGCAATGAAAAAATTTTGGATTTCTGTAGAGTATCAGTGCGCTCACTTAATGAACCCGATTAATAATTCCCTATGATGATGAACAAAATTTAGACAACGACTTTAACTTTTGGACGCCGGAGATATTTCGGTTCGAAATAACTTTGCCAAAATATATATCTATAATCGATATTTTGATCGTCTCAAGGATTATTTTTATTTTCTATCTTACTCTTTATTCACGTGTAGGAGAGAGCAGGGTGTGCTGGCATAAAGGCATATATTTCTCCTTAACAATGACTTGTATAGAGTTGATACCATCAGTAGTCCTAACACCATAATATCTAGTGTTCGTGTGTAATGTCACTATTTCGGTTCAAATCATCGATCATTGATAAAGAGAAATATGCGATTTTGATAACTTAGTTCACGTGCCAACATACCCTGTTCTCTCCAATTCAAAATATTATATCCTTTGAAGCAAACCCACTTTTTTAAAGCATTTTATTAACAACTACCACGCAATTTGATAAGGTTCAAATTCTTTTATATAATTTATGTATTTGATAAGTAGTTTGATAGGTTTGATATGTAGTATAAATCGATCGGCGAAAGAAATTAATTAGTAAAAAATAAATACAATCGAATTGATCCTAATGATGTTAACATTTGACTGTAAAAAGTTTAAATGTAGAGGTCGATAAATAATGAAATTGTATTAAAACATATGAAACAAATACAATATGTTAACATATTTTCACCATCTTGAGTTTAAAAATCTTGGATTAGGATTTAAAGAATAAAAAAGATAATGAATTTTTATTTGAATAATTATTATTATTCCAATGATTTTTTTTTTAATAATAACAACAATATTTCCTCATAACATTTTATTCAAGACTTTCTTAAGCCTCAGTCAGTATAATGATTAAAATCGTTAAGCAGAAATTATTTGTCAACGGATAATTCAAGGCTTGTCAAACCAAGAATATCAATTTTTACATAAACATGATAAGCAACTATAATCATTTTTATGACTAAAATAAGTAGTACTAAAAAACTGTACCTGAATATATGTCACACCAATAATGGAAAATGGAAAAGAGTCCCGACCTAAGCATTCAATTGATTAAAAAAAGAGATCTACTTAATTTTAAATTGTGCATATGTATTTTTTAACATGTATGTACAGGTTTTCTCACTTGCCATATAACAATTACTATATAAAGATACAAATACATTTTTCAAACCGTGACTATTCACAATATTAATATCTTTATTTAGTTATTTACAGTTTTTTCAAAACATGCAACATTTTATGATTCTCTATGATGCTCTAGCAGTAGCTGAAGAAGTCTCAGATTCAGGAGCAGCTTCAATTGCAGGAACTTTTTTCTTTGGAGTAAAATCATCGTCATCGCTAGCGTATACCGATTTTGCCATTTCTTTTTCGCTCTGCCATTCGTCTCTTTGTTTCAATTCTTTGACAGCGTACATAACTTCCCGCACAATCATATCTTCGGTAAGTATACCATCGGCAGAAACAAAAGCAGCAGCTTGCCAAGACAAAGCCACCTGTGCGATCGATCTTCCTGACATGCCTTCGGTCATATCAGCGAGGCGCGAGCATAAGGCTCCGTAATCGAATTGGGCCAGTTTAAATCTTCCTTTACCTTCAGCTACAGGCTGCAAGACGTACTTGTCGAAGTACAATCGAATAAGACGCTCGCGTTCATCGCGGCCGGGCAGTGGGAACTCAAGGATCATATTCATACGATTGTGCATTGCCCAATCAAGTTGTTCGGGAGTATTGGATGCAAGAACCAGCATGAATTTATCGCTTTGATCACCGGTTCTGTGCAAGAATGCGTTAAGCATAGATCGCAATTCTTCGCTGATATGCTCGCTCGAACGTTTGCGCAAGAAAGCATCGGCCTCATCGATAAAGAGCAACAAACCACGTCGCGACGTTGATGCCCAATCAAAAACTTTGTGAATTTCTGTCACTCCATCCCGACCCAGGGGTGCTAGGTCACCACCGGTCAAGATAGCGTAATCCATGCCAGAGTGTTGAGCGAGTCTCTTAGCAAACATAGTTTTACCTGTTCCAGGAGGCCCACACATTAGAATATTTCTATACATACCACGATTAATTTTTGTATTTTTTGTAGCTATAGCTACATCTCTGAGACGCTCTTCTATTTTAGGGGCCAGAATGACACCTTGAAGTGCATCACTTGTTTTGGGTCTTAGCTTTTTAACAGTCTGAATGGGATGCTTGAAAAGCTCAAGAGCAGAAAACCTTGAGGTTTCACGTACAAGTGAAGGTTTTCCAAGGCGAGATTCAATTTGTCTAAATGCAACACCAGTGGCACCTTTGGCTGTATAATAACTTAGAACTGCAAGTGAAATACCACCAACACCAGTTAAAACTTTATTCCAGTCGGATAACAGTGCTGATACACCTGCTCCAACAGACCTGCAATTTCATACTGTGATTAACCAGGAAATCAATATTAATTTTTTGAATAACTATAAATCAAGGAACTTACGATAAAGACTTAAGTACTGTATCCCTATGCTCGGCAGCTTGTAATTTCAATTTTTCCAAGTTCAAATCGTGGTTTTCTCTATCCATTTTTTGCTTTGACTTGTACTTCTCTGCGATTTTTTGCAAATCGCTTTTATGTTTAAGTTCTTGTTCATAAGCAATTGTTTGCTTCTTGAGAGCTTCCTGCTTTGCAATAGACTCCTCCTGTCTCCTAAGATTTTCATCATTCATACGTTGTTGTTGTATTAACTGTTCATCGTATCTTTTTCGCGCCAATTGATCCTGATATTGGGCACGAGTTTGTTGTTGCTTCGTTTCTTCTTGTATTTGTCTCAACCTGTTTTCGCCTTCTATCCTTTTTTGCTCGACCTTTGCTTGCTCCATAGCAGCTTCATATTCTTTAGCTTTAGCTTGAATTTCAGCCATCCGGGTTTGTTCTTGTAATTTCGACAACTCTAGAGCGTCTTTAGCATGAGCTGCGCAAATAAATAAATTCGGTATGAAATAAAAACTCTATGACATTAGAATGACTATTATTAATATTGGGTAACAAGGAATTTTCGGATCATTTAAAATCTATTATTGTATGGAAAAAGAATGTCAACATGAATTATATAGAGAGTCGACCAGATGATCGTTTGTTATAACATAATGGACAATCGCAAGTATGCAGGGATCGTTTTTTGGCTTTGGCCGCTGATAATTTTCATTCATCATTGACTTTCGGCAATAATTGCATCACACTCGGAAACGTTATCTCGACGAATAGCCGCATGGCGATTTGGGCTTGCTTAACCTCAAACCTTATGTAACAATGCGTAAGCTCATAGGTCTGGATAAGCGCAAGGACGAGAGACAAATCGATTCGACGTACCTGACCGTTCGAGCTCCTTGGCAGCGGCGGCAGCTCGTTCTAAGGCACTCGAGTCGAACCTGTAAGCTTCCATTTGAGACTTGGTCATCTTGGGCGGCCCGCCGCCCTGACCGGACGAGCCCCCGGCACCGGCACCTCCAGCGGCCGACGGTGTCTGGAACTGGCTGAGATCAGCAGCCGATGGTGGCGGCTGCTGCTGCTTCCAAGACGATCCCAGGAGCCACGACATCCTGGCACATCAAGTGTTACGCGTTTTTATGGAAAAAAAGTAGATATCACTGCACAGCACTCTATGCAGTTCGGAACAAGAGCCTGTGAACTACTGCTCTCTTATATTCGATCGTGGCACTCCAAAAGCGAGTCACTTGTCTAGCGGCTAAAACCTCGTGTTCCAAGTGTGGCAGACTGCAGTGCCAAGTTCGTGCGGCGTGGACGCGCGAACGATGAAATATATAATGACGATTCGAACGAGCGCGTGCGCTTCTTCGCGGCACCAACTAACGGGTGATTGTTCGCCGACTCCCCCCGTAGGTCATACGGTGACGCGCGCGAACACTTGACTACTCCAATCTCTTAGATCATTTTCATACTATCGGACTTTATTATTTTTAATTTTTATAACATTATAAGAAAAAATGAATAATATTTAGTTTAAAACTCAAGTAGTTGAGACAAACATCATGAAAATTATGAAAATTCAATTATGATTTTTTACAAAATTATTACGTTAAAATTGTACGATGCCATAAAAATCATAACTTTTTTACCCTGCGTAATAATTTGAAAATTAAATGGCATTCGTGTGGAACATTGGTAAACGGCTTTTTGCACTTTGCATTTTTCCAATTGGATTGGCGACTGGCGCTCGTCGTCCGTCTCGAGCTTACGCGCATGTGCCAGCACACCCACACCGAGGGGACGTTCACTTCACAGTTCAACGGAGGCTTCCAAGAGTAGGTATATGACTGTGTATAGTGTATACATGCTAACACACTGTGTATTCATTTAATGCTATTGGCAGTGTCAAAGATAACGTTGCACTGTTGTTCTAACGTCTCACAAATACACACGTACCGACTCTATTTGTAAACACACAAATTTAGAATCGATCGGCTTTCCATTAGTAGCGACCAATTTTCTCTTCGGAGAATCGCGAATAATTCTTCATTTATAAGCATTCACCGGTGTATTCGATGCCTGCGGTCGTCTACCTTCTGTACAATGTACTACGTTAGAGGCGTTTTTTCCGCGGCTACTCTATGCATAATACACCTTCCGACGATGAATGGGCACGAGTTTCGGAGTAATTCGATTCTATAGTAATTCTTCAGCTCGTAACAATATCGTCGCGGTTTAGACAATGGAACAAGTGACTTTTGGTTTAGCCGAAGAGAATGGCTCGAATTCAGAGTTGGGTTCGCAAGAAAATCTCACGCTCGATGCTATCAATCTGGAAATCGAGGAGGTAATGATTGACAAATATTAAATTAATCAAACTGATGGCATAATGACATATTTTCTTTATTTAATCAAGCTGGATGATGCTGAATATGCCATTCCAGCAGTTGATCAGCTGCCTTCCTTAGAAAGTATTTTAGCTGAACCAGATTGTGGTTCTTTATCAGGCACAGATGATGATATTGCAGCAACTTCAATTGAAAAATTATCTACTAGCGAAACTGTGAGCGTTGGTAGTTTGTTATCGCTTAATTCTCCTAGCAGACCAAAAATCAAACCACCACCAATATCAGGAATTATTCTTAGACATGTTATACTAAAAGGAATTTGTGCTCAAATTGCTTCTGCAAGTGTAAGTTGAAATAGCAAGAAACAAATTGAACGATGAATGTGTTTTTAAATGATTCTTTCCAATTAGGAGAAGATCAATGCTGGTCTGGCAAGTGCTGTAGCGGCAGGTGGTAGTATGCTAGTTATTGGCACAAGTCATGGTCTTATTTTGGGTTTTGATTCTGCTCAAATTTTAAGATGGTGCCATTGTGATACTCGTCACCAAGGTTCTATTTCTTCCTTGTGCTTCAATCATGATGGGTCCAGAATCCTGGCTGGATTTGCTAAGGGTTACATTCTTATGATTGATTCTTCCAATGGGAAAGTACTCCGAACTCTTACGGATGTTCATGGTCCTGGTACAGCTGTTTTACATGTTAAAGTTAGTTTGATAATTTATTAAATTGCACATGTTCTTAATAACAATATTTCATACTGAAAAATAATTAATTTTGCAGTTTACGGATTCTCCAAAATTAGCATTATGCAGTGATAGTGGAGGTTCAGTTTTCGAGTTGACTTTTACTAGAACAATGGGTGTTAGGGGCTGTGATAGTAAATGTTTGTTTAGTGGATCAAGAGGTGAAGTATGCACTTTGGAACCATTACTTTTAGACGAATTGGCTGCCCACCCTTTGAAAAATTATGTACTTGTAGCTATGGCTACTTTATCCAAAGTTATTGTTGTATGTATAAGACCAAAAATGAGAGTTCTTTTAACTCATCCCCTAAATGGTGCTCCTATGGCTCCACCACAAGTAGCTTGGCAATTAGTGGCAGTTCGATCAGTTGATTCTGAAAGAATAATTGATCCTGTACTGGCTTTAGGAAGAGATAATATAATACAATTTTATCAAGTGAGTTATTTATCTTTCATTCATAATTTGTTTGAAAAAAAGTACATGAAAAATTCATGTTTGTTTAAGGTTTGCGGTGAAGCTGGAATGCGGGTTCGCTTGATACCGCTCCGAAGAATCGTTCTAACATTTACCATGAGTATTTTACGTTGGATGAATTCTCGTTCTTTAGCAGTCCTAGACGTTCAAGAAAAATTGCATTTAATAGACGTACGTACCCAAGAGAGTTTAGAAACTCTTGACGTGAACAACGTCGGTTTGTCCTACGCTTCGAGTCATTTTAAAGGCTTATCGACCGGCGGGAATGTTTCTAAAGCAATGGCTTTAGCAGGCGAACGAGCCTGCTACAATACTGTTATTATATTTGGCTCGCAGTTGTTGCTCCTGGGAATGAAGAGCCTACACGCTGTATGCGTACGAACTTGGATGGAAAGACTACGACATCTTACCATGCAAGTTAGTATACATTCGATTTTGATTGTATGATTTTTCCAGTGCTTCACTATGGAAAAAATATTTTTGCAGAAACGTTATTGCGATGCTTTGGAACTTGGGCTTGATTTATTTCGGGACAAAGGTAAAGCAGTGGTCGGTCTCAAAGGTTCTCGACAGCGTCGCAAACAAATAGTTCAGGATAAAGTGTGTCAAGTTTTGATACGCTACATGGATGAACTTTTAAACAATCCAGGCGAATCAGCTGAGATAGAAATAGTTAGTACGTGCGTCGATTATTGTGTGCAGTTAGAGAGTCCCGATTTATTATTTGGCAAATTATGGGATTATGTGAGCGAGTCTGAAACGTTGAGATCAGTATATTTAAGAGCCTTGGAAACTCCGCTACTTGACGGTTCTTTAATGCCACAGTTGCCTCCATCGATAGCTCAACAATTTGTTGCCCTGTACAACCAGGAAGACAGACTAGATTCTCTTCAGTCAATAATAATTTTACTAAATGTCGATTGTTTGGATATTCATCAAGTCACAACGATCTGCAACGAACGCGGTATGTGGGAAGCTCTAATACATTTACAAACCACGGCGCTTGGAGATTATACTGCGCCCATTCATCAATTAGTCCCAGTATTGCAAAAGCAATTAATGGACAACGAAGGGGCGCAAAATCAAGCTTGGGACTGCATAAGTTTGGGTAACGCTTTGCTTGTCTATGCTAGTTGTTGTCTTCAAGGGAGACAATTTCCACGCAAGAACGAGTTACCGGAAGGAATTCCCCGTAAAATTAAAGCTGACGTGCTCAGAGCTTTGTTGTCTCAACATTCCAGTCTTGCAAGTGATTCCGAAAGGCAATACCCATATCTTAGAACTCTGCTAAGGTAGCTTCTCCTTTCCTTCATATTTTTCGATTAATTGAAAGTATCTTTAAAATGTACATTTTTCAGATTCGATGCCAAAGGTTTTCTTGATGCTCTTGCTATGGCTTTTCAAGAACCTGAATTTACCTCAGAGATGGGCTTACGTCAACGTCAGAGAGTCGTCGACATTCTCCTCACCATCGTCGCAGCCGTCACACCTATCGGACCCGAGAGTTCGGATTATTTGAGTAACGAACAGCGGGTATTTGTTCTCGTTTTCATTGTCGACGAAGTAGTTGAGAGTACGGTTAGTCTCGAATCTTCGTACTTGCAACGCCTCGTAGAAATACTTTGCATCGAGACCAATGGAGAACACAAGTCTCGTCGAGAAAATGCTGTATTGAAGCTTTTACATGGGAATAAAATCACTTGTATACCTGAAGATTCTTTGATTAAACTCGCTCGAAGGGCTAATTTGTAAGTTGAATGTCAAATTATCCATTAATTTTCTTAAGAGATCTTGAAAAATGACAATGAATCCCTATTCCCAGCATGCGAGTAGCCGAACAACTGTACACAAATCGGGGTAATTGGGAGTCAGTATGCGAGTGCATGTTGTCCGATCCCAATCGCCAATCCGAGCTATTTATTTTGCTACAACAACTACCTACAATTCAATTGGAACAAATAATCAAGAAGCAAGCAGTTTCTCTAGTATCGTTTGACGCATCAGGTTTCGCTGGTTTGATCGTTTCACGATTGAGTGATCAATTGGATGGTATTCTTGAAGTGCTGAAAAAAAATCCTGCCAGTGAATATAGACTTCTTACTGATTTGCACTCTCACATTGAACTAACTAATGCTGCAAATGGAGACAGTACTATTGATGGAAGAGAACAGCAATCATCTGAAAATCGAGACAACAGTATGAATGGAATAAAAGTAGAATTAAATGAGAGTAATATGGAACACTATCTCCGACTCATGTGTCGCTTTGAACCTGAAAAAGTAAGTTCTTTTAGCGCTTTAAATAAAAAGGAAATTGTTTTAACACATATAATAATAACTTTAGGTAATGAAGCATCTACGAGGAAATTACGGATGTAAATCTGATAAAGCACTAGAGATAGTTCGCGAAGCCAATCGTAAAGATGGTGAAGCTCTACTTCTCGAGCAATTGGGTAACTATCAGGGCGCCTTTGACCTTCTGCTCGGTCGCCTTAGCGAGATTACAAATTTAGTAAGAAACGATTACAAACGCTTTTCGATATAAACAACTGCAATTCAATATTCAACAATGATTGAATTAATTAACGCTTTGGATTTTGCTTTAAACAGATCGAACGTGATGAGTGCATTCAAGACGAAGCTCACAACATAACTTCACAACTAGCTGGTTTGTGCCGACGCTCGGCCGGAGTACTGGACTGGATGCCTCTCGTCAAAGTTGTTCTCAGTTTACTGAATGGCAGAGATACCCAAAAATGTGAGTTGTTTGATGACCCTGTTTTACAATAATACAAACATTTTATATAATTGCAGGCGATAAAGTGTTCGGCGAGAGATTGCTCAAAATTATTTTAGAAACGCTTAGCGGTACAACCGCTCTGTCATCAGTGTTAGAGTATATTTTAAAACAACCATTATCAACCGGGGGAACTATGGGAGATGTCAGACAACTGCTAACAAGTGTTTTAGCTCAATCCAAGTATGATCAAATTTCAATTGAAACAACTTCAAAAATAGTTAGTTTGGAACTGCACAAAGCTTTAAAAACCACGTTAAAGTACGTTAAATTAAAAAAAATGTTGCCGTATGAGATTACTTCATAATAAAATTCTACGTTTTTCCAGAGAAACCGGTAAAGGTAGAAGCTGTAGCACGATGTTATGCTTTATTTGTCGAAAAAGTCTTGCGCAAGCGAGAGATTACGTTGTGGTATTTAATTGCAATCACACATACCACTTGGAATGCCTCTCAGAACCAAAGATTTGCTGCGAATGCGTTAATATAAAAGGATGGGCACGTCCAGTCACAGATTTTGTTCTTCCTACTGCACATAATAGGAACTTTAAAAACTCACAAGTAATTTAATTGATTATCATTCTTAAAGATATGTAAAAAATTATCGAATTAAATGTGAAATTTTTTAGGAAACCAGAAAATTGGAGCCTCCTAGCTTTATGCAAAAACAATTTCCTACTTTAAGACTTGCGCCCCCAGTTCCTTGGCCAGATTTGGATGACACAATATAGTTGTATTAACATCGTGACTCGGACTTTGAACGGATTGTCTTCTGTTTAACCAAGCTTTTACAGTCAAACTTGTATTTCAATGTCAAAACTCTTGTAAATTTGTAAAAAAAAAAAAACTATAGACATATGTAAATGACTTGATGTGTTATGTATATTAAAAAGTTTTAGGCGTTAAAATGATTTGGTAACATCCCAATGATAATTTCTGAAATGTTATGTAAATTATCATATAGATTTATTGTATTGTTAATAAATGATCCTTAAAAAATGATTATGGATTATCTGTAATTTAATTTTAGGAAAGTAGGAAAAAATTGATTGACTACATAGAAATTTGGTTTTCAATTCTTTTTAGTTGATTTTATTGTGTTCTTGTACTTATAAAAATATTGAACAAATTTACGTTCAAAATAATTCTGTGAAGCAACACTTCCAATCAATTCGTTACCTAGAGTCAAAAGCAATGGTTTATACTTGAATGACAAGTATGTCTAATGACAAGTAGTGCCTACGTTTTTCTTAAAAAATTTAATCAGCCGTGTAAGTGTTTGAAAAATGTGATTATGAAAAAATCCCCCCTCCCCCCTTTCTGAATTAAAAATGTTTTAATTTCAACTTACAAACAACAAAAAATAATGCAAACAAAATCATTTGTAACAGTGTACAAATCTAGTAAAGTATAAATGTAAGATATTAAAGAAATTTGATTATAAATCTAGATTTTTGTGCCAAAATGAAATTAAGTGTCATAACTGTATGTACATACACTACGTTAATTTGCAAAATATATTCATTACCTAAAGCCGTTATTTCAGGCGATCTTAAATAATTATAATAATTAAATGATTCCTTTTACTCTTTCTACTCAACACACTCTTGCTTAGCTAATTTTATTTATAATTTTTTCGTTCGCTAAGGAAGCTCCTGTTTGTTATCTCGTTATATTACACAAATAGTCGAGGAAAAACCAAAAGGAATAATCATACAGTTTATATCGGATCAACCACGTATCCAATTTTTTTATCTTCTCAATGCTATTCAAAAAATTATTTTAATATATACCTATTTATGCTCACGAGTAATATACGCGCGTAGCATGCATGCGTACATTTTATGTAATTCTTATAGAAATGGCGTTGATACTCCCTAGAATATTTAATTCTTTATAATTCATTTTTCTTTATTTTAATCAGACTCTTACTCATACTTGTTTTAACGACAGACGAGCGAATAAGCGATTTCTTCGAATCAATTCATTCTCGTGACTCTCATTTGAAATTATTGTTTTTAATAATAAACTGAAAACATCTTTTATCTCTTATTTTTCCCAATTATATTGTTATAATTGCAGTTTAATATTTATTTATATATTTTTATTTTATATATATTTTTTGATATATATAATATATCTATAACACCACACACATTCATACAGCATACAACTTTATGTCGAGCGCCACATAAATCGTTTGTAAATACTAATGCTCGCAGAGAGTTAATATTAATATTTGGCTATTCTTAGTTTTGTATCGTAAGAAAAAGCGCAAATGGAGCAGAAATAATTTTGAAAACATATTTTTCCAAGATTTAATTTCTTTGTTATATTTTTAAATATTCCAATCTCTTCATTTTTTATCATACTGGGAATATGTTTACAGCTTATCATAAGTCATATTATACAGCAATTGACCATATAGTTTATGATTATTTATGGAATTGATAAGAAAATCAATTTGTATTCATAAGTGTTAGTCTGAAAATACCCAGTCTTAAATTATTTTGACTCAGTCATAATAAAAATATTTACAAACACGCATATTATGTGATTGCATATATTAATGTATGCATACCAGTTAATCAGATAAAAAATTTCAGCTAAATTTATTCAACATCAAATAAAGAAAATATTAAATAAATATGAGGAAAAGGACGGAGCTGCAACGCATTCCACATTAAAAATCCTATTTTCTATATTTGAAGATTGATTCCAAAAAAATGCATGTTATCACGCAAGCATCAATAACTTTTTTATGCATTCTATAAAATGACTCAATCTTTGATTAATGATAATTTTTCCTATTGTACAAATAATTTCATTCAACACCGATAAAGAGTCTGAATAGATTAAGATATTCTGCGTTATAATTCGTATTCAAAAATGCCACTGGTTTTTCAATGTATAGTCATTGAAGTTTAACATCGATAAACGACAAAGTTTGACATTTATTTTCAATAAACTTCATATTCATATACGATAAAAGAAAATTATTTTAAAAAACGGGCGTGATGAAGAAGTATTTGATAATGAAAATAATGAGTTTTAGAATTCAAAAATGTATTTATCCTATCAAGATGGTATTTTTTTTTACACATGATTTTACATCTAATTGTTTGTGACTTGCATGCTAATGATTGATAAAATTCGTGTTATAATTTGTTAAACAATTTTCATTCTCAATTTTCGTTATCAAACTCATTCAAACCGTACAAATCAAATATTCATCGATTTAACATGACAAACACATCTATGATAAATTTCGAGCGAAACATTAGCAAATAAAAAGTTATAACATTATAATAGCTTCATTACTCGTTTACAATGCCTCGCATTTTCTATTTTTTATATTCAAAAATTTATAAGAGCCATCATATTCGTAATGGTACATTTTCTCGATTTAGGATTTTCTTTCAAAAACATGCGTGATTCAAGTATTATATATAATTATTGCAATAATTAAATGCAATGAAAATTACACGAGCATGAAGTAAATTATCATGTCAAATAAAATTTATCGTTGAACCACATAAAAATTCTACATTTTTGAACGATAGTTACATACGACTTTATGTTTAAATTTTTGAAAAATACGTATTTATAATTGGTATTAGCTCTACCTTAAAGACACAATTTATGGATAATAAAAAAAAAAAATAATATTTAATTTATATAAATTATTTTAAGGATAATTTCAGAGATGTGAATATGAATTCATTTTAATAAACTAAAATGTTCCATAACATTTGACCTTAACATTATATGTTACAATTTTATAATTAGTCTTACAGCTAGAAATAATTAATACATCTCACTACTAATCATTACAATTCGATCATAGCCTAAATGCTAGATTGTAAAAGAATCGAACGGTCGTATATTATTCATCTCTCACCCATACATGTTTGTTTTTATGCGATATTCACTAACCGCAGTAAATTTTACTTTCAAATGCACAAGTATGTCAATCTTGACACTTTTATTGCAAAAAATCTGCTGATATTGTTGTCCTATAGTCTATGCAATAGTAACTATAAAATTATTAATGGTTATTTTAATTATTTCTTAAAATGGAATAAAACAACAACAAATGACATTTGGAAATAAACAAAAAATGAACCAAAGTGCATAAGCAAAACGTTCGTGGTAGAGATTAGGAGGAATAATGTTTACGTAAAAACGTATAATTCGTGCCTTCGTCTGATGTCCAAATATCGCTTTCATTATTACGTGTCATTTGAAGACTCGTGGGCAATATATTTTTCTACTTCATAGGCGCAAATAGCCTAAATTATTGTTGTTAGAGCGAAATCGATCCCGATCCTTTCTTATAAAATTAGCATTGAATAGAAGAGGACAACGTTATTACCAGCAGTACTACTATTACGAATTAATCAGTCCTATCTACGCCTTTGATTGCGTTTGTTGTGATTATGATTACGATAATGTTGTCGATTGCCTCCGTTGTGCCAAGATCGATGGTTATAATTACCATAACTATTTCGATTATAATTGCCGTGTCCATTGTTCATCTGATTGTTTCGCCACTTGTTATTTTGATGCTCTTGGAAAGGATTATAATCGCGACCGTTACTGTTGTGGTATTTATTGTTATAGTTATTATCATAATGGTTCGTTTTGACTTTTTTTGTTCGACCTTTGTCGATTTCATCATCTTCGTCGTCGTACCGACGTTTGATGCGTTCTTTGTGGCGTTGTGTTTCCACTTCACGATCTAAACGCGCTTTACCACCATTCCAACTATGCACTATAAATAAAAAAACCAACATTAATATGGTTCTATTTTAAAAAGCCATGATAATGAGTAAGTTAATTTCTTTTATATTACCATTTGTATTACCATATCCCCACAGAGAACTTTTTAATAACTGAGTAGTAGTATCAGAACGATTTGTTCCATTGAAATTCCTGACGTCAGCAGCATTTGGAGAGTGATTATGTGATGATCGGCCGTTGCTTTGAGATTCATTTCTATCCCTATAATGTACATTTGAACGCATATTAATATCTTGATTGGTTGTAGTCGTGACTTACACACGAATATTCATTTCTAAGTATACTCTATTCTAATCTAAATCTTCTATTTAATAAAATACTTTCATGCTACAATCCAACCTTAAATTAATATTAAATCATATATGTAAGCAATTTCTAAATTCAATTACTTTTTTACCCTACGATTGAGCAAGATTAAATTTAAAAATAAATAAGCGTGTAAAATGAGCGTGCAGTAAAAGGATTAGAATAACTTATATGTATATACTATACGCGTAGATTTAGGGATAAATCGATAAATTGATTTCACAATAATGGTGATTGATCACTGCTTTACATAATATGTTTGTTACCTTCAAATTTAGTCAGCAGCAATAATAAGGATTTCCGGACATCGAAAACTACTCTACTAAAACGACAACGACAACTTACGAAAAAATATCGGAGACTGACCAGCCATTGGCGGTGACGAATGATGACGGCGCAGGAGTATCCTGAGAAACGTCCCATCCCTTGTTGAGGCTGGCTTTGGCGAATACTTTCTCGTTGGCTTCGCCTCGCTGATGCTGTTTGTAAGCAAATTTGCCATTGCTCAGACCGTTCGCCTGCGACGGACCACTTTTCGATGGGCTTTTGATCATTTCGGACCTCTCATGACCGTTGGTGAGTTCGAGTTCCGTCGAACTTTTTGATGCGTTACCGTTGCTACTTATTTGTGGTGGCGCAGGCGGTGTTTTAACACCATTGCTATCTCCGTTGGTTGAGTGATTGTGTCCGTTCGTCAGACCATTCGTGACATTCGATTTTCCATTTGTTTCAGAATTTCCATTTGTAAACAGTGGCTTTTTGACTGGTCCGTCATAATCTTCATCTTCACTCGATTCTGCTTCGTAATCGACCAATTTTCCGTTGCCACCGCCATTGCTCATTACTGCCAGTCTGCGATTCATTTATTTTCTTTTTAAAAACTAGAACTACTTTTACAGCTACACCGCGATACTAATATTTCATACATAAACTTTCATAATAATTTATAAGACGAAGAAATAAACAAACACTGGAGAAAAATAGGGAACTAACTCGATATTTTCTGGTGGATGGCTACAGAAATTTTCATTTTTCATCAACCAGTTTATTGATTTATAATATTTTCAAGACTATTTACCTTTCTTTCGTCATGCCAGGTGGTAATTGAGGACCAATGAAGCTGCGCCTGTCTTGGTTCTGTTGAGGTGACTTTCCGGATGAACTTGAAGTCTCTGCATTTTTTGACTCACCATTGATTCCATTACTGCATCTATTCGACGAAGGTGCACTGCTACCTGCACTGCTACTACTACTACTACTTGTGCCTGCTCCACTGTTATCAGAGAGTCTACTCGACAAACCATTCACGTGGGTGACTGAAGATGAAAGTTGAGATGTTGTTCCGTCGCTCTTTGATCCTGCAACTTGGCTGCTGCCACTCTTAGTTTGTTGGCTAACCAAAACTGAAGAAGGGTCCATCTCAAAAATCATGATATAGGCATTCGTTGACATAACGTTATTATCAGAGATTCTACGAACCTAAAAAGAAAAGAATATAAATTTTTTTCCTGAATGAAGTTTTTATAAGAGCTTGCTAATAGTTTCTTATTTTTGAACTCACGTAAGAATCGTCAAAAGAATAAAATTGTCCAGTTGCATCTTTTGCTACGGCAGTGTAATGTCCACAATTAACAGATGGCCCCATATGCGTAACCATTGAGGCAAGCTTATAAAAAATTTTTCTTGGAGCTTCACCAGGTTTGCGTCTCAGATACGGACCCATGTCAATGCTTGGTTTGAAGCCAATGTGTCTTGATATCTTACCACCTAAAACGCTGAATCGCTTCAACTGAACACAGAGTACCTTAGGCGGTCTCTCTAGTATAAATTGTTTACAAGCAGGTACTCGGCGTTTACACGCTTCGCATTTATAATCATTATTATCTAGCTGCTCTTGACAAAAGTAATTTGACAATGCTTCATCTAGTGTACTGGCTTTTCGTATATCTAATAATAAATCTTGAAAATGTTGAAATGTAGTAGAAACATGTCGACATTGAAGACACTTGACTTCAGTCCTGAGGTAACCCCCAAAAATTTGATTGATAGGGGTGGTCTCTTTTGAGTAACTGTCTAGTTTTGTAGCTTTGAGACGAGCTAAATAAGCTTTTTCCATACCTTCTAAAAGATAACGTAAAAATTCATGGGCATCTTCTTGCTGCCCTGGCACCATTGTCCTGCAAATAACTGTAAATACAATTAATTTATAAAATTTACTTGACTGCTGAAACAAGAAAAATTTCAAAAACTACATGAAAACTTACGCTTTAGTTTACTGTAAACCCAAACAGGCTTGATTGAATCGCCAGACTTTTCATGACTGGCTTGTAGAGTTTTTGCAACAGCACATGTAAGGCACTCACCACCTGCATCTAAATGGAAACGATGTTTCACTATCGTTTCAAATAAGTATGTAATTAGTGCAAGGAAATAACTACAGGATTTATGTAGAAAGGTTTTGTCATAACAAATATAAAGTTATCAGTTTACTATCAGAATACTGATAATTAAAAGGGGGTTGATGAATTTATAAGTAGTCTATTTGGATTTCAAAAAGTGCATCTATGAGAAAAATATATTCAAAACTTACCATTTTGGTCGCATTTCGATTGATGATGGGAATCAGAAAGCAGCCAATTTACTAAAGCGGGAACATGAAAAAGTGCTTGCAAAGTGCTATTTAAATAACAGGTATTTCCAACGTTCATCATACCAGCTCCTGGAGGAAACTTTTCTTTCCATCCAAGATTCACTTTTTCAACTGGATATAAAGTATATGCAGGCTCTGGTAATCTAGGCTCTTTACTTTTGTCATTAGCTTTAGAGGACCCAGATCCTTCCTTCTCGCTCTCTGCTTCTTTTTCTGGTTTTGGCAAACTAAGTACCATGTACTTAGTTTTAAGGCGCTCTTGCATTGATGATCTACAATTATCAGTTTCCACATACTCTATTTCTGTGTTGAGAATGCGAGAAGCACTGCCTAAATTCAAAGTTAGGTCGTCTGAAGATTTCAACTGACCAGCAGTGTCTATGTTGTGGCGAATGGCCATTGTCAATGGGTCACAGACGCTAACCGCAGGCATTTTGTTGGATTTAGAAAGTTTATTCAAACTAGCCACAGTGCCCAGCTTTGCGACAGCTTTTTGAACTTTTTGATCAGTTGTAGGCTCTTAGCCTACCTTTTCTGAAACATTAAAGAAATTTCCATTAAAACTATGCACATAGAAATAATATTTAATCATAAATCATTTTTTCAACCTCACTTGTTTGAAATGTAAAAAAAAAAATGGAATGATCTATAAAATAGTCTTAAGCAAAATAACTAAATCTATGATTTTTCAAGCATAATACAAGGTGAATAGAATTCAGCACAAGAAAAGATCGACGAGAGACAAAATGAAACTTTCAAAAAATATAAATCGACGTCCGTACGCACACGTGCAAAACGTCTAAACCATATAAGTACAACACTTGCATGACGGGTCGTGAAACTTTTTGAACGAATGAATGAAATAAAATGATCTTAATGTTTTAGAGAAAAAACCTCGATTGTAATCGAAAATTATTATAAACGAGCATACGAGAAATTCATGTATCTTTTTTTATTCTCGAAAAACTCACGTGTCAAGAACCGTATTAGTACTTTTATTACTATCGTAGAGCATTGCTACTAGGTAAGATAGGTGTAGCAGTAGGAATGTAAGATGAGAGGGAAAGATTATAAAAGCGTCTGCCTCGCAGAGCAGTAGCATTAGATAGCAGTAGCAGTAGATGCAGCAGCAGCGCCGGCAGCAGCCTCATCGCGCAATATCGTGTGTATAGTACACAGCAGCAGTTAAAGGATAGAATAGTCACATATATATTAGCGCAAACGTGTGTGTGTGTATAGCACACGTATCGATCGGAAAACGGGGGGTCTTACTATATACTCGTGCAATGCATATCGCATGTAATAGCATGGGTACTACACGAGAGCGGCACGCACGAGAGATGTCGGCGAAAATGCACAGCACAATTTTATGCACGATATCTATAGCAATCTTGTAATCGCAATTATTTATTAGGCCAATCTTCACTGATAATCATTCGCAGCTGTTCATCAATAGTAGCACGAGGTTGATAGTTTATGTACCAAGAAAAAGTGATCAAGGTAGACATGAAATAACGCCGGTTTGTTTCGGAGCGTGCCAATTTGATATGTAGGGGTCCAGCCTCGGGCAGGTTACTGCACGATGAGTGCAGCGACTGTGCGAAAGTGAGTACGGAGTGGACTCGAGAGGCGAATTTCGACATCGCGCGCGAAACGAAGCGTGCGGCTCTGTATGCTATCCTGGTCCTGTAGCTGTATCATGTGTCAAAAAAATGTGCAAATAAAGCAGCACTAAGATAAACCAACCTGATATAGAGTATGTATGTATGAGTAACGATCGACGCCGTTGAAGCGACGACCATCGATAGATGCCGATCATCGTTTAAATACCCACATGACCTCTTTGGCACTTGTAACTCTTGGAAATGGTTAAATCGCTATCACTCGGAGTTGTACCATTACTATCTACTATCGCACACCGGGTATAAGATGTAATGTGTTTTACGCGCGCCGGATGACGTACAACGCGTCGTCGCGGAAAATCCAACACTAACATTAACTAGTGTGGCGTACGTGCGTGTGGTGGTGGCGGCGGCGACGGCGGCAATAAAACGACCTACACACACAAGCGATCGAGGTATACACGCAGACGGCAACTCGCCTCGCTGCATACACGTAAGTGTCGGGCAGTGCATGCAGTGCACTCGATTCGCGGAGTTGCTCGAGTTTCTCTCTATATAGACGTCTGCGTGCGCGAGACGAGGTATGCTGCGGCCGTGCTGTGTGTCGTATAATATTCGCGCGAGACTCTGAGGCCGCTCGTTGGCCGACGTACCAGGAGAGGCGCCACCGTCCCTCGTTGTAATCGTAGATTTTCTCTCGGCTCGACTCGACTCGACTGTCCTAATGAATTAATCCGAGCGAGGATAAATATTGATATCGAAATGCCAAAATGTCGACTTAGTACTTGAATCTAACGTATGATAGAGAGGTCGATTGACGGGGATTTTTGGTGAGTGCGTACGTCGTGCACCGAATGCGAGCATATCGTCTCGATGTAGGTACAGCAACGATGCGGCTCCCCGCGTGCTTACGACCCACACACACACTCAGCAATTATATAAAATGTCGCGTGAAAGTAAACGGAGCGACAGGAGAAGAAAAAGGAGAGCAGGAAAAAAAACAAAGTTGTCTCGTCGCACGAGAAGGGTCCAAAATTCAAATGTTCGCAAAAAAAGAAGTCTGAAAAAGTTGAACAACAAGAGGGGTGGCGCAAAAAAGGATCATCCACCTCGGCGCACCTCGAGTTCCTTTAAAACATTAAGCACGGACGCGCATACATGCGAATTTAAAGGGCAACGTGCGCGTATACATGTAAGCGTTCATGGGGAGCAAGCGTACATCGCCCCTATTAGGCCAGTTCGATATATAGAGAAGCATGGTTGCCTCCGCGCTCGCCGCACAGAGCGAGCGAAACACACAAACGCACGAGGTTATGACAGTTGCAAAAACCTCGTGTGCTGCTCGCTGTTGCTCGTTCACACATCTCTCGCGGACTTTTCACCTCTCTGTGCAAGAGGCATCGAAGAAACTACGAATGTTGAAGCGTCGATGACTTACCTTGTATTTTTGGATGCCCGTGTAGGCTGTAGCATGTGCACCAGGTCCGGATGGTGCCTCGCTCGTGATCCGTGACTGGCGAGGCCGAGCACACCCACGAAGTTTGACAATCGTGCGAGGAAACAGCCGCGTCGGCTCCAGGAGACGATGGCTCGCAGAGCTGCAGAACGAGAGCGAGGAACGAGACACGAAGACACAACTGTGACAGGCACCAGTCACACACTCACTCACAGTTCACACACAAACGCGCCGAGTAGTAGTCGATTCGGGAGCAGTAGCAGCATCGCGTCTTCTCGTAGCGAGTCTAATGCACGTGCTTCCTCGGCTGCGAGACTGATAAAAACCGGCGGCGCGCTGGATGGACGAAAACTTGCCTCGCCACGCTGTACTAGGCTCCTAATAATCGGAGAGCTCGCGGACTGCGCGGGAGACGACGAACAGAAGAGCAAAAAAAACGGATAAAAGTCGCGCAAGGCGGACTCTCGATACGAGCAGTATAAACTATATAGTAGCGAGGCGAGAGCGAGGCGAGAGCGACGTAGCGAAGAGAGAGAAAGCACACGTGTGTGTATGAGCGGCTGCGGCTCGTCGGCGGCGGTGGCGGCAAGCACACACGCACGAATTACGATCTCGCCTCGCACCACGGACTGCACTATACGCGCGGCGGGAGCCGCGGACTATCCGGATCAGTGTGTACGAGAACTGTATATGCTCGCTCGACGAGCTGCACCGTGGAGCGTATACAGTGCAGGATACACGTTTTGATGCTCGTGTCGCGCGCGCGCAAGCAAGCAATTGCCTCGTTGCTTGATTGCGATCTATCGATACGAATTTACGATATTTCGGTGCACGCGCGTCGCCGAAGTTTTCGCGGAGCCGCTAGCGAAGCACGCGCGATTTACGTTGAACTTTGGACGCTCCGATATCGCTTGGGTCAAGTTGCCTCCAGTCGGCACTTTGCTCCGGCTTTGATTCGCGAGCCTCTCGAAACCCTCGACTTAACCTCAAATATCGACAAGTCGATCAGTATAATATAGCGGCTACCATGAGTGCTTTACATGACCCCTGTGGGCTTGCTTTTCTTCGTGCAACGACGAGTGCTCGAGTGTCGATATGCAGGAGCGCAGCACGATGGCGCGAATATTCGAAGCGTGAAAACTGCAATGATTCATCGTTCTCTCTCTCTTGGTATTCTATGGAAAGACAGATTTTTATTGCCAGCTCGTGCGTTACAAATCAGGCCAGTCGCCATCGATTCATCGATTTTCAGTCGTTCCAATCGATCCGATCCCGGGAACGGGGACTCGCGTCCTCCTCGTTCTCGGACCCGTCCGAGTCTCCCTGATCGTAAAAGTCGCTCCAGTTGTCGTCCAGCCGATCGGCTTGACTCGGCTCGTCGTCGTCGTCGTCGTCGCTGTTCCTGCCGAAGAGGTCCCGCTGCAGCACCATCTCGCGCAGCTCCCGGGCCCGGGCCTCGGCCTGGTTGGCCGCCTCGGCCTGCAGCGTGCTCAGCCGTTTGGTGCGCAGTCGTGGCCGCGAGCGCTTCATCAGGGGACGCGTCCTCGGCGGCGTCGGCTCCATTATGCGCTTGAGCGCGTTCGCCAGGTAGCGGGCCAGTGCGCGCTGCAACCAACAAAAACGCGCGACGGTTATATTATTGAAGTCGGTACGACGTATACAAATGTCCTACAGATCTGTCGATAGATCTAGGATTCTATGCCGATCGACGAGCATTACAGCTATTCTACGTTTTTTTTTATATATAAATAAAATATTAATGTTATATTCTATCATACAGGATCTCAGTTAAAAATTACGCGTACAGTTCATTCTCTCAAGAACGCGTCATTTTTTGGAGATAAAGAGAAAAATGTTTTTACAAAGACAAAAAGTTACTGCCTTTGATAAAACGAATAATTTTTTTACATTCGTGTGAATTTTTTATCTTTGACCTTTCTTTTTCATCGAATATTTCTTTCTAATTGACCATCTATTTTCTTGAGTCCACTACGGAAATTGTATCACGAATTTTATTAATGAAAAACGATGGATTGAACATTTTTCTCCAATCACCCTCGAATATTATTTGTAAAAAAAAGGATTTTCATGCTGCGAGAATCAAAAGACAACGTTTTACACGTTCGAAAATTGGTCCTGGTAAAAATTGAGTAGGGCCTCTGTGTCGAAATAATATTAGACATTGATGAAAAACGCGTAAAGTGTGTGAGAAAAATCTACTTCCAGTTGTGCACGGGTAGGTAGGGGACAATTAACATAATAATCTCACTGGCAAATGAAATTGGAAAAAAGTAAAAATCTGTCGAATGAAAGAAACTTTGATTTTCGTTCTAATTATATTGGCGTTTTCTATTAATGTACTGTGATGCCAAAACACGTAATGACGAGTTTACGGAAAGATGAACCATATAAAAGTGTAGATTTCTCGTAACTTTTTAAAATTCACTCAATATACATTTTGTTTGTTTAAAATCGTTTACTTTTACACTAGGTTTGTCGAACTGGATGAAACCAAGCGTTCCATCGAGTAATCAACACTTTTAAGTGTAATCCATCAATGACACAAGGTGTGCGACGTAAAAGCGACGTGCAAGCAGCTGTTACTCAATAGCCACCGATGCTCTCGTAAGAAGTGTCTCTATGCGAATTACTCTAGGCTCGTACAATACACGAGAAAAAGGAGCTATCATTAAGCAATTACGAGCAGGACGAAAAAAAAGGCACGAAAAAGAAAAGGCGCGCATTAGCTCGTCATAATAACGGGATGGACTCGACGTAATTGCGCCAACAATGTTGCGTGCGACACGATGAAAATAATTAAGTCATCAGCTCGTACAGTAGACACACACAGTAGGTAGGTTTGTGAAGCGCAGACCTTTTTGGCGGCCTCCTCGGCCTCGCGCATCTTCTTCATCTCAGCCCGGAAGCCCTCCTTCTCGCAGACGGCCACGACGTATCTCGGCAGGGCGTCGAGCTGGCAGCACATCTTCTCGTAGGCGTCCTCCAGGGCCTTGACCATGAGGATCGGTTTGAGCGGCACCTGCTGCGCCTCCCGCTGCTCCTCCTCCTTCTTCTGCCACTCTAATTTTCTGGCGGTGGCGAGCGCATCGCCGTCGGCTTGCAAGCAGCAGCTCTTGTAGGCCTGCTCGATGAGGCTGCGCGTGTGCAGCGCCCTGGCCGACGCCACCAGCTCGACCATCTTGTCCTCCTTGAGGCGGGCGGCCTTGGCCTCGAAGCGCTCGGCCCGTCTCTCCTCCAGTCTGATCTTGCGGCGGGTCGCCTCGATGTCCTCGGCGATCTCGTTGAGCTCGTCGCGCAGGCTCCGCTCGGTCCTGTCCAGCTGGTCCTTCAGCTCGACCATGGGGCCGCCGAGCGACTCGAGATTCACCAGGGCGCTCACGTTCTGGATCTCCATCTCGCTGAAGCGTCGCAGCAGGTCGTCCGCGTTGTCGAGGCCGAGATCGCTCGGCTTCCGGGCGGTCGACTCTCTCAAGCGAGCCGCGTCCTGATTGAACGTAACTGCAACAAAATGACACGCGCTCGACTCGATCGACGATCTTCTCTATATACTAGTAACAGTGCGGCTCACTTATGAGCGACTCGAGCGAGCCGATGTCCGAGATGTTCAACTGGCTGTCTTTGGTGGCTTTGGCATCGTCGAGAAGATCGTTGAGGTCGTTGGCTACGTCGTCGTCATCGTCGTCGTCGTCGTCGTCGAGGCGATTCTCGGCCAGCTGGTGCAGGAAGCGGTGACAAGCCCGGACCGTCCTAAAGGCCTCCTCCCACCTGTAGACCTCGAGGCGCATGGCGCCGTACTCGCGCGACAGCTCGTCCCGCTTCTCGCTCAACTCGAGGGTGCGGGCGAGCTCGTTGTCGGCCTGGCCGAGGGCCCGCATGCTCTCGTCGTGGTCCTTGGCCACGAACTGCTCGAGGCTCTCGACGCACTCGAGGTACTTGCGCTTGATGCGCAGGAAGCGCTGCCGCTCGATGTTGAGCTTCTGGTCGATCTGTATGACGCAGTCCCGCTTCAGCCCGGCCACGAGCTTCCACTTGGACAGCAGCCTGATGTCGCGCACGTAGTCGCTCATCGAGAAGGCGTTCGAGGCCGCTGCGGCCTTGCGAAACACTTGGCTGTTGTCGAGGTCGACGGACTTTTTCGACCGGTCGCCGGCCTCGAGGTCCTGGGTGAGCTTGCGCACCGACAGAGGCGGCTCCGCTCCGTCGGCCTTGTCGCGCTCGTTGCGCCTGTTCTTGTAGTGCCAGTAGGCCAGCAGCTGAGCGTCGCCCGGCACACTGAACGGATTGTGCGGCTTGGCCTTGGCCTCCGCTCCTGCTCCTCCTCTCTTGCTTTTCCTGCAGCGACGAGCGCGATCGAGATCGATCGTTTAGTGGCACGAGTCATACTTTTTGAGCGCTGCGCTTACCTCTTCGTGACATTCCGTTTGACGCTGTTTGACATCTCGTGGCTTCCGGGGAGGAGGATGCAGCGACAAAAAAAGGAGAGAAACTAGTCCGCGCGACTCAGCGACTCGCTCGTCGCTCTACCGAATGGGCCACTTTCGACTAGGAGACAAGCTCGCCGAGCGATAACACCGACACATGTTCGGCACGTCGTTCGATTTGACAAATTCACGCGACGATCGATCCACGAGCCTACGCATGATGATCCGTGCGTTCAGTCGTGGTGCACTGTCGAGTGCATCGATGCAGCACGGGAGGTTGTTTGAGCGGCGTTGCTATGGGTTATATCGCGCGCGCGCGCGAGTTATGTCAAAAAAGGATCATTCGCGAGCCGACGACGAGCGAGCGAGTGCAACGTCCTCAGGCGCGCGCGAATTTCTCTTTTTTGACTTTTGTTTAGCTTCGAGTCGAGTCGGAGAATGGCCCCCTTTGACAGGAGAATGAGGCGTAATTGTTACGTTCGTGCATAATTATGTCGCACACGCAACGATGATCAATTTCAATTTCAATATCACGCGCACGTACACAGGCGCACTTTCACCTGCCTTAGCTTTGATCCGACTTATGGGACAAAACGAGAAAATACAAATAAAAGAATTACTTTTTTTGTTTTATAGTTATGCTTGACGCGTAATAATAATGTGCGCGACCGAGTCGACGCGTATACGTCGGAAGAATTCGAAAAGACGACTGGGCCCCGGGAGCGACTGTCGCGTCGCAGGACATTTTTATCGAGCCGATTTAATCGGTACCATAAGCTCGACAAAGACAGAGAGAGAGAGAGAGAGAGAGAGAGAGAAAGAGAGAGAGAAAGAAAAAGTAGGAAAAAAAATTATGCACCGTCGAGATTTTCCTCGTCGTTACGTGTCTATAAAGCAAAACAAAGTAAAATGAGATTAAGACGAGATCGCTGCCGTTGTTGTTGCTGTTGCTGCTGCTGCTGTGCGCTCGTTATAACATAACTGCTATATGCGGTTTAGCGAGCGCGCAAAAATGGGGAGAAGGTCCTACGAGGAGCATCTCGGCGTGGAATTGTTTAGAAGAAGAAATCGCGTCCGGAAATCTGTCAGTGTACACTCACACACGGAGCTCGACATTACACGTAGTAGTGTGTGTGTACACAGGCCAGTTGAGCGCGGATCGTAGCATAAAGGACACGGACCCGTGCACCCGCATCTCTTTTATGGAACATGGAGCTCTGAAACGAGCGGCTCGCGCGCCTCCGAGTAGCGGCCACTTTCATTGTTGTCTTATCTGCCGAACGAGACGCTTCGAGAAGAGAGTTTTACGCGCGCGCACATATACGTACGCTTTCGAGATTGCGCGCCAGTGAGTTTTTCTATATTTTTTTTTCTTCGAGTGATGAGCTTTGCTCCGAAAAAAGGGTGCTTCCAAGGCTGGATCCTGCTTTTCCAGCCGAATCAGTGAATTCGCATAGTTCAGCGCTTACAACTGAAACTTTCATTTCGCGCGTGCATATTACAAATTACGTTCGTACGAAATATAATAAAAAGAGGAAAAATAAGGCTGCCGCTGCTTTCTAATACGCGCGCAATTATTTGGAATTCATCGAAACAAAAATAATTTCCTGACTTTCTGTGGAAAAAATAGGATAAAAAAACAGTGTCACTCGAGTGTGTGTGAATGTATGTGTGGGAAATCTTGTGCCTCAACATACATACAGCTGAGTTTTTCCGTTTGGAATAAAAGTATATATCGAAATATCCCTCGGAAGCTCGCCAAGTCGCGCTCGACAGCGGATGAGCGTCATTTACAACTCTCGTCTTAGCAACTGCAAAATTTGTCCAAATCACGCCCGTCGTCTCGCTCGGCGCAATTGCGTAAGCGGCTGGCAAAAATTCTGCCAGCTAATATCCCCCCGCGTTCGGCAGCGCTGCGCCTACACGGATATCTATCGATGAGGATCAGAGCTCGTAACAACAATAGGTAATCCGTATCGGTTTGGCCCTGCTGCATCCAGGCGAGCGGCAACGATCGCGTAACAGCTCCGCAAGTCCATACGGATATACAGACGAGAGGAGGTGTCGAAAGATAAATAACTCAGCATATATACGAGGAGAATCATATATCGCGCGGCTTTCTCAGCGGGAGGCGAAAGTTGCCTGTGCACCTGCGGACGCGGATGTCATGCATCCTGGAACAACAACTGCATCGTCGTCGGCTTGCATTAGGCACTTCCTCGGCTGCGAGTCAAGCGTTGCCAAAGCCGCCGCGTCCTGAGAGCGAGCTTCAGTAATCGCTCGACGATCGGGCCGATCGCCTCCTCCTCCTTCATGTAGACCTGCAACATGAAGCAGATGAAAAACTCGTCGATCGCTCTCGTGCTCGCGTTAGCCGTAATAACGAGCGGTTGCCTCGCGGTGGCGGCGGCCGAGCGTCGCTGCGGCGACAGGCTCGAGCGAGCCCTCGACATGATGCATCAGCGCAGCCACTTGGCCAGGCGAAGGTACGAGCCGGACTCCGACCTCGATCCGATTTATCGCCAACGACTCAGATCCGCGCCGATCGACGTTTCCGTCACGAAGCTCGTCGTCGAGGTAATCGCGAGCATCGCATCCGCACCGTTGCGCAATTACCGATTTATTCGTACATTTTTACCGATTTATCCGATTTCTCTTTCAGATACCCAATCCCAAGTCGAACAATCGCGTGGACCCGAGCAACTGGGCCAAGGTCGAGCGCTGCAGCTACGAGCCGAGCAACAATTCCATACGCACGCGAGTGGCTTTCAACGAGCTCGCCGTCACGGGCTTGGTGCAGCTCGTCGCGCACGATCTCGCCTCCGCCTCGTCGCCGATCTCGCGACAGCAGCAGCAGCCGGAACCGCGTCTCCTCTTGCCGGCCGAGTCCTGTCGCATGAGTCTGCGTCTGCGACGCGCCGGCATGGAGTTTTACACGAGCCCCATAGCCCGTGGCCGCGGCCAGATGCGCATCAGGACCGAGTCGAGCTTCCTCGAGCCGAGATTCGCCTCGATTTACGCCTACGGCTGCAGGCCCATGGTCAACTCCATGATTCAGCCCTACTCGGACCGCTTGATGGATAGCGAGCCGAGGATCAGGCGCAGTGGGCGCGCTGCTCCTGCTGCTGCTGCTTCTGATGCTGACGCGAAAAAATCCAGAATCTACGATCCAACGATCAGCGACTCGGCCAATCTCTTGGCCAACTCGTCGGCCTACGACGACTCCATCGAGGAGGAAAACCGACTCAGTGGCAACGTCGTCGGTGGAAATCCGGCGGCCGATGCTCTGCTCGATTCCTTGTGGCGATCCAGAGCCGACATTGCCCGCGAAATGGAGGACGTCTTTCTGAGGAGTGCCAGTCAGGCTATCACGCACTACTTCGAGAAGCAGCTGCATCCAGCTATCAAAGAGACGCTCATGTTATCCATGGGCTATACAATAAGCTACGGATGAACTGGTCTTTCTACTCGATTGAATAATAAATTAATTCGGATACTTGTTTTTTTTTTTATAATAATAAAATTCCATTATTATTAAGAGCAAAGGTTATCATGCTTCGTATGCTACAGCTAATTACACGAGTATTTATACAAAATGAATAACCTTCGCAGCTGATGAACGTATGCATAGTCGCACATGAGATGTTTTTGAATAACATTATGTTTTTTTTTTCTAAAAAAAAAATTTCATAAACGAAGTAAATGTACAGACGCAGTAATTTGTGTTCTTTGATGAATAAAATAAAAAAAAAGAACCGTAGATTTTTGTACACATTGACAACGAATACATTCTTAAGTTCTACATTATAAAGTAATTATAAAGTAATTAATCATGAGTGAGTTTAACTGTGCTCCCACACAAAATTTTTCCAACAAAACTTATTTTCATTTATAATTTTATTTTTTGTATTTACATTATTTACCAATTTATCAATTGTATATCAAAAAAAGATCAAGTTTTTTAGATTTACTTGATTACTTACAAGTAATCTCATTTTTCCATACTATATTATTAAACAAAAAGTACGGTAGAAAATATATCACACACGATCTACTTTTAAAAGTTCATTCTATATACGATAGTAAGTCTGTAGATTTAATTTGTTTACAAATTATATATTTCAGATCGAACAAAAAGAAAAAAAAATCAAGCACTCGGCAAGAATTATGTATAATGAAGTTATTTTACCTCCCAAGTGAGGATATGCAAAATTCACTCAATAATGACTGATCAATATCACATAGAAACTTCTACAACGTAACTCTCGGCAGGCAGTATAAATAATACGTTTTTTTAAGATCTTCTCAGCGCTCCAATATCCTTCGCCGGCACCACTCTCGTTAAGATATTCTGTTCGTTTAAAATTTGTTCTGATGTTTAATATTAGAAATGAACGACAAATTTAAAAATGCAATGCTAAGGAGTAATTAAAAATAATGCAATTATTTTTAAAAAATGTCCAAAGCAATATATTGTATTATGATAAAAATAAATTATCGATTTGTTTTTACAGTAATTTCAAATGTCCACATCTATACCTCGTTAAATCCTTAAGCTTTAATCACAGCGACACACCGTCGAGAGAGAAGAGACAAAACTTCAACGATGTCACATGGATCTTTTTGTTTCATTAAAACCGACGTTGAAATTATTATTTTTATAGTACACGAGTTCAACTACGCAGTGGAATAATGAAGAACAAAATGTTAAACTATCAGCGAGATATTACCGATTACGCAATTATCATGTACAATAAAGTCGTTGAACGGCATTATATTTAGGTACTGTAAAAAAATAAAGAGCCAGCTAAAACTCATTATCTCTTCGCTAAACATTTTTTCTTTGTTTTTCTTGCAAATAGTAATACAACACAATAAAATAATCCTTGCGTTCGTTTCGAGAATAGAAAACCTCTTCCGTAATTAATAATTAATATTTGTACAAGTAATTAATTCGTAAATGCCGAGCAATTCATAATGACGGCAACAACATATCAAAGAGGATTTTATCCCTTTCTCACACTGTCTTTAATAACAATAATAATGTAAACGTGCAACCCGGTCGATTTAATTGTTTCTTTTTCGTGTTTTATTAAAGAATGCTGAATTTGATCAGTTAGTATATATTTATACAATGGCTCAATTGCCTCAAAACTGTTGAACAGTACGAGGCTTGTTTTATAGCTTTACATAAAAAGCTAAGATTATGTGTTTGTTTTCAATTCTGTGTGTGTATGTAGAATATTTGTGTATGTATGTATAGTATATTAACAAATCGTGGGCTGCCCTCCATTATAATCCATGCGCGATACGTCGATGCTCATTACTACAACTTCTTGGACACAATTCACCTGGTCGCGTGGGCGGATATAGGCGAGGGCGCTTGCGGCTGAGGCGATATTTGCCCTGGTCAAGGCTGAGCTTGATGGAAGCTGCTAGGCAGGTGAGGCCTACCTTCCAATTTTGAGTACTCTAGATGGAATTCTTTTGCCACTTTGCGCCAATTTTGCGCATCAAAGTAGTAATAAGTACCACGCTCGTACGTAGCTGTTTTTTCTTCGGGTTCTAAACCTTGCGCTTGCGTTATCCACACTTTTTCTTCCATATGGTACCGCCATTCTCGAGTATACCTTTAGATTACACATAGTATCACAGTTTTTAATTTATCAAAAAAAGAAATCTCATTCGCGACAACTCGCCAATTGTTAAACTTACAATTCTGCTGCTGCTGCCAATTGCAAGACATCCCCACAGTTCGTATAAAACATGTAGAATAAGAGATCGTCCTTATATCGATTTAACTTAACAGGTGCCAGTTTGTCCCTATGATGAAAGAAAAAGTTATCATAATGCTAATTTCACAAGTACACTTTAGCCGCACATTAGCACTTCAAGTACCTGATGGATGAATTAATGAGGTACTCGGGTGGAACGTGAAAGTCTATGTCCTGTGGCCGGCAGGGCGTTTCCGCCCAGGGACCACCGAAATTTTGATACAAATTATCGGGCGAGTTTAAATTCAGTCCAAGCGCCGTGAGATCTTGACCTAGTGCTAGTGTTACGAGGTTTGGATCCGTTTCCGCTGCTCTGATAAACGTTAATAGTCCTACCATTCCGAATTGATCTTTGACCATACTCGCTGGTATGTTCGTCACTTTACCTGGAAATAAAAAAAAACACATCATTTACAACACGAAAAAATCTGACAATCAACTGCAGAAGTAAAATAAATTACTACAAACCATCTGGACTCGTTTGAATGCCTTTTTTCGCAGATTGCGCTTTTTCAGAAGCAGATCTATTGGATTGTAATACGTCTGGATTTAATTCTGGACCTAAACCAACATTCATATTTTTTTCACTCTGCAACCCACTACCACCCGGCGATGGACCATCTCTATTTTGTGTTCCTGGTAACGCAGGAAAGTCCTCTGAACTCATTGTGAATTCACTTGATTCCGATGTAGGCTGCTTCACCATTCCAACTGAAGAGAATTTAAATGAAACTAAATTGTTTTAAATTAAAGAAATTAAAAAATTATTAGCATTTGAAACAAATTGTTATGGAAAATAAAAAAATAGCTTCTACAAACTCAAGAATGCATATGATTATGTCTTACCGTATGGTTGTTTGCCTGGCATTGGACTAGGTTGGGGCATGGAGGAATCTCCTTGGCCTCTATTAGTTAATGAAGGAAACTCGGATAAGTCTAATATAGGAGGTGTACTTGTATCACCACCCCCGCCTGACCCACTGCCAAATGCTGAATGAAAACTACTGATGGTATTTTGAGATCCGTAGCTACGATTTTGAGGTATGCCAAAATTGCTCATACCACCCATTGGGTTAGTGTTGCTGTGAAATCACAAAAAATTAATTAATATTATTTCTCATATACAACAATTTTAAACAACATGTAAACATAACCAAAAAATGTTCTTAACATTACAATGTCACAAACTCTACTATTGATTTGACACTTGGACATCTCATTATTTCATTAAAATAGTATATTTCACCAAGATAAATATTAATTGTTATGAATAAAACTTATTCATTTAGCTTGTTTGGACAAGCAGATAAAATAAATCTGAATATGAAACAAGTTTTATTATTGACCACTAGTCTAAATTATAGGTTTCATCAAAACAAATGAAGTAAGATTATTCAGTGATTATTTTGAATAACTATAATAATGTCTGAAGATTGCAGAATTGCACAAATAAATCTACTCTTAAGAAAGTTAATAATAAAGTAACAAGCATCTACAATTTTTTATTATTTTCAACACTACCATTTTTGAACTTTTTGTTGAGCTAATGAAATATGTTTAAGATCAGTGAGATAGAATCAAAATACTATTAAAATTTCTGTTATTCATGGCACTGTGTAGAGCCAATGTAAATATAAATATTTGATACAGTGAAGGAGCTTACCCTAAAGTAGGCATGTTACGTCTATCGCCAGTAAATGCTCTCTGTCCAAATAATCCCCTACTATTCATAGGAGATAGCTGCTGTTGATGTTGCTGTTGCTGTGCCTGATGATTGGAGCTCGTTTGTACACTACCAATTCCAGAGGTTGTACCACCGGGATGATAGGATAAATTGGGTCCAATAACTGAAGAATTTGTTGCACCTGGTGCACTAGTTGACGATCCGGAAAACATTCCTGATGTAGGAGTGACATGACCCGCTAGGGTCGAACTGTTGAGACTATTTCCACTGCTAACTCCACGCTGTGCTAAGCTGGTATTAGTCAAGCTTCTTGGTGGCTGTTCAAAATTCAAATTGGCCATAGCCTAGAACAACTATTCAGTCTTGAGGGAGCCCAGCTCACCCACTGCAACAGAACACAAACAGAAGCAAGTATGAATGAAAAAATCTTGGATTCTCACTTTGAATTTTCACACACAAACGGGGAAGGAAAAAGAAAGATATTTGACGCTAATTTAGAGCTCGCTACATATATACAATAACAGATAGTCATCATAACCAAGAAACAGCAAAGGCGTACGATTTCGAGCGAAAGTGTCAATGAAAAAGCAAGTGAGAGCCGTAAAGCTTGGATGCATCGGTACGTGGATGAGACTTAGCGAGCGTTGAAGCAAATAAGTCGCAGTCAAGAGGACTGAAAGTGCATTAGATTGTAATCTGATCGAGAGACGATTATAGTATTAGAAGAGTTGTATGCACAAGCAAGCATCGCACAACAAATATATGTACACACATGTACAATCGCATTGTATACATGTATACACGGCCAATGTGAAAAAGAGAGAAACTACTGCCGAGTGCAAATACACAGAGTAGCGAGCAAGCGAGCGAGCGAGAGAGATCAGCCCGATGAGATATATACATCGATGCACAAGAAATGATCACGACGAGAATTGCTTCAATATACACAGCAGAGCCATGGGGTGCACTATCACTACTTTGGTTCATTCACGGATCGGTGTGTTGCACACATAGAGCAGTATTATGAATTTAAAAATCATTGCCTACCTCTATTATAACGCTACGAACAACATGTCCGTGATAAGGGCTTATATTTCATGTGTGCGTGAATGTCTGTATGTATAATAAGCCACAGCAGAGACACACTTTGGTGGATATATGCTACGTACAATATATATCTGCACGGGTAGGATATAAACGATACATCAACCAAAGAAGCCTAAGGCGCCTCAGGACGACAAGCAACGACGACAATAATATATAGATATAAGAGCACAAGTGCACACAAGAGGCAACTGCGGGTTCTCGCGTCTCTGTTCTCTTTCTCTGTCTCTCTCTCTCTTTTTCGCTCACTCGCTCTCTGTCTTTCTTTTTCCCACTTTATATAGTTCGCGTGTGCAGTAACTCGCGCACTGACGGTAAGTATGCGGTTCACAGCAGCGACGACGGCATCGGTGGGTCCGTGACACGATGTAGCCAGAGATTATCGCGCAGAATTAAAAATATGCCACGGCGTCGGAAAAGCACCCCATGCGCGTGCTCTAAGGACACGTACACGCCGACGTTGATATATTATTAATTATTATGCGAAGCTCGCTTTATGTTCCTTTGATATGAGCTCGCGGGCAGGTGAGAGATCAGCAGTTCATCGCGGCAGGAAGGTTTGCGTTTTCTTTCTCTTTTGCACTAATGCACAGTAGGTCCCTGGCTCTCGCCTATAAGCATAGGACTATAATATAGCTATATATACAAGTGCACTTACACATGCGTGCGTGACGGACGGTACGTATGTGTACACACTACACAACACACACAAGGAAACACACTACACGTCACTGACACGCAACTATATTTGTGTACGAGTGACTGTGTATGTGTAAGTCTCAGCGGCGTCGGCGGCGGCGAGTCGTCGTCGGGCTAATGCAAAATGCGTGCGTAAATTTATAAATGTATGCGTAAAGCAGGGATCTCTGAGTCTCTCTGTATTTGTGCAATATGTGCCTATATTGACTATGTAGCCCACACTCGCAAAATATGTACAACGCCGTGCTTTGTACGGCTTTATTATGTGGCCCTGGCTCAATTTGGCGGCCTGGCGTTGACTGCGAATTCGCTTGCCAACCACGAGAGTACGCGACCTATTCTCTTGGCAAAATTTCGCCAGCGAGATAGCCGCGCGCGCGAATACAAGATCGAGACACTCTGCACTTTGTACAATTTACACAATGAACTCTGCACATTGACAATCGCTGCTAGCGCGCGTGCGAGACTATACTTCGATTATTGTTGCTCTATTTCGCAACACTCGTCATTTTTTGTTTTCGATTTTACGCGGCGAAAAAAAAAAACGAACGGTTTACCAACTTGCAGCAAACGGAACTGCAGACAATTAATCGATGAAACTTGCATGAGTTGAAGATTGCGATGTTTTATTTGTAACTTCCTCTTTGTTTTTACAATGCACCTGATGTTTTGATTAAGGCAATCGTCTTGTGCTTATGAGATGCTCGATTGTATTATTTAAACGTCTTCGTTGAATTTTATCAGAGCACGATGCAAGACAATTTTCAAGCCTAGCTAGAATATATCTGCTACACCTACGCCAAAATAATCACGTGTAGTTGACAAACGAAGGAGTGGGGTTGACGAAGAAGTAACCTTTAAAAACTAGTGATACTTTTTCAATTACGTTCGTTGTGTCAATCAATTTTTTCATTTACTAATAATAACAACAAAATTCATTGCAATAATGAATTTGAGCAAACAGTTTCGGTTTTCTTTGTTTAGAGATTATAATGTGCTAAAAAAACAGAGTTTTAAAACTAGCTGCTATCACCGCACCAATGCCAAAATAAACGAAGACAATGATAAAACCACGCATTTTGGATTTAAAACTGTAAAAGAATCGGAAAAAGTTAAAGAAGGTAGAAAAAAATGCTTGAATTTATAGAAATTTCTAAAATAAATACAGTAAAAATTCAATTTTTTTTCGTTTCAATTGCAGTATATTCAGTATTTGAAAATGTAGCTGATTCTTATGATCAGATGAATGATGCTATGAGTTTTGGCATTCATAGAATATGGAAAGATCAATTTATTCAAAAACTCAATCCGCAACATGGGTGCAAACTGCTTGATTGTGCTGGTGGTACAGGAGATATAACGTTCAGATATCTTCAACACTTACAGAATAAACCTAATCCAAAAGCTGTCAAAAGTCATGTCACTGTGTTTGATATTAATGCAAATATGTTGGATGTTGGACAAGCCAGAGCAAGTAGACTAGGCTATACCGTTGAAAATGGTCACGACATAAAATGGGTGCAAGGTGATGCCGAAAAATTACCATTTGAAGATAATACTTTTACTGCTTATACTATTGCATTCGGAATTAGAAATGTTACAAGGATAGATAAAGTTTGTATGATTGTTTATTAATATTTCTATACCCTGCATTTTATAATTAATCTCTGTTAAATAGGCACTCTCTGAAGCCCATAGAGTATTGAAGCCTGGTGGAAGATTTTTATGTTTAGAATTTAGTCACGTAGAAAATGATTTACTGAGATGGTGAGTTCTTCAGAAATAATTTAATATTCACTTCAAATTAATATTAATAAACTCTTTCTTATTTTAGGGTTTATGATCAGTATTCATTTCAAATGATTCCAGTCTTAGGAACTCTTATTGCTGGTCAATACAAACCTTATCAATACCTTGTTGAAAGTATTAGGCGTTTTCCTAAACAAGAAGAATTCAAAGTAATAATTACTCATCTTGTTTCTTTTAGTATTAAAAAGTATATACTGATTATAAACTGTATTGTAATTTCAGAGTATGATTACCCACGCTGGATTTAAAAATGTTAGCTATGAAAATTTAACATTTGGAACTGTTGCCATTCATGAGGGTCATAAGTGTTAAAAGTATTAATATGTTTACAATGATGTGTAATGTGTATTATATTTATAAAGCTGATGAATTGTAAAGAATATTTGAATTTGTTTATAAAACTTTTTTATTCTACAAATATTATAAAATATTAAAAAATTTTTTAACATGTTAAAGAGTAAATTTTGTTATTGGCTGCACAAATGAGATAATAACATCAGAAAGCTGTTTTGTTTTTGTATATAATAACTTGTTTATAAAGCATAAAATAGGTTTACAAATAAAAATTGTTAGTTACTTTTTACATAAAATAAAATATTGTTCATTTTTACATGATTTATAACGTAGCCGCGACTGAATCTTTGGCCAGCTGTGCATAATTGGTTTTATTGTAAAGTGATGCAGAATTTAATTTTTTTCGTTCAATTCATAAGAATATCCCCGATTTTTATAAAAAAAGTTTTCTATTTTAGTCACACATTAAAACAAGAAAACAGGCTTAAAACTAGCAACAAAGTTTTGATTTCTTTGAATCGTTGCTTTCTCATTTTAACAATTTCTTTCTATCTTTCATGGATACAGATATTAGGTTTAATCTTATCAAATCATTTACAATTGAATAAAAAGAAATTGTTACATTATATTATTAGTTTTTTTTTATTCTAGAGTAAATATATTTTTCTATTCAAGAGAAAAATGAGATTCTCAACCTCTATATGTAAAAATTAAAGCACTTATTTATAGGACGGAATTGTTCAGTTTTTTCAAAAACTTTGTGCATCATTGTTGATAAAAATCTCTTCGTTTTAGTCATATAGAGTTCATATATTTGTACTAGGCATAACGTTTTCATAGATTAAATGTTTGATAGATAAATTGAATAACTAATTTCAATACAATGTTTGTTTTTCACTCAAGTGAAACTTAACATTAATGGAAGATTCTTATACCTTTTTTAACGATTCTAAACATTTTAATCGGTGTGCTTTGCTAAATTTTTATGCGATGATTCTATGTAAAAATAAGGGTAGAAAATTTTCTTTATCAAAATTTGTGATTCTTGTATACTTATTGGGTACGCTTATTCTAGTCTAACATTTACAACTGTCAACGTTTAGTATAAAGGCAACCTTGGTATGTTGATGTGAAACTTACATAGATTTTTGAGACAACCTACAATCTACAGCAATTATCATTGAACTTGTTAAAGTTCAAGCTCATATAAAAATAGCAATTAGCTAAAACATAAAATTCAACGCAGATCTAAATATGTAAAACCTAATTCTTTGAGAATTAGACTATTTTTACATTCTACTTTTATAACTTATGTAACTATTGGTTCAGCTGATCACTCGCAAATGGACGGAAATAGTCATCAGATTGCAATTCATTTCATTACAAATATAAAAATTTTTAGTAGCACTTTAAGGCCTAGCCAATCTCCAGCTCTTGCGTTCTGAAGTGCCGAATGACACTGACTAGGGCGAACATCGTGACGAAGAAGTAACTGGGCGACGTCAGAAGCATCGCCGCATTGTAAATCGGGCAGTAAGGACATTGCGAGCTTCCACAAACTTCGCAGATGTTCAGGACGTACGTGGGCAACGAGTCAAACATGGTTTCATTAAATCTCTCTGTAAAATAGATAAAAAATATTAATGATCAATGTCAGGCCAAAATGAAAATTTTTCAGAACGTTTTTTGAGATTTTCACTTGATATTTTCCGAAAAACTATGTAAATGTCCAAAAAACAAACATTTAGTGAAAATCTCAAAACATTGCTTGCTTAGTCTCAGTGTGGTATCTACTTTATATTAAAAAAAAAAAAAGGAAGATCGGTAAAAATGTTACCTGGTGAATAATAATCGTAGACTCTGATCGGTAAATATCTGGACATATTGGCGACTGGATACCAGCGTTCAATAGTAAAGTTGACGCATGTTTCTTCCTCGTCGAGGTAGTCGAAGTAGAAGAGTACTTTGGACGGTTGGAAACGAGCTCGTTGCAGATTGCGCACCTGCCGCGATCGTACGTAAGTATCGAGATTTTGCTGTTGAATAATGTAACCCGTTGGAATCGTCACGTCCAACACAGCCATGCCAGAACGCACCGATTCATTGACATTGGTCCATCTGAATAATCAAGAATAGTTATCAATCTCCGCTCGAAAATATTTTTAACTGCTACTCTTACCTTTGACAACTCAGATATGTAATGTGAGACTGATTTCTACCGTAGAAATTAGCATGCGTGACCAAATCGAAAGCCGGCACCGGTGGCTGCGTTTGAAACCTCTTGATATCGACGTTGTATTGCACGTGCATCTGCAGAATGGCGTAACCCGCACCCTTAGCTTGGACTTTGACCGTACCCCAAGCTTCGGGAATCTCCAAAGTTTGAAGTTTGGCGAGATTCTTGTTGTTGACGTGAAGGGTCTTGGTCTCGCCGGGCAGCGCCGTGGCCTCCACCGTCACGCTCAGCTGGCTGACGTCTCGAATTCTCGACCTCACGGTGTACTCCATCAAGGCCTTCATGGCCCAAGCCGTGTCTTGCGTCGAGGCCCAACCGCCGTCGGTGAGTCGCTGGCTGTTGAGCCACTTGACTATCGGCTCGATATCGACTTCTTGACGGGCCACGTGCACCAATAGCGCGTAAGCCGTCGTCTCGATATTTTCCGAGTCGTACTTGTAAGGCAGTCTTGGCAGCAGGAAGGGCTTCTGATTTTCCGTCTTGGTCGGCGGTTGGGGCACGAACTCGCGACCCCAGTACATGAGGCCACCCTCGTCGCGACGATGCCGGCGCAGTATGTTGAAGGCCTGCTCGGCCGTCGAGGCCTTGGCTTGGAGGAGCGCGTAGGCCACGATGGCTATCTCGTAAGGCCGGCCCTTCATCTCCAGCAGCTGGAGATTCTGCTCGAGCCACCTGACGGCGTTGGCCGCGGCGAGCGCGACCCTGGCGCCCAGACCGTCGGACAGATCCTTGACGGCCTCGAGGGTGATGATGACGTGGGCCGTGAGCGATATGTTGCGATGGCGGACCGCGAAGCGCTCCTCGTCGAAGCTGAGCGTGCTGTTCATCTTGCGATCGGGCAGCCAGGTGACCTCGTAAAAGGATCCCTCGGGCGTCTGATGATCCAGCAGCCAGGAGACGGCTTGGGCGATGACCTTGGGATCGATGTAGAGGTAGTTCTCCCACTCGTAGAAGCTCGCCTCCTCGAAGATGCGCACGCAGTAGGCCGTCAGCCAGACGCTGGGCGACGACTGGTTCCAGTCGCTACGGAACAGCGAGAACGAGCCGTCGGGATTCATGTAGGACAGCTGGCGCTGGTAGCCGATGTTCATGTAGTAGAAGCTCTGCTTCTCCTGGGTGAGATTGCGCTGATTGATGAGGCGCATGTGCAGGGTCGTGTACATGTTGGCGGCGAAGCTGAACATTGACTGCTCGCCGCTGTCCATGGGCAGGCCTATGAGGCTCGTAGCGTTGACCGGCATCGTGGGAAAGATCGGGCCCACCACGTCGCCGACCACGCTGATGGTGGCCTTGTTCGAGCCGAAGATGTAGTAGCGATCCTCCTCGTACGGTATGAGCGGGGTCTCCGTGATGTTGACGTGCATGTACTGGAAGACGTAGGCGCGATTGCTCAAGTCGAGCAGGACCGACTGATGCCTGTACTGGGGCAGACCGTCAGCCTCGACGTAAAGAGTGCGCGTTGCCGAGTCCCGACCGATCAAGGTCGTCGCGTGAATGTGAACCTTGATCTCTCCCAGCCGGACCGGTACGATCGGCAAGTAAACAATCGACGCCTCTTGAGCTGGAATCCAGATGAAGAACTGGTGCTCGCCGAAGGACGTTCGCGGTCGGTAGGACTGCACCACCCCGGCTTCCTCCACGTGAACGAACTTGTAATCCTTCGAGTCTGCGAATTCGTAATGAGTTGGAATTTCCCTCGACATTATAATATACGCAATTTGCTGAACTTACCTTCGAGCACGACCGTGCACTCGATATTGGTGCGCATGTAATTGAAGACGGAGACGCGTATACCGATCTGCTCGCCCTGCTTGCTGTGCGTGGGCATCTCGACGTTGATGTAGAACGGCAGTATCGATATGTACTCGAGGGCATTGGTCAGCATACCGAAGCCGGCGGTCGGGCTCATGCCGAAGGCCGTGATCATCCAGTGGACGGGCGTCTTGGGCACGTCGATGTTGAAGATGAAGCGGCCGTGCGGACCGATGTTGACGTCGCGCCACATCCAGACGTTCTCGTACTGGCGCAGTATGCGGCTGAAGCGCCACTTGCGGAAGTGGGCGATGTCGGTCGCATTGAACTGGGGACAGCGGGCCTCGTCGGTGCCGTCTTCGCAGTCCTTGTGGCCGTTGCACCGCAGATCGGCGCGGTAGCACTTGCCGGTGAGGTAGCACTCGAGCATGCCGGCCGTCTTGTTGCACTGCTCGGGCCTGCGATAGACGAGCGCGTCGGTGAACACGACCAGGCCGGCGTACTCGAAGGTCCGATTGGCGTCGATGCCGTAGGTCGACGAGGGAAAGTAGACGACGTTGTCGGGATCGCCCTCGTGGAAGAGCCAGGTGTGCGAGTGCGTGCCGTTGGTCTCCTCGCCGAACGACGACATCTTCTCGATGACGTTGGCGTAGGTCAGCTCGTTGCCGGCCTGCATCGAGTAGAAGGACCGGTCGATGCCCGACAGAGCCACGTAGGCGCCGGGCTCGCCGTAGATGGCCACCTCCACCCTCTCTCCGGTTCTCGACTTTTTGTTGTTGATCGTCACGGTGAAGTTGTTGCGCGATATGCCGTTCACCGGGACGGTGAGCGAGTCAGCCACGACGTCGCCGTACTTGCCGACGTAGTAAGCGACGACCGTGGCCACGGGCGCCATCTCGGCGCTCAGCGGCACCGCGAACGTCTTGATGGTCTGCTGCATGAGCTCGTCGCCTTGCAGTATGATCGAGCCCTTCGACATGATGAGGTAGTTGAAGCTCTCGATGTAGAAGTTGGTCTGCACGTGCAGCACCAGATACTCGCTGACTTTGGCCTTCTCCGTCGACGTCCAGATCTTTATGTGCTTCTGCTGGGGCGAGTCGTGAGCCAGCATGTGCATATCGGCGTGCGCGTGATGGCCCTCGCCGTCGACGAAGTCCGCTTTGAAGTGCATCGCCGTGATGTCGTTGAGCATTTGCTGAGCCTTCTGGGGATTGTCCATGAGGCCGAGCTGCTTGCGCAGGTCCACGTGCAGAGACCAGACGGCGCTGTTGTCGGACGACACCCTCACCAGCTGGTTCTCCAACTGGCGACGTCCGCCGCGCATCTCGATGTCGCCATGCACCTCCAACCTCGAGCCGCGCAGCTGATCGGGCCTGAGGGGCGAGCCGTCGTGGAACGACGCCACGAGATTCAAATCGAACGGCATGCCGGGCTTGAAGACCTGCGGCGAGCCCCCGAAGAAGTGGATCTTCACGCTGGAATTGTAGATGCGAGCGGTGGAGTAGCCGACGATGACCTCGTTGAGGAAGTGCTCGCCGACCGTGGCCGTGACCATGACCTCGACGCCCTCGAGGCCGCCGCTGGGCAGCTGCTGCAGCAGATCGATCATCGGATACTGGAACTTGTAGGTGCCGTTGAAGAAGCGCAGCACCGGCACCTCCTGCCTGTACAGATCCGGCGGATTGAACCAGGCCGGGTAGACCTCGTTGAAGGTGAAGTAGCGATCGGGAATGTTCTCGTAGGTGCCCGTGCTCTGCCTGTACTTGTCGATGGGCTTGAAGCTCGCCTTGAGGGTCAGATTGCCGTGGACCTGGGCGCCCGACGTGTAATTCGCCTGGACGATGCCGTGTATGTAGGGCTCGTTCTCGAAGAAGAAGGCCGGCATGGTGACGTTGACCTCGAAGCGCGTCTGGTAGTATTCCTCGACGAAGATGGTCTTCTCCTCGACCTGGCCTTGGGCGATGACCTTGATGATCCACTCGCCGAAGACGGGTTGGTCGGACAGCTGGTAGGACAGCGAGACCGTGCCGAGATTGCTCTGACGACTGAGCCAGCGACGCATGATGCGACGGTGCGGGTCCAGCATGTGCACCTCGACCGTGTCGTCGAAGGCCTTCAGCTCCGTGTTGATGGGTATCGTTCGGAATCTGCCGATCGATTCAAATTCGAGTCAAATGTCACTCCTACTATACGACTGGTCGAACAAAAAATCACGTAAACTCACCTGATGGTCTGGCCTTGCATGTAAACGGGCTTGTCGCACTGAATGAAAATGGTCATGGACCTCTGGGTGAAGGCGAGCTGGGTCTCGTTGATGAAGGCCTGGCCGCCGGTCAGGCTGTTGTAGTTGCCCTCGACTCGCAGCCTGTAATCGCCGCGCACCGAGGTCGGCGGCATCCTCAGCATCAGCTGCTCGGGTATGCCCTCGCGCACCTCCTCGTAATCGGAGGCGAGCTCGACGCCGTTGCGCTGAATCGAGGCGCGCACCATCATGGGCAGCGGCGAGTGCAGAATATTCACGCCGACCCGATAAACTTGTCCCGGACGCACCATGCGGGAAGCGACGATGAAGTACGACCTGTGTGTGAGCAAATTGACAAAGATTAGTCCATTGTTCGAACAGTGTCCCTCTTTGCGCTCGATTTTTTCGCGCGAACGCGCGACATTGACAGACACTTACGCCTCTTTGATGATGATGTTTTCATTTTGCGAGGCCGTGGGTCTGTACGTGAAAATACTGTTGCTGTCCTTATCGCGATTCCAATCGGGTCGATTATTCGACCTGTCCCAATCCCTCTCGGAATAATCGGACTGCTGCTGCTGTTGCTGTTGCTGCTCTTTGTAAGTCTGATCGTTGTAACTCGGAACTCTGCTCTGCCATGACCAAGGTTGATCGGTGACGCCGTCTTGTGGATTGAACTGAGCCTGGCTGACGATCGCGCCGCAGCAGAGTACCAGAAACGCCACTACGTACGGGCACCGCATTTTTCTGAACATAATAAATGAATGATTGAATGAAAATGATAACGTATCAAGAAGAAAGAGAGAAAGAGAGTTAATTAGAGCGATCGGTATTATATTCGCTCTCTTTTCGATTGCGCTGCGGTTGACATTTGATACTATTTGTACGTAGAGCACCAATATAAATATATCTACGCTATAGCTTTACCGATTATATCGTTATGAGTCACGGAGCTCTTGCTCTGCGCAACGTGTATACAAGAGGCAATTCGACGTGATGCACATACACACCAAAGGAATTATAATTTCACTCTCAATTGTATCGTCTGCATTAACTTTATACGTGCACGTATACGACTGTTTGTATATTATATTCTTTGACTTTTTTTTTCTCCGCATCACGTAGCCGTTCGAGCGACTTGGTCACATTTTCAATGTCCTAGGCGTATACGTGCTGAGCTTGCACTTGTTATTTTCAATGGACGCGTGTGACAAATCAATCGATCGAATTTACAAGTTAATGCAAGCTATAGATTTAAGCCTATCTTTTACGAGGAAACGCGACTTTCTGGAAGCGATTGCGCCGTGTACAGACGACGAAATTTTAATCAACAACACGAGGAGGCATTAAACGTTCATTCATTGTGGTACACATAGCTATAGGATGTCTCGAGCGCCCACGCCTTACATCGCTAACGCGCGCGAGTAACGAGACGCCTCTCGGATTCTTGAGTTTTTTCTTTTTCACTCCGAGAATTGCCTTTACTCCGAATTCGAGTGTGCACGTTTTGGCGGTCGCTTTATATAAGCTTGGGACCCCAAATGTGTACGGATATTTTTAGGCAAAAACTCGTACGTAGGGAAAGTTCGAACGTCGGAGTTTTAGCTCTGGTGCATCGGTCGCAAAACTTCGTCGTCGTTTGTTTACGTGATAATTAAAGACCGTTAATAGGCGTTATACGATGCTCGTTATCACTGAATAGCAATCGGACATGTGCTCTTGGGCTGCATATGTATACAGATATATACTCGCACTCGTGATAAACAAACAATGTCATTGACCAATGAGCTGCAGAAAGGCTTACGACCGAGTGTAATGTACTTTAACACGGCTCAACACAGCCACACCTCATCCACATTAGCTTCGTGTGTTTTTTGTGCAACCGTTCTAAATATAAGTAAGCAAAGCGAGAAAAGGAGCAAGCGACAGCGAAAGATAGACACAGAGAGAAAGAGAGAGAGTTGAGAGAGATAGATAGAGAGAGAGAGAGAAAGAGAAAAAAAAGAGAGAGCGAGAGAAGCGAACAAGTGAGAAAAAAGTACCTTCGAGACTGTACAACAATTAGGCATTCGATATCCGTCTACGGTGGCTCGCGCATCTATACAAACGACTCTTTTTCTTTTCTTTTCTATTTTTTTTTTTTTTTTACCAAAGCATTGACATCACGCCAATGTCCACGACTCTGCGCGAGTAAAAGACGTGCGCGACTGTGTACAGACAGGCGTACAACAGGTTATTTGCTACGTACGCGAAACGAGGTATATAGTATACAGGCAAGCAGGCAGGCAGTTAGCGGCGGTAATGCTGGTTCGCCATTCGCCGCCGCCTTTTCATGTATATTGCGCGACGACTCGCGGATCTCGGATTTCCAAAAAAAAAACTAGATCCAGAGCGATTAGCAAACGATCGTCTCGGTGGGAGGATAAAATTTGATCTCGAGAGATAGAAAAGCCGCGGCGTCGGCAATTGGAAATGATCTGGAGTCGCGCGCGCGCGGTCAACGCCCAAAATACCTGACTGTTGACTCTCGCGATTAATTTACCTGCCAGTACGGCAGGGCGGCCAAGCAGCAGCAGCAGAGCGGACGGATGCGGACGACCTGCGCGCCTGCGTCGGCGTCTCTCCTCCTTCTTTTCTCTAGTCCGATCGTTGTACACGAGTCACTTTTATGCTGTGCTGTGTATAATATCGGTACCTCGTATCGTCGTCGTGGTATTATACGCGGCACCGTAATCCTTGCCAACAGCAGTGGCGGTAGCGCAGCACAACATACACGCACACACACACACGAGCTCACACATACGCACGACACAAGCACACGATTATCTATAATTTGAATGCACGCGATAAGAAGAGGTAAATATACAATGAGACGTCGGAGGCTTCGGTTCCGCCGATGGCAGCATCGGGTCCTGATTGCGAATCCCCGCGTCTTTGGAGCTGATCTTCTTTTCTATGTACGTGCGTGCTGTGCGACGATTCGCGCGTGCTGCAGGTGCGGAGAACTCCGGCGTGCCGGAGGGACTACTCCCATGAGGCAGCGCGCGGCCACCGTTCAGCCGAGTAGGCGATATTGTAGCGCGCGCGAACTGACTCTGTGTGCGTGTGTGTGTACTGCCCTGTCCGTGTGAAAGAGCGAGAGAGAAATATTATATACTCGGTATAGTGTACAGCATATGTGCACATTGTGTATTATATAGTTTCTGCAGTCGTTCATCCTCTAAAGGCATCTCCTCTCTCCTCCTCTTTCGCGAGCGACTTTTCATTGATAGTGAGCCGATGATCGTATATCGCGACTGAAGATGCGTTTCGAGTTGTTCGCCGATTCATCGAATATTCCGAGATGATGCTGTGAACCGTTCAAATTTTATATTTCATAGGATATAGGATATAAAACTGATAATCGTCCACTAAATGTGTGACCAATTTCATTGAATCTACAAATTCTGATATGAGATTATAAGGTCAAAAAATCTTGAAAAAAACCGTAGTTTATCAACTTTTTTCTAAATCGATATTTTTTATGCTAGAAAATGACTTTTATTGATCAACTCTTTAATTTAGAGAGTATCGATAAAGTTAATCTTTATATAATTTTTATACTGTTCTAAATTACAGATTGCAATGTTTAATTGCATATATAGGAATCGAGAAATAGTAGATACATTATTGACTTTTTTCTCAAATCTTTTGTTAAGTCTTTCGACACACATAAAACTTATTTTCAATCAATCTTACAAACTCAGCGTAAAAATCAAGTTTCATGAATTGCAAAATATTCATCGAATCCTAACAATCACTCGCTCCCAACACTAATTCTCGAATAATTATACTTTACACAAAATATTGAGTTTTTTCCATTTCATATTATGGAAAATGGTCGATAGATTAAGTCGCGATCATTCGATAAAAAGTACACCTACTAAGCCCAAAAATGGTTCCCACTATATTTTAATCTACTAAAAAATTTCAAACATTGTTTACATTAATTATTCTGATCGGTTAGCTTTAAACTAAGACTTTATTGACCTCGATTAGATGAGTTAATCATTACAAATGTTATCACAGCGAACTAGTTTTTTTAATATTGCTATTACAGTTTTGTTCGTACTTAATTCATTGGCATCATTTTTACAAAATATTGAATTATGGGAGACAGATCGTCATATAGGACAGTAATACTCGAGCACTAATCTCGAACTTCAATTCGATATTATTTCTCGTGATTATTTTTACGTAGTATTTAGGCTAAAATATTGCAACTGTATTATTTAATGGTCGATTTGTTTTTAACTGAGTTCAATACAAAAAGTCAAAAATAAATACTTCAAATTATACTTTGATTGTACAATTTGCCATTTTCTATGACTCTACAGTCAACAGAATAGTAAATTATTCATTCAAATTAATTCCAATATAGAGAAACCAGTATATTAGTAAACTTCAAAGCTTTTAGCTCAGTCTGAAAATGTGAGATCGAAATTTTGAAAAATCACTCGAAAGGTATTTTCAAGTACTTTAGTGTTATTCTGGAAAATTCAAATATATGTTTTGGAGTATATTAAAAAAGCCATACATCGGGTAAAATGCCCTTTTACCCGAAGAACAATTAAAAAAAAAGGTTTAAAGGTTTTGTAAAAACCTACTATAATCTATAGACTCAGAATGTTTTTACAACCTCTCTAACTGAAGTGGCTAGAGAAAGAGCAGAGACAAAAACAAATAATAATTTCAATTTGTTAATTGTTCATAACGATCACTGAGTTAATAAATAATCTAAGAAAAATGTATAACACTAAGGTACTTGAAAATACCTTTCGAATTGGGTTTTACAAATTTCGATCCGACCTTCTTAGACTGTGCCGAGAAACTTTAAAGTTTACTCATTTTTCGCTCAGGTATGGCAACAGTGATTGAACGGCAGTGTATCTCTAAAAATTGTCGCTAATGAGAGTAGTGTTTTTTCACTGCATTTCATGATGTGTTTCGATCGAAATCAATTTAATCGAGAATGTCTCAACGTAGATTCTACTCTATTAACTGTCCGATACGTTAGAAAATGTTTCGAGGCTAAAAGTATCAAACGATAAGCATGTTATATTATTATGACCAATTTAGCGCCAAATTTAATTCAAGATTTACCCGCTAGATCTCACTACTCGTACTTTTGGCAGCTGTCGGGGCAATGCAATGCATCGTATTCATGTGTGCTAGCAGATTAAACCGTCATGTGGTAGTATCAAGTATAAACACGCCTGTTTGAATTTCCGCGAAGCTCGCGTTGACATGTGATTATTTGTAGTCTTAATTGATAAATTAATTCGAAAGGTAAGACGCGGTGTTTGGTATATTTCCTGATAAATTGTTATTAAACAAGAATGTCAACAATGTAATGTTTTCAGAACGATAGAAAAGCAACCCGTGGAAAATGTCAAAATTGCAAAGGTTGAACAGAGAAATAAAACGTCTCGTCGACCATCCACCCGAGGGAATAATATGTTATCCCTCTGACAACTTGAGCAATCTGTCGATCAACATCATAGGACCTCATTCCAGCCCTTACGAAGGCACACTTTTTGAAATGGAACTGGAAATTCCCGACCGTTATCCCTTCGTGCCACCGAGATTAAAGTTCATCACGCCGGTGTATCATCCAAATATCGATAACCAAGGCCGTATTTGTATGGATTTATTGAAAATGCCACCTAACGGCGGCTGGAGACCTACCATCAGTCTGGAGAATCTGCTGGTTGCTGTGCAATCGCTCTTGGGCAATCCCAATCCAGACGACCCGCTCATGGTGGATATTGCTGAGGAGTACAGATACAATAAGCAGGAATTTGAGAGGAAGGCAAGGTTGCACGCCAAAGAAAATGGAAAACTTTCGAGTTAAGCTGCAAGATTTTTATTATCAAGAGATTTCTTTTATAGTATTTCATAACAAACTACCAATTATGCATTTGTTCAGAGTACAAATGAAATATATTTTTATACATTCAAATGATATTACGTATACTTTTATTACAACTCAGTAATATAAATGCAACAAATAGAGAGCCTTTTTTTAGCCTTAAATATAATTGATCTGTTTTAGTAACAAGTAAAATCAAGTGAAAATTTTACTCAATAATAAGCAAATTTCATTTGATTATCTGAATCTAGTCTTTCGATTAGTTCAGGTTTATGTTATATATCACAATTCTTCTTTAGCGCATTTCAACAGAGGAAATGCTTTGTCTGAAATTTTTTTGAAAGCAGACATAGTTTTATAATTGCTGAACAAAAATTAAAAATGCCCAGAACTTTCAATTTTTCAAATACTTGCAAATAACTTTGTCTATACGCTTAGCTGTAAGTGAATCACATACTTAGGATTAGCAACACTTACTAGCAGTTTCATAATCAATTAACATTTATAAAAAAATGCCAAATTATGAATTTGCGCAACGTAACTATAATTATCTAATTTTAACAAGCTTGCCTGTAACAAACATTAGTAATACTTTAGTGAAGAGATTTTGAGGCACGCGTCAGTTAAACAATGTACTTGTCATTGTTCATTGTCAATTTTTGTCTAAAATTTGTCTAAATGCTTCTATGAACAGAGTATGCTTTATCACAATAGTTTGTACAAGTTTTGTTACAAAGTAGAAATAGGAAATCCTATATCATTTATCATTTAGATCATGTAAATGGCATGGATTTTGTTGATATGATATGATTCAAATATATGGTATTGAATTATACTTATTGGCAGTGCAGTACCTATCGACAACAAGTATCATTATACTGCTTTCATTACTGGTCCACAAGATGCATGTATACTGAGTATATAAACAGTTGATTAAACCAGAACTTAAGAGTATGAAAAAAATGTAAAAAAATTGCGGCGTGTCACTCTGTCGTGCGAATAGAAATAAATTGAATGCTAAAGCATCACATTTCTTCAAAGCTATAGAAGCAAACATTCAAAGTTATAATATAGACGTAATCTATCCTTAAAATTCTATCCTTAGTAATGTTGATCGGCAATTGACTTTCGTAGACATATATAGTATACATTTCGAGTCTTTTTTGTCATTATAAGACTGAGATAAAATTTGGCGACTATCATAAAAAAATTGCTTGAGCAAGCGAGATTGCATCAATGTCACAAAGTCGAAGACGAAATCTTGTCGTGATTCGATCGACTTAGCGTCGTATTTTTTTAACACGCGTACATGCACGCTATAAACATATACACACACATACACACACACAAAAACACGTCAAACTTTCTTAGCGTCCCTTTGCCTGAGCCCTGATGTCAAGGTAAGCGGCTCCAATGCAATTGGTCGTCGGGGAAAAAATTTGCATTTATACCGATACGCGTTTTGCGAAGCAATACCGAATAAAAGTATACCTTAAATTAACGTTAAAAATATAAAACTTGATCTATATAAGAGTGGTAATTGTCATGAATGCTTATTATCGCATCGCCACGTAAATGCTTTCGGAGCTGGTGTTTTGCGCCCGCTTCTTTTGCTTATCTTGCATTATCATCTGAGTCGTTCGTGGCATCATAGGTACGTACTCGGACGTGTCGCGGGGCGGCTCTCTGCTCTTGATGGATTTGATCGGGCTCTTGTCCTCGGCTGCCGACAGGTAGTTATCGTCGTTGTAAGGCAAAATGCAACCCTCGGACTCGAAGCCCGAGTCGCTGATGCTGCCCCCGGCGTAAGTGCTGGTGGTCGAGCTCGAGATGGTTCTAGAACGCGGTGGCAGGGGTGGTGGTTCGAGTTTCTCCGCCAAATTCAATACGAAGTCTATAAGATTCTCGTAAACATTAGAATGCCTGGATTCTAAGCTGCAAACCGAGCCGAGATGGGATTCGGCTATTTCCTCGTAGATACCCGAACACATTGACACATTCGAGTCGCGGCGAGAGACTGTTGATTTCTCGGATTCCTTGCAGTGGGATATGCTCGATATTGTTTCGAGCTCTTCCGAGCCGGAGATGGTTTTTATTTCCTCGAGTTCTTCCGAGCCGGAGATGGTTTTTATTTTCTCGAGTTTTTCCGAGCCGGAGATGGTTTTTATTTTCTCGAGTTTTTCCGAGCCGGAGATAGTTTTTATTTTCTCGAGCTCGTCGCAACTTGATGTTGCACTAGGAGGCGAGACAGGCTGAATTCTAAGGTTTGAGAATGGAATAGCGGCTGTCGTAGTCGCGTTTGAGTCAGATTTGGTGGCTGTTTCCTCTAGTTCTTCGCAGCTGGTTGTTACACTTGGACTCGGGATGGACTGAATCCTCAAGTTCGGGAATCTAAGGCCGCTGCTATTGTTCTTGTTGAGCTTGGCCTCGCTTCCAGACCGGTTCAAAATCAAATCCCATGCCGGAGCTTTCATGATCCTCTTGGACTCGTCCACCTTGGTTTGCTTGATATCGAAGGTCTTGATCTTCTTCGGATTACACGACTGGGCTGGCGACGATGTTAGGTCGCCCTCGCTGACACTGTCGCTCAACGGCCTTAAGCGGAACTCGCGGTACACTTTGCCCGAGGCTTTGATCAAACGGACCAATTGATCGCCTTCTTCGCAGAAGAACTTGATGTCGCAACGGTCGGTGTCGAACATTTCCGTGGTGTGCAGGATGACCTGGTTATCCAAATCGCCGTCGGTCGTCTCGGGATGAGCGACAGAAGCGCCTTTGATTTGCTTCCAGCACATGTAGAGCAGCATCGCACCGTCGTGAACGTCTTTGAAATAAATACCGTTTCGTCGGACAATCATATCTGCGTGGAGACCTACAAAAACAGACAAAATAATCGTACATTATGATATCGTTCTCTAGCGTAGTTAGTAATGTATATTTATGAATTAATGCATGAAATTTTTTAGCGACCTTCGACGCTTGATTATGCAAAATTAATAAAAAGTGTGATTATCGAAACGAAGCTTTTTTTCTGATGAATGATCGATGCGTTAAGAGTACTGAAATAATCACCTTTTTGTATACCAAAATCGATCGAGCAGTCTTAAAAAGAACTGCAACCTTCGATTATATTGATATATCGTTATGTAATCGAGAAAAGCAAAATAAAAGTATGCAAAGTCCTATCACACAATGATATAAAATAACTTTTCAAAATCTCGATTCATCGCAATTTGAGATTTATTAATGAATATATACCAGTCAAGCCATGAGAGCGCGACTGCTTGTTGTCGATGATGGACACCTCGAAGGAGTCGTCGAGACGACGTATTCTCCTCGGTCTCAGCAGCCGTCGGATCTTGTACATGTAGCGTTGGCACTCGGTCTCGTCGCGGCCGCTCAGGTAGACCAGCGGCACCTCGTGCACGAAGATGCCGAAGGAGTAGGGCCGGGTGCGCGACACGGTCCGATAGATGGTCGCGTTCTTGGGGACCAGGATCGGTTCGACGCTCTGATGCTTCAGCTTCTGGCCGTCGTCGCTCTCGAGCTCGAAGGACAGCGCCAGGGCCAGCTTGTCGGCGTTGGGGGGCAGCTTCCTCGCGCTGCAGACGCACGGATGCCAGATGCGCCTCGACCCGATCGAGCGCTTCCTGATGTTCAGCTTGGATAGCTTGGGCATGGGCTCTTCGGATGAACAATTTTTCCGCGTCGCCGACAGAGGCTGACGTTGTTTCAGACTCTTCGGAAGCTTCAGCTCGGTGGAGAAGGAGAGCTTTTCGGGCAGGTCCATGATTGCTTTCTGCGGCTTTTGAAAATCTGAAAAATGTAAGGCAGTACGTAAGTTTACAAAAATTCCAAAAATTTGCATGATCGCGTAAACATTGTTATCGGTAAAAGGCGCGAGTGTATAATATCGAAATTATACAATAGCAGGTGGGAGGGCAGGTCGCTAAGAGCCGACAAGACCATAAAAAACTTGTTCAATTCCCAGCATATCTTCGCGACATATGTCACTCGTCGTCAGCGAGACATTTTTGAGAAATATTTTTTTTATCTATCGCCGGGTACTTATACACAATGTGTAATTGTATAATGTGTCTTGTCTGTCTGTTTGTTCGCGTCGCGTCTGTGCGTGTGTACACTTGCGAGCCTCGAAATTTGTAAATGTGTATGCTGCACCAGGTGTGCAGCGGGTCGTGCATAAAAATAATAATACCTTTGCTCTCTCTCTCTCGCTCTCGAAGTTTTGAACTTTTGAGCGCGCGCGCGCGCGCAGGAAAGGAGAGGAGAGAGAGAGAGAGATCAAAGAAAAGGAGAAGAAGAAGAGGCAGAGCGACAGCTGCACATCCACCAGCGGGGGTGCAACAAAAAAAAATATATATACGTGTATATCCTGCGGACGATATGTATCTCTCTTACGGCGAATGCAGATTCGCGTATTTATTTTAGCCGCACGCAGGCAGGGAGTTTGGCATACATAACACATACACGGCGTTGACGCATTGATTTCTATCGACGTTCGTACGTATGTGCATGATACCCTTAATACATATTATATACATATAAGCAGTACGCGTAGCGAATAATATAGAAATAACTGGCGGGCAGCTGCACTACTGCTTACGTAATGTACACACACACGCAGGAGCTTCGAGCTTAGTTACGAGTGATTCAAAGCAATAATAAATATACGACGAGGGGGCAATGAGATGAACGCATATACACACACACGCCCAAAAGCTATGCGAATATACGTACGAGGCACGTCGTGAGTCAGAGAGCTCCCGCGCCTCATCGTACTGTTAATGTTGTGCCTCGCACACATATATTGTATTCTATCGTACGCTCCGGGCAGCGTACATATAAGGGTATATGTAACGCATATTACATGTCGATGTAAATCGCGAAAATGTATATATGCGGGCTTTATTGTCAGCGATTCTCACGTGCACGACTCGACGTAACGCGCGCGCACGCACACGACCAATTTATGTACACCTTATCTGAGAATGAAAATAATTAAGATCGATCGCGCGCCGTCCACGCGCGAGAAACGTGTGCGCGATTATCAATCAACGGAGCTTGAATAATTTATGTAGAATAATCGGCCGTCACAAGCTCTCACTGACGTATGCGAGAGAGCGCAGCTCGCCGAACTCTCTCGTGTTTGCGACTCGAATGCGCCCAGGTAATTAAAATTCATCGCTTTACTTGGAAAACTTTGAGCGATAGCTGTAAGCGTTTTTGGGAAATTCCTGCGTTCGAGCCGTATTAAATACCAAGCGGTGTGAAAATTAACGGCCGAACGAGGCGTGTGCAGCGTGCACGTGTGTAAATATACACAAAAATTGTCGAAAAAAACACGCTGCCTAGCTAATTATAAAAACGAGCTACGTCGAAAACCACACGGAACTTTACCTGGGTCTGCGATCCGCCTGGAATTAACTCTCGCTGCAGTTAAATGCTACACACGATGCCGAGTCCTGTTGCGGTTGCGGCGAGTCCAGCCTGCGTCAACGAGCGGGAAAAGTGACGCGCGACATGCTCCGCAGACGAAAACACAGCCGCGCGCGGCCTTAAATAAACAAAAACAAAAGAATTCCGACGAACGCGGGCTAAGTTTGGCTCTGCATAATGCAAATGTCACGAGACGCGGGCCACGAACTCTACATTCGGCAGCAGCAAGGAAACGCCAAACGATGACTAAAGCCCGCGTTATTCCACGGCCAAGGGACGACGCTACATTAAATGCAGGCAGGAGAGCTGTTATATGGGAAAAAGCGGAGTCGCCGGCCGGGAATGGCTCGCTCGGCGTTGCTGCGCCGGCGCGAATTCAAGTTCGTACTTGCTTCATGTACATACAACACAACGATAATCCGCTAGCATAGGGCGAGTCCCTGGTTCCTCCGTACATAAGACCGGGGCTGCCCGTATCCCCACCTGTGGTGCGCTCGTCGCTCGATCGATTGCTTGGCGCGCGCCTAGCAGTGTGTAGTATGGTAGTGGAGTCCGTGACTAGCCTGCAGGATAATGCGAATTTCGAGCGCCTATGTTATAACATCTCCCTGCCACTGGCGAGCCTTCCTACGTCTATATACAATGTGTACACCTATGTCTTACGCTACATACGGGTGCAATTTTGATATTGGCGAAATTCGTCCCACATAGTAGTAGTGTCCGTCACGACTCGTGCCGTACGCTAAAGCTTATACTTTTATTCCCTTCTTTAGCTTCTCTTCTGCCTTGTCCATAACACGGCACATGTTTTGACGCGCGGCAGCTCGAGAGCACTTTTGATTATACAGGCGCGTGCGCTACATCTATTTTTAGAGGCAGTTTGCGTTATGACGATTCGCAACAGATCGGGATCTGCAGCTATTATAAGGGCCGCATCGATGATCGTCGACGGATGCGTTTATGCCTGTATCAGTCGTACGTACGTACGCATCTTCGCGCGGAGTCACGCGTCTGCATATCCGCTCGCTCGTGTCTACGGGAATTCCCGCGCGCGTGTCCTCCTCGTATTATGCACTTTGAGTGTCGATTTTGCCCATGACGCAACGTGGGCGCGCGCGAAGATGCATCGCGGCTGCATCGTTCGTTGAGTTTCTATATTTACCCGTTATTTCCCGTACGCGTCGACACCATGGCACGCAGTACAGTATAAGCGGGCGAAAGGAGAGTGACGAAAAGCGCGTAGGAGTCAGGAGATGATCTTCGGTCTTTATGCCGGATACGCGTAAGAGAATCGCAGAAAAAAACAACAACTCCACTTCCTCGTGGCCCGCGTCAACTTGTATGATTATATCTATCGCTCCGATCGTCGCTTGTGCGAATCTATCTGTCTGTGTTTGTGCGCGCGCGTCCGATTTCTCGATTACGGGCCCGGCACGTATACAGCACGCGCCTTCGACGCTACTTGCTATAATCTACATGAAAAAAGAAACGTACAAACTATTCTTCGGACTAATTTTTTATTCTTTTTCTTCGTTTCGTGGCTCGAAAGAAAAAAACACACACGAGTGAGTCTTGGTTTCGAGTCGCGTCGCGCGCCGTTCGATGAGTCTATACTTTTTTGTTCGAGCGTTCAAAATATTTGTTTAATAGCTCGGCGATGACTAAATACATTTTCTGTTGTTATTTTCTTCGTTCATCGCCCCCCGAAAACGCGTCGAGCCTGCATCCTCCCATATTCGAGAGATGGAAGAAACGCAGTGCACGAGTACAGGAGTGAAAAAGAGCCAATTATAAATAAGCTTGCACAAAAAATAATATTATACTACCTCCGCTACCTCATCGTATTGTTCCACTGTATCTGTTCGCGGACAGCGAGGCATACAGCACGTATAGGATATTTCTCTCTCGCTCGAGGCTGTATATGCAGCGAGATGGTCGGGCGAAAAACGACAGGTGCAGTTTGGCGCGCGTACGGCACGTGCCCCGGTGCAGTTACGACGGCGGCTGCGGCTGCTGCGCCGCTACACACGCACGCGAACCTATAGGTATTCTTTCTTTTTTTTTTTTTTGTTGCTTTTGTACGGGGTCTTGGCTTTGCTTTTCGCGAACGGATTGAGAGAAAGACGCGAGGAATAAAAAAAAAAAAAAGAAGAAGAAAGAATGATGTCGAGCAGATGCAGCGGTAGCGCACACAAGCACGGCGCATAAATACGGGGACCCATATAGTATACAAACGTAACGAGGTACGCGTACACCCGAGCAGCTGGACTTTGTACGCGTAAGTATATAGGTACTCCGTGATTTTCGGCACGTTACCTGCTTCGAGTTTTTTCTTTTCTTTTCCGCGTGACGTCGCGATAAATCTCGATCTTCGCTCGCTCGTTCGAAGAAAGATTTTGTGTGAAAACGCAGGTAGCGCATAGATACGATATTATTGAGATAATGCCGAGGCGACGATTTAAATTACAAATCAGAGCCGCGTAGCGAGTAGCGCGTGTAACTTTATCAAAAGCATGGCTCGGGCTATAATGGCATTAGATTACGTTTGCCTAATAGCTGCTCTGGGTAGTAAAGATAACGCGAAAATAATACCGGTCTAACGTTGGGGGGGCCAAGGCGCGATCTCCCGCGACACTTTTCCGTTCGTTGGACTGACGAGCTTTTAATTATTCAATACTTATGTGTATCTAAGACTCGACATATTACGTAGAGATATGCTAAACGATTTTTGTACTTACGTCCAATATGAATTGTCCTTATGGTCTCAACAAAGTCGGCGATGATAGGCATGGTGAAAAGAACTGATTGAACTGATTGAACTATGAACTCTTGTGTAACGTCTGGAAAAAAAATAAGCATCGAAAAAATAAATTATCGTGTCTGGCTTTATAAACAAAATAAATAAACATATATACATGTATATATCGTATATCGTCGCCTCAGCGCAAGAACCGCACAAATAAACTCAAGTGGCAAAAAGGTGCCTTAATCCTATCCTTTTAACATAGGGATAAGGTTGTTTTTGCCCCTTAAGTTTATTTGTGCGGTTCTTGCGCTGGGACGACGATATAGAATGGTGCGAACTTTTGCTTACCTTTTTTTTCTTTGCGTTGTGTGGTGTTATGCGAAATTTAAAAAAATTTAACAATGACTGCGGTGCACCCTAAGGACACCGAAAACACCACTTTTTTTGCTGACAGAACTATAAAAGAGGATGGAAACAGCCGCACACAATTATCAAGATTTACCGTTGAAGATTTTGGCACTCATGTTGCTATGATGATACATAATAATAACAGCCATATTTTCACAAATAATTTTCATCTGAGGTAAAAAAACTAAACAAGCCAGTAAAAAGTCTCGGTCGGACCGGCGGTCCACGTTTCACAGAGAAATAGAAAAAGTCGTGCCTGTACACTGGCACACACCGTTTTTATCGAAACTTGACAGCGACTAGCACTCGAACGCAGTCAGACTACGAATGCGTGTCGAGCAGGTAAAGCCACTGTATTTATATATAGGAGGCCCGGTGCTGCGAGCCGCACAGATAGACAGTGCGCGGGAGAGCTTAAGCCCGAAAACCGACACACACACACGCACACGTGCCGGAGAAAAAGAGTCGAGCGCGAGATAAAGCCGAAGAGAGATGATGGTGGGAGAAAGGAGAGGTAGAGATGCACCAAATGAGGCGCAGGTGGTTTCCCGAAATTCACTGCTGCGCTGTGGTATATAGCTTCCAATTACTCGTTAGACGATGGGTAGACCCACCGAGGGGGGAAGCCTTTAATAGTCCTATAATGAGTATACAATAATACCAGGTGACCTGCAAACAAACGGAAAACTTTCGGTTATCTATTGATTCATTAATTCATTAATAAGAGGACGTTACACTACTTCGAATCAATCTCTCTTTTATTACGTATTTATTTTATTGCTCGTTAACGAATCATTTTTCCATTTTTCGCCAAATCTCGTGCACGCGTACACGCACCCAAGCTATTGCCTTATATAGTATACAATAATACTACGGAAGAGTTTAACGATCCACGAGTTCGACAATCCCGCGCGCGACTGACTAATAATTGCACACCCGAATGATCACAATTACGCCCGGCATTGCGCACAAATTCCGATCAATGACAGAGTGAATGCGCGCGTAAAACGAGAAAAAACACAAAAAACGTAAAAAAAAAACAATGAATCATTAATAAGTTCCGAAAAAATTAGATGCGGTCGAGGAGACTTGAGTTTCGTGAATTTTATGTATGGAAACGCGTACTCGCGATTAAACTTTCCAAATTCAGGTGGTATCTTTCGTTTTCGACCGAGAATCCACACAGTTGAATTATTAATATTTATTTTAAAAAATTTCACGTGAATTGAGTAATTTGAATTCCGATCGAATTCTATTAAAATTCGAGATCAAGGCTGCATTTTTTCTTTGTGTACACAGAGAGAAATTCTATTGTAAAAAATATTATGAATGCTGGGAAAAGATATGCATCGTCAAACTATGGGGATTTTTTGTAACTCTGATCTAAATTGACTAATTACCCCTACGGAAATTGATCACCACACTAAGTCTTTAGAAACTCTTAATATAAGTATATTAAGAAACTCTTAATAATAAGTCTTTAAAATTCTTACAAATGCCCGGATTCTGTACCACGATTTCAAAATTTAATAAAACTTTATAAGAGTTTCAATTAATATAAAATTTTTTTATAAATTTATGTGAAGGGTTTCTAAAATGTTCAGAAAAAAAATTTAAAAAATTTTTACAAGTAATTTTAATTGTTTTAAAGAGATATAAAGAGTTTTGAAGAGTTATCAAGTGCTTATAAGAGTTTTTAATAGTTTTAAAAACGTTTTTGACTGATTAACGCTCACCAAAAATCATGGTGAAAAAACTATACGGGCAACCATATGAACAATACATAAAAAAAATAAATGGAAAAAAAACTTAACACTTTTGCCAAAAAGTCGAGTTTCCACAAGGTTTCATGAATTTTTAAAAACTCTTATTAACTCTTTAAAATGATTAATCAGGTGTACGAATTTCGTACATTTATAAGACTTATAAAGACTTTTTAAGACTTTATAAAACTATATCATGAGAAAAATTTCCGTTAGGGTAGGCATTTCATTCATAAACGATCAATTAATGTATCACTCGATCGCGATGTAATGTACAGCTAGTCAGTGTTTTCTAAAAACCATCGATCGATTCACATCCATCATTTTTCGAACTTTTCCAGTCGGTGTTCGAAAAAATAGTGCACACGTGCAACCTTTATTCACACCATTAGATACTTGGCGTATACTCACCAATTCTCAGTTTTCACCTTTTACTATTTCGTGAGAAATGAAAAATCTCTTCTACATTCGTTGCTTGAAACAAAAGAAAAAATGAGAAAAAAAGCACCGGTCTTCCACGTCAAACGCTATTCAAAACAAAAACAATAAAAAAAATGTCTTGCGATATTGTTATGTCGATCTAGTTCTTGCGTTAAATTCTTTTACGACCGTGCGTGTACATATATAATATAACTTAATCGATGCCAAATGAACTGCAACGTACACGGATTTTTTCACACACAGAGAAAAAAGCGTTAAAGTTGTTTGAATTTTTCCAAAACAACGTGTGTTTATTAATGTTGTGTGTACACGTAAGAACAATTGCCGATCCGGCGTATCTATGACAGATATAGACACTACAGCTCGACCTCTCCTTCCAAAATGTAATCGGCATGCGCGCGCGCCTTATCAAAGTGCCAAACTAAGCGCTCGTGCTCCCATATTAGGTAACCATGCCTGTAACACACAAGCGGAAACTCACACACGAGCATGATACACATATATTAGATCGTTATTAAATCGAGCCGAAAATCGTCGCTAATTACCCTTGATTGAGCTTGTGCTTTGTGTATGGCACTCAGCATCATGGGAGAGACATTTTCATTGTTATTGTTTACATTAATTAAATGATCCATGTCTATGAAGCACGTGAAAATCAGCTGCGGAAAAAATCATCGATTCTTAGAATGCAGGAAAGACAGATGAGTTGAGTTCAAACTGTTGAAGCTCCAGTCTTATCTAAGTCATTTGTGAATCCTCATAAACTATTAAAATAAAATATTTCGACATTAAAATGACGCTCATCGATGAGTATAATTTATCACGCTAACGTTAATTCACTGATAATCTAGGTAGATTTCAAACTTATGATAGTTAAAATAGTCGTAGATATTTTTAGTATCAGCTAATCAAGTGGCCGTTCAACCTTTGTCAGTTTCTCTAGGACTAAATCCTTTTTGTTTTGCCAGGAAACATCATTTAAGTAATTCCAGTTTGATCTTTCTTACTGAATTTAATAATCGAAATAAAAAGAGCCTTTTTAGTTTCAATGCAGTTAATTTTTTTAAACTCAAGTAATCCAAGTATAATGGTAATTAAAACTGAAGTTTTTCCATGCAATCATTAAATTTGATTGCCTAATTAGGCATCATAAGATAAATCGTAAAATATTTTATAAAAGCTTATATAATTCGTGTTTGTCGGTAGTCGAGGGTATTCATAAGAGAAGAACAATTCGTAAACCAAATTTATATTTTTTGTTTTGTTTTATTATATAAGTTAATAAACAAAAACGTCTAAGCTTTACTTCTTGGCGGCAACTGGTTTTTTAGCTGCAGGTGCGGCTTTCTTTGCTGGGGCTGCTGCCTTCTTTTCTTTTTTTGCTTTGGCAGCCACATTTTTAGCTAGAAGCTTAGATCGCTTCTCCTTAGTCTTTTGATGTTTAACAGCTGAGTCGGTTTCTGGGAGTGTGATCTATAATAAACACATTTACGATTAAATTGACAATAAAATTTAAAGTTATAACATTTAAAATTCTGTTAAAATAATACTTACACCACGTTTCTTAGCCAAGGTGAGATCTCTCTCATCTTGCCTCTTGGCAACCTTAAGGATAGCTGCACGCTTGGTTACAGCAGCGTATGGGTTGAGCTTAAGCATAGCCCTGGTATTCTTCAGAGGGTTAAGTTTCTTAACCTTCCTTATCACTCGCCTCCTGTTAAATAAAGTAATACGTTTAGAAAATGATCGTCGGTATTTTAGAGAGTGATTAGTTATAAATAATCAAATTCAGAAAATAGCTTTGTTTTAATATCAATGATATTCAAAAACACGGACCAAAGCAATTTCATCATGTATAAAATATACTCTTTAGTTAGTTTGATAATTTGAGAAACAGCTATAAGTTTTACATACTTAGGTGCCCTTAGGACTTTACGAATTTCATCAGACTTCAGAAGTCTGGCCAAATCCGTGTTAGCCATTTTTGGCATTGGCAGATTGTAGCCCTTCTTGAGCTCGCTTTCCTTGCGCCAGGTTCCCCAGAGGGCATCAAGTTTCTCAAATGCAGATTTGGTCCAGATGATAAAACGACCAACATGGCCACCAGGTGCCAACTTCAACAAGTTCAGCTTGTTGATGTTCATTACATCAACACCAGGGATGTTGCGGAAGGCCTTGCTGAGACCCTGCAAGATAATTAAAATTAGATGAAGTTTCACTTACATATAAAAATTTAAGCAAGCTAATTGCATAAAAATCAGAATTGGTAATCTTCACTAAAATATCTGTAACACGGACCAAACATTTCTCATCATAGAAAATTTCTACATCAGAAAGAACTAAATAAATAAAAGAAAGAAATAAAAATGACTTTTACCTCATCGTTGCCATACACTATCAACGGTCCACGACGTTGGATGTGTCTGCGGTTGCGCATTTTACCTTTGCCAGCACGAAGTCGCTGAGACTTGTACACCTAAAATATATGTGTAATGTGTTAAAAATTATATAATTACAAAATAAATTACAATTTAAAACTCAAGTTTTTGTGCAATGATCATGTCCCTTATACATTAGTTATAACATGTAGCAAGAACGCCTGATCATCAAATTGCTATAGCACTTGATTGGATCAATCAAGTAATGAATACATGATTGAGGACATTACTGCAGTGCATTTTTAAAAATAATCGATCAAAGGGATTTTTTCTCACCTTCTTGATATCGTTCCAGGCTCTGATTTTTCTAAGGAAAGCCACGGCATCCTTAGTTTTTTGAAGAGCCTGCACTTTGTCTGATACAACCAGTGGGAACTCAGGTACTTCTTGAATCATGTGTCCTGTAATAAAAAATTTTAATTTAGCAATCAAATTTTGATTAAATAAATTAATTTTTCTGCAAGTCAATGTATCAGAAAACAAGGTTATAATCAATAAGATATCAGCAACACAGACCAATATTCTTCATCATTGTAAGCAAGTATGTAACAGAAATTTTTCAGTTATCTATAAAAATAAAGTATACCTTTTGACATTACAAGAGCTGGCACACCAGAAGCAGCAATTGCTGAGACAACTGCGTATCTCTTCTGGTTAACATTGACGCGTCTGTGCCAACGTCTCCATGGCTTAGTTGGAGCAAACATTCGGCCACCACGGCACATGTTACCAAATGCACCCTGACCAGAGCGGTGAGTACCACCACCACGAACACGGGGGATACGTGCCACAGCACGTCCAGTACCCCATGATTCAGCAGAAGTCTGATGTCCTGTAATACAAATAAGAATTCTTTAGAATAAATGATACGTTCATATTAACTATAACGAAATCAAAACATACCTGCTTCTTTTGATACAGCATAGGGTTGCCTATGATTCATAGACACCTGCTGGTGAATGAAATTTACCACATCAGGGCGAATGGGAGCCTTGAAGACTGCAGGCAGAGAGATCGTCTGAGGAGTCTCAGACTTCTCAAAATGCACAGTGACTAAAGGTCGAGCTGTAGATAGCGACTGAAAAGCAAAAATTTGTTATCAGTTGGTTTGAGAATTTCAAAATTGTTCAGAATAAAATCAAGTATAAAACTTCGATCTCTAATACATGATGATTAAACAAAGCTCAAAAAAATAGTCGAAAATTAGATATTCCATGCATGTTAAGGTTAAAAACCTAACCTCACATTATTTTCCACCAAAATACAGTTTTCCCTTAAAAATTGTAACTTTAATTATAATGATGAACGACTTTAAGAACTAATTTCAATAAATAAAAACATGAGAGTACAGGGAAATTTATTTTATTGACAAATAAATTTGTTATAGTAGCTGAGCGGCATGAGCATCACCATGTCCCATACCGAACATATGTATTTTTATTGTCTGTATATCTTGATAAACAATGTATTTAATATAAAAAGTGGAAAATTAACGACTAAAATATTGTTTTCTAATCAAGAACAAGATTTATAGTAATTAATGATAAAAAAATAACCAACCATCGTGATAGCACACGTGAAGGCGCTCGTTCGGGAAGAAAAGAGAATCCTTCTTCGTGCTCTACGTTTATTTCAGCTCCGTCTAGTGGATTTACCCACAAACATACGGCCATTAACCAGCAAAGTTATATGAAATAGCGGCGGGAAATTATGAGTCAAACGAAAGTTAAATCATTGATTTACGTTGAATCGAGGAGAATTAGGAAAAAAATATTCCGGTCTGGAATAAAATGATTTAAATTTTCAATGGTTTTATCTGAAACCCTGAAGTACTCAAACAATCTTTAAAAATTCAAGGTGGTTTTTTTTTTGTTCAAATGTACCTTCATAAATTTTTCAGATTTTTTAAAGTCAAAAACAGTTTCAGAATCGGTAAAAATATAACTATCCTTAAGGAGTCTGAAGGCTATAAGCGATATCGGAGTCTAAAATCCAGGCTTCGGGAGTTTTTTTCCATATATTTTAACTTACCAAAATTTTAGGAAACTTTGTGTATCTTGTGCGCAGGTTTATTTAAAAAATTCTGAAGGTAATTCATTTCATTTCAATTCATGAAAGGCTGTGTATGCAACCGTAAAAATATCAAAATGAAGGACGTCCTAGAGCCATTTAGAGAAATATTCAGTAGAATATTCAAAAAACTTGATTGAAATTTTGATTTTTGGCCAGGCTTCACCATCCTCTTGAATCTCAACGTGATAAATTCGCACCTGTAATGTTCGCATAAAACTCGTTCCGATAATGTTGAGAACGTTGACTACTCTTTTTGTTGAAAAGTAGTAATCCGTATTACAAATTATTCTCTTTCTCACTATTGTCAATTTCGAAATAAAATAGTAGTGTTTATGAATTACTATTTTCAATCAATGGATTGGGAGATCGAAAAAGGGCGATGCAAATTTCTTCGTCAGCTTTCTATATTGCTTAGAAGTAGGGAAGACCTATTTCCGGATCTTTTTATTACGTTTCGAAAGAAAGAAATAGATTTTCTTCTTTTTGATGCGGCAAATTTCATATTTCAATGGTCAAATTCACTTATTGGTACGGAGTTCATAGTTTTCGTGCCTCGTATCGGCTACAAGGTCGAGCCCAAAGTTGATGACGACGCAAGCCTTTGTGACATCACACCACACCAATGCATTATGCGGGTAGATGCAGAAACCCTACTTGAGATCTCGCAGTCCGAGAACTATTTGCAAGATACGATAGGTTTGACGTAAGTTTTTATTGTGTTATTTTTCAGGTGAGAAGATTCCGAGATTCAAAATAAAACAAATAATTTTTTTTCCAAAAGTGCATAAAAAAGGAGATTCTGTGAAAATTTCAAATCAACACGATGATTTTCTTTTTTGTTCGGCTAATAATAAATACCTTTTTTTTAAGTAAGATTTTGATAAAAAATAATTTGATAAAAAATAGTTACAAACCTAAAAATGTCTAATTAAAATTCACTTATAAATAGTTTAAATAAATTTTCAAAGGTATTCGACTTGAATAATCCCAACTATGCGCAAGTTCGTCAGATTTTAAAAGTAAAAAGGAATTACTCTTATATGACCGCATCGTATAATTTCTATAAGTACTTCCCATAAATTATGATACCAGAAAAATGATACAACCACGTGTAATATTGCTTAGTTTTAATTTATAGTTAATTCAAGTATTGATTGAATTAATTCTTTACGTACATTTTTTACGATGGAATGGAAATATAGTCATTCAAATTTAATATTTCGAGATCGAAAAAGTTTTAGGGGATTATTTATTACACTGTCGTGCCACATAGATTAATAATTGAAAATTTTATATTCTATAAGAAAAAAACATGCTTGAGCAAATATTTTTTATTTGACACATGAAATGAAAATTTTAAATAGTTAAATTATTACATTTTAACAATAAATTTCACTGTAAATATTGGGTTCAGTATGACATTCTGATCCAGCATAATGTTAGTATCATCACAAGTAAGTGATTTTCAAACAAATTATATGCACAGTTTATTTACTTGAACATTTTAATTAACAAATCAACTTTGTTAGTAACTCAAAGTTTTATTAAATGGACGATTATAGTTATTTGTTCTGTCACCGTACTTGATTCATTGAAGTCATTATAAAATTATGTGGGTGGAAATTTTAAGTAATACTTTTAAGATTAAGTTATAAATTTCATGAAAAATTTCAACAAGAATAAGAGAGCATTTTTTAAAATCAAAGTTATTTATTTAACTACATGAAATTCTTACGCAAGTTTTTAGATCCTTATCGGTAAATTTGAGTTTCCTATCAGGAAATCATGTTCACAATACAAGATGATACGCGTAACTTCCGATTCTCTCGATAAAATAATTTTGCGCCATTTTGCCATATATTTTATACATCTACATATTAGAAATAAATTCACTAATAGTCAGTTCAGTAGGTGTTTACAAACACACCTAGAAAACGTCAACATCTTTGAAACTCGTATATATGTATATACACTTGTGCAGTGTGCAATATATATTGCGACTATACTTTGCAAAATAAGAGGTTACAATCATCCAGCTAACTAATTTTACGTCGCAGTTAACGCGAGTCAGCTATCGTTTAATGTTGCGCAAATGGTTTTCGCCAGTGGGAATCCCTCGGCCGTAGAAATGCAATTCTGTGACCATCCATGATTGTTAGTGCAATGACAGATGATACATTTGAGTTTTGACGTCCGTTGATTCGATTTTCAACTATTTTGACGATATGAGTACTACGTGCACTATGGAGGAGCGAAAGGTAATTATCCAATTGTTTATGTAAATTATAAGTTATCTCGATGCTGGCAATCTATTTATTTCTTTGAATTACTTTATTTTAGGCTGCCATGTACTGGCTAGCTTCGAATCAACAACAAGAATTTTATGAAATTAGCAGTGATTTCAATACCTATAAAGAAGACGAACATCAATATCTTAAGAATTATATTGGATATGCCTTGTTTGGTCCACCTGAATTTAAGGAAGGTTACAGAGAATATTGCGATGAAGCCTTTGTTTATGAAGATAAAAGTAAAATGGATTTAATAACCAGCATATACGAGAAAATAGTTGAACATGGTACGCAACCTGAAAAAAAAGACATACTGTGTAGTATAGTATATGTATGCATGTATGAGGATCAACAATTATCTAAATGTGATGAATATCATATAAATGAGCTAATTAATATTAGACCAATTTTCAAAGTTCAAAAAGCAATATTAAAAAATAAAAACACAGAACTACAAAATTGGTACATAGATACTGAAACCAGAGTTTATAAAGGATGGACAGATTTTCTAAGCAATAATAATTTACCTGCCTGTACTATGATTGCCCCAAAAGATGGAGTGTATCAAGCAGATCTCAAAGAACTTTGGTCCGATAAAACTTCCAAAGTTTGGGTCGAGACACATAATAATAATGCAAATTCTAAATATGCAAGTGTAGTTGATGTAGCTGCTTCAGTAGCAAATTTTGGATGTTTAGGCATTGGCGTAGCAGCTATGTTTAATCCTATATCAGCTCCATTTGCAATAGCAGGTAAATTAGATTTTATTGTATTACACGTTGAACCACAATTAATATTTTTTAATCTGTAGGAGCTGTAAGTGGAGGATTGTCAGGAGCATGGGGAGGGTTTAGATCAGTACAACATCTAATTGATAGAAAATCCCATGATCAGTCAATTGCAGATAAAGAAGCTGTTCCATCTTGGCTTGGAGTAGTAGGCAGTACATTTGGCTTGGCTGCTAGTGGTGGATCAGCTCTTCTTTCCAGAGCAATAAGAACAGGATCTAGCATAGGAAAAGGAGCACAAATAGCACATGATGCTATTATGATTGGTAATGTAGTAATTAATGGCATTGGCATAGGATATACTGGAGCCGGTGTTATTTACAAATATAAAGAAACTGGAGAGATATCTGCCAGAGATATATTTTTCTTGAGTACTCATATCTTTTTTGTTTGTAATTCTGCAATAAAATTTAAGTTTGCTTCTGAAATTATTACTTCAGATCAGAAACAAATTTTACAAGATTATGAAGACAGCTTACGTAGTAATAGGCATAGAAAAGAATTTCGTCGTTTAGTAAGAAATACAGGAAACAAAATTTTAAATGAAGTTGAAAGAAATGAACAAATAATTAGGTCACTAACAAAAATTAATAACAAAGATGACTTTTTTGCAACTTTGGTCAGAAATAGAAAAGTTTTTGCAAGTACTGATGCTAAAGTATCATTTGCAAATGGACAAATTCAGATAAATGATGTAACTTTAATTAGTCCATCTGCTTTAACTAATATGTCAAAGGAAGGATTATTTTGTTTGATTAATCAAACTCCAGTTAATCCACTTGGTGGAGAGACAAGCACAAGTATGTTTTCCAGTATAAAATCGAAATCTTCCTTCGGCATGCCCGCACCAGTTTTACGCGCTGGAATAGATATTCTCAAAAATTTTTATGTTAAACATTCAATCAATTCAAATGAGGAACCATCTGAACCATCTAATTATCAAGAAATAATAAATGACACTCAAAATCTCCAAGAACAATCTAAAATAATGGAATTAGTAATGGATGCTGGTTTAACTATAGTAAGAAAGTACACCTCTGGAAACCTATGTGAAGATGCACTATTAGCTGAAGCTACTCACTATCTTTGGAAAGTTATTAAAATGAATTTGTCAGAATATCTTCCAGGAGTTGAAGTTTTTGAAGAAACATGCAAAAGTACTATCATGAAAGTAGTAAAAGGAGTTTCAGCCTTAGTTAAAAGTAGTGTCCATGAATGGGTTGAAGCATTTAAGGCTTACATGAATAAACCAACTCCAGAGAATACAAATGACCCTAATTTTGCCGAAAAAATGGAAATTGATGAGTCAGAAAATCAAGAAACTAAGGAAAAATTCGGAATAAAACACTACAATGATTTAGAACTTTTGGATCCGATTGAAGTTTTATCACTTCCAAATGACGTTTATAATATCATTGTTGAGCAAGCATTGAAATCTACTGGTTCAAAAATGGAAGAAGTAAATAAAGAAACAAAAAATATGAAGAGGCTTTGCGAAAATGAACTCAACGACTTTTTTTCTAAACATCCAACGAACATAGATTTTAAATTATCAGTTTTAAGCAAGGATTTAAGTGGTATATTGAATGATATTGAAATTTTTGAAAATAATAATATTATTTTCTATAAATTAATAGTTATATCAGTCAACATAACTCAAGGAATAGATAATGATAAAACTTTGACAAAAGAAAGGCTTGTAAGTGTTATGAAATTCTTATGGACTTTAATCGTTCTAAATTTTTCAGAAAAATTACCGAACATCAATATGCTCGACAAAGAGCATGAGAGCCTAATTATGAATATCATTATAGGTATTTATAAATACCAAATCGATCAATCTGATAAATGGTCACGTGCCTTTCACACCTTTAGGGTAAATTATGCTGAGCAATGATTAAACTTTGCCTATTTATGCCACGCACAAGTGATGGATGGATTTATAGCCTTATAAAATAGTTTTAGCTAGAGAAGAATATAAAAAAATTAACTTTATTGTAGTAAGAATGTTAAAATTTGCAATTCGAGTGTTTGATTGTGTGATATTGGTTTTAAAAATTGTTTTAAGAAATGTCGAATTGCCGTCCGAAAATTATTTAATTCGAGTAAATTTTTTTTTAAATATGTATCATATCAATAGGTACTATTAGAACATAAACGAAAAAATGTCAGTGAGCTTTAAAATGTATCATTTATATTATTATAAAATAATCTATTTTTATTAAATAAAATTGTTACTCGTTCAACGAATCTAACGAATTATTATACTCATTAAAACCTATAAATTTACAATTAACTATACAACACACAGCGAACCCATCAGCAATCGTTGCCTGCACATTTTTCTTTGGCTAAAAGAGATTCAGCTTCGAAGAGGCTATCCACGTTGATGCACTTCATCGGAATGTCTTTTTCAACATTTACACCCTCTGTAATGAAAGCAAAGCTATCACTGATCTATTTTATTCCGAGCATGAAATTCTTATCTTATATAGTGTACCTATTCCACAGAAGATCGTGATTATGTCAGCCTCGCTCTTGAGTATTTTCAAATTGTCCAGGTCACCGAGTTTCCTGATAGATTTAACGATTTTGACGTTGAGATTGAGAAACCAAAGCGTCCTGCGGCTTTTTTCGAAGTCCTTGGCTAGCTTTTCCAGGCCCTTGACGGCCGTGTAATCGACTCCACGGAATCGCTGACAATCCAGTACCAGTGGCATATTGCCGGGTGCCCTCTCCTCGGCGATCTCGACCATCTTTTGCGAGAGAAAATCCACGGCGGGAAAAAACAATCCGACGTCGGGCTGCACGAGTAAATATTTGTGCTCTAGATTGGCCTAGGTGAGAATAAAGAAAGATAAGCGTCTGGGCACACACGGAAGCTGAGCTCTCTCTCTCTCTCTCTCGGCAATAAATGTATTACAGAGATAAGCGGATATATATTATGTATGTCTCTCACGGTGCACTCGGTGACTTTTATGGCAGGCCTGGCGGATAGGTAAAGCAAGTAGACGATGTTCGATACGATGCCGAGCATGAGGCCAGCCTCGACGGTAAACACGCAGCACACGACGAAGGTCCCGAGCGTCGCGACTGCGTCTTTTTCTGCAAAATTCGACACGCGTTGCGGGATTAATCGGCAAGGATAAGTCACACAAGTCCATAATCATTATATCGATAAGATTCGTCTGTGTGTGCACACTCACTGCTGCCCTTCCAGAGCGGCTGGAAAATCCTCCAGTCGAAGAGGAACACGACGGCGCATATCAGCACTGCCGAGAGCGTCGCCTTGGGAATGAAATAAAAATACGGGGTGAGATAGCTCAGGGCCAATATAGCCATGAGGCCGGAATAGACTCCGGCCAGCGGGGTTTGGATGCCGCTGGCCGAGCTCACGGCGCTCCGGGTAAAGGCGCCGCACGTCGGCAGCGAGCTCACGCAGCTGCCCATGAGATTGCACAGTCCCAAGGTGCGCATCTCCTGCGAGGCGCTGATCGATCCCGTCGCTGAAACATCCCATACGAATCATCCAGTGCGAATTATCGTTATTTAATTATTTTTTTTCTTTTCATAATGTCGGATAACGTCGGATCTTGGACGTACCGAAAACTTTGGCGATGGCGACGTTCGCCAGGACAGAAACCATCGGTAAAACCACGATCCCCGAGCCCATGTGCGAGCACATGTCGAAAAATCCATAAGTCTGATTGTTGATGCTCGTGGTAAAGTTCGGCAGCGAGAAGGACGGAAGCCCCGATCGAACTTGACCTGTAAATTTCGGGGTACAAAGTCATGTAGCTTCGGTGCACACTGCACACGAATATTTTCACGTTTTTTTTTCTTTTATCAACATACGCGCGTGTTTGATTGTTTTCGCTGCAGTGCGCGAGTCTCTGTTTGCTTGAACTTAAAATTAACTCGCTGATCTTTTTCATAATAAGATAAAGTCTACTCACCCGACAGCACGAACGGCATTTGACCTCTCTGATGGAAATAATAACTCAGTACGGAGCATAACAGGACGACTATGGCGTTTCGAGCCACCGACACGAACCACAGACTTTTGGCGAGGAAAGCTCGGGCGCGGCTAGTTTCGCTCGATTTCACCTTCACGTCTTTTAATTTCTACGTAAAGGAAAAAAAAACATCGAATTCACTCAACGATCGATAGAAGAGAAAATCAGAACTCGATCGCGTGAGTTATTATGCACACGTACCCTGAGAATCAATAAAACGATGATACACGATATACCCAGGCAGGTGTCACCCAGTCTCATGTCCTTCAAGCCGGTAAAGATCTTGGTGATCTGGTCGACAAAGTGCTTCGACTGGAACTTTAGGCCGAACAGACCCTTGAGCTGCGAGCCTATGATGATGATGGCCGTGGCCGAGGTAAAACCCGACGTCACCGGCAGAGATATAAAGTCAACGAGAAAACCTGAGGCCCCAACGTGTAGAGATGGTCAGTAAAAATTACACGATTCTTTCTAAAAGCCAGCGCGATATACGTACCTAAATCTAGTAGGCCCATGATGAACTCTATGCAGCCAGCGAGAAAGGTCAGGAGAACGACAAAGTCCATATTAGTGTCCCTGGTAAACTCGAGGGTGAGCAAACTCATCAAGGACGTGGGCCCGATGGATACTTCTTTTACCGTGCCGAAGACGGCGTATAAAAAGCCACCGAGAAACGACGAATACAGACCGAACTGAGGATCAAAAGAAACGCGTCGAGTAGTTGCTCGTAAAATTGCAGCCACGCGCGAGACAACGAACCTGTGCCGATTGTCCAGCCAGGGCGGCGTAGGCTATGCTTTGCGGGATCATAGTGAGGCCTATGGTAAGGCCGGCGATCGCGTCGCCCACCGCCTGGTACTTGCTGTACTTCGGCAGCCATTTGACGATCGGTATGTATCTGCCAAAGTGTATCTTGTTGCTGTTCTTCGCTCGTATCTTGGAAACTCTACGGCCACCGCTATTACCTTCCTCTAACGAATTTTTATTATTTGTATTCGTCACTGCAAAAGGGATCGAAACAATTATAGGCAAATGCGGGGTTTTTTGTTATGCGGGGAAAATCATGCGCGTTCGTTAAGCCGGCTTCGCGTTATCTTATCGCACCGATCGGTAATTAGCGCCGTTCATGTGTGTATTATGCGTGCGCGGCGCGTGTGTATACTCTCGCATTGTATGCCCTCGCGGCGGTGCACGCTATTATGAAACGTGCGAGAACGGATCTATTATTGTGCCAAATTTTTTTTAATTGCTCGCGCGGTTTCATTCCTTTGTTGTGACAAATGTCGCGTGGATCGATTTCGAAATAGCCCCGTTGCGAGCCGCTCTTTACACAAGCTTGACACACATTTTACGATACGGAAAAATATTCGTCTACTTATTTTTTTTTCTTTGCTTTTTCTCTTTAAGACTGTGCGAATTTTTTTAACGATTATCGTGACAGTTGTATCGAACGGAAATGAACTCGCGTGAAAACAAAAACAAAAAAGACACTCACTAATGCAGAAATTTTCATTGTTCCGCTAACTTGTTGCAAGCTCCTGACTACTTTATCTCGTCGATCGGATCCGTCAAAGACTATCTGGACTCGCTCTCTTCTTATTTCGCGAACATATCGCTACATGTAACTTATCCCACTCTGCTACTCTCTTGATCGCGATCACCCACTTAAGAGAGTCTCTTATCAATTACCTTTTAGGTGCTATATACGTTATGTCTATAACATCTACCCGCTGATGTGTGAGGTAACCGCGGATGAAAAGTAAATTCAATTGACCCGCAAATGTTCGGAAAAATTGGGATCTGCTATGTTGGTTCGTTGAATTGTTAGATAATAAGTTTCTCGATAACTTAGAAAAAAATATTTATTTATGACAATAAAAATTACAACAAACTTTATTAATAACTGATTTAGTGACTTTTTATTGCACGTTTTTATCGTGAAGATGAACCTATCTAATATTAGAGTATAGAGTGATAACGATAGGATGTAAATCGACAAGATTAAAAGAGAGAATTTTCTAAAAACGAGAAGAAAAACTCAGCTATTGAGCTGTTACAAAAATGCATCGAAAATGGTTGAACCGCGTGATCATTGTACTTATAATAACTTCACTCTCGCCGTTTTTTTTCTTTTCAGCCACATGCGCCGCGTCATGTATGAAATCAATTAATATGACATAACATAAATAAATAATAAAAGTTACATTTTCCAGATTACCCCATTCGCTCGCACGACACAAGTTTATAATAATTTGTCATAACACAACGAATAATAGCTATCCGATACATAATATAAATCTATAACAACTACGGACTAGTGTAGACGTAATTTGACGTTAATCTGTTCGATGAGATCGTCGATCCTCTGCGAGCAGCCCCGGAATTTGGCCGGCTCCGGGCCGATCATTTGTATGAGCTGCGGCACGTCCTGTCCACTGACCTGCGTGAACTTGGCCAGCGATTTCATGCACGCGAACAGCTGCTCCTCTTGTGGAGTCCCATTGAAATATTGCAGCAGTGCCATTGTCAGCTCGACGGCTACGTCGTCGAAGACCTGAAAAGTAAGATCAACGAGTTGGACAGTTGTGGATTTTTTTTCTCGAGCTTAACTACGCGCGAGTCACGCGAACGAGCTAACGTTTACGAGTGGAAAACGACACATGTAATGATACCTTGGAAATACTGCCTTTTGGTAAAAGCTGCCTCAGACTTTTGTTTTTGTTCATTTTCTGTAAAAACATTACAAACGACTAAAGGAAGTACCCGCGCTCAAAACACATATATAGAAGTAGTAAGCAGCAATTATTGTATGAGTCACTACATTTGTACTAAAGGCAGCATTTCGAGGGGTTAAAAGTGTGTGTGTGTGTGTGCGTAAATTGCTCGTTAAACGCGACTAAATACAAAAAGAAAATTGTTTTAGCAATTTTGCGATACAGACCACAGTTTTTACCTCCTTGCAGGCTAGATTATGGATGACAGCTGTGCCGCGCATCTGCAAATCCTCCGAGTCCGAGAGCAACGAGTGGACCGCCAGTTTGGTCGTCACGCGTATGTTGCTGATATTTTGATTTTGGTACTGCCACTCGGATATGTACATCAACCACTCGGAACTGCTCAGATTCTCGAAAAGATTGGCCACCTTGAAAAAGTCAATTTCATCAGTTATGACAATAGACACGCGTGTTTCAACGCAGCATCGAAAGATTATCCTTACAAATTGAGCCAGCGGCAGTTGTTCTTCGACGGGATGACGATCGATGTCGTAGGCGAAATTCATGATGGTGTGTTCCCGCCTGTCCTGATGCAGCAGCAGAATGACGTCGTCTTTGAGCGCTGCCACACACAGCAAGTTGAGCAGGCACACTCGGACCGAACTGTCGAGCGATTTGTCGTTGAAGATCCTCCCGACGAAGCTCAGGAAATTGTCGCCCAACGCCCAGGAACCCTCGTTGTCGAGTATGTACTGATGCAGCTCGTCGACGTTCTGAATCTCGGCCTCGTTCAGCTTGCCGGCCAGCAGATCTCTCAGCTTCTCGAGCTCCTGGGCTGGATCGACGAGATCGCGAAAGACGATCGGTGGGTCGCGTTGACGTTTCAGCTCCTCGACTTCGCGCCTCTCGTCCGCCTCCATCTGCCTGACTCTTTCGGATATCGTCAAAGAGGAATCCGTTGCCGCTGCGGCGTCCGCTTGATCTTGAACTGTCTCCTCGACCGTCACCTCCGCCACTGCTGCTGCTGCATCTGTTATTTGTAAAAAAATTGTTATTGGCATTGGAAAATCGTGAGTACATCGATGGTCGTCTGCGTTATATTACATAGAGTGCAACAATTGTACTTACTCTCGCTGTCAGCCATGTCTGAAACGCCGGTACTGTTGGTTTCGCTGCCGCTTTGATCTCGGCTCTTGTCTTTCTTCTTTTTGTCCTTCTTTTTCTTCTTTCGCTCCTTTTTCGCGAGCTTTTCGTTTATCACGTTTCGCTTCTCCTCGAGAGCAATGGAATTAATCCTGCTTACGAGGGACACAGACGACTTTTCATTATTCATCGTTCAATTTTCAAACGCGTTTATCGAGTGAATTTAACATACCTTGCCTGTTCGATCTCAGTATTGAGAGACTGGAATTCCGGCGAGTCCTCTCTGTTTATTCTGGCCTCGACGAATCTGTTGCCCACGGTTAAACCGGCGGTGGCACTTCTGCTCAGGTTCTCGATCAGCGGGAATAAGGCTTGACCGACGGGCCTACAAAGTGCAAAGTTTCAAATTGAATTTATACATACGGTTTTTTGGCTTACGCGAAACAGATTAAAGCGTCGGATTCCACTCACGTTTGTAAAATTTCTTCTGGCAGGTCCAATATATATTTCGGTATGCCCGTGCCAACGAGGAAATTGCTCACCTCGTCGCTGAAGTTATTGCAGTTGTGTTTGAACAAGTTATACGTACCGGGTCTGTAAAATGTATCTTACGGTTAGAAAAAAAAGGTCGCTGGACGAAAATTGGATTTTTTTGCGTGTCGTACTTACGCGAATTTGGTAGTCCCGAGTCCGTTGATGTACTCGTAAAATACCGAGTAGGGTAGATAGGTCTGTCCGACTTTTTCGATCCTCTGTGGCTCTTGGAGCTCCGTACCACCCTGTCGAGAAAAGAAATCAGAGTAATCGCAAGCGAGCACGCGATATAATCACACGATGAAAAAGCGCACAAGAGAAAAACTTTTCCATCCAAAAATAGTATCTGTCTCTCTCAACTTTGTCGTATAGATTTCCGGGTGGCTCTATAGAAGCGGAGAGACCGAAAATAGAGACTCGCGACGCGTCGAAGCCTTTCGTCTCATCGCCATCGACGACGACGATCCCGTGTATATTATTGTAAAAAATGCCAGAGAGAGAAAAAACACTTGAACATGGTTTTGTTGAAGCATAATCGCGAGGAGTGTTTCGGGGTAAAAATTTCCAACGACCGACTTAACTAGTTTCGCGTGCGGCAATAAATAAACGGCAAAAGTGTATAAAAATAAACGCGTGATGCATCGGTATATACAATTGATATAATTTTCTTGGACGCTGTTTGCGACGATCTCGGGCTAATAAACATAAATCGGTTAGTCACTTTTCTATTTCGGACACGCGATTTTGCGAGCGCGACGAGCAAGAAAAAAAGCTCTAATGCGATTTCGGAAATGGCGTTCGATAGGTTGGACGTGTGTGTACGTAGTAAAACGCGGAAAATTGGCGCACGTTGAAACTCACACTCTTTATGGGTGCTAGGACGTGGGATAAAGCGAGCAAAAAGACCAACTGCAACAGCTGCAAAACAACGACTAAAAGGTAATATAAGCTCGTGCGCCGGTTTCTCTCTCTCTCTTTTCTTGGTACTCTACGTTCTGCGCACACACACGCGGCGTGTCTGGTCGCACGTACACACACACACACACACGAACACACACACATGTACGTCACTTACCCCGCAGATATACACGGACGTTTTGCCTTTACGCAGCTATGAATGCGTGTTACAACGCTCGAGAAAATATATTCTCGTGGTTGGACAATTTCTCCGGTGAGCTTTAAACGCGCAACTATCAGCACCGACACTATAACCATGCGGCGAGAGCGTCGAGCTTGTGCCGTGCATGTATTTTCGTTTGAGACCAAATTTAGGTTCGAAGCGGAGAGAGAGAAAGAGAGAGAGAGAGCCGGAATCAGATCGCGTTCGCGCCCGTGTGGAAGGAGAGCGTGAGTAGGGGCAGCTCGAGGGAGAGAGCTTTTACGACTTGAGAGTGTATAGGAAAAAAACAACGAAAAAAAAAATAGATATGGAAAGGGAAAATTTTGTTCGTTATAGAGGGTGCAATTACTTACCGGTCTTACGCTCTGGATGCCCATCGGTCCGAAAAAGTACTCCCGTCCGTAGGCCACCACTGCCGTGTGCCATATTCCGTCCAGGTGTCGGCCTGAAATCGTCACACATACACGACATCGTGTACATCATCTTTTTCGTGTTTCTTTATTTATGCTTACGGAGAAAAGCCGCGCGAAGCAGCTCACGAGCCAAAATCGTTGTTTGACTTTTGCGCGTCTCGCGAGCGGGCGAAATTTTCCCACGCGCGGCTCGAACCGATGCTTTTTCCGGCACTATAAGATCGCTTTATGAATCGCCTCTCTGTTTTTCGATTTTCCTCGTCATTAGTTGTCCCACCGGGCTAATGCACGATCCATGCAAACATTCGCACGCGCGCGCGCGCGCATAGGTGTAACAGATTACAAACGCATTAATAGGTATGGCATTCACGGCCAGATCGGTGCGTTGAACTTTTGCGAAATTTGCGCGCTTTCGACCCATTTCGCATTGCGCTCGTCGTCGTCGTCGTCGTCGGCCCAGCTCCGAAGAAATAGAATAGCGGCTCTCGATGTGTCGCAAGTCCGAGGAGGGAATCCGTCGCGAGCCAGCGGCGGCGGCAGCGACCGCACCGACTTTTCATCGAGTTAAGCCGTTTAATTGATGCGGATTATTTTTCAACGCCGAGCGGCCAGGTAGGCTCGCCGAAGACGAGTGATGATCAGCTATAAAGCCTCATCATCTCTCGCTGATGCGCGGTATAGAACGAAATGAATAACGGCGCGACTCGCGAGCTTTTCACCTATATAACGGCTCGTTTAAACAATTTTCAATGCGTGAATCAAACTGCCGAGCTCGATGCCTTTGCCAAAGAGGACCGGCTTCGACGGACATTTAACGCGTATACGCGCGCATTTATTTTCCCAAAAGCGAAGAAAACACAAAGACGTGTGCGTGCGAGAGCTTCGAGAGCCAGCGCGCGCGCGAGAGCTAGATGAGAAAAATCGACGCGCGCGTTGGCTATTTCGGTGATGAGATTATACCTAGTACACGTGTTACGACAGATCTCGCGCGCGCGACAGATCCGAATTTATAATGCTCTATAATACAGATTGCAGGAATTAGACAAGGAAAAAGTGTCATGGTTTTAGAAGCACGCGCGAGACCTTGAGACCGACGAGAGAAATTACACCGCGCACGTACAACGCGATACACGCGAGACTGCCAACAAAAAAAGCAGAGAAAAAAGTAGGGCACGCATATAGCCGGCGCCGCGCGCGTCTAGGAGAAAATACAAAAGAGAAAAGTAAGGAGACAGAGAGAGAGAGAAAAGCTCATTTGCACCGAAATCACGGGAGCTTCGTGCATGTTCGCTTATTATATGTGCGTCACGTACACAGTCCGAGAAAAAGATGTGCAGCTTAAGTTTCGAAGCTCTTCCGCGTATCGTTCCATGCCAAAGCGCATAAATCTGCTGCACCGATCTCGCGAGCGTATCTGCGTATTATGATTGCGCGTCTCCTCCCTCGCGAGCTTCTTCTTCTTCTATTTTTTGGGCGCACTGCGTCGTTGCACGTCGACGTTATTCTCGTTGCGTTCGCTCTCATTATATTCGTTAGAGCGCGCAATAATTATCCTCTCGCGACAAGCGTGTATAAGCTCTAAATTTACGACGCGAAAAAGCGAGCGCGTTCATCTGTACAGTAAGAACACTTGGCAAGCGAGATTATTATAGCGTTGGAATATCGAAGGGTTTTCTGCCGAATCGATGACGCTCGAGTACGCTCGTTTGACGCTTAATTAGCCTCGCGAGTATTAATTACACGTTTATGCGAGCTTGAGCTAGAACAGTCCGGCTGACTTCTCCAATTTTATTATAAATATAACAACGAGTGCAAAATTACCGATGAGCATTTGAGACATCATGGCAGCCGTGCCTTTGGTCAGGTCGTAGACGAACACCTCGACGGTCGTGCCCTCGTCGCCATCGTCCATATTCTCTGCCTGTAAATGAAAAAGAAACAAAGCACGATTAGACGCTTTAATTGCAACAATTATCGAGTGGTCTGACTCGGACGACTGATGTCGTATATCCATATATTCAAGACAAACTTGTAATACATTTCTAAACTATTTCACATCGTCGAGTGCAATATTTTATTGTTATCTCGAGTTCACTACAAACTATTCACACGTAATCTTACGTACAACCGAATTAGACTCCGCTAGACGATAATCAAACGGTGTAACGGACACAAGCCAAGAACGCGCAAATTGTTGTCCAAGCGAATCGGACTGGAGAGCCACATAGACTATGTACAGCTCGTGTCCCGCGCGCATATGTCTCTTTTCGCGTTGGCTCTAGCGAATTCGCGAAAAAGTAGGGAGAAGAAGAAGAAGAGCATTTCACCGCGCTCGACGTCGCCGACGCGTCGACGCTTCCATCCTATACATCTGCTTATGAAAATATACACATAGGTATATACAGGCAGGCAGATATCGTTATACACGATGCGCTGATCGACGAGCTTTTAAACTCCGAAGCGGACAGTGTATTTGGCTTTTGCATTTTGTTGTGTCGCGCCGAGGCGTGATCGTCACCTTTGTTTTGCAAAATAACCGGAGCGATGCACGTGCGGCTCTTCTTCTTTTTTGACGCACCCGCAAAGCTCGTGGCTCATATTTTATTTAAATATATTATAATACAAACATCAACAAATTGACGCAAACGATGACGACGTCCCTAGTCGACGACAAATGTACGATGTAAAAATAACGATTTTCGATGAGCGAGGAAAAAACGATTTGCTTTATTTCTCATCGAGTCTCGCGCGTTCTCGCTCGCGCGCGCGACATGTGTAGCAATTGTCCTATCGCAATAGAGAGAAAAAAGAACGACGAGAAAAAGGTGAAGCAAGAATTTCGTTTGATCTAAAATTACTCCCATTTCTTCGGCCGCGGCGGAGATTCTCGCGAAATATTCTCGCTTCCCTATAACATTCAAAAGACGCTTTGAACTCTTCCGTCTAGTACTTGTGTAACGCGTACGATTCGCCGCGAATGAAAACTCATGGCATTATAATGTTCGCGTCTGTGTGCATCACTGCATCCAAGGCGGCCGGTGCGTGTGCCCATGGCTCGAGCTGGCTCCCATGTATATTTCCAGAAAAGCTCTCGGCTGCGGTCAAAACGACTAGGCGTACACAGAGGAGAGGGACGTGCATATAGGCGCCGCACATCTGCATACGAGTTTAATAAACTTGGCCTTATGTATACGTGCGATCGTCGGAACAATTTATTAGCGTGAGAATCGATGCGCGTAAATGCCGTTGCCGGAGAGAGAGAGAGAGGCCTATTAAAAGCTCGTTACAATCGCCTATGGGATTTTTAAAGTTTTCTTTTTTTAGAATTACCTACCTATTTGCGCAGGCTAGTTGGGTTAAAAATAAATTTAAAAAACGATCTCTCGTTGATGGAGCCACTCGCGGAAACGCACAATCCCGTTTCTTTCTTATTTATCTGTTTTGTATTTTGGCACAATCGCGAAACTCGTCAAAAAATTCAAAGCGAAACTCGAGAGAGCATGTGAGATGCTATCGGCTCTCGGCACTGCACTGACTCACCGCGTTGCATACGACGACTTGCACGACGCGCACCTTATAACTCGAGCACCGAGTCGTCGTATGGATATATTTTGATCGTTGTAAGACGCTCGCGGCTCTGTGCGGAGAGAATTGCTTCTTCTCGACTCGCCGCTCGAAAAAAGAGGGAGGGATAGAGACGCAGCTAGGCAGAGGGAAAAGCGCGTCGAGCTTTTTCGAAGCTCCGAGCGCGCGAGACGCATCGTGCCCCCTGCGCGTTCGCGCACCGGTTACCAACGTTTAACGATATTATTTAGAAAACGGCTTTAGCAAACGGCTTTTGTCAGCCGAGCTAGGAGATTCTTGAAATTTCTTTGTCGCAAGCTCGCGACGCTGATAACTCCACATAGACGCCTGATGTATGTTAACCCTTTCTGGTTGAGATGCATTCGAGGACCCGTTTTACATTTTATTCAACGTCATCGTGGTAGTTCGATCGGTGCAATTTTTAGGAGACATTATCGATTAACGCCTGCTTTACATTTTTGAAAAAACAGAATACGGCTAAAAACTTTCTCGTATAATATATTTTATGTTTTTTCAAAAATGTAAAGCATCTGACAATCCATCTTTTTTTTCGTCTGCTATGATTGCAGACGTTCTTTGCAGGATAATATCAATCTTGACACGATATAGCAATTACGCTCGAGGGGATGAAAAATCAAACAGCCTCGCTTCCATAAGCGTCGCGAGTAAATGCTCAAGAGCGATGCCATTTAAATCGACTCACCATTGCGTCGGCTGACTTATTTACTGCAGCTAGTAGAATATGCCAAAGTTTCGAGGTTAGTCAATGATGAAAAAACGCAGCGACAGCGACTTTACGTACGTTCACACTCGCCCGCGTATATTTGCGCTTCGTCTTTTATACTCGAGAGTATGACGAATTATTGACTCGGCACTTTTTCACAATATTGAATAATTTATTCTTCTGCTGGCCGAACCCGCTAGGACTATCTAGCAAGTTCCACCTGCACTTTTCAACGCACATATATACGATGCACATATGCACGCACACACACACACACACACACACACACTGTCAGCTGCACAGCTCATGCCAATGTTTTTGCGGCGGACTACTTATTTGTCCTTTCTACAATTTATCAACGGGTGCAGTCTCGCTATCCGACGGTCGTCGAATTATTAGTGAACGATTGATCGATTCTGACTATCTGTCATCATCTAACGTATTTTTCGAATTCGGTCAAAATTTAGTTCATTTTGGAAAAATTCGTTTCAGCTTCTGATATTTATTGATTCGCGATATTTTTTCCATTTATATAGTTGTAAACATCATGAAATCATGTGTAACATTTTTACATTTTGAAAACCTTGAAAACCTTGAAAGGCCAAAACAAGTTAATAATCTAAACAAAACACAATTAATGATTACGAAGCAACGTCATGGAAAATTTGACGTTAGACAAGATTTAAATGTTAAAAGGACCTAGGGATTTTACTGTCTGAGTCGCGGCAACGCTTTCAAACACTTATTGCAATTCTCCCAAGCGAATTCAAACGTCAAAATGAACTCGAGCTATCTTGCCTACCCATCTATAAAACTTCTCACACATTGGTCAATTTTTTAATCGCACAGGGATTATAAAAGTTTTTCGCCAATTTTTTCAGCAAAATCCACGAGGAGACAACGACTTAATGTGTAATCAACATTTTGCTGCTCTATCCCAGTGCTGCAACAATTTTTCTAAAGCATTTGCTTCGAGTTGAAACCCGAGAGCTAGCTATTTTTACGTAGACGCACAGCCGCATGCTCGTTTTCATGCTCTATTCTGTTGCACGTTTACCATTTTTTGTCCACAGAGTGCGAGCTGTCGTTCGGGAGACCCCAGAATAGTTGAGTTGCATTGCATGTGCAGCCAAGCCGAGTCACTCTCAAGCAGATCGTCTTCGAACAGCTGATGGTGAAGTTACCGTACTCAAGTGTGTACGCAGCTATATATAGGCGAAATGTCAAAATCTAGGAACTTAGTAAGTAGATACCCGCAAGTCGTCGAGATGCATTAACATCGAAGCCTCCGCCAGCCGTTTTTGTCAGAAAATTTTCAATTAAAAAGAAATTCAAAGTTGCAAAATCATTCCTGTTGAAATACTCCCCTTGTCATATACGGATTGGTGAAAAACGTGTGCATGGCTGCCTCGTGGCAAACGTGAAAGTTACTATGGTGATTGTCGTGTATTCGTGTATTACCATATACATGTATATGTGACATCCGTGTCAAAGAGAGCCTCAATTGTTTTGATTTTTTCGCCCAAAACTCTTCGTGCCTAGTTTATCGCCAATTTCGAAACGGTCCTTGGGAAACTCGCGGCCTTTCGTGCAGCCAGGCCTCGTGTTCGGAAAAGTTTTCGGGTCTGTAACGGGCCAGTTAGCCTATATACCCCGTGGCCCCGTATTATATTATATACACTCTCTCATTGTGTACATATGTATGTAATGCGTGTACATGTATAGAAAAGAGAGTCTTCCGTGTGTCATTGCTCTCTTTGTTGTCTTTCAATTTTTTTGTGTATTTTTGCGCACGATCTCGCTGATAGCTGTTGCTGCATCTGCGGTTTTGTGAAATTTGTTTCGATTCGTATAGCGTTGACAATCGTTTCCCGTGGTTCATGTTCAAGCTTGGAATATGTTACAGCTACTGCGAGTACAGTCGGCCGAGGGCACCAAAAGAATCGAGGTAAAACCCGACGAGACTATAGCTCAACTTTTTGAAAAGGTAAGCCAAAGTTTATTTATCTATTAAAAACTGATCCGTTTTATTCAGATTCGAGCAAAGTGAATTTTTTTCTTGATAATTTTATTTTCAAACCAATTGCGATTAATATATTAGTTTTCCTTTGTTTTGATTCTGATTTGGTTTAAAATACCATAGAAAATTAATATTACCATTTATTTCTTTCCCAATGAATAAGCTATTGATTTTCTTATTTGAAGAAGCTTACCATTGAGTTTAGTCTTAAATGTAAATGTTGACTAAAACATTCTTGTAACTTGTTTTATTCAATGAGGTTAATGTTGCATATTACTTTCACTATACTGATTTATGTAAAGTCATTCAGGTGAATTCAAACTTGATATCTGATTAGAAAAATTACTCTTTGTCATATTATATAATAAGGCTTTAAACATTTCATCATAAGTCATTACACATTCAGTGGCATTATTTTACTTTTAAAACTAATTTTAACTTTGCAGGTTCATGATGCCTTTGATTTGAGGAGTTTTGGATTTGGACTCTTTAAAGAGAGAAATCATAAAGGTGAAATTGTGTCTTCTAAAAGCAATACAATTAAAGATGCTGGATTGAAGCATGGAGATTTATTGTACATGGCTCCAGTTAATGGAGCAATTCTGTGGGAAACATCTTCTAGTAACATCCCCAATGATATTTATGGTATGTATTTGAATACTTTTCCAAGTCTATCTATACAAAGTAAATTTATTTAATCAATTTCTTGTATATTTAAAAGTTAAAATTTAAACAAAAATTTATTCAATTGACAAATAACAGCTATATCATTAAAAGATCTTTAAATTATCCTTATTACATTTTCTCTAATTTCAAGTTGATTCAACTACATTTTTACTCTAAATTATTAATTAATATTTTTTAGAATCTATGATTGTGTCTCCAAGTACAAGCAAAGGCATGCCTAGACAAATTATCACTCATACAGTCAAATCTAGTGATAAAAATGAAGATGAAGTTGACCAATTACTTTGGAAACAAGATGGTAAAATACAAAGGAAGAAAGATGACAGATTGTGAGTGATACTGAAATTCAAAAAAGTTTAACTAAAATCAATTGTATTCAATATTACATTTCATAAATTTGTAGTTGTCGTCATGGTGCAAATGCTTGCTGTGTGCACTGTTCACCTCTAGAACCGTTTGATGAAGCATATCTCAAGGAACAGAATATAAAACATATGTCATTTCACACTTACCTAAGAAAAATGACAGCAGGTGTAGATAGGTAAAATTACATCTAATAAATTTTTACAAATGAAAATGATTGGCATCTTTTAATATGAATTGTATTTGTCACAAAATTTATGTCAATTTTCATTTCAGGGGAAAATTTTTACAATTAGAGGATATTAATTGTAGCATAAGAAATGGTTGCAAAGATCATCCACCATGGCCAAAAGGTATTTGCAGCAAGTGCCAGCCAAATGCAATAACTCTCAACAGACAGCCTTATAGACACGTTGATAATGTAATGTTTGAAAATACCAATTTAGTAGAACGATTTTTGAATTATTGGAGAATAACAGGGCATCAGCGTATTGGTTATTTATATGGTAGATATGAAATTCACTCTGACGTACCTTTAGGTATAAGAGCAGTAGTAGCAGCAATTTATGAACCGCCACAAGTAAGAAGCTTAAAAATTATACTATGCAACAAGTGTTTGAGTCATCCTCCTCACGCATTAGTTGCATATATTTTTCAACATTTCACGCGTTAAATGTGGTTTTTATATCACTGAAAAATTAGAAAAACCATGGTTTACGCATGAGGTGTTGAAAACATTTATACGACAAACTTTCTGTAAGAAAATGTAATTCATCAAATATTTTTACAATTTTAGGAAAGTACCAGGGACAACATTGTTCTTTTAGCTGATGAAAGAGAGAGTTTGGTGGATGACTTGGCTCGATCTTTAAATTTGCAAAAAGTTGGTTGGATTTTTACAGATTTAATTGCTGATGACATAAAGAAAGGAACAGTAAGTACTTGAATTACATTTTCAATACAGGTATATATAGTACAATTAATACTATTGATTGATTACGTTTTTTTTTCAGGTTAAACATGTAAGAAATATTGATAGCCACTTTTTATCCGCACAAGAATGTATAATGGCTGGTCATATACAGAATCAACTTCCAAACCCTTGTCGCTTTTCACCAAATGGTTATTTTGGCTCAAAAGCTGTGACTGTATGTGTTACAGGTGAGTTAAATAACTTGAATTTGCAGTTATAATTTATTTAATTTAAAATTTAAAAAATTGATAAATTATTTTTTCTTTTAAGGTGATAATAAAAACCAAGTGCATATGGAAGGCTATCAAGTTACTTCCCAATGTATGGCGTTAGTTCGAGACGGTATTTTAATACCGACAAAAGATGCCCCTGAATTGGGTTACGTTCGTGAATCTTCAAATAAGCAATATGTTCCAGATGTGTATTACAAGGTAAGGCAAATTTCATGTTTTACTGCATCGTTTACTTACACTTCGAACTCTCCTGTAAAGGAATCAGGGTAGAAAACTTAACAATATTTATTTGCACGAAAAAAATGAATTTTTTATTAAATTAAAATGAAATATTCGTCTTAATAGTACATTAACTTGGGTAACGAGAGTACACATGAATCTTAATTAAATATAAATATATCATACGTAAGTAAGTCGTACGAAATGAATAGTATGCGCACTCCATTGGCAATGTATACGTCAGCCATTTAGAGGAGAAGTAAGAAAAGAAAATAAAGAGACCCAAATTCGTTAGGTCAGGAACAAAAAAAAGTTGACATTTTACATCGAAGTGTTTGTCTTAGACATTTAAACGTTTACAATAACTATTTTACCGTTTTGCTCTCGCTTTTCGTTGGAGAGTATGTTATCAGTTACAGAAAAACGTATAAATCAAATGGCGAATTCGTATTTTTTCATTATATTTTACTACCCGAAAGTGTTGAGATTGTTGATCAACGTAGAACGAAGAAAAAAATTAGCAATCGTATAATTTTTTTCTTTTTAAATTATATATCGTCGTTTCGTGACTCGCAAGTTATTGAATATTGTACATAGTTTATATATCATACAGATTTAGCATTGTTATTTCGTTTACTATTACGATGAATACAGTCATAAATCGTTTTACGTGATTTTTTTTTATTATTTTCCTTAAAATTTTACATGGATTTTTATCGAAATGAGGAGGTAATGATAAATGATTATTATTTGATTCCGGCGTATTTTTACGTTAACGTCATAAAAATATATGTACATGGGTTAAATCGTTGTCGCTCCCCCTCCTGGATTCATTTCTATGAAATAATATTTCTATTCCATTTCGCAGGTTGTTGAATTAACGATCTCTCTCCTCTTTTTCTCCGTGTATTAGCATGCAATCTTACGTGATACTTTCGTTGGTCAGTTTACGGCTGACGCCGATAACATAAGAAAACTCAAAGTACCAAACTTACTCGCGCAATTTTTAACTTACGTATTGGCTATATATCGTTTAAAAACTTATAATCCTTACCCGCAATATATCGTACGTTTTATTTTTCGCCCGCAATAATAATAATTTTCGCGCGACATACATGTGTTTAGCACAATAGCAGAATACACACAATTATAACATTATTAAAACTTTAAACGATCAACATCAAATGTGTTTGTTTACTTTTTTTCAATAATCGTGAAGGCATTCTTTTTTACGACAATACTCTTTTTTTCATAACTCTGCTAGCCGTGAATTATAATTGTTTTTTCTTTTTTTATTACATTTAGAGCCACTACAGAAATCATCCTTGAATAAATAAAGGAAACGCGGTGTACTCGAATGCTATATTATTATGTTTTGCTGTACTTTTTTCGTTTCATACTTAAATTTTACTGGAAGACTATATGTAATATTACGGAATGTCAAAGAAAAACGAGAAATGATTAGCTTTCCTTTTTTGACTAATTGTATTTTCGATTGAGAAAACTAGGAATAGGCGTCAGAAAGTCTGTTTGAAGGTACATTATGCAGTGTGCATTTGACAGTTTTGCTTGCAACACTTTCCGGTATTCATGGACGATTTCTTTTCTAGCTCAAAGCCTTTGTTGGTGATTTTCTTAAAAATTTTTGTAAATAATTATACCATATTTAGTGCTTATATTTCGGTAATTGTTTAATTTTAGTTCTCTTTCTAGCACTTTCTTTTTTCCACTTTTTACTTTCGATCTTACTTTTTTCACCAATTAAATGTTTCTTCTTGTGCACTAACACATATTACAATAATATACTCATATGATATAAGTAATTGTTTTTATCAAGCTTTAAGTTGGAGATACTTTTATTCTCGTTGTAATGCATTATTCTTCACACTTTATAGTACACCTAACGATGATTTTTACGAGAATTAACGATACATTATTCAATGATTAGTAGCATATAACATAATTGTAACACATTTTTTCATTCGAATTATACCATATCGAGGAATGATTCTGTTTAAAAAAAAAACACATTTTTTTCGCGTTTGATGTGACGTTTATTATAGCACCGCTTGATTATCATGTCTTCAAAAGCCTATCACCTGTTGGCATTTCATAATAGACAAAATCTAACGGCATTTAGTGCTCTTTCAATGTAGATTAAAATCCATAAACACATATTAGTAGACTCTCGTAGTTAGCTAACGTCACAGAAAAAAATAGCTTGCTTGACTCAAAATCAAAGTAAGAAATGTTTCTATACAATCATTTTGCGGTCATACCTTTTTTCGTTGATCAAAGGTATTATCAATTAATTTACGTTTCATATTTTTGTTACTTAAACCGTTTTTATTAATACACCATAATTAAAAACATGCACACTTCGAAAATACATTCAACAATACAATTTTTTTTGTTTTATCGCATATTATTTATCATCTATATCGGCCTTGTACGTACATAAATATTACAATATAAATATATGTGTCAACTCGTACACTGCATTAGATTTTTCTCGATGCAAGGAAAAAATGCTGCTTTTTGCATTTGTACAATATACTTCTTTTTCTTACAAACAAATATTTTGCTGTACCGTTTTAGGCCCATTTTTGCACATAACAATTTTTTCATTATTTTTTATTTCGCTCTATAACTTCACTACATGATGAGATCGGTACCAAACTTTTTTTCCAACAGTTTGTTTCGCGAGTGTTTACATAACTATTTTATTTCGTTTCATTTACAAATACGTGACTTATTTTTATCGTAAAAGGCGTTCGAAAGTTGGAGAGCAAAACTAAATAGAGAGACATTCTGCGCAGAGGGATAAGTTTATCATTTTCGTTTAATCGTTTAAACCGGCTAACTTAATTCACGCATTATTTCGCTGCGTAGTGATCACAATTCTTACATTTTTTTTACAGTTACGTTATATATCTCCCTCAGTAATGAATCTCTCAATCCGCGTTTTGTCTCTGGAAGGATATATTACAAGTTTGTTTCGTCGTTATTTTTTTTCGTCTATCAACTATTATCGTTTTTGGACTCTTTGCGCTGAGCCACATGTATATCAATGATTGCATTCCGTGGCCAGAAAAACAATACAAGTTTTGTCTAAAAATATACATATACATATATAAATTAAATTTATACATACGTATATATACCAGTAAATGTATACGTATACATACATACATCTATGCGCAATACATACTATGTTAATTTGTGTGTATAAGTGTGTGTTTTTTTCCTTCGTAATTTTGAGCGTTTTCAACTTTAATCATAGTACAAGTAATTCAATTGATTAAGTTTCTTGAAATAAATTCATTTTAGTTAATTTAAATGCTTTCCTTACTTTCAGGTCATAGGTAATTTGTAGTAAATATTATTTAGCTTTATGTTGACAGCTATTAAAAAAAGTGTTATATTATAATGGCACTTGATAAAAAACTTTCAGTTCATAGCAAGATACAACATATAATGCAAACTATTGACTTTTTAGCCCAGATACTTTAAAAAATGCTTCGCTAACTTGGTTTTATATGTACAGATATATCTAGAAAAATAACTTTATGTCACATTTATTCGTTTTGATCTTATTTCGTGATTCAGTTTCATGATGCGTTTATTTTTAAGCATATGTGCATTCAAGTGCTTGATTTTTGTAGTTTTTTATTTACTACAATTTACCTAATGATCATTTTATCGAAAGTTTTTCAAAGCTTAATTTTTGATAGTATACAAAACCATGAAAAGTATATTCATTTTTAATCAGATTATATCGAGAATTTTTTAATTTTCATAATTTATATTTTTGTCACGAGTTAAAACAATTCTTACAGCATGAAATCTTGTCGATGATTTTCTTCGTTACAACATTACAATGATGTAGTCAACGGGCGCATCATTATAATGTCATTTTTGTTTTTTAGTGTAAAACAATTTATCGTGTCAGTTACGAAGTGCTTTATTAAAGCTTTTTGAATCATTATTCAACGTTTTTATAACGATCCGTTAAATATTTCATATTGTAACTTTTCGGAGTTACATCTTAAATTTATACAAATACATTATTTTCTTTATATCATATACGTACGTATGCGCGTTTGCAGTTTGTAAACAATATGCATTGGACATTGCAGAACATATATATAAATATTTTCGATATATAGCAGCTTGTTTATTAACTACATTTTTAGGAAAATATTATCTTCTGTCGATTTATCGTTTGTTTTTAACTATATAAACAATATTCACGGCTTAGAAAATCTTTCATTCGGTTCTGCTTTAAACTTTTTTCGTAATGTAGCTATAATTTTCGTAAAGCATGATTTTATCGTTTGTACAGAGGTACATTTTCTTGAGCCCCCATGATCAGAATTTTTTCAAATAGATTTTTCATCATTGATTTCATTTATGTTTCACGTAATCTTAAAAAAAATGGATATTCGTTTTACAAAAACCTGGAATCCAAACACGCGCTCGATAATATGGACCCGGGTGTACGATTCCTCACAAAATACGTATATAGAGAAATAAAAAAGATTTTGGACGTTCCTGGTGATATCGTATTCAGGATAGAACATTCAATCCTCGCACGAAACTTGAGCAGTGTTGTAAATCATTGGTTAAATGATCGGTGAAATAATCACAGTTATTTAATAATAATAATATTGTTGACCATAATAGCATACGAAAATCGAAGCTTAAGAAAAGTATTGTAATGGACAATGTTAAATAGAGATAAAAATTTGAAAAACAAAAGACAAAGTTTCGTGGAGGATTAAGTAATGAAGCGAACCCGCGCTATGGCAATAGTTTTCCGCACTTGGCGATCACAATGGACTTGGTCGGTTTACCAGTCTGATCGCCAAAGGTCGAAAGAGACTCAACCAGATCCAGGCCCTCAACGACGTGACCAAAGATGCCGGTGAAACCGCGCATCTCTTGCAAAATTATTCGAAATTGCGATCCAACCATACCTAAATTATCATGACGCTTTTGCGTGCGACGCATACCAACAGCACCTCTGATGGCTGGAAACTTGGTGTCATCGGGCATGAAAAATCCATCCTCGAAGATACTTCTACCTCCACGTCCATTGTTCATCTCGAAATCACCTGTGATAATGCTCTCATTTTCCCAACACTGGAAAATCGAGCAACCACGATAAGTGAATCCGGACATTTCACTACTTGAGAGCACGCTGAAGTTCTTGGACATTTTCGGCGCGACGTCGGGACGAATTTCAATGACAATGCGTCCACTGGCAACTCCGTTGACTTCGATGTTGAAATAATAAAGTGGAAAACCATTTCCAGGGTTAGAAATGATGTTGGCCGGTGATACTGCCTGCTGCCTCACAGGAACCATTTGTCCTGACTGTTCAGTAGCGTTCACAAGATAATTGGTAGTATTGACATTGTTTTGGACCATCAGCGGAGGCGAGCCAACAGCAGAATTCACAGGCTTGTGGCCAAGCGATGGTGAGCCAGGCGACGGAACGAGACGCTGCTGCTGCATTTGCTGTTGTTGGATCGCTTGTACTTGTTGTTGTACACCCGTAACAGCGTGCACTTGTCTAGGCGGCTGAACCGGTGTGATAACTGTTTGAGGCGGCTGGATCGGCTGAGCCTGCGCTGCCACTTGATTAGCCATGGTGGGTGGCGTCGAATCGGGCAGCGAGCGAGCCGCTGGCTGACCGATAGCGTGGTGATACTCCGGAGCGATACCGTTCTGCTGCTGCTGCTGCATATGTTGCTGCTGCTGTTGTTGCTGCTGTTGTTGCTGCTGTTGCTGCTGCTGCTGTTGTTGTTGTTGCTGCTGCTGTTTGCTGGCAACGTGCCTCGAGTACAGCTGCGACAAGGAGTAGTTGGCGAGGAATAGAATTGGATTCGTGGTCGCTACGTGAGGTACACGAGCACCGTTACTGGGTTGACCGAAGAACATCGGCAGCGGTTCGCCTCCGTGAATGCCTTCAACCGCCTGCTTTAGTAAAGGAAAATCAAAGACAATGCTCGAATGGCCAATCAAATCGTCCAACTGGCACTGCAGAGTCATCTCCTGGCATTTGTTTTGCAGTCGCTGCTTTTCGAAAAGCAAGTCGGTATGCAAAGCGTGGAAATCGGGCAGCTCGCTCGACAGTTGCAGCGAAGCCTTGGCCCGGCCGAGAGCTTCGCGTATCTCGAAGATTTCCGGAAAATGTTGCCATCCGTTCTGCAGGTCTGTCTCCACATGGGTCTTAAGAGTCATGCAAGCTTCAAGAACCTTGAGAAGAAATTCACGCTGTCGCAAGGCAAATGTTTGGACATCATTCGAGAGTTTGCTCAGAGCTGCCAACTCCATCTGTACGCCGGTGATGAGTTTTTCTTTGGCTTCGCTAAGGGTGCTGATCGGGTGATTAGTCGGGTGTTCCTGTCCGCAGGCACGGCATAGCAACGCGCCGCACGGGACACACCACCCGGTGTAGGGCATGCCGTGGACGTGGCAATTTTCGCTCTGTAAATGTAAAAAAAAGAATAATCATTAGATATTGCTAGTGCCATTAGTGCTGCAACTTGTATTGCATTAAACGTAGTTATATAATTGGAGGCACGCGGCGCAGTTACACGATCTTTCACCTTGCATTCCGTAGCGTTAATTAAAAGACGCCACTGACGAGAATACTTGGAAAGAGGGAGAAAGAGAAAGAGAGATGAAGACAACATTTACCTTTCGTTCTTTATCATTGGTCTTCGGGTTCGCATTGATAGCATTCGAGTTGATGGCGTTCGCGTTGATCGGGTTCGCATTGATGTGATTCGTCGACGCGCTCTTGATAGTCGCCAGACTTTTAGTTAGTGCAACTATCGGGAGCACCGTCGGCAAATCGTTAAGACCCTGATCTCCGATGTCAGAGCGCTTCCAGCAGACGCAGCAGAAGAGTTCGGTACCTTTCAGAAGGTTCTTCTCGATGCACTTCAAGCAAAAGTGATGCTTGCAGCTCAGGTACTTGGGTAAGAGATCGGTGTCGTTGTACTGCATCTTGCAGACACTGCATATCGTAAGTTCTTCGATCGACTGAACGTCCTGTGGGTCCATCCCCTGCGAGAAAAAAAAACAAATTAGGAAAATCATCATTTTTTACGGCTCGATGATCTGCAAATATAATCAAACACAATCAATCGCAGTAGATATTTTTCCTAGTAAACATCGTCATCCCTTGGGTAGCGCATTTCGCAGAAAACAATAATAGAGACCGCCGTAAGCCAATAGGAGAAACAAATAATAAACTGGACCGCTGGCTGGTTGTTGTTTACCGCATTGGTCGGTGAAATCGATACTGCACGCAGGAAGGATTAAAACCCGCGAGAGGGGAAGTATGTTGTCCGCGTACACACATACTTGCGTTATTACGCTTACGCAACGAAGGAAAAGTCTATGGCTAGTTTATTATGTATTGGTACGCGATTCGCCCTGGTGCTTCGATAATGTAATGATTTTTCTAAATGTGTCATACTGCCGAGGGCAATTTAAAATTTTTGATCTAAATTCGAGGCTCAATGATCGTCATTCTAGTGTTTGATGTAAACAAACATAAGACAGGCATGTGTGGCTACGTATACAGTCTATTGTATATATATGTAGCAATATAGGATATGAAGCGAGAGAGATAGAGCAATAGCAAAACAGCGTAGACACGCATAGCACATATTATAGTAGGACGCCGGTTATTAGGTTGCGCAAGCGCATTGAAAGCCCGCCAAAAGACGTGTGAGCCACGGCGAACGTGCACTACACAGTCACATACAGAGCAGCGCAAGACAACACAAAATAGACAGAAGCAGAGCCGAGTATTCTACCGCGCGAGTATAGGTATATGGAGACACGTACATGGCGCTCGCGCTTGTGTGTGCACGCGCGCCGCCGCTCCACTACAATTATTACATTCAAAATGGCGTTCCGAGTAGCTATATACCTATATATGTGTAGTATACACATAACCAATTCATCAACAAGCGTGCACCATGAGTCGTATGGGTTGCGGCGAACCATCGTTAAACTCTCTGTCAATTTGACGTATGTGTAGCACACATGTTTCATCGTTACATTTCATTTATCTTGGTTTATCCACCTAAGCAACCGATCCCGCGTGCACCCTGCGCGCAATATATAACCAGTATACTCTTCCTCTCCGTCTTCCGCGCCGGGCCATGCGTTCAGCTATCGATATACGCGCACGCACACATACACAACCAAAAATTCATGTAAAAGAAATTAGATACGCTCTTCTCATGCTTCCGTGCCGTATACATGTTTTTTCACGCAGGACTACGTGTTCGAGAAGCAATAGATGGAATAAAAAAAGAGAAGAAAAACACGTTGACTCGACGCCGCGTGTGCAACACGTTGCCAGGCTGTTTTGTGACGCGACGTTGCCTGGTCCCGGACCGCCAAGGCACCGCGCCGGGGAAAAAGCCAAGAGACCTTCTTGCGCATTACTAAACTTTGACTCGTATATACACGAGCAACGTGTACCATGGACCGCTCGTGCGAGATTTCGTTCCATAAAGTATTACGCGTGTACGGGTTACGTGTGAGCCTCGTGCAGCATGCAACATGGCAGTCGAAAGCATGTGGCACGAGAATTTCAAGGCACTAACTTCTATCGCTTCAAGATTTTGTAACGAGAAAAATTATTAAAAAAAAAATAAAAAAAATAGATCCATACACAGTGGTTGACGTTGACATTGTTGGCGTTGGCAGAATTGGCAATGGGTACTGCGGATGCCATGATTGACGTGCTCGGCTCGGCACTGTCAGTTTTCTTGGTGTTTTGCGGCGGCATGCGCACTCCTCTCAAAATCTTTCGAAATGGTTGTTATTGCTCTCCGCGTGGAGTCGACGTTCGGCTAACCCTGTCGAGGTCGCGGCGAACAACGGACACTGGTTGCGCACTTAATATTACAATCTTCACGAGACGAATAAGTGAAGAAGACGAACGCGACACACGCACAGTACGAGACACACTGAGTTGTTGCGCTCGGGCTTTCTCACACACTGTACTGTACTGTATTACATGTATGTACACGCTTGCACGCACACGCGACTCACACGAGACTGGCCGTGTAAGCGTGGAAGCTATATGTATATACGAAGCGTCGATGAACCGACACTGTAGAACGCGCTCCGAAAGACTCTCTTGTGTTCGAAGCTATGGTACTACTGTATAGCTATCTAATACTTCTCCAATGATTTCGAGATACATGTACCAGGCAGGAGCCTGTACGTTGCGGGGGAGCAGTATGAGCGTATTTTTTTAATGAGAAAGACGAAGACGCAAGATATACGACAGGTAGAGGGGGAGGGGTACGGCTACTCCACGGTATATACTTTTTTTACGTATAATGTTCTTGTGGCGGTGAAAGTGTACGTTTGACCGTCAGGTGACCAGTCGAGGCATGCGCATTGCTCGTACGTACACTATAAGCGCGCAGTATTGAATACGTAAAATTCACATACATGCACACGCCATGTGCACTGCAAGTATCTCGTTATATTCGACTCTTCCGATTTTCATTCATTCTTAAGAACACACGATCTCGTGGCTACTTTTCCAGTTTTTTTTCGTACCCATGCCGGGGCTTTTTGAAGAATACCGTTTCGAGGGGCCTGTATATCATAACTATGCTATATTTTATTTATAAGTATAAAGCTCTTACGCAAACGAATGCTCGATATGTAAATACGCACATGAGTTAAATAAGCGCGACAGGTTGTTGTGTTTGCTGCTTTGTTATCGATTCGCGCGAGACTGCGCGCAATTTTTATGATAAAAAAAAAGATGGTCGGGAATTTTTCATAGTAACGTTTCACATCGAAGCGCTTGCGATTCTATTGCAGAGACGGATCTAGATGATTTTGACGGATAGACGAATATCATAGGTACACGTGCAATAACTGTCAGTTTGAGTTGTCTTACTCTTATCTCTCAAACTGCCTCGTTGCATCATTTTTCTTCTCTGAGAAATAAAAATAAGGCAAGAGAGGAATTTTTTTGTAACGTAATCTCCCGCTCATCGTTGTAGTTTAGGTCGTAGCTTTTCGGGAACCGTGCGCCGTGGCTCTCAGTTCGAGAGCAAAAGCGGAGCGCGCGTATCGATCTCTGATGAAATTGTGGCCGAGTTTATCGAGCCGCTGCTCTTCTTGTGTGTCTCCGGGGGCGTGTGCGTGCATGCATGTGCTTACGTGTACGTGTGTATGTGTTTATGCTTCGCGCGTTAGGTAAATAATCAATAGATAAGCCCACAACCGGTCGGCCCTGCTGACTGTCAAAGCGTACAGTCCCGTCGATCCCGACTCCCGAGATTATGCGCTACGCTGATCGCGACGCCGCTATCTCGAAAGGCACGAAAACCGGCGCGCGGCCACCCTTCGATTTTCTTGTAAAAGCCGGCGTCGCAGAGGTCACTTTCTAATTGATGCCCGTCTTGAACTCTTCTACGCTGCGAGTAACGAATAACCAACGGGGCGAGTCTTACCTAGCATTAACATACTAAATGAGAATTGGAAAAAAAAGAAAAAGTAATTGAAAAGACATTCTACTTGGAAATCTCTATCTCTATGTGATTAAAAAAAACTTTCATTTAGATGGTCTTCCGAGAACTTTCTCTCTAACGGTCCATCGTACAACACGTGTAATCTTGCTTGAGGAGGCAACGAATTCGTAATCGATGCCTGGAAAGGTTGTTTTTCTCTTTCTTTTTCGTAAGTTACTTACTGGCCATATGAGAAGTTAGGCACTGAGCTTATGAAATGTGCCTAACTATATACATATAGATATATCATAACGGAATCGATAAGCGCGCGCGGGGCGCAATGTTATACACACGCGCGTTCGGTGTGCCGAGCGTTCGAAAGAGCGACGGAGAAAGAACCAGCTGTGTACGTATAGGCGTCTGTATAGAGCTATATAGACTTATCGACACTCACACACCGAGTATGATATAAAGTGAGAGCTCTAACATATATGATGCGAGCTTGTAACGTGGAAAAAAACCAATCGGCTTGCTTACACACATTACAAGGCGCGCTGCGTATTGCATGCGTCGTCGTCGTCGTCGTCGTCGCCGTCTTGCTTCTTTCGAGCATATATTGGCTTTTTTTGTTAAAGGCGCGAAAGAGAGCTCGCGCCTCGCCGAGTGTACTTATTCTGCAGCATGCGAGTGAACGCCAATGCAAGTCCCGCGAATGCGAGAAAATTACACCGTATACACCTTTTGCAATATAAGCGCGAAAACACGTCGTCGCGCCGTCGCCAGCGCGCGTGTGTATGTGTGTAATGAACGTAAACGTTTGGGTACGTGCGTACGTCGTATGTACCCGACCGCCTAACGCGGATGACGATGCTTGCGTATTATCTACAAGCTCGATTGTATTTTATATATTCGGAGCAACAAACATACACCATACAATAAAAAAATTCGTACACATCACAAACATATTTCTATGAAGAAAAAAAAGTAAGGAGCATAAACCAACCGTCGCTAGCGAAGGCATTTTTGTATTTTGTACGATGATCTCCAAAATATGCTAAGAATTATCGATTTTGCCGCAGCCCGCGCAGCTTGGCAGTTTTTCCTACGTGCTCGTTATTTTATTGTACTTTTTTTATACGCTAGGCATTGGTCGATGATGACGATGATGCTGATAAAATTGACGCTGCTGCTGTTCCGGAGCTCTGTGTCATATCATATCCTTGTTGTGTCTCGTCGATGTGGTGGCAGCTGTATTAAAATCTCTCATCTGCACCTATGAGTATCCGCATATGCATATGTGTACGTGCATACGAGCAGGCAGAGCAGCGTGTGCAGCCTAAAGAGCGAAAGAAAGAGAGAGAGAGAGAGAGAGAGAGAGAACGAGACGGAGATAGCGTTGCGGCCCGCGCGCGGCAATCCACGCTAGTCGTTGCTGCTACTCTGCTTATACATGCACACGATGCTGCTGCTGCCTCACTGTTCACTATGCACTAGGGGCATAAGACACCACCGCAACGCACCGTCTTTACGCGCTTCCCGGGCCTCTTTCGACGATCGTCGCCGTTGCTGCCAATCCATTCATGTGTAAACACATTGCACAGAGCACAGGCCACACGATGCACCGAGTGTCGCGTATGTGTCGCACGATAAAAACAACACCTCTCACATGCACACAGCGATGCGCGCGATACGTATTCGCAGAGTCTCGACGAGTCGACGTTGCTCGTCCGATATACGCGAAAATGCGCGATGACGATGAAATCGCCGCTACCACCGCACCGACACTGATCGAGTTTTGCGGCCAGCACGGAATTCGCACTCGCTCCGACTTGCTGCTGCTGCTGCTCTCTGCGTGCAGTATACACACGATGCGGGTTTCTGTTTTATTTATCTCCGATGTGTACCGCGGAGCAGCAGCACTGGCGCGGTATACCCACAGCCCCGCAACTTTTTGTATCGTATTTTAAGCGCTCACCAACTTGCACATTTTAGCGCGACAGACAGAGACATCTAGTAGACGTCTATTGAATCTAACTATACGCCAAAGTTTAAATAGCTCGCCAATTTTTTAAATGAATGTTTTTTTTCTGTCTTGTTTCAGGAAAAAGACTCTTATGGGAACGAGGTGTCGAGACTTGCGAGACCCTTACCCGTGGAATATTTGTTGGTCGATGTGCCTGCATCAACGCCGCTCACTCCGCAGTATACTTTCTATGCCAACGAGAAAATCACCCCTTTTCCCGTGGAACACAGGTAAATTTATTTGCTACTTGATAAAATTTATTGAAAATTACATGTATTTTACCTCAATACCTTTTTTTTAGATTGGTCGATGGACAAATTCAAGAGTTCAATGTCCTGGCTACTTATTTGCAACAGTTCACTCCTGAAAAGTTTTTGGAAGCTGTTTCAGATTTCCATTTTCTCATTTACATTGCAGGCATGGATATGCTTCCATTGAAGGTAAAGCAATCATTTGATATTCTATCAAGTAATTTTATTCGTTGGCTATCAATTAAATAATGCCCTATCAAATTTCAGAGTCATATGGGTCCTTTATTAGATGCTATTCGTACTCAAAATCGTCGAAAGGCCAATGAATGGGCCCGTTCTGCACACTGGGCTACAGTGGAGGAATTGATTTCTGCTACAACTATGAGTTCGCAACCAACTACTCGCAATGCAACATTTGGAAATATTCCAGCCGGCTCTGCAGCAGATGAGGCAGGAATAAATGTTGAATCAGGAACTAATGACAGTTCCAGTAATGAAATTTCTCTGTGGACATGTACATATTGTACTTTCCTTAATCCTGCTGAAATCAACAACTGTGAAATGTGCAGTTTACCAAGGTAATGTCAACGAATCCCAAAGTCGATTACATTTTATTCAATTTAATTGATATATTATTACTTTATTTTAGAATGTAAATGTAAATTTTCAAATTATTGGAGACAAGAGATCCTCTAACAGCACACAAGACTAATATAAAGTCTATTGTTGACTGATCATGCTGTTCTTAAGCACTCTTATTCACATTTTTATTAACGGTATATGAGAAAAATAAAATTGTGATAAAGAATCAAAGTCATCGTAAAATCAGCAGCAAGGTTTTGTAAAACCTTGATTTGTAATTACAGTTATATGCAGTGAATGTTTTTGCAGTAAATAAGAGTGATTTTTGTCATCTTTTCACTAACTTACATATTTAGAGAAAATTAATTAATGAAAGAAGTTCATTTAAGTGTAATAATAAAAGAAGCATCAGATTTTCAAATTTATAATTGTTTTATTTAAAAAATAACTCTACTTTTTGACAATCTCATCCTATTTTTTTTCACTTATTTTGCTCACAATTGAATCAATTAAATTAGACACTTTCAACTCTCTATCATCAACTTTATACAATTTTTTTATCAACTTCAAATTAGCAAGTTCAGAAAGTTGTGATATTGGCTTTCTTTCACCTTTGATACAATTGACAACTAGCTTATTTAATTCTTCAAGATCCTCTGCTCTGTGAACCAACACAACTAGATAATTGTTTGTCTTGTGGTCACTCGAAATGCCAAAATCTTTCAAAGCTTGTGAGATGTTTTTTGATATCGACAAAGAGTATATAACCTCTGTGAAAATACTTCTTGTGACCATCTGACCATACTTTTCATTCAAAGCGGCTTTATTAGCTGCAATAACTAGTTGAAAAGGATCAACGATGACATTTGCTTTAATGATGCAGCAAGGCAATTCTTTGTTTACAACTTTGGCGTGTACATTCTCGATGTCCTGAACGTTTTCATAAAGATAAATGGTAATTTGTTTTCCAGTTAACTCGTCCAAAGTTTGAGTGTACCTTTCGAGTTCCATTTTTTATAACAATAAAAAACTACAATAATTCGATCACTACAATAAAAGGCTTTTATAAAAGAAAGTTTTAGCGAACACAAGTGTAAAGCAATGGACTATAAACATCACGCGAGTTCAGGTTAGAAAAGTTGTCTGCTAGTATCAGCTGTAACACGCGGGCATTTAATTGGTCAACCTACTTCGTGAATATTTCACCTTCCACCTGTTGGTTTTAACTATTTTAAAATTCTCTGTCGATTCTCAATGTTTTGGGTCGTCTTGACAAATAAACAAGACAGCAATCGATCATCGTCGCGCACTTCAAAAAAGCTCTCATGTTCGCGCTATATACATAATCGCCTGGCGTGTTTCCATGCCGATCGATGAAGATTACATTTCGTTTAGACTGTTTTCGATTTAAAACGATTAAAAGCCCACGTCAACGCCAACGTGAATATTATTACATTTTTATGGTCGATCAAAACTGTAAATAGATAAGACATTTGTATTTATTTTTAATTCAAGCCGCGATTGATATCCAATAACATCATCGGCTTAAAATTTAAGCGCGGCGCGTCTAATTCGTGAGTCAGTTAAAAGTCAATCGCGACGTGCTTGTTTTCGACTTGTACACACCTGCCCGCGACTTTGATTGATACCGGCACGTATACGTCTTCTACGAAACATTATCGCGAATTACTGAGCAATTCATTTTTGCGATAAATGGCAAAAAAATTGTACACACGTGTTTAATTACCGACAAATGTTAAAGGCAGCCGGGTGTCTATACGACGGGCATGGCCAAGTGCGCGAAAATAGCTCAAACATCCGCGCGAAGTAAAAATATCGATTACTCTGTCGTCGGTCGTTATTATCACGTTTTCCACAATCTACACGCGTATGCAATGATCCACAGTGCTGCAATGTAATAATGCGCTCGAGGCACGTAGACACTCGGACGCGCATAGCCGGCCCGGCCCCGCTTGTGCATGAGTCATGCCGAGTATCCCGCAATATCGCAGTATGGGGAACGCCCCGCACACAAACACATATCCACACGCACAGCACCTGCGCGAAGTTACATCTTCGCTCCGCAAAACGAGCATATATGATCGCACTTCGCCGAGCAAAACACGACAGTAGTCTGCATGCCTTCGTAGCGAACACACCGCATACCGTCTCTGCACCTACATACAGCAGTTCGAGTTTTTTTTTTAATTTAAAAAGTCAACTTAATAGACACGATGTCGGAATTGGACGCTATGGCTTCGATCAGCCAGAGCTTGAAGGATTTCCATGTCGATTTCCACAAGGTATGGCATTTTGGCTTTTAATTCAAATTTCTATTTTCATGCAATGTCCCTTATGATGATGTATGTGATTTATGCATTTTTATTCCATGAAGACGGTGGCCAGCAAGTCTGAGAGCAACTTCGTGAGCTCTGCACTTAGTGCCCAAGTTGTACTGGCGATGGCCGCTTGTGGCGCCCAGGATTTGACATACGAAGAGATGCACAAGTCCCTTCGACTTCCCGAGGACCGATCGACCATACACGAGGGTTTTTCCCATTTCATCAAAGCTGTCAACGTGAGTTTTTTTATTCATTTATTGTTTTTTCTCTTCGATGTTTATTTTTATAAGACTTACGAAAAATAATCATTTTTTCATAACTGGGAACATCTGAAAATAAAACATGATTCACAAGTAGGAGTTACTTTATCATTTGACATTATTTAACAATTGACGGCTGAAAAATATACCTGTAGATTGTTCATAATTGCTATCTGTTTGTTTTTTTTCCCTCTAAATCAACTGTCACATTAAAGGTATTTCAATGCTATTTTACATTGCAACAATTAAGTATTTTAAAATATTACCCCGATAATGGTAATAATGCCGTTGTTTTTTCGATAATAGAAAACAATTTTTTTTACTTTTTCAGAACGTGAAAGATGTCGAACTTAAAATGGTCAATAAAATCTACTTGTCGCATCAGTACTCACATGCGGTTGAAGATGAATTTAAAAAAATCGTAAGTGAGCATTATCATTCGTCGAGTGAAATGGCGAATTTCGATGATGGCCAGACGTCTGCACAACAAATTAATAAATGGGTCGAGGATCAAACTAATGAAAAAATTAAAGACCTCATCAAGTCAGGTATGCTCTTATTTTACTCATAAAATTCGAATCGAGCCGATATTAAAAATTGAACTAAACTATTAAACTAAATTTTTCTAGATGATCTCAACAGTAACACGCTGATGGTTCTTGTCAATGCCCTTTACTTCAAAGGCCAGTGGCTGCACAAGTTCGATGAAAAAGACACGACGAAGAAAACGTTCCATTTGAGTAAAAGCAGTTCCGTCAAAGCTCCAATGATGTACATTAAAAAAAAGTTTTTGTATCAGCGTTTACCGGAACTCAATGCTCAGCTCGTCGGGTTGCCATACAGCAACCAAGATCTGATGTTGGTAGTCGTTGTACCCGATGAAGTCGATGGTCTGAAGCACATCGAAGCTAATCTGGAAAAAATCAACGTTGACGTTAAGCATATGGCTTTTTCGAAACGCGAGGTTGAGCTCTATCTTCCAAAGTTCAAGATCGAAACCACACTTGATTTGATTCCTCACCTTCAAGAGGTAATGTTAATTTATTTATAAACTTGATACCAACAGTTTTTTATGCTCATTGCAAAATTATTTTAGTTGGGAATGAAATTGGTATTCACCGAGGACGCAAATCTGAAAAAAATGGCCGATATTCCAAGCTTGCGTATCAGTAAAGTTGTCCAGAAAGCATTTATCGAAGTCAACGAAGAAGGCAGCGAGGCCGCTGCTGCTACAGGTAAATAATTGACGATATTACTTACTCTTCTTATTTGTTCGCTATTCTCGATGAATCATCCATATCGCATTATCTTCTCGCATTTGTCATTGCTTGAGTCTTATCCTATCTTTACAATCAATTTTTGCATGCTTGTGAGATAACAAATATTTTTTCGCAAATAGGTGTCCAAGTATCGTTTAGGTCCTTGCCTCCGCCTTGTATCAAGTTGAAAGTTGACAAACCTTTCGTATATCAATTGATTTACAGAGATTCTGTTCTATTCTCTGGACACGTTGTTAAACTATAAGAGTATTATTTACGAGTAAAGACTGATTATTTTTTGTCAAACATTATTTTTGTTTGTATATTTAAAATTTTATTGTGTGCACGATCTAAATGCAGATTTTATTAATATTTTGACAAGGATTGTAAAAATCTCATAACTTTTATAAACTGGAAAAAATATAAAAATTTCTTGCGTTAACGAAATCAATTTTTTTCATTCCTACTACCGATGCCCAAGCTTTCATTGATTATTTCACATTTAAAGCCCCACCGAATATTATTTTTGTTAATACTATTAATTGAAAAACGATAATTTTATTATATTAAATAAAAATATCTGTTCAATTTAGGTCTCATAATGACGTGCGATTTATTAGATATGTCTGAAGAAATTATTGCTGATAGACCATTCGTCTACAAAATTTTTTACAAAAATCAAGCTTTGTTTTCGGGTCACGTTGTGAATCCGTTGAAAAATTGAGTTATGTTCATTCAGAATTTGTATCGGTTAATAGATCTGCTTCACTTGTGTAATAGTTCAATAAATGCTTAAAAATAAATCCTTCTTTTTCTATCTATTATCGGTTATTAATTTGTTTATAATTGATTTCACAGCTGTCACGATAATGGCTTATTGCATGCCTCCACCGGCTGTTGAACTGCTCGTTGATAGACCTTTTGTCTACAATATCATACACAAAAATCAAACTTTATTTTCGGGTCACGTTTTGAATCCGTTAGATAATTAGATTATTAGATTATTATTAAATTATTTCCAATAATATTTGGTGTAGGTCAATAAATTTTCTTCGCTTGTATAAAATTTTAATAAATCTTATAACAAAGAGATTTCATTCTTATTTCCTTACTTATTTTCTTTACCTTTGATTAGAAAAATTAATTTCTTTGTAAATAATTTCACAGCTATAGTAATGGCGCTCTGCTGCATGCCTCCACCGGCTGTTGAGCTCCTCGTTGATCGACCCTTTGTCTACAAAATTATGCACAAAAATCAAACTTTGTTTTCTGGGCATGTTGTGAATCCGTTAGAAAATTAGATTTTCATTATTCTAGTCGTTTTTGGGTCAAATTTACTTGCATATTAGTACACGTTGAATAAAGCTTATTACGAAAAGCAACCTTATTTTTTTATTGATCCTTGGCACTTCATTGATATCAATTATATTTTATCAAATTTATTTCGCAGCTGTCATAATCAAGGCCCGTTGCATGCCACCACCTGCAGTCGAATTATTTGTAGATAAACCTTTCATTTATAAAGTCATGTATAACAACGATACTTTGTTCTCGGGACATGTTGTGGACCCGCTTCGAAATTAGACTCTTTATATTCTAGTATTTTTACAAACAGATTTTGTTATTTTCATGTTATCATTCAATAAACGTTATGATAGAAAATATTAATCTTTTACTTCATAATTTACCCTCAATAAAATGTTCGTACTTCAAACATAATTTTTTATCGATATAGTTGCTTGCATGCTCTTATTCATATCAAAAATTGTTATTTTTCTCAGAACCTATAAATAGAGTTAATATTTTTATGGTTTTTCATAGCTGTTTTTATGGGATTGGGCTGCAGTTTACCAGAGCCACCAATTCAACTACTTATCAATCGACCTTTCTACTTCATATTAATTCATAAAAATACGCATCTCTTCTCTGGCCGAATCATCAATCCAACAATTTCAGATAGTCAGCAACAAAATGAATAAATAATAAAATGGATCAAAATTTTTGTAATTTGCAGCAGTACACTTCATGACAAAATGTATTGCCCTCAAGCTTCCTGAAAGAGTCATCGCTAATAAACCTTTTTTTTATCAAGTCTTGTACAAAAAAAAAGTTATGTTTTCTGGACGCGTAAACAACCCGTTATACACAAAATAACATGTTTGTTGTATTTTCAATTCATATAATTATATATTTTTGTAAATTGAAACTTTTATACTCATTTCAAATAAAGAATAATTCATTTTAGAAAAGATAAACTTTTCGAATACTTGTATTTTTTTAACCTTCCTCCATGAGCTTTACAGAAGGATACTTTTGCTTTTGAAAGAATGAAGATTCAAAAGTTTTTGAATTAATAAGAGACCCTACTCGGTTGATTCCATGAAATAATGTATTACGTATCTTGGTTTTTCAAAAAGAAAGTCTAAGGGCTCGGTGGGTAATGACCATTGCGAGAAAGCCGAGATGGATAAACCCGAGTATTTGGTTCTGTGCGGCCGAAGGCAGCGCGTGCAATCGCACACATGTCAAGACTCCGAGTCTCCGCTCGAGATCAATATGCGTTTCGGAGTCGCTACGATAAATGAATACACTGAACACGAATAAGTTGAATTATTATTTGAGATCTCATGTCCGAAAAATTTTCATATATAATTTTGAAGTTTTTTAAATTTTTTTTTATTAAAAAGTGAATAAAATTCAATTGGATCATTTGTGTTCACTAGATGCATTTTTGTGCACATTTGATGCAACTTTTTTAAATATATTGCTTATTTCGGATACACTAGATCGAGATTGCTTTTTCTTTCATACGGGGACATACAATAGGATTTCTCATAAGAGAAAGAATGAAACTCCAGCAAGTACGTATAGTTATTTGCGGGTTTTAACATTCTTGCTCATTTTATAGCTTAACAATCAATAAACAGAGTTTTTTATGTCTTCGAGGCTTTTTCTCTGTAATCGCGCATATTTATTTCTTAACAAAATTCTCATATTTTAAAACAATTATTATTGTTTTAAATAATTATTTTATCGGCAATGATAAAATAATCGAACCGAAAGTTATTATTTCACGATTTCCCATGACTTTATCTATGGTTTTCTATGGTAAACTTGCAATTCGATTGAAATATAGCTAACTCAATATTTTAGATTTATTGACCTATAAATAAAATAATTGATTTAATTTTTCATAAATACTTTTCTGTTAGTTAAAATTTTTGTCAGTCAGTGCCGTGGCCGCTGACTATTTTACTTCACAAATGAATTGGGAATCGCCGGCAACGGCGAGTTAGAAAAGTTGCGATACATTAAAAAAATCGATTAAAAATTCTGGTCGAACGTGGAATACGTCAAATATAGTAATCCCATCAAAAATGATAAGGGACTTAAAAATTTAATTGAAAAAAAAATTCGACCCCAAAAATCGGCTTTTTTTATGGTAAATTTGCAATTTTTTCATCGTATATTTTTAATATAGGCAATTTTTAACATTGGAGAACACCCTCTCACACATAGGACTCGTTTAGATTGAGACGTGATCAGAGCGAATAGCTGAAGATCGAAATGACTCGTCAATGGTTTATTTCGATTTTCGATTACTCCACGACTCGAATTATTATCGTTTTTTGAAATCTGGATGTCAGATAGATAGCATAGCTTTTTCGTTTTGTATGAGTTCATGGGTATTGTAATCCGGTGTTGGTGATTATTTAATTTTTCGATAAGTTTGTGTGTTTCCATTTTTATTTTCCTTGGTGTTTTGTGAAATTTTGTTTCGTGTTTTTTTTCATCAGAAATAAAAATTTTTGTGAATTTTACTGATCTGAAAATACTACTTTAAACTGCAGTTGGACAAAAAACAAAGAATTACTATGCTAATTTGGAAATCGTGAGTTTTAACATATTTAACCGAACCTAACTATTGGCATCCAAAGGAATCACCATCGAAAATATGCTGCTGGTTTTGTTTTTTTTATGATGATTAGGTTTATTATGATACAATGAATATAGAACAGATTGTTCAAGATTCATTTCATCGAATGCAAATATTATCTGATTTTTTTCGCTAAACCACACCACTCAATATGTTGCATTATTTTTACTATCACTTCCTGGAATCGAAATGCTTATCAATTGAAACACGATTGTACCGGTACAGTAGATATGGATATTATCTCATTTTTTTCCTATATATAGCATCATGACTCGCTCTTTGTAATATTGAAACAACGAGTCCCTGCCAGTTTTGCGCTCAGTAGACCACCGACAGTTGAACTTCTCACAAGAATAAGGTGTGATCACGATGGCTAACGTCGACGATAAAGTATTTTTACCCATTACCAAAAGTTTGGATGGCTTTACTAATAATTTTCACAAGGTAAGATTTTTTTCATCCTTTTGATCAGTCTTTAAAAACTGGAAATTGTATGTTTATTTTTTTTTGTTTTTTATTAATATAGAATTTAGCCAATGCGTTCGAGGAAAATCTCGTCAGCTCACCGCTCAGTGCTCATGTAGTACTGTCGATGGTTACTTGTGGAGCCGAGGATTCGACTCACGAGGAACTGCGTCAAGTCCTACAGTTACCTGAGGATCAAAGTGTATTACAGGAAGGTTATAAGGCATTTATAGGATATATCAATGTAAGTATCAGAAATGAAATTTATACTTACAATTTATTATTTTTAAGATGTAATTTAAAAAAAGTCCGTAACTATACTGTAAAAATTATAATTTATGTTCAAAATATTTGAAAATTGAGGGTGTAAGTAATACTGGGAAAGGTATTTGTAAAATTAATAAAATTTTTTTTCCATGACATCGTCGATCAGATTTGAGTAATGTGTCAAAATAGCGAAAAAGACACGGAAAGAATTCATTTGTATGTTACTGCAAGCATCCAAGCTACTTCTTAAACTCCAAGAGTTGGATCGTGACTTGATTATATACGCACTGTTTTTCGAAGGAAATTTTACAAAAATGAAAATGAAAATTTCAGGTGACTTATAAAATCAATACAAGTGCTACTTGATGCATTAAGAAGTACCTAAATTAAAAAATATTTTAGATTATTACTTAAAACATCATTTTCAACGCAACTACTGTTATAACTGAAGTACTAATTTTTACAGAATTTGCCAAAAGTTACGCTCAAAGTAGCGAATAAAATTTATGTCAATCATTTGGGAAACATTGAAAAAGATTTTCAAAAACTCACGAAAGATTGTTTCCATTCTGAGAGCGAGCCGATGAATTTTGGTCTGAGCGATGAATCAGCAGGAAAAATTAATAAGTGGTGCCAAGAGCAGACTGACGGAAAGATAAAAAATCTTGTTGCTGCCGGTACGTATATTGATGTTTCGATTTTTCAAATATCATTTTTAAGTCACTCAAAAAAGTTTCTTTATTGCAGCTGATTTTTCTGACAATACTGGTATTGTACTTTTGAGTGCGATATATTTGAAAGCCCAATGGAAAAATCTTTTCAAAGTGAAAGACACAAAAGATAGAAGATTTCACTTGAATAAAAATAAGCATATTTACGTGCCAACGATGACGACGGAGCAAGAATTCTTCTATAAACCTATGCCAGAACTCAACGCCAAAGTCATTGGGCTGCAGTATACCAACGAAGACTTGATGATGGTTATCATCGTGCCCAACGACATCGATGGTCTTAAGGACGTGGAAGCTAATTTAGAAAAATTCGATATCGATTACGCCGGTGAATTCCGGCGAAACGAGTGCGAAGTAAAGCTCTTCCTGCCAAAATTCAAGATTGAAACGACCATTGATATGCAGCCCCATCTTGATAAGGTAAGTTTTTTAAATTATGTATGAATGAAATGATGACTTTTTTACAATTCTATAATTATGTAAACTTTATTCTTGTTTTTAGATGGGCGTTAAATTAGCATTCACTGAAGATGCAAACTTTGAAAAAATCAGCGACGTTCCCGGTTTGTTGATCGATAAAGTGGTCCAAAAGGCTTTTATCGCTATCGATGAGTTTGGTACGGAGGCCGGTGCTGCTTCTTGTGAGTACATCAATTTAATAAGATTTGAAATTTTTCTTAATAAAACAAACTTAATGAGGGTTTTAATCTGTTTTCAGGCGTAGTGATGAGTTGGAGAGAAGTGCCACCCACTCTCAAAGTGGATAGACCATTTGTTTATCAAATAGTCGATATAAAGCGTAGATTTGTATTATTTTCTGGACACGTCGTAAATCCATTGAAAGTATAATAATAATAATATTTGTTTTTTTATCAATTACTGTATCATTGTAGATTTTAAGTGAAACAATATACGCTTTATTGAAGCACGTAGTTTTGAAATCAATAAAAAAAATTACATTTTCATGATATACGCGTTTCTCTAAACCAGTTTTTTCTTCTTTATCAGTGTATAAGTCTTTATTTGTTTTATCATAATATATACATTTCATAAAATATTGTAGAAATAATAAATTTTATAAAAAAAATATAGTTGAGCTAAAATAAAAATAAAACCCATAAAAATCTCGAGGAAAAAAAAACTTAATTGGTCAATAATTTTTTTCAAATATGACTAGCACTTATTAATACAAAATAGACAATGATTACTCTGGAGTGGTGGAACGAATCTCAACTTTTATAAAAATAAAATATAGGTAAGAAGAATGGAAGCTAAAAGTCTTTAAAAAAGTCAGGACAAAACGAGGCATTCGTAAGCCAAGGCGCACTGCTGCTGCGTCCAACTCTTGCCAAGCGCAATCACGAAGGCCCGAAAGACCTTTTCCTTTTCGACCTGCTTTTCTACGCCCTCGTCGTCGTCGTAGCCTATGTCCTCCCCCTCGTCCTCGTCGTCGTCGTCGTCGTCGTCGTTTTGGCTCTCGTTGGAAGTCTTGGCCTCGGCCTTCATGGCCTTCCTCTGCAAGTAACCGGCGAGATTTTTGGGAAAATTGCCGCCCGTCGAATTGGAGAGGAACGAGCCCATCTCGCAGGCCACTCGGCTCGGGCACCTGCTCAGGTCCCACATGGTCTCGGCGTCGCGCATAAAGGCGCTGGCGTTGAGATCGTGGCGGCGACTGCTGCTGTCCTCGAGCTCGATGTCGTTGTCGTTGTTGTTGGCCGCGTGATGCTGCAGCAGCGGGTGCTGATGCAGATGCGGATGATGGCTGTTGTCCTCGCCAAACGACGGCATCGCGTCCTGGATCTTCTGGTAGAGGAAGTTCTGCAGATTGAAGGTGCTCGTGATGGCCGGGTAGACGACGCGAATGAAGAACGGCAGGATGATGAAGATCTTCACGAGGAACTTCATGATCTTGATGAACTTGAGGAGGGTGAGCGCGACGAGGATCACCTTGACGGCCAGGATCGGTATGACGAAGGGCAGGCTGCTGGTGGCGATCAGCTGGACCAGCGCCCAGATGTTGGCGCCCAGCGCCAGGATGATGGCCCAGAAGCCGCCTCCCGGATCGCAGCCCCCCTGGCGGATTTGCCGCAGCTTCGATCTGACTGTGACCATGGCTTGAAAGCACGAGCGATTACGCGATATCGATTAATTAAACCTAGAGAAATACTTACTCGAGGGAAAGTTGCCGTAGGACTGGGTGGGCGAGGGTGGCGGCGGTGGCATCGGGCCCGGGGAGCCGGACGGCACGAAGCTGGGCCCTCCCATCTGTGGCGGCTCCTGGGTGTAGAGCTCGCCGGCGCGATACGGATCGTTGTACTGGAGCATGCCGGGCTCGTAGGGCGGCGGCCCCGGCGGCGCGGGCCCGTTCACGCCCGGGTACTCGGGTATGGAGTTGTACGAGGTCTCGTCGTACTCGTAGGCGCTCGGCGGGAAGTAGTCCGGGGCCAGCTGGTGCTCGTAGTCGTCCTGGATCGAGTAGGACTGCCTCTCGGTGTTGGGATCGACGGTGCCCTCGTGCCGGTAGATCGTGTAGCGCTGGGCCGGCTTGTGCGGCCGCGGCGGCTGGTGATTGGCGGGCCTGTTGGTGCTCAGGGCCAGCAGATCCTTGTGGGCCGGCGTCGAGGCTGCTACGCTGCGCGTCGTCGACGTCGTCGACGGGGACAATCTCGGGGTCGGCCTCGTCAGGGCCAGCGGCGACGCCAGAGTCACGGGATTATGAGCCGTCGACTGGCTCGAGTTCGTCGCTGCCTGTGTATCATTGCAATTCGTATTTATATTTGCGTCGATCGTCGCAGTCATTAATGCAGGAAAGCCCACGTTATTATAGATGCGGCACAACAAAAAAAGAGTTTGCGCTAGATATAAACAAACAGTCCGCGCGGGACGATCGTAAAGTTTCACTGCTGCTGCTGCAGCGCGTTCCGTTGGACGAGCTCGTCGCGGGTCAATATCGCGCGCAACAAAAGACAATATCGGTGTCAAAGTCGTAAAAATATATATAATACAGTCGGTGGATTTTTTACGCACCTTGAGCTGCTCGGCCACACCGCCGCCGCCGAGATTGATCCGCTCGCCGTTCCTCACGTAGAGAGCCAGTTTTTTGCCCGATCTCGCGTGCTCGTCGTCGCCGTTGTCGTCGTCGTGTGGCTGCGTTGTTGCATTTTTCTCGCTCGTTGTCGCGCTTCCATTGGCCAGTACGACGAAGGGCTGCTGCTCGTCGGCCAGCGCACTCGTTTCGCAGAGCCACGATAAGGCCGCGAGGCAGCAGTAGGCTGCGAGCGTCAAGCTTAGCTGAAAAATGCCGTAGTAGCCTAATTAAATTATAATTAAATCTCGCCCCATCTGCTTTTTACCTAGACTTGGTGCGACATAATTAAATAGATCGATTGTCTCCGATATTTTTACAAATATTGACCGTAGGTCGAACGTAATAAATAAGTAAACGCAAAAACACTTATTCCCACGAGGAAAGAGTAATCGTGGTCTCTCGGCGATCGGCAGCCGCAGCAACAGCTGACACCGATATAGTTGGCCAAGTAAAAGCGATAAGGACGATCGATTCGTTCGGGCTACATTACGCCGAGCTACGTGACAATGACAGAGACCAATTACACAATATTGATTTTTCTCCTTCGTTTGTTTGTTTGACCTTTCACCGCGCGCTGCTCAGCGAGTTCCAGAGGCAAAAGCAGCAGCACGAGCCAAATCGATCGATTTTTTTCTCTCTCCTTTTTTGCACATTATTCAATAAATACCCGTGCACGGACGCACGTGCGGTTACTCGACGAGCGCAATAGATTTTGCGAAAGTATTATCGGGAATCTCTGCTGCGAATTACATAAAGAGCGGCGGATCTCTTGTTTGTTGCGCGCAAGTCTGTATACGGCGCGCGAACGGAACAAGTCGTATAATCGCAATCGCGAAAGACGCAAGTGGAAAAAAATACACTTTATAGGCTGCTTACTTGAAAGTTATATATATCGTATTTAATCAGTTTATATGAGAATGAGCTAATTAATTCGACCAAACGTCGTATATACGCTCGTTGCAAGAAAAACAAAGACGATAGCCCGCGTTTGGCTTTAGGGGGGAAAAAACACTATCGCGCGCGTCCACAGCAGGATCACGATCGAAAACTCACCTTGCGGGACATCGTCGTGTGCAGAATCCTCGAGTTCAAAGGTTGCAGCCGAACATGTTCGAGTCTCAGTTTGCACGCGCGCGCACACACACAATCGCACTCGCGCGCGGACGCGCACACACGGGTGTCGATTTTCTCGCACGCAGCGTCTTCTGGTCGCGGGCCTCGCGAAACGCGCTGAACGAATCGAGGCTCGCCGAGCGAGGACGGCGATACAAATGCGCGCAGATTCTTGCACTTTGCGGCTCGTGCAATGGGCCCCCCGATATCGATCATTCGAACAATTGGACTAAGACGAGAGAGAGAGCGAGAAAAGCGCGCAGTGCCACGACGATCCCTTTCCTCGATGACGCGCGGGATTATTGTTGTTGCTCCGGGATTCGCGCTCGCGAAAGGGGGATAATAATTATGGTTTTCCGATGCCTACCGAGGTTTATGTGTGAGTAACGGAAATGTATAGAGATCCACGCCTCCGTCTTCTGCGTCCTGTCGACGGACCTAGTGACCGAGCGCGCGCGTTTTCACGCTCGTTTAGAGAAAAAAAATCGATCGCGATTCGATGATGAAAAAAGAAAAAAGAAAAGAATAGAAAAGAAAAATCTTGGCGTAATTTCAGTTATTGCTCGGATGAAACTGTTTTATTGGCCTCGTAAGTGCGCTTTGCAGGTGAAAAATATCGGATCGCTGCACGAGTTTTTACGCGCTTCCGACCTCGCCACCGCCGCACCGTAATCCTAATATTTTTCGATCACGCGACCATAGTGTCGGCAACATAGGTACAGTAACGCGGCTCGATCGCTCCTTTGACTCCCGTATACATTTGAACTTTATGACGGAATATGATGCAGTAGTTGAAGCGTCGCGAGGGCCGATCGCGAAAAGAAAGTCGAACGATCGGCTTTAAGGTCAATCGGACTCCGATGAACCGTGAAATATATGTCTACGGCATAATAATGGTCTTTTAGCGCCGAGGACAGTTGACAATGTTTACTCGTTCGCACGAGCGGCTCGGGAAATTTTAATATACTTAATTTTTTTTCGCTCGCTATCTATTTGCTCGTCGAGTGACGGATCGCGATGGAGATGTCATCGACAACTATACCGAGAGCCGATGCTCTTCTCTTTTTACCAACCGCAAAGTAGAGCAAAAAGAGTCCGCGCGACAGCTGTAAACACTGCGACAGTGTATTATAATCATAGCATGTCTCGCCCTTAACCCCTAAAAAATTACAGGCGCGTTTTTCGTCGATAAGCATCAAAATTTCGTGTGTCCCGGGACTTGCAAATGCATCGAGCCCGATACAATGAGCGAGGGGCCCAACAGCTTCCTGCAACCGTTTCTACAACATTTCGGTAATTTTGCTTATTTTTTTGGAGCCAAAAACAACAATAACCTAAGCTCGAACTAGGAAATCTGAAATTAACTCGGGGCGAGAGTACGGCGAGAAGTAAGGGCGGTTGCAACCCCTGCAAGGAAAAGTCGTTCTTCATGAAGCTCTTCGAGAGCAAAGCCGGGAAAGAAAAGCAGGAGAGGATGGAGAACGACGTTTGCAGTTCGCCGCCGCCTGCGGTCGAAGAGTCGTGCCCGTGCGTCGAAACGAAGGAGCCGCCTATTTGTCAAGATTGCATCATTCCAGAACAGGTATTGCTATTTATGACTCTGCGTTGGCACTCGGAATACACGCCTCGCAATAAAAGTTGAAAGAAAAAAAAATAATAATATACGTGTGTCAAAATTCTGTTTGTTTTTTTTGCTTCGTTCTCATTGAAAATGTGTCAAAAATCATCATCATCCGTAGAATCCCCTGAGAGCGTGCTGCTGTCTGCCGAAAAGCGAAAACGATTCGGACGAGGACGCGCCCTGCCCCCCCGAGGATTTCCCGGTGAATCCGCGCAAACCCGGCTGCGGTTGTAACGCCTGCTTTCAACCCGGCTACCACGGGCGCTGCTGCGATCCACGCACGGCCTACGGTCGGAGGCCAATGATCGATTACGAGGACATGCCGAGATTCGACGACTGTTAATGTAAAAGACAAAGATTAGGATAGAGAAGACAAAAAAAAAACAGAAAAAAATCAGACTTTTCGAAACGTGAATTTTTTTTCTCTTTATCTCGACATCTTTACATAAGCATTGAATAATAATGCGCTTGACACGAGTGGATTGCGCTTTTTTTCTCTTCTTTTCTCGTTTTCAAGGATTTTCGGTCCTTAAACGTGTCCAAAATAATATTCTAAAAAAGACTAGTATGCAAATTCTGTCTGATGCTACTTACTTACTGGTTGTATACAGACAAAGCGTCCAAAGTGTTGTCCTCTACCTGAAAAGTCCCAATTACAATCAGCCAAGTCTCGAGACGAAAGTCAAGATTGCGAAAACGATGATCCTGCGGATATACATTGTGTTACGGGCAGAGTCATACGCGCGTGACCCGCTCAATCTGTCGTCGTCGGTGCATGCGATGGTCACGTGTCACCCATTTCACCAATGTATGAATATGGAGCCAGGTGCGCGCGTTCGAAAAAAGATCGATGTCGGGAAAACGAGGAAGGATAAAAATCGGGTCAGATGTTTCCCAGCGCTAGTCAACAGTCAGCGACGACAACAATCGCGCGGCAGCCGCGGGAGGCTTGAAACGCTATTTTTAAGGGACAAACCCAAAGTGAATCGACTGTTGTCTTATATAGCTGCAAGCAACAAAGAACTACTCTGGAAAATCCCCCCGTGCGGCGCGTGTATTCCACGGCCATCGTGGCGCGAGCCCTGCAACGAAAATATCCCCCCGAAAAAACGACGAGGACGATGATTAAAGTACGGGGTCAGACAAAGGAGAGATCGTAGCGTCAAAATGAATCCCTAATAAGTGAAAACAAAAAAGACCATTAAAGCCACGGTTCACGCGACGACTCCGAGTAGAAAAAACCCACACGTGCACGTGCAGACGCGGTCGCGGAAGAGGGAGAGCCGGCCTGACTATAACGTATACCTACATATGTCAGTCGCTATGTACGTACGCACACAGACACGCATACACATTACACACAATTGGCGTAAACATGTGTGCCGGCCCGAGAGCGATGATTCGCACATATATTATACACACTCATGCGAGAGACGTAGATGAGTGTTCGCGCCGATTCGCTTATATATAGAGCCAGCAGTCTGACTCGGAGCTCAGTTTGATCGTTCGGTCCGACCAGTCGACTTACGCACTATTATCAATACACGTAGCAGATAAGACAACACAACCGCAGACATGTGGACAAGTGAGTCGTTTTGTATTTTTTTTTTACCTTTGCTATTATTATTTATTAAAGTTGTCGTCTACACATAGTCGAGAGTATCACTCTCGGGCAGGGCTCGTTCGAATCGCGACGTTTGCTCGTTAATTCATCGTATTATATATAGTGAAAACAGTTTTAAACGTCGAAGAAAAACAATACGAGAATATATTATTATGTGTGTAGCGTACGATAACGAGCGCAATCGTCTACAGGATGTTTATTGTGCTCCGCTGGGATCGGCATAATCGGAACGCATTTTTGTCACATTTTTCGTATCATCTCTCTCTCTTTTTACTGCAACTCGTGCAACACATTGTACAGCAGCAATTAAAAAATACTCGACACGCATCTCGTTTGTGCATATATTTAAGCAGCTAAAATCACACGCGCTTGCTGTACATACGTAACAGGGCATCTGGCTCCTTTCGATAACTTTCCGCGGCTCGTCGTTGTCGCTCGGCAGTTGGCTGGGAAAATCGTACACCGATGTTGTTTCGCAAAAGCTCGAGCGTGATTCGGGAGCAACGATAAAGAACGATCGCGAGTGTTTATCATTCGCTTGACATTTCTCGTTTATTTATTTTTTTTTTTCGCCTCGCTGAACGATTTTGCATTTCCTGCGAAGATCTCGAGTTAGCCGGTCGCGTAAGCAATATCGCGCGCCCGTATCGATGTCAACTATTTTTATTGCGTCTCGATAGGCAGGCAGTAACGTCCATCTCTCTGTCTGTCTCTCTCTTTTTCCCACTCTATATCGATCGATGATAGTGAGAAAAGTCGCGGACACTGCAACATGTTGCCGGCTATTAACATAGTTTTCCAATTGTTTTTTTTTCTCGTCATTTTCCTTGATTATTGATGAGCATAATAAAATTCATTTTGATTTTTCATCGATCGCGAAGATTTTTCGAACAAACGGAAAATTAAGGAAAAAAAGTTTTTTCTATGCTGTCATGAATGATTCACCAATGTGTACGTACATGATGTATAACAAACTCGGGAATAGACGAGAGAATTTTTAATACGACCTTCGGGAAAATCCTCGTGGAACGATTATTGTTCTGACGAAAAAAAACATAATTAAATAAATCAATTAGTGTTGTAAAATGAAGCTCGCGTTACATGCATCTAATAAATTCCCCAAGGTTATACTCGGATTGCTAACAAAAATAATAAATAATTTGAGGATACGATGTTTTTCATAAAAAAAAAATACGTTGCAGTTTTTATATTTTTTATACATCACCTCATTGGAGGTGTTTACGTTCCATACATTTGTATATACAATTACTACATGTAATTGCGTGGAACGTTTTCTTTTTCATGGAACAATGTCCGAGTGCGTTCGCGGATTTCAATTGACTTTTACAGTTAGGACTTTCGCGCTTTATCCGCGACCCATCGCTTTTTTATGTATAGAATAATAAATATTATCCAGATTGATCAACAAGGTCACCTCTTCTTTTTATTGCAAAAATAATGAAATAGAAAAGAAGACTCGTCTGCGCGTGACCATCCGCTCTTTTAGTTATCTCGAGTGAACTTTTCGAAAAAATAAAAAATAAAAGAAAAATACTTTGAATGCTTTATAGATTGTATTTTTCAACAAAACGAAATTTTCATGTTAATTTTTGTTAAATTTGCAGAGAACTTGATGGTCGCGCTGGCGCTCTGCGTCGGCTTGACAATGGCAGACAAGCCAGTGAGCAGCGCCTTAAAAGTCGTCGCCGACGGCAATGCACTCTTCAACGTCGAATTGTTCAAGGTTCGTATCTTTTTATGAGCAATGTACCACGGCATTGTTTGCCTTTTTTTTTTTATCACCTCGTGTCACGAAAATTTCAAGCACGTTCGTACATTATGATGCGCGACACCTCGAGACTCGTTGCAGCGCAATGCCATATTAAGAGAGGCGCGCGCAAATCGATTAGTCGATCTCACACGTCTGCTCTTTGTCCCGAACAGAAAATCGCGGCTGCAAAGCCCGGTGAGAACATCATCAGCTCGCCGCTGAGCGCCCACACCGTCCTGGCCATGGCCGCCTACGGAGCCAAGAAGAACACCGCCGCCGAGATGCAGAAAGGCCTTCATCTGGCCAGCGACGAAGTGATCGGCCGCCAGGGCTACCAGAACCTCATCGAGCACCTCAACAGCGTCAACAACGTCACCCTCGAGCTCGCCAACAAGATCTACGTGAACGATCAGGTGCCACTCAAGGACAGCTACCGCCAATTGGCCGCCACCAACTTCTACTCTGACGCCTCGCCCCTGAACGTTGCCAAGCCCAAGGAGGCCGCCGCCGAGATCAACCAGTGGGTCAAAGACAAAACTCACAATAAAATTGACGGAATAATCCAACCCGGTAAGTGTAATATCGGCGATGAAACTGTCGTTGACTCGCCAAAAATGGCCGAATCTAAAATATAAAATATAAAATTCGTCTTTCAGACGCCATCAACCACAATCTCGCCATGGTACTCCTCAACGCCGTCTACTTCAAGGGCGCCTGGGGCAAAGCCTTCAAGAAGGAGCTAACCAAGCCCATGGTCTTCAACGTCGACGCTCAGACCCAGAAACACGTCGATACCATGTCCATCACCAGCACTTTCCATTACGGCGAGCTACCCGATCTCAAGGCCAAATTCATCGAACTCCCGTACCAAAACAAGAACGTAAAGATGGTCATCATCGTGCCCGACGAGATCGACGGTCTTAAGGACGTGATCAACAATTTGGAGCACTTCAATGCGAGTCGCCTGGCAAAGAGCGGTTACGATCGGGAGGTTCATCTGTACCTGCCCAAATTCAAAATCAATACCAAGATCGATTTGAACGATCCACTGAAGGCCGTGAGTACCCCGAGAAAATTATATTTTAAACGCCTATGGATACATGAAATATCACGTACTGACCGAGCTTTTGAATTTTTCCTCTCTGCAGTTGGGCATGGAAGACATGTTCTCTCCCACTGCCGATTTCAGCGGCATGACCGATAAACCAGTTTACGTATCCAAAGTAACGCAAAAAGCCTTCATCGAAGTCAACGAGGAGGGCAGCGAAGCAGCTGCGGTTACCGGTAAGTTTCGAGAGTCGCTTACATCACGATTTTTTCCATTTGCTTCTTTCTCTTCGTTGCTTTACACTTACCTACTTTATCATGGGTTCTTCAAATTTTTTTCAATAAAAAATCAGTATCACTTTTTGCATGACATGGTGCACATCTTATGCTAATTGGCTCGATGTTAATTTCTTCTTTTTACTAATGTTGCTTTATTTGTTCTAGTGTTGTCTAATTTGAGTTTGTTGTTGCTTTTTTCTTACTTTTATAACATGAATTACAATTAAATGTGCAAGTGTCGAAACGAATTGTGAAACTTGCGCCACTTCCATTACGATTAGGAAAATCGCGTAAACGCATACCAAATCGATGATTTTTGTTGAATTAACCGCGCTGTGCTCATTACACGAGATAAAGGCCCACACGCGCTCTTTGCACCCTCAACAATTGTGTAAATATTTGTATATAAATTATGCGATACGACGCAGCAGCTTCCTTTTTCCTCCCAAAAATGCACGATGCGTATTTGGACACGCGCGTTACGAAATTCGTTTTCCTGTGCGTGTAAACGACCTCGAGTAAATGAATCGTTTTATAAAATTTTTTAGTTATCCTTCAGATTCGTACAATAATTCTCACGTTTATTCAAGTGCATATATCCGATTAGAGGTCTCGATCGCATATGGCATTATTGCGCGACATTTATGACTCGACGAGTAAATTAAAGTGATTCAATTGTTTTGTGACTTTTAATCAAACTGAATTTCGTCAGACCCTACATCGATGCGAGTGGCGATATTTACAAATGCAAACAAATAGAAACATTTCAATCGTTTCCGACTACCTTATTACGCGATTTTTTATCATTTCATTTTTCCTTCCGAACATCGTGAATAATAATATTAATGAATAATTAGTCTAAGTACATTCGCATGAAATTAACGTTGATGTAATTGTGTAATTTTAAAAAAAAATTGGACGATGTAGAAAAGTTTACTGTTTGTGAATAACCCCAGATAAATAAATAGTCGATACAAAAAAATCGTAAAAATAGCAAGAAACTTTATTATTTGTTCGTAGGTGTGGGTGTATTCTTGTTTTCGTTACCGTTACCCCCACAGATTATGCGGGTCGATAGACCATTTTTGTTCAGAATTGTGGATGAATCTACCCCAACGACGATCTTTATGGGACAGATTAACGTTCCTCAATGATGACATCACATAATCCACTCGCTACTATTTTAATCTCGATTTTATTAAACGAATAAACAGCAGTACGTACGTAAGTACATCTTTGCTGAAAGTTAACGTTCGTTATTAGTTTAAAAATTACAAAGGCGCATAGTTTGTGCATAATTGAATGAAAAAAATCTAAAAATCAAAACAGCATGAAAAAAATAAAATAACTAGCCAGTAAAAATATATGCATGCGATAATAGCATTTTCTGGTCGTTAAAATCATTCAAAAAGATCATTAAGATAAAAGATGCATGTGTTATCGTGTTTTTCAAAAAATCTTTGTATTCACTCTGTTCTTAGCAGTGATCCTTATGCCTGCTAGCGCACATTTCAACCCTCCAACGCCAACTCTAAAAGTAGATAGGCCATTCTTTTTCCGGATTTTCTATGTTCCTACGAAGACTACACTGTTTATTGGCTCGGTCAATCAGTTGGACGCTTAGACGCGATCGACAAGGACTGCTTATAGTTCTCGTTAGGACTCGAAACTATTTTTATATTGAGACTTTAAATTTTGTAAAAAGCGAAAATTATGTCAACCACGAGCATATTGCATTTCGCTTTGATGATGTATTCGATACAAAATATACGTCATTTTTTATACCATTTCATGACTTATTATTGAATTCCTAGTTCAAGACTCATCACGCGAGATACAATCATTTATCATTGTTTTATCAGTAGTAGCGATAAATATAAATATATATTTTCGACAAGTGTGATAACAGATGAAAACAAAATAGATTGATTATCTGAACTTAAAAATATAGCAACTTTTTTTTCAATTTCATACACTTTGCACCGATGCTTGTTTGATAATAAAATTTCTCGCTTCAATTTAACTTTACATATTTTTATATAAAGGCCGATTTATTTGCGTGAAAATAATAAAGAATTCATACTTTTGCATTTATAGCGATAAAGATGGTACCGTTAAGCGCACCACTCCTACCACTTATGAAGCCGACTTTACGAATTGACAGACCATTCTTGTTCAGGATATTTTATGCTCCTGCGAAGATGACGTTATTCACTGGTTCTATCAGTAAACCGTGATGAGTTTCAACATTGACCATTCTATTAATTCAATTTTTCGTACATGATTCAATTTTGGTTGTTAAAATATACGAACTTTAGACTGCATTACGATTGTTATCTTTGTTCATTTTGTATATATTTTCTACAAACACAATTTTAGAATCCGAACTGACAGAAAAAAACTTCTTTTACTCTTTCAATTGTCTATATTATTTCAACATTATTGGCTATCGCTTACATGAATGTGAAATAATGGCTGATTTATTTAATAATTCTTTATACTCGTTCACGCAATTTCAATGTTCTTATAGTTTTTAAGGCTAAAAAATTAGTTGTACTTCCAATAGATCAGAGCCCTTTGAAAGTTTCTACAAAATTTAATACGTAGAAAAAAACTGAAAATTTTGATTTTTTCCAGAATTATTGCTCAACATCTTCAAATTTGGTAAACCGTTGACAATAGAATTTCATGTCGATAGGCCATTCGTATTTAACATATTCGACGAATCCTCCAAGACCTCATTTTTCATTGGTGCCATACATCATCTTCTATAATTCCCATGTACGAAACAATTCAACTTTATTCATTGATTGATTCAATTTTGGTTGTTAAAATATACGAACTTTAGACTGCATCACGTTTGTTATCTTTGTTCATTTTGTATATATTTCCTACAAACACAATTTTAGAATTCGAACTGACAGAAAAAACATTATTTCACTCTTTCAATTTTCTATATTATTTAAACATTGTTGGCTATCGTTTACATTCATGTAAATAATAATGGCTAATTCATTTAATAATTCTTTATACTCGTTCACGCAATTTCAATGTTCTTATAGTTTTTAAGGCTAAAAAATTAGTTGTACTTCCAATAGATCAGAGCCCTTTAAGTTTCTACAATAGCACTTTACGATACAAGTGCCATAAGTAACACTTTTTGGCACGAGTATCATACAACATTTTATAGCACTGTGCTAAGCCCACATTTATGACCCCTTTTCCGAGTCATAAGTCGCAGTTTCTGGTACCGCGGAGTGAGGTTAGCGCACGAGCGTATGCGAGTGTGATGCGAACGCAGCGGTGCCAGAATGTGCGACTTATGCCACCGAAAAGCGTGCCATAAATATGAAATTATGCCATGCAGTGCTATAAAATTTAATACGTAGAAAAAAACTGAAAATTTTTATTTCTTTCAGCAATATTGCTCAACCTCTTGAAATCTGGTAAACCGTTGGCAATAGAATTTCATGTCGATAGGCCATTCGTATTTAACATATTCGACGAATCCTCCAAGACCTCATTTTTCATTGGCGCCATACATCATCTTCTATAATTCCCATGTACGACACAATTCAACTTTATTAATTGATTGATTCAATTTTTCGTGCATGATTCAATTTTGGTTGTTGAAATATACGAACTTTAGACTGCATCACGTTTGTTATCTTTATTCATTTTGTATATATTTCCTACAAACACAATTTTAGAATCCGAACTGACAGAAAAAACATTATTTCACTCTTTCAATTGTCTATATTATTTCAACATTATTGGCTATCGCTTACATGAATGTGAATAATAATGGCTGATTTATGTAATAATTTTTCATACTCGTTCACGCATTTTCAATGTTCATATAGTTTTTAAGGCTAAAAAATTAGTTGTGCTATTAATAGTTCTGAGCCCTTTAAAAGTTTCTACAAAATTCAATAAGTAGAAAAAAACTGAATATTTTGATTTTTTTCAGCAACGCGCTTCATCATTTCTGCCCCGCCGTTGGCAATAGAATTTCATGTCGATAGACCGTTCATATTTAACATATTTGAGAAATTCTCCAAGACCACAATGTTCATTGGCGCCATACGTGATCTTCTATAACTCCGATGAACGAAACAATTCAACTTTATTAATTGATTGATTCAATTTTTCGTGCAGGATTCAATTTGGGTGTTGAAATACGCGAACTTTAGACTGCATCACGTTTGTTATCTTCATTCATTTTGTATATACTTCCTACAAACACAATTTTAAAATCCGAACCGACAGATAAAACATTCTTTCACTGTTTTAATTTTTTATATTATTTAAACATTATTGGCTATCGTTTACATGAATGTAAATAGTAATAGCCAATTTATTTAATAATTCTTTATACTCGTTCACGCATTTTCAATGTTCATATAGTTTTTAAGGCTGAAAATTTAGTTGTACTTCCAATAGTTCAGAGCCCTATAAGTTTCTACAAAATTTAATACGTAGAAAAAAAACTGAAAACTTTGATTTTTTTCAGCATTTTTCAGCTACTTCAAATCTGCTAAAGCGGTGCCGGTAGAATTTCATGTCGATAGGCCGTTTGTATATAACATATTCGACGAATCCTCCAAGACCTCATTTTTCATTGGCGCCATACGTCATCTTCTATAATTGTCGTTCATTGGTTATTCCATTAATTATAAACTTAGTTTAGAATTAATAAATAACATATTTTATCTTCATTCATTGGGTTATTAACAATGAATGCGTCAAACATACAGAGATACACTTCTTAAACCATTTTTCATCTCTCCTACTCTTTTGGAATGCATCTAATATAATCCGAACGTATAATGCTATGAAAAACAAAAATTTCAGTTCCAGTTTTCCAGATTGAAAGTTTCACTTATCCACTGTACTTAAAAATTGATAGACCATTCTCATTCAAAATTTTTCTCTCAGCTTCGAATGTTGAACTTTTTATTGGTTTAACGAGTGACCTGCCAGTTTCGGCAGAAAAAGCTTCTGATTCTCTTGATGACGTCCAATCAATCTATTGAACTTTTTTTATCAAGTAAAAATTAATTTTAATGATTAATATTTTATATGTAATCTTATGGGTTTTCAAAATATTGCATGAACATATCAACCAGTAGTTTAGTAAAAAAATAGAACTTGCTTAAAAGTTTTATCTGTACTTGAAGTTTAAAAAAATTTGAATAACTGCAAATTCCAACAACTTTAGATTCTCTTAATTTTTCGAGTTTTTTATTTTACAACTAAGTAGATATTTTAAAAAATTGTAATTTACAAAAAAAAAAAGTAAAAAAAGTAGAATTAGAAAATTACCAATCGTCGTGTGACCTCAATAAAAATAACAAGAAATATACTTATTGATTACAGGCATTACAGCAATCAATGACTCACTTACTTTTTACGAATTATTAAAAGTTAATGTCCCATTTTTATTCAAAGTAATTTATGAATCGACAACACTTTTTATTGGCAAAGTTAATGATATTTGTTAACGAAAGAAAGCTCAAGTTAAAATTTGTGTTCTCAAGAGTTTGGCTTGATAAAAGATATTTTACGAATGAAATGTTGGAAACAATTATTTATTAGATTACCAATTAACTTTTCATGGATATTACTTAATCTGCTATTTTAATGTCTTACATTTAAAATAAAAATTGATGAAATTATAAACTTGTCATATTGACTTATTTCGTTAAAGCCTGCGCTCTATTATGTATTTTTAATTCATTCAGTTTTTACGGATCTCCAAATCTCTAATCCTTTTTAAAAATTTCTCTTAATCATCTGTCTCTCTCAACTGTCCTGCATGTAAATTGTACTTCATCTAAGCAAATATAGGGTTGTGGTATAAAATTCAGAAGTGTACAAAATTTTTCGCTACATGAAAAATTTCTCAATTTCAGCCCAAGTAATGGTTATTCGTATCGCTAAACATTTTGAAAAAATCACATTCGAGATCAATCGTCCGTTTTACTACGAGATTCACGATGATATAACTCATACTCGACTTTTTAGTGGTGCTGTCTACAACCCAGAAAACCACGATTAGAGTATTTCCAAAATTACCTTGATATACCTCTTCTGTAATTTGTATTATTTTACTACCGGTGGCTTTTTTGTAGATAGATTACCAAATTGCTTGATCAACACAAACACATTACAATGATTTCATTTTTCAGCAATTCGGCAGAATTTTAAACGCATCCGAAAATATTATAGTTTTATAGTTAACAGACCATTCATTTACATGATTCGTACTGGCAAAGCTGTTATTTTCAATGGAATTGTTAATAATCCAAAAAACTGATTAATTCATGTATAATATCACTTTTATTTTATCCTTGCATTTTTAAGTAAGCTGTGTGTGATATTTAGGCAATAAGTTACATCGAAATTAATTATATTTATGCACTTCATATGTTCACTTAGCATTTAAGCCACAAATAAAAGTTTGTTCATTAACATTTTTGTTTACTTCTTTTATTAGCACCATTTGTCAATTAATCAAAAAATTTAATAATATTTACAATTAATCATAAATCGCTTTAAAAAATTGTTATGCATTTAACGAGTATCAAAGTCTAATTTGACTTTCCACTCAAAATCTGTGTATTAAATACTAAAGTCGATAAATAACTAATCATTATACAGTAGACAAAACAAGTAAAATCGAAAAAGTAGTCAATTTGATAAAAATTTGTAAACTGCAATATAGGAATCCATATTATGCTATTATCAGTACGATACGAGCCTTATGTAGTAATTGATCGTCCGTTCTACTATCAAATCGTCGTTCGGATGAACGACCAGACGACTCTGACGTTGTTCGAAGGAGTAGTCAGAAATCCATAAAAAAATTATTTTATAAAAATCAATGCAGTGAAGGTAAACATATTCTTTATAAAACAAACTTAGCACTTTTTTGTTTTTCTGTTTTTTATGCATGTAAATTTTGTATCTTAGAAGTAAACGGTTGGATTTTTATACACAGCTAATTATGTTGTTCAAATTTAAAATACATGCATAATTTGTTCATTTACATATATATGGGTCAAAATAATACTTTTTTACAAAACCGTGCGCACGTATGTCACCGATCTTGACGCGCTTTTGGTATGTTATAGTAGATGGTAAAAAGGTCCCAAAAAAAAATTTTTAGACCCCCTCCCCCCTCCTACCCCCCACTTCCGGTATAAACGTCCATTTTCGATCTATATTTTTTCTGAGGACATGAAGCAAGTAAAAAATCTGAAAAAATTCATAAAAATACTTTTCCACAATCCAAACAACCTTGAATTTTTTCAGATTTTTTGAGTGCTTCAGGCCTTCAGATAAAATCATTGAAAATTTCAAAAATCGAGATACGGCGGTATGAGCCGATGTAGTACTCGGAAATTTTTTCAGTTATTTTTCGCATTAAAAAACATAACCTCAATTTTTTTCAGATTTTTTCAGATTACCTAACGCACCTTTTGAAGCCAAAAACCGATTTTTTTGACGAAAATAATTTTTTTAGGACAGTACGGAGCCTCGAAAAATCTGAAAAAAATTTTTTCTTGTTTTTTTCATCAAAATACGTAATCTCAAATTTTTTCAGATTTTTTAATTGAAGGCGATAGCTTCTAGGGCCGAAAAATGCTATTTTTAACAAAAAATGGTTCCTAGAACCCGATGGTTCCGGTGAAAAAATTTGAAAATATTTTTTTTGAATTCCTTGTCAAATTTTAATAAATTTTGACCGTTTCAAAAGTTCGATTGAAGCTTCCTAGCTCATTTTAGAGCAGGACAAAGATTAGTGCAAAATATCTGAAGACGTTTCTGAAGACATTAAGGAATGATAAAACTCGTTTGATGCTCTAAAATGAGCTAGGAAGCTTCAATCGAACTTTTGAAACGGTCAAAATTTATTAAAATTTGACAAGGAATTCAAAAAAAATATTTTCAAATTTTTTCACCGGAACCATCGGGTTCTAGGAACCATTTTTTGTTAAAAATAGCATTTTTCGGCCCTAGAAGCTATCGCCTTCAATTAAAAAATCTGAAAAAATTTGAGATTACGTATTTTGATGAAAAAAACAAGAAAAAATTTTTTTCAGATTTTTCGAGGCTCCGTACTGTCCTAAAAAAATTATTTTCGTCAAAAAAATCGGTTTTTGGCTTCAAAAGGTGCGTTAGGTAATCTGAAAAAATCTGAAAAAAATTGAGGTTATGTTTTTTAATGCGAAAAATAACTGAAAAAATTTCCGAGTACTACATCGGCTCATACCGCCGTATCTCGATTTTTGAAATTTTCAATGATTTTATCTGAAGGCCTGAAGCACTCAAAAAATCTGAAAAAATTCAAGGTTGTTTGGATTGTGGAAAAGTATTTTTATGAATTTTTTCAGATTTTTTACTTGCTTCATGTCCTCAGAAAAAATATAGATCGAAAATGGACGTTTATACCGGAAGTGGGGGGTAGGAGGGGGGAGGGGGTCTAAAAATTTTTTTTTGGGACCTTTTTACCATGTACTATAACATACCATAAGCGCGTCAAGATCGGTGACATACGTGCGCACGGTTTTGTAAAAAAGTATTATTTTGACCCATATGTATATTTTTCTGCTTCTTTCACGCAAACATTTGTATTAATTTGATGGTTCTTTACAGAAATAGGATTAAGTATGCGATTCGGCGAGGAAGAACCTGAACACGTACTAAAAGTTGATCGCCCGTCAATTTTTTATGTCAGCATTGATCGTATTATTGCTTTCGGAGGAATCCTCAAGAACCCCACGGTCCAATAAAAAAACTGAAAATTATTTTTCATTCTTATTTACAAAAGAAATTTCACCTGATTTTGATAAAGTGCTTTTTGTTATAGTGTGACTGATTTTTATGTTTTTCCTTTGTGTTTACGTGTATGTCCGAATATTTGTCTAAAATAATGTAAAACATTAGAACTGCGATACAATTTAATAAAAAACATTTTCATGATTTTTTGGCGTTACCTCATCATTATTTTGGCATTAGCTTGTCATTGGGGCAATATTTTTGTACAGCTTACGCATTGCAATAATCATAATAAAATAAACATTTTTTAATGAGCTTGTTAAAATAACTTTTTCTTCTCTAGGCATGATTATGGTCATGAAAATGGCGCGGGTAGAGATTGAAGATATTTATTTCAGAGTTGACCGACCATCATACTTTATGATAAAAGCTTCGGATACAATATTATTCCAAGGGCAATTAGTTGAGCCAACTTATTAACTTTCTATTAAATTAATAGTGAGTAAATAATAGTAAATCAGTGATACTCTAAAGTGAGATTATTGTAAAAACAGTTTAAATATTTTTTTACTCATATTATAATTATATATATTATGTAAAAATTTAATGTGACCTAAAGTTATTAAATAATTTATTTTTAAAAATTAAAAAATGTATCAGCTGTACAATTTTTACGATTCCATATAGTCATTCGTTTAAAATAAAAAAATCATGCAGTTAAGGAAGACATATCATTTATTAATTTATCAGTTAAATTTATAATGATACAATTTAACAAGTTTTATAACATACGCGAGTAATATGCGTTTCCTTTCTATTGGCATTGAATTATTGCAGCTATAGACATAAGTCAACTGTAAGTAAAGTGCGTATTATTATGGTCTAATTTTAAATTAGTCACCAGTCTTGGATTATAAAAAACAAAAGAGATCATCGTATTGTTTTCAAAATATTCATGCACTATAAATGCATACAATCATTTGGAAAAAATTTAATTTATTACTTTCGAATTTACTTCGAAGAGTTCATATAATACGATACTTCATTCCAAAGAAGTAAGATTAAATGTTAATAAAGGTAAGTTCTTATACAATTAGAAGATAAACTATACTAGTAGATTTAGTAACGTGATATAAGTATTTCTTGAAAGGCTCATATATTTTTGATTAAATACATAAATGCTATATGTAATTAAAACTAATATGATTTGCAATGATATAATGATTGATTCCAGCAGGTTCAAATATTCAATTATTTTATAATTTAAATACATATTATTTCAACTAATTTCAAAGATCAAATCTAACACAAAGTTCATTACAAGTTCATCAAGTTCATCAACCAAAAAACGTCAATTTTTTCAATAAGTCATCATAAATTTTATATAACGTTAACTTTTTTAAACTAGTTATTAACGTCTCATCACAAGCTTATTCAGTAATATCTATAAACGATCGGTATCGTTTAACTAATAATGCACGCTCCATCTTTCTTGCTACCACTCGAAGTGAGCGAATTTTTCCGAGCAGGCATAGTGGCTGTTGTGTCCATAAACTCTTCGTCTCTATCTGAGTCTGAATCTTCAACATTCATTTTACTTTTAGTATTTATTACTTCTTGTATATACTTTCCGAAATTTTCGCTGTCTGGCGTGATAACACATCCGTTATGAATAAAGAAAGGTAATCCTGTATTTTGATGCATATTAATTTGTTTTTGAATGTACAAATTTCTGAGCTCCTCAAGAGGATCTTTTTCAGTTTTTTCTTCTGATTTATCCCAAGTGAAACCAACGCGTTTTTCAGCATTCAAATTACCCTCTGAACGGCGTTTTTTGCTCTCTTCCAAAAACTCGGTAGTAAATCCAATTGTTTTTGGGGGTGCGTACGAAGCCCGTTTTGATACCTCTTGATTTATAGTAGTCGTCTTAGTTGGCCCGTAAGCAAAACGATCTTGTAACCAATCCAAGGTTTTGGTGTTACTGTCCATATTTGGCAACCTATCAGGTAAAGCTGGAGCCGTAGGTATAGTATTTTGAATAGGTTTATTACGAATGGTAACTCCATCGCCTTCTCCATGCGCGTTTCCTAAGTGCATAAAAAAATCACAGGTGAGATATAAATAAAAAACGAATGAATGATTAATGAATTAATGAGTTAGTGCGTGAATGAGTAGTGCGTTAAAAATGTAAATTTTCATAGTCTCATAAGTATGTAACATGAAAATTGTTATAATTTAATTTAAAAAATTGTAATATTTTCTGAACAATTCTAAACCTTCAAGATTTAAAATGATAAGAAGAAAAGTATTTATCAATTTTAAACACAAAAAAATGGTGATGAGAACACACAATACGATTAAGACGGCTTTACCAGTCGCCGGGGCCCGAAAATTCAAATCCTTCCGTTGATTAGCATTCGCTGCATCCATCGTAGTGACCCCATTATTTGTGCGCCAGCGTGCGCTATTCATTACAAGTTGAGCTAATTGCTGAATCGATGGACGAGATTCTTCCTGATTTATTTGTTCATGCTGACGCGGAGGCTTTGCCGGCGTGGAAGAGTTCATTGGATCACCGACTTGACGCTCGTGCATATTTAATTGTCGCAAACGTTCGTAACTACTTCGCAATTCGTCAATATTTCGCCGACCTATTTTAAACAAATAAAAGTTAGTTTCAAAAACAATCAAATAAAAAATTTGGAATGAAAATAAAATAAATTTAAATTATTCTACATACCATTATCATATCGATACATGTTATTTTCACGATCCTGCATTTTTTGTCGCAATCGCGCATTTTCTATTATTTCTGTTGATTGCATTTCAGCTTCGATGAAAGCCGCACTGAGTATCATACCAACATTAGGTTCTCTTTGAGTGAATAGACGCCGACGCGACTGTAATTCTTCTCCGATATCAGCACGAATACGGGCATTTTCTACTTCTTCAACGATGTGACGCTCAGCTTCCAAAAAATTAATTGTTTCTCGCTGCAGAGCTTTTGTGTCCATTTTTGCACCTTCGCATTCTCTAGCGATACGACGCTCGGCTGACGATTGTGTTCGGATATCCGTCCCCTTGAAATGAATCAAAAATTAATTTTAATCAAACATGATTAGAGCGGACTACTTTTTTAAGAGGTTTCGAAGCCATGTCTCATTAGATTATTCAAAATTTAATTAGAACTCAATGTAGTACAGCATGACATCAGTAGTATATTAACGTTTAATTAAACCCACCGGTGCATGGACAGGTCTGAATCCGAGTTGTTGTTGAGCCCTCACAAAAGGAGATGTCGATACAGGTCCGAGTTTTTGCCAAATAGCTCCGACGCGTTTAGTCGGACTTAAAATGGGTGAAACAACTCCTGGTCGCGTTTGTGGAAATTGATTTTGATTAGTTTGCTGGCCTGTATTGGGACAAGGAACGCGGCATGGTTTGGGAGGTACTAGATCTAATTTTGGTGGCATTACACCAGGTTTTGGCGGTGGTGCCAAATTTGAAAACAGAGGCTCTAAAGGTGGTGGAGGAATGAGTTCACCACTTTTGTCACCACTTTTGTTGAGGACGGCAGTTTGAACTACATCAAGAAGATGATCTAATCGATTTTCAAGTCGATTTTGCCGATCGCGATCGAGATCTAATACTCTTGTTACCATTTCATTTTGTGCTGCTAAAATCTGTGGCAAAAACAAATAAATTGGTTATTTGATAACTCATTTATTCATAGTTAAAATAAATAAGAACTTATTTCTACCTTGTTGACTACTTCGTTTTGAGAGCTAATAGCACTCATCATAAGTTTTTCTAATTTTTCAGCTTTTTTCTTTCGAAATGGGGCGTTTGGCATTTCGTCAGTATTGACTCCAAAATCATTCAATTTTACAGGCTCGTGATCCGGTGATGGTGAATCAGCCAAAAATTCAATCGAAATAGTATCATCATTAAAAGTAGCATTATTTGTCATGGTAGTCATGTCAGCTTGATTTCTTGTATTTGATGAAGGCCTACTAGAAGCTTCATTCATCTTTTCATTCTTTTGATACATTGCTTCATTTAAATTCGGGGCAATGTCAGGAGATATGCTAGGTGAAAATAAACCTAGTGGATTCATTTGAAAATTATAATTTTGCATACCAGCTAGATCTTGTTGAAATTGTGGATGGGAGACTAAATTCTGTCTGAAACTGGGCTTTCTTATTGGTTCTTGAGGAACTGCTTGATTGTAAAATTGGTTTAATTGACTTTTGCCTTGCATTTTCAAAATTCCATTTTCAGTCATTCCATTCATTCCCATTTGAGCTTGACCAAATTGAAGTCCTTGGTCAGTGTAAAGAGCAGGGTTGATGTTTGGAACATTTGGACGCAGAAGAGTATTCATTTGGAATTGATTTTGTAATTGGTTTTGTAATAAATTTTGTTGCAGGATTGCTTGATTTTGTTGCATATTTTCTTGTATGATTTGATTCTGTACATTTTGTACAGTATTTTGAAATGGAACTTCACTGAAAAAGTTGTTGCTGCTAGAACCAGTACTTGGTCTATAATTTTCTTTACTTGGCACTTCTTCTGACAACCGATTTTGTTGTGTAACTTTTTTATTGGTGTGACTTAATTGTTGTTGGGTAGTGTTGGTGGCTGCATCTCTTACAGGTGAGAATACTCTAAATGGTTGAGCTAATACAGTGACATTTGATTCTGGGGAATCTGGATAATCATCATCTCCTGAAATATAACAAAAGTGTATACAAATGAAATTATTGTATTAAGCCTATAAAAAACATACAAAAACAAAAACTTACGTCCACTCCAGCTGGGAGATAATGCATCAGAACGATACATAGATTCAGGTGGTTGTTGATATTTATGTTTCATTTGTACGTTTTTATTATGTTTCACATCTTTTGGTGGTGACTTTACATTAGAATCTTGAAAAAAAAGTTGAAATTCATTATGCACAATAAAAAAAAAAAATTGATTAGAATGTAAAAAAGCACCTAAGTACATACCAACTGTATCAACACCCTGATTGGCATTGTACTCTTGTTTTTTGAGTTTGAGAACTTGATCAATGCTTTCATAATACTGCTCTACCCCAGCTCTTGTACCAGCTCGTTTAGCTTCTCTGTAGCAAACGAGTACATGCTTCATACGAGATCTGCACTGTTTACCATTGACAGGGTATCCTTTTTTGTTCATATACTTGGCCACACTATCCCATATTATCTGCGGCTTGGTGGCGAACTCCAACTGCTTCTGCACTTGTTTATCCGTCCAGACGGAGACGAGCAAGCTCGTGCTGTCCGGCGTCCACTTGTACTTGTTTTCGCCGCTGTCGCTCATATTGCGTTATCTGAAAACAGACAGATGCACGCCGGCATTCAAAATCTATGGATCTTATATCACAACATCTCGCGCGACCGTAACACGAACGACAGCAACAGGTGCAGCGAACGGCTTAAAATAGACGTAGTAGTATAGTACGAGGGGTGCGTCGCAACACGCACGGTATATGCAACAGGTGCAGTCACACATGTGCAGCACACTCGGCTACGTACCAGTACGAGGGGTCGAAATCTCTCAGATCCGGTCATTTAATTCCCTCTTTAATGATCGCACGTATATACATGTATAGACAGGCGCACGAGTTACACTACATAAAAGCAATTCAAACGCGATCTCCAACGGTTTACGAATTCTCAGCTCGTCGATTGTTATGATGATCGAGCGGCGGCTCCCTCGGCTCGGCCACCGCGTGCGATGCAGTGGGATGCTGTCGTTGTGTATAATACGCGGAGTGCCGAGAGCGGCAGTTCTACGCGCGGCCTCTCGGACCAATAGCCGCGAAGCTTTTTTACCGCACAACAAGAATAGCCGGTTCTCCCACCCAGTTTAAATCTCCGCGTTCTCCTTGAAAATCTCGTTTTCTCCGCTGCCGTGCTATAGTGTACTCACTGCTCTCCTCTCGGTGTCTCTTTTTTTTGCTTCTTCTTGCTCTCCGCGTGCTGCTGTACACACTGTATACTGCATGCAACACGCAGAACACGATCCGCTCGCGCAGCACAAAAGAATCGCTTGCGTCTTATGAGTTGCAATGAGAATGATTGTAACAATGAGATGTTTAGCAGGCTCTGCGCGAGTACGATGTGGTGGCCTTTCTAAGAAATTTGACTTTACTTTTATTATTTTTTTCACGGCCTGTCCCTGTGTACATCGACCTATAGTATTTCGCTGAGCTTTGAACTTTCTAATGCTTGACCGGATACAATATTTCTAAGGGGGAATTTAATTTATTGCGTAGTTTCAAAGTGAGATTTCTAATTAGCTTCTATCCAGTGATGTAAATTTTTTTCATATTCGCTGAGAAATACGCACCTCACGTTATCTCAAATAATATCCTTTTTTCTTTTAAAATTTACGTAACTCGCGTCTGTATGAAAGCAACAGATTTTTCATATAACAATTTTTTTTTTAATCTTCCGGAGAAATTAATTGCAACTTCTCAATGGTTGTTGCACGGATGATAGGTAAACAAAAAAAATTACCTCGAGCTATTCAAATGTTACGTACAAAAACAAGACTTGGCTTCGCGAGACTGCCATCGCTGTGCACCACGAATGCACTTTCGAAATGGTAATTTGATCCGCTTGGTTAATTGAAATTTTTTACCGAAAAAAAAAAACAACAACTAAAAGTCAACTCACTTTACGACGCAACTGTATGGATTCATGCTTAAACAAAAAAGTACAAGTGACGATTTTTCACTCGAGACTCATCGCGAGCAACTGCGGCGTATTATTACGAGCGCCAACAGCGGGCTTACGGATTTGTGTACAAAAATGCGCGTCAATAATCGAACTTGTTTTTCGGCTGTGGCACGCGTAAAATAATATAGAAGTGCGAGGGATTAAAATAACTATTACCTTGGCAGGATGAGTTTGTTTATGTGTATTTGACCTGCAACTGGACACATATGCCCTTATGCTGTACACGTCGCATAATAAGCAAAAACAAGATCACAACCGGTCGATGCGAAATAAAAATGTATCGACTATAATCCTCGTTGTACAGCTAGTGCTGATGGTATTCTATGCATGGAAAATAAGATTTTTTGCGAATTGAACCACTGGTACTTTATATTATTACACTGTACGAGACATAAAATGATAATATATTTGAATATGTAACGCATGAGCGCAACTAAATGTGTGAAAGAGAATCGTGTGCTTGGGCTCCGATTCGATCGAGCCTTTGTTTTCGTCGATATTATACACACTGTGGGCTGACTGGGCCCCCAAAGAGATGGGCACAAAAGAGAGAAAAAAGGAGAAGAGAGCAAGAGATGTTGCGAGACTCTCCTCTATCGCGGCTGCACGCGTCTCACGTATACTGTATAATATGCGTCTATATAGTGATAAAGTAAGGGCACACAAGCTCGATCTTTCTCGGCTCTCTCGTTGGCCGTCGTCGTTGTCGGCAGCGGCACATACTGTAGAGCCCATTTGAAACGAGAGGAGGTAGAGATTTCAGAGTTTGTCTGTTTTTTTTCGTCGTTTTCGAAACTCCAAAGAGAGGCGTAAAAAAGCCCCGACTCGGCGACTCCGAGTCCTGCACGGCTCGCGAGAATATTGCACTTTCGCTCTGCGATATTCCAGCAGGTATAATGTAAGCTTGCGTATGTGTGTATGTGCAAACGGAGGGGAGTGGACGTACCTATACGTGCATGTGCATATATATACGTTGCATGACCGCCGCCGACCGGCTCGCCAATGGTCAAAGACTCCCGAGAGTGCACTGCACGTTAAAACGTAAACAGAGATTACGAACCCAGACCTGCAATGTGCATATAAAACGCTCGACTACACGAGAGAGCGTGAGAACATTTTATATTCGAGTCGATGTTTAATTGCGCGCGCGTATACGATCGCTCTGATTATTTATCGATGGTCGTGCTTCGTACGTGACACATTTTTTTTTTCTTTCTTTTATCGAATCCCTGCGACGCTGATACGGAAAATTTCATTGATTCTTCAGAATGGAATTCAAAAACAGCACCGATACAATCGTAACTGACCGTTGCATAAGTTTACGATAAAATCAATTACTCGCCAATGCAAATAAGGTCCCTCTTCCGCCCGCATTTATGTGACGCACACTTTAGACGATAAATGTTTCGGTGAAAAAGCATAACGTCCAAGTTAGCTTCATTTCATAAATATACTTCATTAATAGTGGAGAAATTAAGCTAATGATAATGAACTCCTTTGGCATAATTAATCTTGACCAAGTACGACTCATGACCACTCAAGATGCATATTTGTTTTATTATTTTACATAACTTAAAATTTACCCGAAAAAATATTCTAGTAAATCCGCTACGAAAGGTCTAGCGCTAATTTATCATCAAAAAAATCTAATGCATTGAATGAATATCTTATAACAATTCGCACCACATGTATTATGTATGTCAAATCGCGTGAACGGACGAATCATTCGACAAGTAGAAACCCCTCCAATCTTCGTGTAACAGACGTTCGCGTCATAACCGAGCTCGACTCGCGAGTTATATACACGGCCAGTATACGCATCCAATGTATACGAACCGAGAGACAGTACAGTGTATAATACACACTACTACATAACGCACGAATACACGCTCAAGCTTGAAGTATATGTATTTGTGTTTTACTCTCTGTGTTATGTGTACGCGAATATCGTGATTTAGCTCTAAGCGTAAACTAGTGTACGAGTGAGTTGACACTAGATAGTACGCCTCGTCTTTATTTTTTATTTTTATACTTGTTTTATTTGTAAGAATGAATCGTTGACGAACATCCGATGTTCGAAACCGTGTGGCGTCGACAGAATTTTTCATCTTCAATAACAGTGTGTGCCCTTTTTTTAAATACATAAGTATATATTAAACATACTAAGAGTATCCTAACCTGGATAACTTCTGAAATTTTATATTTTTGTATCAAAATATAACAAATGTGCCAATGGTTAAAACCATCTTATGAATTTAAAGAAATGTTAAGCTGTAACTTGGTAGATAATTTGTGAACTTTTAATATGGTCTGGCATCTGGGAAGCTGCAATGATTTTTAAACTGTCAGTTGAGTGAAAAAAAATGTTTTTATCAGTGACTGATTATCAATAATTTCTCATGAATCTTAAATGTTTTGGTTATTCATCCTCTGTGCTATGCTAGATCAGATAATATTTTTTTACTCATTGTCAAAGTAATTTTATAATGACAAACTAGAGCTTGATGCGATGAAATCAATTGGATGATTGATACTTCTCACCAGAATATGCTGGGTAAGAACTTTAACATATATAACTTTAATCTTTTGACTTCATTGATATAAATGGTTAAACAAATTAGATTATTCATTGAATTAAAATTTTTTTCAAAGTGTGAATTTGTTTTGTAAAAATATTTCAGTCCTTTAAAATAAAATTTTTGTAAATTCTATAAATACATTTCTCTGCAGTGATGGCCACTGGAACAGAAAATGCTGGAGCAACTGCTGCAGGTCCATCTAAAGATGAATCTCATGCCCAAAGGCTGCAATATCTACAACAACGAAGAGATGCTTTGCAGGAAAAGTTGACCCAAAAAAATAGTGAACTAAAAAAGCTTTGTATCGAAGAAGCTGAACTGACTGGTGTTTTACCTCCTGAAATTCCTTTAGAACCTGGTGAGAGTCCACCAACTTTCAGCAAAAGAGTTGGAACTAACAACATCAATCATTCACAAAAACTTATTAACAAACTCAAAACAGCAGGAGGGCCTGTAAGTTTTCATTTTCATAACTGTCATTGATTGTTATTTGATCAATTTTATAAAAAAGTAATTTGATTGTAAATTATTTTATTTATAGGAGGAATCAAAACTAGAATTACAAAAACAAATTCAAATAGATATAGCAGAATCTGCTCTTGCTGCTTTAAACGACCCAACAGAAACTAAAGTTGCAAGGCGCAAGCATAGACTCCAATATCAGCAAAGCCAAAAGAAATTACAAGAAATCAATGCTCAGCTTAATTTTGTTAGGCAAAGTCATGGAGGTATTTCAAAGTATGGACATTCTTCACACTCTTCCCATTCTAGTTTGCATGTACAGCCTATGGCCAAACATCGATCCAAGAAACCTCGACCCCCATTAGAAAGTTCAGGTAATTAATCTTTTTTCTTTGTGAAAAAATTATATTAACTTCATATGACATTTTTGTTTCATAATTTCATACAAATAAAATAACTATTTATACAATTTTTTGTTTAATACAGATTCAAGTCCAAAAATAGAGTCCCATAGTTTTCTTCAAAATCCTGGTGTGAGTCTCAGTCCTGTCAGTGGGAGTGAATGCCAAAGCCCCAACTTCACTTCTTATGAATTACAAGATCTCCAACAATCTTATCTTCCTGGTTTAAGTACCTCAAATCGAGCAACATATCATGCACCTAGTCCAGTTGAAGAGCAAAGACTTAATAATCAAAACAACAATTCTGGATATCGAACACGCTCGCTTTCTCAGGCTCGTTTTTACCCTGAACGCCCATACAGGCATATGCCAAATACATTTACAGAAGAAGAAAGGCAAATGCATTATAGGCAATTAAAAATGAGACGGGAAGCTGAGGAAGTAATGCGGACTCAACAGAAATACCAAGATAGCGATGGTAATAATCGTCGATCAGCGCAACTCTCGTATTATGAAAGTGATTTTAGTACTAGAAGTTATGAGAGACATACTGTGCATGATTACCCTTTACCATATAATCAAGGTGAGCTTGGAAAATAATTTTTTTTGCTCGATGTAGACATTTAAATTTATAAAGTTTCGTTGTTATTCACAGGTCATAAATCAAAACCAGTGTTACACACTCGCGATAGCGTGGACAATTCGACGCCACCATTGACGTCATCTTCAATGGACTCAAAGTCAAAAACTGCAGCAGAAATGCCTGACGGTTACTGGATGCGATTAAACGGCGAACTAGTTTGGTGTTCGTCCGATGTTAGCGAAATGAGAAAAAGGCAATCACCTGTATCAAATAGTTCGGCCTTAACAGCCGATAATCGCTTTGGTAGTCTAGACCGACGGAAGCAAGCTCTGTCTCATCATCAGCACTCTCCTGCTGGTGATAGTCAGTCTCGCTATCACACCGTAGCGATTGGTCCGAAAAATCCAGTCGCTACTCATTCTCGGCCATATCCAATACCGGTGAGTTATTCAATTATGTCTTATGTCCATAGAAGTGAAATAGGAAAGCACTACAATACATATTTGACCGTTTAAAAGCAGCCAAAAGTTCCCACGCCAGACAACAATCCAAAAACAACGATACCATCTGCTAGTCGCATGTTACTTCGTACCCAGTCATTAGGTAGCGTTGAAAATTGGCAGAGCCCACCAAACGGTGTTTCAAATACTGAGGACGATAGGGCTACTCCAACAACACCCAGTAGTCCAGCTCCAAAATTGAAAGAAAAAGAATGGTACGAAACGTCGCTAGACAGTTCCTCGCCACCGCCACCGCCGTCGCGTGCACCTGCACCTGCGGTACTCAGGCGGCACAATCCTCCGTTGAAGGAGCGCGCGCCTGTTCGAAGCAATTCTATACCGGCCAATCGTAGGCCCAAGGAGTTGATACTGGACGAGGCACCCGAACTCCCTCCACAGAGGCCATTGCCCCCAGTTCCGGTTTCTAGATATTCCACAGAATTCAGAGTTAAAGAAATACCAGCGGAATCCAAGCCTTCACCTGGTTAGTAAATTTGAAGTATTTTTCATGGATGAAGTATTGACTGAGAGAATAATTTTAGACTGACGTGGTTAATTTTTATTCTCATATATTTCAACAAAAATTTTTTTTCAAGATACGTGCCAATGAAAAATCATTAAATAGTCGATATAACGCATATAAAAATAATTACTTTAAGAGTAGACTTCCTCATCAAATTTTGCAATCGTCATCAACAAATGATTCATGTAACAATGTGTACATCTATAAAAACAAAAAAATTGTTTAATATAACTGTTAAAGACTAACGTATCCGTACATATATAATCTTTTCAATTTAAAAAAACAGTCATTGATTGATGAGAAAGCCTAATCATTACATTCAAATCGCACTCATACACTAATTGCGTCGAAACACTCATAAACGAGTCAAAATTTTTCTCTTTAGTTTATTATTTAATCATTATAAAAACTTTTACACTGCTGTGACGCTGAAGCATATCACAAAAAAATAATATAACAAAATAAATAAATGAATAAACCATCAATGTATTATTAATACACTTATTGAAATACTTGGATAAATGTAGAAAGTATGCCTGCAATCAGCAAATGAAAATACACTCCAATTATTATACAAAAAAATTGAGAATTATAAACTATCTGTTCACTCGCAGGATCTCAGGAAAATAACAGTACCAATAATGTTGAAACAACGATGCTATCGTTAAACTCTCCGACGACTCCGGGTACAATTGTCCAGCCAGGAAAGTACCAGCCGTACCGCGAAGTTACGAAGCCATTCGAAATGTCTGATTTTTACAAGTATTCGACGAAATTTCGCAAACAAACAGCTTCAACGATTCCATCATCGGCGGAGCAACAGCAGCAGTCTCAATCGCCGCAACCACCTAAAGACCAACCACGGAATCATCCCTCATCGATACAACGAAACAGTACGTGCCCATCGTACGTACTGAGATAATAACTATTTTTTAATATGTGGAAAAATCATTTGATATTATTCAAATTATTTTGCTATTAAGGTAACTTTTACAATGTAGAAGTGTATATTATATTGCGTGAATCATTCGGTTTCAACGAAAGAACACGATTTTATGTAAGAAATGAATTTCAGCATCCAGGCAAATGTTGTTGTTCAAAAATTGTACAAATAATAATTACGTTACGTATTGTTTAGTAAATGATAGTAAACGAATAAGGGATGCTTAAAATTTTCGCGTTGAAACCATTTTACGTTTGACAATAAATACGGTTCAGTTGGACAAGCAAACCAAGAATACTGATTTTTAAAAATTATAAGTGATAGTCACTGACCATAATAAATCAAAACGAATGAAACATTCGTTTCTTATGTATAGTGTAGATTTTACATTTTGTAACTTTTCCAATGTAATTGATAAACTACAGTCACTGCCACCATAATAAAATATCGTTTGTAAATTATTTTCTAATTGACAATTGTGGCCTTAAGTCATATCATTAACGATATAAATAATTATAACGTCGATATAATGTAAGTACGAATTAAAGATATAAACGATAGCATAATAATGAAAGTTTATAAAACTTTTACGGCACCGTTAAAGGCCAAAGATTTGTCAAGAAAATTGCATGCACTCATTCAGAATGATTGAAATATATTTTATATCTGTAAAATAAATGATTTTTTGAATGGATATTCTGAAGTTGCGATATGGTATTATTTAATAGTAGGTCTCTAAATGTATTTTTCCATCATCTTATAATATTCAGTGCCTTACAAGAAGTTGAAAATTGAATGTGACAACTGAAATTCATTTTGTATAATCAAATCAAATACTGCTGAACAGTATTTGAAAATGAAAAAAAACTACTCAATTTATCGTAGATAATACAAATTACTTTATTTTTTTAATGACAAAAAAAAATATATGTTATCGTAAAAAACAGATCTTATGCCAAATCATTTTTGTATTTATTCCTGGTCCTTCAAGCAATAAGTAATTTTATAAATTAACAATAATTTTAGCCAGATATTAGATGTATTGTTACCCAGCCCAAGTAATAACATTAATTTAATTATAATCATATTTCTGGAAATGTGCTAAAAAACGTTCGCAGTATTTTTTGCCGAAGGACGCTTATAATACGCGTATCTAGCAGTCAGCAAAAATTTGACTGGTTTGCTGATTTAATTCATTAAATCAGTTTACATATTTTTTTATCATATTAAGAATAATTCATTATCCTAAAAAGTCAGCGGACGATGAAATTTAAGAGTCGTCTCAAAACACCGACAGGTGAACAAGCCTCTTATTTTTTCTCTAACGGTATTAATTTTTTTTAATTCGAGATTGAACCTAATGTCAGCCTGCCACTGATTTTTTTCGAAGGGAACATAAGTTCACGTAATCTTTGTATATATGTTCGCATGAAAAATAATCCGTACAAAAATTACACATCAGGTATCGCCGTAAATTTTCATATATAAAAATAAATAAATAATGATTTATACGTTCCTTCGAGATAATTAACAATTCAACATTCTAATAACAACGTCAACGATTTATCATATTAAAAACAGATTACACAGCAGGCAGGCACCATTACAAGTCCATTTAGCAAATTTTTTAAGTTTTCTCCTATAGCGATGCGATATCATTTGATTCATTCCTTTTAAAGTCTTTCGAAGTGAGCGCTTTGAAAAAGCATGTCGTGCTTTCAAATTAAACCAAATGGATTAATTCTATTTGCTTTTATAGTGGTACGAGTTCTTTATATAAACAGTGAATCCAGTAATCGAAAGTTTCATTAAGTAGATTATAGCAACAAAGGTGGTTAAAACTTCTTGATATTTTTTCCTTACGCTATGTAGTCTTTTAGACAAAACGAAGGCTGCTTATAATTTTCCGATCCTGGCAATATTCTAGCAAAGAGATAACTAATCAAAGTAAGACGACAGATCATATCCATCATACTCAGACCATGTTTCTGAATCAGAGTCTGAAACCATGTTTATGATATCTTGAAAATCATAATACACTCCTTCTCTCTCATCCAAGAAGTCGAACAAAAACAAAGTCTGAAATTAAAAAATTCATCATTAAGCTCATTATACTTCAAAATATAAATTAATTTAAGTTCTCTAAATGGAAATACATACACGTAAGAAATCAAGGTCATTATCTGCATTTCGACGCATTCGTGCTGGAGGACCCACGTCGGTTTTCGTGCCGTCAGGCAAAGCGTGAAGATAAAAACATTTATTACCAAATGGACACTTTCCACTACCTTTATTAAAATATTTGCAATCTTTGGTACTAAGAGCTTCCTTGTAATCTGTTATTAATTTATCTTTTTCTTCTTTCGTATCTACCCAGAACATACTTGGACATACAAAGTCAGAAGGTACTCGGCATTCTGGGCATGCTCTGATGATCTTGTTTTCAAACTGTTTTGCTTTTCGCCACTTTCGAATACACGAAAGACAAAAACAGTGATTGCAATTAGGTAGAATTCCAAACCTTTGTTCTCTTGTTGATTTTTCCATTATTGTTTCAAAACAAACACCACATGATTTTTCTCGACTTCTTTGAATTGCGAATGACAGTTCCATATTGAGTTCGTGTTGTTTCAAGCAAGCATTGTGATGCTTTTTTCGTTGTTCTTCATTAGCGGGATGAAGAGCTGGTCTAGTACACATGTCACAAATATCACCATGGACATACGGACAATTTGATTTTTTACAGACACCTGTTGCCTCAGCATAAGGACATAGAGGATCCAACGAAGACGGAAGTTGTGACTGCTGTCCTGACGAAGGATTTAATGCTTGAGCATATGTTAAAGGTGTTTCAGATGTTCCTGATGCGCAATATTCTTCTAATGATGTATTAATTGAAGAATTTGATGCTGATGGAATAAATTCTGGTGCATTGGCCCACTCTGCATCAACTATGCTCATTCTGAAACAATAAAATAAAATAATCAAATTACAGTTAAAATGTCAACTATAATTATTTTAAAAAATTTAATGCTTACGCTTTCTCCAAAACTTGTACTTCATTTGATCCTTCAGATTTACTAGTTGAATCAGTGCTAGAATTTCCTGACTGGTTATTAGGAGATCCATGAATGAAATGACATCTATTACCATATCTACATGTGCCCTGTTTGAAAAATTCACAATAACCTGTGTCTTCCGAAACATTAGATTCATTCATAGAAGTATCACTTCTTGGTGCAGTTATGACATGCTTAAACCTGCAGATAGGACCATCTCTGCAGTTTCCATTTTTGAAAAATCTAGAAATTAACACAATGAATAAATTTTTTAAATATTAATTTATAACATGTAAATGTATTTTTAGTGATAATAAAATATTTATGATCTATGATATTCCAGCAAAAAGTAGCAATGTTTATAGAGGTTTAACAAAAACTCTGTACACAGACCAAGGAAGAATCTAAAAAAAATCCATAGTACACATGAACCAACTAATATAATATAAAATATAAAACAGAAAAATTTAGTAAAAAAATTATTTCAATTATTACATAAGTAATCTCTGCATTCTTAAATGCTTTGGTTTACTTTACAATTAATGAATTAATAAATGCATAGAAGAAGGTAAGAAAATGAAATGTCAATACTAAAAAAAAACACATCAATGCGAACAATATTCAAAAAAATGTATATTATACATTTTTGAAGTCTAATATGAATTCATAAAAATATTTAAATATTTATAAGCTATAATATAAGTTTCTTAGTATGTCAAATAGTCAAACAATCAGTTCTTGTTTTCCATGTTTTCAAATTTCAGAGACAATAACAAAAGAAATCATTTGGCATTCAATGAATATTTAATAGAATGAACAGTATTATTTGACAGAATATCAAGGGAAAAACGAGGTCAAAAATAATAATACTGGCTTTTCAATTAGTAATTGTGATCATGGATCTTAGCAATAATGAGTTTGATGCTACTCAATAAAAAAAGTCAAATAAAAGTTCTTTGGTCAGAAAAAAGATAAAGAAAAATAGGAATAATGGAAAAGTTATTATGGTCATGGTTAAAATTAAAAGACTTACCGGCAATTGACATTTCTCATCCATGAGTCGGCCATTTTCTCGCGCGCAATTGTTGTAGCTGCTGTTTGTGACAGTAGTGGTTGATTATGATGATGATGAAGCGACGAAGACTGTCTCTTGGTCCTTTTGGCAACTCGGCCGACGGCGACGTTCCGCAAAAACGACAGCTCGCTGCTTTAGACCAACGGTTTCGTTGGCTACCACACGTTTAACGATATATATGTGTATTATATATTGCTGACTTGGCCTCGGATGAGATCCAGAAAACACAATGCAAGGATGGGATAAACAGAACTCGCCACTTGGACGTGCAGCAAGCAAGCCTCGAAGTCCTCCTTTTACAACAACATGCACATGTAAACGCGCGTTTCACTTGACCAGCTCGAGAGAAAAAGTCGCTTCACGTACGAAATACACACAACACAAAATTCGTTAAATGCGCGTACGAGTAGTTAACAAGCATATACACGCTTTACATGTATAAGCTGTATTATTGATGCGTCGCTAGTCACAGCTGAATCGAGACTCGCATTTATACACGCAAACACACAACAACACACACACACACACACACAAACACACACGCACAATTCGAGCTGATCCGTGCACGAAGAGGAGCAGACTTGCTGAGCTCAGTGCTGGCTGCTCGTCACTGAATCATTTGATGAGCTCTAGTGCTATACAGTGCTATACACAAGTATAATGTCTCGTGCTCTGTACAGTATAAAGCCGTGTGTAGACTGTAGAGTGTAAAATTCGCAGACCACTCACCACAGACGATAGAGAGTAATCCGCGCAGGCGCGCCGCTGCAGTTTCTTCTATCCTCAAGCAGCAACTGCAATTTTTGCAAAGCTCAATTTGTCCAAAGACAGAGGATCAGACCGCGCGACTATTCAAAGGAACCAATTCAAAAATAATTTTTATAATATTGAAAGTATAATATTAAAAAGTTTCAATCGATTAATAATACTTTTCAAATTTTTCATTAAATATGATGAATCTTTGATACTAAATGATTTGTAAGTTTTTTTAACAGACCAGAGTTATGAATTCTAAAATAAAATAGATTTAATAATTTCACTTGTCAGTATGTGAGTCAACATTTCTTTATGATTTCTATTTACTGAAAAAGTAGTTTACGGTATTTATTAATAGCGTCAAGTATTTATTATAAGTAAGTATATGAGCCAATGGCATTGATTTTTATCGCTCAACATATATTTCAAAGTTTTCCTACTCTACACAAATTAAATAGGCAATTGAAATAAACAGTGTTGAATCTTTTCTCACGGAGAGTACTAATGTATTTTAATCTCGAGTGAATTTCGAATTTCGAATGCAAAAAACAAAGGGTGTACGGACATTGCAGGCCTTTTATCGTTCATTAACAAATTCAGGATTGATTTATCCTATTGACGCGTTGCAGCGCTCAATATTTATGATGTTATCGAGTTTTTTTGTGGCGCTATTGTATCTTCTCATACATCACAAACTAGCTTTCAATCGGAGCATATGTGACAGACATTTTAAACACGAATGACTAGAGTAAATTAATGAAAATATAATAAAAAAATTCGCGCAATAACATATTAAATCGATATCTTCTAAAAATTTCAGAAATTACCGCGACGATCAAATTTTATCCGAAACCAGCAAACGTTTTTGAGCTCAAAATTCGACCCGCAAAAACTCGAATCTTTTCAATGAAATTGAGTAAAAAGTCGTTAACCTTTGCAATCGCTATTATTGCGTAACAATGTACCCGTAGTAAAATTTCTGTGATAAGTGCAAGAGCTTAGGAAGCTTGCGAAAACGAGGCTGTTATCACTGCTCCTCGTTGATAGGTCGCAGCAGCTTAATAAACGAGTTCGCTCTTACCGACCCGCGCCTGTTTATACATGCAATCATTCGTATATACGATTATTTAATCTGCTGACTGTGTGAGCACCAGCAATGTTGTACGCAGTCGAGCGACTTGAAATATTCATATCGCGTGCATCGACAGTTAGGCACGAATATTCGCTGGAGACGCGTCGAACGCCACTCTACTCTACCTTAGCTGAGTAATTATAAATCATTCAAACTGGTTTTGCGGCGCATCGTGGCGCAGAGACGAGTAAACACCGGTGCGAATCGGCAAGAGCGTCGCTTCGAATACAAAAACGCAATCTTTGCCCATAATCCCTGATAGTACAATATAAGCTTTTGCGAAGCAGTCTGCCTCGTATCATCATCTGTACGAGCCCCAAGACGAGCAGTTGCTGTAAAATCGAACACGAACAAGCATGTCTCTCCGAATCGTTCGTAGGGTCAAGCAGCACCTGTCGGCGATTTTGCCCGCCTCGTCATCGTCTCCGATTCAAGTGACGTGCCGTCGCTGCCTCAGCTCCGAGCAAGTCTTCGAGCTCGAGCACAAGTACGGCGCGCACAACTATCATCCCCTCGAGGTAGCTCTGCAGCGCGGCGAGGGCGTCTTCGTCTGGGACTGCGAGAATCGCCGCTACTACGACTTCCTCAGCGCCTACTCGGCGGTCAATCAAGGCCACTGTCATCCGCGCATCTATCGGGTGCTCTGCGAGCAAGCCAAAAAGCTGACCCTCACCTCGCGGGCCTTCTACTCCGACGCGCTCGGCGAGTTCAGCCACTACATCACTCGGCTGTTTGGGTAAGTTACGAGTTCTCTCCACTTGTCGTGAATGAAAATGATTTTTATTTTTGATGCGATTGTCAACAAGCTACGAACGATGGTTGCCCATGAACACGGGCGTCGAGGGTGGCGAGACCGCCTGCAAATTGGCCCGTCGATGGGGCTACGATCGCAAAGGAATCGAGCGCTACAGGGGCAAAATCGTGTTCGCGGAGGGCAACTTCTGGGGCAGGTCCTTGAGCGCCGTCTCGTCGAGCACGGACGCGTCGAGCTACGCGGGCTTCGGCCCTTTCATGCCGGGCTTCGAGATCATTCCCTACGACGATCTCGATGCGCTCGACAAAATAACTCGAGATCCGCAAGTTTGCGCCTTCATGGTCGAACCGATACAAGGGGAGGCCGGCGTCGTCGTGCCCAAAGTAAGGATTGACTTCTTTTAAAATTTTGAGATTTCAAAGTAATCGCGAAATAACGACAACCGAGGCTGAATAATTTTTTCTCCTTTTCAGGATGGATACTTGAAGGGTGTGCGAGATATATGCACGAAAAATAACGTGTTGTGGATCGCCGACGAGGTCCAAACCGGCCTCGGACGAACGGGTAAACGACTGGCTTGCGATCACGAGGGGGTCAAGCCCGACATACTGATACTCGGCAAAGCTCTGTCCGGCGGCTTCTATCCCGTCTCGGGTGTCCTGGCCAACGACGACGTCATGCTGACCATCAAGCCGGGCGAGCACGGCTCGACCTACGGCGGCAATCCGCTCGGCTGTCGCATAGCCATGGAGGCCCTGCGGGTCCTGGAGGACGAGCGGCTGGCCGAGAACGCCGAGAAGTTGGGCCACCTGCTGCGCGGCGAACTGTCCAAGCTGCCGCGAGACGTCGTCAAGGTCGTGCGAGGCAAGGGACTGCTCAACGCCATCGTGATCGACGAAAAGATCGACGCGATGGACGTCTGCCGCCAGCTGAAGGACGAGGGTCTGCTCGCGAAGCCCACCCACGGCCACATCATTCGACTGGCACCGCCGCTCTGCATAGACGAGCAACAAATAAAGGAGTGCGCGGACATTATCGGTCGCGTTATCAAACGACAAAATCCATAAAGAAGAGCCGCATGGTTGCCTTTTTTTTCTTCGATTCGTTTGATTTTTTTCGAATCTGTGAAAGAGCCATGTGTAAAATATTGATTTTTATAAAGTTAATTTTAATAAACAATTTCCTTGGAACGAAAAATTTCTAAAATTGAATTTTAAGATTAAAAATTTGAAATCTTTATCGTAGATAAGTGACAAAATTCACCAATTTTATCAACACATTGATACGAAAACAAATTTTAATAGATTTAGCAAATATTTTTGTCAAGTATAACGATTGGTTTTTTGATATTATTAGTCACGTCTTACTTAATAAACGTAAGTAAATATTGTCTTTTCAGATATTTGTACTTAAAATTAGCAAAGAATTAAATGTTAAATCGACTTTATCTTTTTTTCACTTAAAAAAACTCATACGAAAGTTATTGGTCAATAAAAAAATGTAAAGAAAAAGAGAATTATTGTTAAATGTAACATCATCTTGACTATATTTTTTTATCTTTAAATGAAGTGCATGTGCATACTTGTCAAGAATTAATCTACAATTACGAGTCCAACAAACATAAGCTTATGTTGATCTACGATTGCGATAGGTGACGACTCGGCTCGTATCAGTAAGCATACAAACAATCGCGTGTATCTTCCAGTGATGCGAACTCTGGTATAAATGCACCCGATGCGTAAAAAAGGCATCAAATTTCTAAGAATCCAGTGGCAAACGATGAGAAGCGCGACTCGGAATTTATTCGCGGTAGCGTCGACATCGCCGCGAAACGCGATAATATCGCGAGCCCTGAGCGCTCGTCAAATAATCGATCGGGATGAGCGTTACGGCGGCCACCACTTCAAAACCCTGCCGGTGGTCATCAGCCGCGGCCAGGGCGTCTATTGCTGGGACACAGACGGCAAGCGATACACGGATCTGCTGGGCGGTTTCGCCACCATGAATCAGGGCCACTCGCATCCCCGCCTGGTGCGGGTCATGCAGCAGCAAGCCGCGACTCTGGCTCACACGTCGCGGGCCTTCTACAGCGAGCACCACGGCGCGCTCGGCGAGTACATTACCAACTTGACGGGATACGACAGGTTTTTGCCCATGAACACCGGTACATACGCGATGCATTCTATCGAGGGCGATTCCAGTGAACGATCGAGTACATGTTTACTTTTTCATCGTAGGCGTCGAGGCAGGCGATACGGCGCTCAAAATTGCACGTCGATGGGGTTACCGGACGAAGAAAATACCGAGCAATAGGGCGACGGTCGTTTTCGCTCGAGGAAATTACTGGGGTCGCTCGCTGGCTGCCCTGTCGTCGTCCACGGACCCTCCTTGCTACACGGATTTCGGTCCCTACATGCCGGCTTTCGAGAACGTCCCCTACAACGATTTGGCCGCGCTCGAGCAAAAGTTCTCCGACAATCCGGACATCTGTGCGTTCATGGTTGAGCCGATCCAGGGTGAAGCTGGAGTCAACATTCCATCGGTAAATTATATTCAAGAGCGGTCGACCTTGAAATGTATCAAATCATAAGCTAATGGGCGATTGAAGTTTTTCTTTTTAATTATCAAGTTTACAAGTAACTAAATAAATATGAATCGTTTATTTGTTAATGCTCTCGATTTTACAGAAAGGCTACTTAAAAGGCGTGCGGGAATTGTGCACGAAATACAACGTCTTATGGATCGCGGACGAAGTTCAGACGGGCCTCTGTCGCACAGGAAAATTATTCGCGGTCGATCATGAAGCAGTTAAACCAGACATGTTGGTGGTGGGCAAAGCTTTATCGGGAGGCATGTATCCCGTGTCCGGTGTTCTCGGAAAAAGTGAAGTAAATGCAATCTATCTATATTGACAATTTTATTCCTTATCGGAGTTGTTTTTCATTTTACGTTCTTTTCATCAATAGATCATATTAACTTTGGAAACTGGCGTTCATGGAAGTACTTTTGGAGGCAGTCCCCTTGGCCAAGCAGTCGCTCTTGAAGCATTAAAAATTTTGGAGGAAGAAAAATTAGCCGATAAAGCTGCTGCATTGGGAAAAATCGTTCAAACGGAGCTCGAAAAAGTTCCCAAAGACATAGCAATAGAATTTCGAGGCAGAGGTTTGCTAGCTGGGTTAAAATTAAATCCTGGTAAGTGGCGCGCGGCTTATAAGTTTCTCGTAATAATACACCATAGCAGATTATCAACAAAATGTTTAATTCTAGATTTCGCCAATGGATGGGATATATGCACAAGACTGATAAATAGAGGATTACTGACACGACCCGCGCACAACTATATTATTCGGATATCGCCACCGTTGATAATAAACGAAGAACAATTAAAACAAGCCTTGACTATAATTACGGATACATTGTACGAATATAAAAAAGAGAAAGAAAACTAATTTTGTAAGCATATTCTTGAAAAATTTTGGCACTCAGTAAAATATAGAACGAAACATGTATATGAGTTTGATGTTTCATGATTTTGAAAAGTTAGAATTTTCAATAATTATATTTATGCAACTAAATTGAACTTATTTCATTCGTTGTAAAATCATAGAACGACTTGATATATTTATAACAATTTCACATGATATTTAATACGTTGATTTCACAGTTAAAATTTTGCATACAAAAAGTTTATTTTCATCTTTCTTTTAATTTCGCGAGTCTCAAAGCCACAGTGTCATTTTTTTACCGACAGACTACTAAAAACGGATATTTGTAGTATTTTTTTTCTGGATCAACTTTCGAAAAATGGCTCCTACATATTGTTGCTGTAAACAGTTATATGCAATTTTAATCAATTTGATTTGATAGTCTTTCCCGAAATACAAGATCGAAATTTTTGAAGCTGAATGCATACTATTGGAAACGAATAATATGATACTCATATATACTACCTAGGTCAATAAAATAAATAAAATTGTTTTCTTTTATAAAATTATTACAATTTTTTATTAATTTTCTAAAAATATATCCACGATAATTATAGTTTAATCATTATTTAAATAAACTGCACAAGACGTTTTATCCTTCGAATAAGTGCATTCATGTAATTCTTATCAACCATTGCATAATCTGTACGATTATCAATAATCTTCGAAGCAAAATTATCTGCGAAGGTGGTCAAAACTTCTTTTTTCAATCCTGGTATCAACTCATGCAATTTTTTGATTTCAATAGAATTATCATCTAAATTTGATGATGAAACTGTGGAAAATATCGTATATTAAGATACATTACAAAAATCATTGAATAATTTCATAAACTTACGATTATTTTTAGATGAGGTTATTATCTGAGTTGCATAAAAGTCCAAATGACTCCACAGGATATACATGGACATTTCCACAATGATCGATAAGTATTTCGTATTTTGATTAGTATGTTTCAAACGAAGATTTTTATGTTGATCCATCAGTTTTTGTTTATCTACATCGCCGTAATGATCAGTAGCAAAGGAATGCTGTAATTAAACGGTGCATATGATTATGAATTACGTAGTAATATATAATAAACTTAATGATATTAACCAAATATAATGATCATTTATGTAAGACTCTCAGTATTTCTCAAATTATCTTAAACGGTCTGTGTACACCTATTAAAGGCTTAATGGGAGCTAATAGTCATTGATGAACGCTATCGTGATCGATAGAAATATCGAAAAATGAACGTCTGCCACCAGTAAAAGGATGAGACCATTCAAAGGGGAGGTTCTTATTAAGCTTGACCAAAATATAAATTTTTTTTGTATTTTCGAATTACTTATACTTTCAAAAATCCCTTGCTAAAATTCGTTTGTAAATTCTAATTTTTAGCCAATTCAAATCAGGATGGAGAGTAAGTGCTTACACTGCGCTCAATGGCAGTTGACAACTTTGAACACATTTTTCTCTAAACCATGTTTTCTGAGGCGGACGGCAAGATATTTCAAAAAACGACCATAGATATCATATTAATTTTTTTTTATTTAAAAGATAATGCAATTTTCTGGACCTTGAACTAAAATCATAATTTTAAAATCATTATTAAGTCCTTCATTTTGTTGACTTTTAACTTTTCCTAGTGATTTTAGCTCAGGATCCAGCAAATATCTTCTATTTTATAAAAAAACTTTGATTTTTTGATATCAGACAAAAATTGGGTAGCTACCGTGCCACCCGCGGAGGTGTCTTTTTTTCTATGACTATCTTTGAATGCTTATATAAGTTTAAGAAGCTATGCGGAATTTTTGGCCATCAAAATTTGTAAAAGTAGTTAATAATGTACTTCGTAAGTACTAAAACATTAAAAAATTAGAAAGCTAATCAAAAATAAATGCAGTTTATTGTATAATAAATCGTTGCCCCTACGCAGAAAGTTATCGTTTTCGTTTCTGCGACGAAAAGAGGGCCTATAGCCGCGCGCGGAAGCAAAAAGGTAGCTAAGATGAGCGCAGCGACCAAAACAGTCCCAATTTAATCGCATTAACAAAAAAATGTTTTATAGCTGAATTAAAGTTGGCAAAGCAGCCGTATACATTCAAATATTTTTGGTTAAATAAATAAATAAACAATTTTTTTTACTTACTTCTCTGAGGTCGGTACAATTTTTCATTGAATTTGGTTTAACTTGAGATAAATCATGTTCCATCAATACAAAAACTGAAGTTATATGTTCAAGTAACACTCCTAAATGAATAGAACTGTATGTCTCCTTCAAGTTTATATTTCGTTCTCGAACGCATGGCTCAAAAATCATATTTTTCATCCTCTTATTTGATACATTATGATTCATTTGATTTCTTATAAATAAGATAACATTAGCAATTATGCGTATGTATAAGGAGTTTTGAATAGGTTGTTGCTCATCTACTTTGATTCGAAAACGAGGTAAAAGAGAAAGCATTAACTTTTGGACTCGATAAATGTGTGCCCTCAGTTCTTTTAAGCTATCACTTGTAGATGAAGAATCTTCATTGTATGTATTATCTGATGAATCAGTCAAATGGTAGACATCTAGAAACAAAAAAAAATCAGCAATTGCATTTTTACAGATGAAGGAAATAATGTAATATTTACCAATGAATGATGATCGAGCTATTACACCTGTTAAACAAGCAACTTCATTTAAGATAAGAGTGCTCGAGTTTTCGGAAACATTTCGAAGAGCCATCTCTACAGCATCTCTATGACTTAGTAAAAATCCACTTATTTGAATTGAACACGATTGATTTTTCGACCCAAGGGTAGTAAGTAATGCATCGCACAAATAAAGCATCGGTAGAAAAATTTGTTGATACTTTTCTTCAATGGATGGTAAAAAGGAAGATTCATTGGCTGATAAAGAGTCATTTAGGTGAGGTTGATCAACGACATTCAAATTGGAAAAACATGATAAGATATTATTTTCCAAGAGAGTTTCAGCACCAAATCGCGTTGCAGCCATTTGAAGAAACATAGACATTTTTGCCTCGTATAAATACAAAGGTCTTAGTGTTTGTAATTCATGCAACATGATTCTTAGTTGATTATTCAATTCGAACAAATTATCGATCATATGCTTTAAATATCCTCGACTTGTTAAGTAAATAGTCCATTTGTTATCAGAATCAAATTCAATTATTTTGTTTAAACATGAAAGACTAAGCATTTTACAAACATCATGTCCTCCAGAACAACTATGGCATATTATATCTATCAATTTGTTACCGAAACAATTTATAGTCTGTATTGTTGATAATTTTTGTGAACAGCTTTGCGTTGACAATGATTTTTGTAAAGAATTATCCAATTGATTTACATGTAATGAATCCGTATTTAAACTATAATTCATTGGAGGATTTGGACTAACAATATAAAGGTAATAAAGAAGTGCTCCATATAAATGAGTGCGAACTTTTTGAGAAGATGCTTCAGAATTAATTATCCATTGAAGAATATTATCCAATATACCTTTCATCATAGTCGTATTTGTGGGTGAAGAAGACAAGAGCTCCATTTCAATGTTATTCATAGAATTAACTCGTAAATGTACGAGTAACATTAAAACAGTGCCAGAAACAAGTGTTTTCACTTCGTTTAATGCTTCACACGAAGTCATTTTTTGAAGCAAATCATGGGTGAGATTCAATAATAAGTTGTGCTTTTGAGCAGGAATTAATTGTTGCTTTGTAGCAGTAGAAAATAATGTTTCGGTGATTTGACACCATCCTTCAACGAACTTAACTGTTGAAAAAGACAATGTTTTTCTTTGATTTCTTTTCAAAGCAAACAACAAAATTGATTCTAATTCCTGTTGCATAATAGTCCGTTGAGCAGATGTAGCATTTCTTTGAGTTATCAACAACTCCTCGTTTATAAGTGCATGTAATTTTTTAATATCAATTAATTCTGGACCACTTGTTAATTCTAAGGGAACTAAACATCGGCTGAAAACGATATCTACTTGTACGGGGTCAAAAAATTCCCATGATTTAGGTGGTTCTAATTCAAGTTGAAAGTTAACATAGTGTAAAAGGTCCATTAACAATTTCTGTGATGGCAAAAATTTATCTTGATCCAACCTGGAATCTCCTGTAAATAAGTGAAAAAATTCTAGTATAGTGATTCTTGAAGAAATTAGGGTCTTATTATAACTGTGAAATTGAATAGATAAAAAATTCAAGAATTACAAAGAACTCGCTCGAGTTTGCGACAAGAATCGTCTAATTTTTGTCACAACCTCGATACTTTTTTACTTTACAGAAGAGGTACAATAAATATTAAAACCAACGCAATTCTTGAACAATTTAATACTTTTATGATTCAAACAATTTAATATTTTTTCAGAATATAGGCTTCGAATACGACAGGGTGCATAGAATAAGCTAAACATATTTTTTAATCGGAAGCTATCGAGTTAAGAGAAAAAGTTTCTAGAATGAAAATGTCACAGAATTTATAAAGGAGCCTCTTCAATTTTTTAACATTTTCGGAAATCTAAAAAATTGGCGGATCAATTTATGGATTTTTATTACTTTCGTTATAGCCGGCTTCAAATTTACGTTATTTGTGAATATTTTTGCAAACGGTCGTTGAAGGATGTACGGGCGACTTTTTAATTTCTCAAAAATCTCAAAGAAGTTGTCGATGCCGAAGCCCCGATTTTGACCGACCGAGCATTAAAAATGTAAATTTAAATAATTTCTTTGCTAGACCGATTTTCGAAAAACGGCTCTGTGGAGCCCTCCGTATTGTAGCTGTGAATAACTACACCAAATTTCAGCCAATTTCATCGGGTAGTTTTTTCGAAAAACAGGATCGAAATTTTTGATTACTGTTGGCAGGATAAAAAAATTTTGATCCTGTTTTCCGGGAAAACTATCCGATGAAATTGGCTGAAATTTGTCGCATTTGACAGCAATAATACGGAGGGATCCATAGAGCCGTTTTTCGAAAATCAGCCTGGAAAAAAGATACGAAAATATACATTTTCTGTGCTTCTGTACATCTTCCGAGTATTAAAAGTACAAATTCAAATAACTTTTATACTAGGCCGATTTTCTAAAAACGGCTCTGTGGAGCCCTCCGTATTGATGCTGTGAACAACTGTATCAAATTTCATCCCATTTCATTCAATTTGAAAAATTCAGTTTGAAAAATCAAAAATTTCGATCCTGTTTTCCGGAACAACTACCCGATGAAATTGGATGAAATTTGTCGCAGTTGTTCACAGCTACAATACGGAGGGCTCCACAGAGCCGTTTTTCAAAAATCGGTCTAGTAAAAAAGTTATGAAAATATACATTCTGAAAGGGCATTAGATTTTACATCAAAATATGTAAGTGAAGTCTTTTCAAGTCTCAAAACATGGAAAAAGTTAAATTTTCAAGTGAAGCCAAATATTATCATTCTGGACTTAAACCTATGGAGGACCGGGAAGCTAATATATTGGCGCATACTATGAACGATCAATGATTTAAGATACCCTCTATGCCAGTTTTATATGAATAATATGACCTTAGAAATCCCGGCCCTCTAGAGGTTAATGGGTTAAATATGTTTTTTTGTGCCACCCCAATCTAAAGTAACATTTTACTCCCGCTGAGCAAAACCAAAATGTTACTTTAGGCCGGGGGATATATAGCGAAAAAAGAAAGTCTCAGAGCACTTAATTATCAGAGTCGGCTTCGCCTCGGATGATAAATTACACGTGCTCTGAGACTTTCCAGTTTTTCACTCCCTAGATGCAAAATATACTAATTATGTTACTGTACACGTGATAAATATTGATGAAATGTTTTTTTACCTGCAAGCTGTTGAATTAGAGTATTTTGAGAACTTCCATTTCCAACGCGTAATTCAATGGCAGCAATTTTGAGAAGCCAAGACATGCATATTAAGTTGATTGTTTTATCACTGTTAGAATCTTGAAATGGTAATTTAGAGAGATGCCGATGAACAAAATCTTGATTTGCGGTTGTTCGTAGAAAACGGAGTACAGACATTGAAGTTTTATCATTCGATGCTAGGTTGTAAAGAAGGCGGTAGCAAGCTTCTGTTACTTTGTCACGTCCACTTTCTAACGAAACATCTAAAATTGCTATAATTGAATGTAAACAAGTACGAGGATATCCAAGTACTCCAGGATGTTGCAAGACAGTTTTCTTAATGTCTTTGTTAATTTCAAACCCTAGGAAATAATGTGCCAAGTTTGGAGCTGGATGATTGATACTTTGCATTAACATTAAAATTATCTTGTCTTTACAACTTTGGTATTGAGGTTTGTTCAAATTTTTAGACGCTCCTTCATGTTTAGTAACATTTTCAGCGTCTAAGCACTCAACAAAGCTATGTCTTATGTACGTTGTAAGAGCCGGTGTCGAAGTAAAGGTTGATAAAAGTTCTGAATCGGCTCCTGGTTCGTTAGAAACCATTTGCAATATACTTATTGCAGTACTAGCATGATTAGGTAGCCAGTTATTGTGAGACACGTACTTCGTAATGTTCACCATATGATCAGGTTGACCTGTACGTTGATTTACTCCTAAGAGAAGTCGCGATAAGCCGGTGATAATTTGATTTGATGTTGATAAAGCTGAAATTTGTAACATGAACTGATGTTGGCTTTTTAATCCATACTCCAAAACTTCTAATGCTCGTAGCGTACATTTTTCTAGATGTTTTTTTCCAACAAAATTATCGAATGTATCAAATAAATTGCATCCTTCGTTTAAAATAGACAATATTAATCTAAGTAATTCACTATTTGAATGAATTTGTGTCATTAAATGATATCCAGGCAAAGCATTGATACAAGTTACTTCTCCTCCATTTACCTCAACTTTATATCCAACAAGATCTTCAACATTAGGTTGATAATTTTTGAGTAATTTTGTAATTATTTTCAAACAAAGATTTGCTACGATCCATTTCTCAGCTTGATTTTTATAAGAACGCGTGTTATATTGCAAGAAAACGCAATTAACAATAAAATTCAGGTATGGATCAAATCCTGGATTTCTATGACCAACTCCTAATAATCTTGGAATTGGATAGTTCGTAAGAATGTTTAGTAATTTAAGCATAGCTCTAGTTAAAGGGTACTCTTCGTTGCGAGATTCAATTTCTTCCAATTCAGTTTGTACTCCTCTAGGTTGAAAACTACTCGTAGTCGGTATTGTTGTAATAATTTGAGCAGCCTCTAAACTTGACCATATGGCAGAAGAACTTTCGTTTGATTTGGCAAGAGCAGCTAATGTTTGAAGTAAAGCTCCTTTGAGTGGGATTGGCATAGCACAACTCACCAATCCAATTAATGATTGTACTACTTTCCAACTAGGATGGTCACAAAATGCTATCCTAGAGGAATCGTCATTCTTTGCAACCACTTGAACTATTGTTAAAACTGCTTCTAAGCCTTTGACCTCATTAGGAGTAATACCTTTTAGGTTTACTCTTTGGCGGTACACTGTATCTTGTGGAAGTGGCAATTCTTGTCTCAGATTACAATGATAACGATTCAAAGAGTTGAAAAAATGATCCCAGGAAATGGTATTCAAACTTGCAGATCCTGGAATAAATAAGTAAATTAATAACATTTTGAAATCCCGAAAACACTTGTTTAAGGTGATTCGGTAATAAAACGTCTTTGAGCTAGATTTTCATAAAACTTCGCATAAATGTTGTTTAGTGTTTACTTGATATACTGTCAAAACTTCAAAATATGTTACCGCACTAAAAACAAAGTTTTTCAAAAGTGGTTATTTTAACATAGGCTCTTACAGAATTCTATCATAAAATCATGCATTTTTGGCTACGATTTTTTACAACTAGCTAGATTGAATCCGAAAACCACTCAGTTGTAGTTTAAGCCATTACCTTTCGATTGAAATATTAAAAAGTGTACCTTACCGCACTAACTAATGAGTAATTAACAAAACATGAGTACGTGACTAATTATGAGCATTAAGGGACATTGATAAGCCATTTATATTATATGCATGATAAAGTAAAAGTATCCCCTGGCTATATTATTATGATTATAACTACCGAGTCATGTAAAATAGTAATTTCCAACGTAAATTTTATGATATTTTTGAATTTGAAATGTTGAAAAAATTTGATGATTTAAATCGGATCAGAAATACGAGAAAAGTTAACATGTTGACTTGGACTGACATTTTAAGAGTCGATCGAGGATGACCTTTAAATAACCACACAAAGTTTCAGCATTATGGTAATACATTGAATATTTCACTCCAACCACCTTAAGAGATTTGAAAGCCCGTTAGTTACAATATCAAAATTCAACATAGCTGACATCGAAATGGCGCTTTACCGAAAAAAACCGTACATAAAGTGAGTAATTTTTTTATACGGCAAAATTAATTATATTTTTCATACCAGTGGCCCGAAAGTGACTACTTCCCGGTCGCTACGCAAAAGTAGCACTTTCCGCACGCAGTGATGAAATAGTAGATTATGAATGAAAGATTAAAAATAGTAGTATACTATTTTTTGATACAGCTGCGGAAAGTTCATCTTTCCGCACGCTGTAGCTATAGCACCGGGATCTTTTACTTTCGAAGCATCCTAAGTCGTGAAAACAGCAAGCCACAGTAATATACTATTTAATTGAATAATAATTTAATGCTTTATATAATTTATAGAATAATTTTCATGACTTACCATTCGGTTTGAGAAAATTAAAAGCTTGTCTTGCAGCTTGATTCGATGATGCCAGAGCAGCTAACATATGTATATATGGAACAAATAATCCTGGAGGAAGTACTTCTCCCGCTAATCGAATGAACTTGAAAAGAGCTACTTGTCGTGAAGGTAAACGGTTAAGATAAAGTGAATTAGTAATTGGAGACGACTCAGAATGTTGATACCAATAATCCATCGTAAGTTGTAAGTTTAAAACATCTTTTTGATATAATTTGGATATCATCATTAATAAATACTTGAAATGATCATCAATATTTACTGGTGGTTCTATGCCTTCTTGTTGATAAGCTTGAATCAAACGCATAGATTCATCGGCTCTACTTCTCAATTCCTTCACTTTAAGTGGCATGAGGTAAATAAAGTCTGTGATCAAATTATGCATCAGCCGCATATAAAATTCTTCTGTATGTAAATATTGACATTTAAAAAGCACTTCTGATGCAAAATGAAATGCTTTGTTGCATAAAGCAGCTTCCAAGAGGACCTCCTCTTCTTTGATAGAATTCGCAGAGGCGTATAAATTTGGCGATGATTTTATTATAGTGATAGTCAGGGACAAAGCAAATTGAATAAATCCTTTCAATCCAACGCTTTCCCAAATGACATTTGAGCTATTTAATCGCTCGATTATATTTTCAAGAGCTTCTGGGTCTGACAAAATAGGCATTGCCTTCAAAATATCTGTAAAATTTAATGTACTATATTAATAAACAGAATTAGAAATTCTATCAAAATGATTTACGAATAAACTGACTATTTTTGTGGTTGATGTAAACTTAAATCAAGTTATTTGAAGTGAAACTACTCAAAACGAAAAGTATTGAGATATTCTCAAGCAGTACCGCGAGCAGTGTCGTTTAAGTGGTTTTTGCAACGTCAACACCTGAACTTTAGCGAATTATGAATTTATCATGGGAAAATCCCGTGCTGCCTTTAAGGGCTTATATACACCTAAAATTTAAAATTTTTTTTATTCAATTTTTGAATAGGATTTTTTCTCCCCTTTCCATTGCTTTTTTCGAAATTCTAAAATTTTGATTTTTCCCTGAGATACAGCTGTTTCCATGAGTCTTTTTCCTATACTTTACGTGTTAAATTTTTTCTTCTTTTGCGGTTTCTGGCGAGTAGTGTTTTTGGTCACCTGTCGTAATATTCAGAGGGTATCGATTGAACTTTCTGCACCAGGGTCGCGTACACTTCTTCAGAACATGAATGGTTACGGCCACTACCACGGGTGAGACGACCGAACACTCGGGTTGCTCTGCACGAACAGTTAAAAACACAATTTTTTTCATTTTTCGTTTTTGCCGAAATTTAAGTCATAAAAGTACGTTTTGAGAATGATCTATGAGCTCAATCGTCTCACCCGTGGTAGTGGCCGTAACCATTCATGTTCTGAAGAAGTGTACGCGACCCCAGTGCAAAAAGCTCAATCGATACCCTCTGAATATTACGACAGGTGACCAAAAACACTACTCGCCAGAAAACGCAAAAGAAGAAAAAATTTAACACGTAAAGTATAGGAAAAAGACTCACGGAAACAGCTGTATCTCAGTGCAAAATCAAAATTTTGGAATTTCGAAAAAAGCAATGGAAAGGGGAGAAAAAATCCTATTCAAAAATTGAATAAAAAAAATTTTGAATTTAAGGTGTATATAAGCCCTTAACGTCCAAGTATAGCGTCGTGTGTTTGTCTTTGTCACACTAGATTATTTTGCTTGTACTGTTATTCGGTCAAAACCCATTGTATTGTCATCCGAGCGGAAAAAGGTATCGTTCTAAACTTAGAAGCGAAAACATAGGATAATCCTATATTTTTAAGGGTTAAAAGGTAACTAAAAGTCGAAAAAAAATTTACTCAATTTTTGAAAAAAATTTTCTTCCCCTATTCAGAAAAATAGTGTCTATATATTGTGTTTATTAAAATTCTAATTGTCTAAAAATACTTTTGTTTTAGTTTTCTTTCTTAATTACGGCCCACTATTAGCTCTTAACTATAACTGGTAATTCGAAATTTATTTGAACCTTGGACATTTCATTTGAAAATTTGGACATTTTCATCAATTATGCACTTCTATTAATGCAACCTGATAAGTTGCCTGGAAATCATGCAAAACCTAATGCTTTTGCAAGACAAGCAACCTCCCGCCTCAGTTATAAAATGGATTATTAACTAAAATGTATAATCAATTGAGACTTAAAATTTATCGCAATAATCTTACAAAATATTTACAAACCTTCACCATCTTCTCGTAAGTTTAATGCGCTTACATTAATAGAATATAAAAAGGCAACTATCAAAGTTAACGTAATCTTGTCAGGAAAACCATTTTCAGCTTCCAACTCAGGAGAACACTTTTGCAAAATGGTCAATAATTTCATCATCACATTATATGGTAACTGCGATTGTGCCGACCACATGTATAGTATATCCGCCAAATCTTGTCTTGTATCATTAAATAACTTCATAACCAAATATGTATGCTTTGCGTCACCTAAAGCTTTATTTTTTTGTAACAAATCTCGTTCCTGAAAACAACAAAACACAAAATACGGTGAAGGCATTAACAATATAATATCAACACCTGTCGATGCAATGACTAAATCGTTAATAAAATCGATATCACATTAGACATTTTTTTAAAGCAATAACAAGACAGGAAAATAAAACCCCATAATTTTTCATGAAAATTAAGCCAACTTATATACATAAAATTATTATAAAATACTTTGAACGATTATAAAAGCAACGTGAATATGTGAATCACACAATAATTGAGAATTGGTGGTGTAGATATGATGGCAGACAATTATTAACTGTTTGAAAGTAAAGTAGGCTACCCGTTACAAGACAAAATTCCGGGCATTTTATTTAAAATTAAAATAATTAGTAAAAAATATATGCAATAAACAGAGAGTGAAGAATATAAAATATGTTAGAAGACATCGCATAATTTAAATCTAAACTAAGTTCCACTCAATTTGTATAAAATTTGTAGGGTACTTTCTTTAAAATAGACTAACGTTTCAAAAGTTCAAATATCGCTTTTCACGTCAACTATCCCAGTGCCTCACGCTTGGGATTATTTAGTTGAATTGCTAAATTTCTAACTCTCTGTAAAAGTACCTACATGTCCCTAGAGAAAAAAACTAATGCATTATTTTAATGGAAATTGACTCAACTTTTCGATGCTGAGGTCAGATTTCCCGATATTTTACGTTTAACCTGGAAAAATCGCCGGGAAAACTTTAAAGTTGATTATCTCGAAAACTTCATTTTTAAGATTTTTTCAAATAGTCTAAATAGAAAGATCAGGAAATATCCCATCGAAGTAGACATTTGGCAGAGAGGGGTATTTAAGTTGGGTGGGACCTCTGTATGTAAAATTTGTATAACAAAATTTTGTATTATAAAGTTGTTTAAAATTTAAAAGTTTTAAAAATTCATTATGCAAGATGTGGTAACAATTAGATTTTCAGTTTTCTGATGGAGAGCGAACAGGCAGCATTGTTTTTTTTTTATTTTTGACGTAGAAAATATCAATTTTTTCTCATTAACAGGTAATTTGATAGATATTGTTGGGCAAAACGAAATATTTTCTAAAAGATAATTTTAATTTTTTTTTATTTTATTCGTTACTGTAGGTGAGGAGGAGGTTACCGAAACACTTATAAAAATTTTCTATAGGATCCCGCAAAATTCCTACTGGAATCCTATAGGACCCCTGTAGGAATTTTGTGGGATACTATTGAAAATTTTTGTAAGGGAAAACTTCAAGATATGGGACCAACGCATATTATTTTACTTTGAAATTGAAAAGTGGAGAAGAGAGTAATTTATAATTTATATTCTTTTCGAAAAAGAGTAATCTGCGTTCTTCTCAATATTACAGGAGCGAGTTTTCTCAAAATTCAAAATTGCAATCACGTTTTCTGAATCTCCGACTAAATATTTCTCGTAAGGGCTCTATAATCTTATATTGTTGTTTTTAAGGTTCCATACACAGCGTTTCAGAGAAGTATTTAGTATAAGAAGATTCAAAAAACTGAATTGAAATTTTGATTTTAGAGCTTATTTCGATATGAGAGCATACAGTGGGTTAACATCGATTCTGTCTGGTCCAACAGTGTGGTGGAACGTGTTTAAGCATAGGAAATTTCGGCGTTTTATCGGACAGAATCAATGTTAACCCAGTGTACAATTTTAAATTGTTTTCGCAAAGTACCATATTTAGCCGAGTTTGATTTTTATTATTTTTATTGTACGGGATGCCAAAGTAGCGCCATGCAGAATTGAGCTCCAAAGCGGTATCTTACTGCTACGTGCTGGAAGTAGCACTTCATTGCGCTATTTTGCGAACCCTTATAAAAATTTCCTATAGGATCTCGCGAAATTCCTACAGGAGTCCTATAGGATTCCAATAGGAATTTCGCGGGATCCTATTGGAAATTTTTATAAGGGAAGCAGTATTATGTTGCCGAAAAGTGTCTATATGTGATAATAAAAACATACAGTTCGCATTTTTACATGAAAAAATCGATTGCATCCGAAATGTAAATTTTGAAAAATCATTTGATACGTATTTTATTGTTTTTCAATTAACCTACTATTGAGGAAGGTATGATATATTATAATAAGGAGCATGATGTTTTTTTAATTTTAAAAATGTTTTGCCTTCATCAATAATTGATTTTATAAAAAACAATTGATAGATGATTTTCTTAAAACTTGTTTGAAAATGCGTGCTAAGCGATAACTAGTATTTTTAATATGTTCTAAAAATGGTGATCATTAATTTTATGTTCATGTTAGAAGAATCATAAATAGTTCTTTGAATTTGATAGTCCTACAACAGTTAATTTTTTTAAAAATAAAACAGATTGTACATTAAACAGAAGAGAAAACTTATACAATCATCCTTATTTTAGGTAAAAACCTTAATTTACCATATATAATATCATAAATATACAGTATATGGTAACTATACATTAGATTACACATTAGAGATGGGTAACAAAATCATGATTTCCAAAAATTGAAATATTCCTTATTTTAAAGTAATTTGAGTTTTTGGAGCATTTGACGTAAGACACACCTGAAGCAACATACGGACTACTCATGGGTATTGGCTAATGAAATTGCAGTAAAAAACTGCATAAGTTTAAAATTTTAAATTTCTAAGTTTTTAAACTAGTCATAATTTAAATATCATAGTACAGTTGATTCTTTCAAAAATTTACAAGAATATGATTAGAATTTATAATAACTAATTTGCAGTGAAAATGTGCCTTTTGTATATTAATTTGATTATTAGTAGTATTAATGTAATTTAATTTCAAGTGTAAATTTGACAAAGTAAAATATAGTCCAAGTTAATTTATCATGATATAGAACTCTTGGCATGATATAAAGATTAGCTTCAAAATAATTCATTTCAAAAACTGTCATATTCAAGTACATTTTTGGCTTTTCAACTTTATATATTTAAATGTATATAAATTATATAAATAGCCAAGCAATCTAATAAGCAATTTCTCAACTACTTCAACTTCATGTCTAATGTGATTTAAATGATAATATGAAATCTTACAACAATTTATTTATACTTGTTTCTCATTGAAAGTTTAATAAATGATGATTACCAACCTTGATTGGGTCCATTTCCTCTAATAAAAACAAAACTCTGTCTAATAGCCCATCTTCTTGCATGTTATTTGTATAATCAGTTATTTGCTTCATTAACTGCAAAGGAATATCTGTTATCCAAGTACATCCAGATCTTGCTTGAATTAATGTTCTCAATGTAGATGTTATTGCTTTTCTGCCATCATAATATAGCAAGATCGCTGTCAAACCTCTTGAAAATCCTGGGTAGTTTGGCATTTGCATTTGAGCGGTATATAACAAATCAAGAGCCATTAATTCGTTCAAATTGTACATGTCACTTATTATTATAGCTTCATCGATTAATTCTTTTGCAATCAGTTGATGACCTAATCCAAACGTTAAACCTTTGGTGTTACCCTTCAAAATTTCTTCTCGTGTTTTCATACTTTTAGACTGTAAAATAGGATAAGTTTCATAAATAATACGGATATCTGTGTCACAAGTAATAAAAATGCAATATAGAATGCAGAATATAAATTTTAATGTTAAAAAACTTACTGGATTTTTCAACAACGACAAAAAATTTTGTCGATGATTTCGTAGAGCAGCATTAAATTCATAGAACTGTAGATCTGAGATAGTACATGAAGAATTGACATAACTTTCTACCAAGTGTTGTAAATCTTTGTAAGGTGTCCACATGTCTTCAGTATTAAATTTTTCTGAATCTTAAATTAAGTTAATGTAACAATTAGCATTGACTAAAAAATTAGAATTATCAAATTATTTAAGTATTAAAAAATTACCGGTCATCATTTTGGTGTATTATGTATTGTAATAAAACAATTATTTCAATATAAATATTTATTTCATTTTTTGCGAAACTCAAATTAAATTGAAGCTGTGCTTCAGATCAATATAATGCACTTTTTTTATTAGATAAGAATGTAGATTTCTGTTAAGAACGTGTGTTTATTAAGTTGTAACCTGAAAAATACTTGCAATACCCGCTCTTTTGCGAGTGTTATGACTGGAACATGAAATACTTCGTTTTGTTATGATCCATGCACGTACTGAGATTCGAGCGGCGATTGTGCTTACTCAATAGAAGCGCTGCGGTTGGCGTGTTGTAGTGTTTATGGTTTGATTCTCGATAAATGAGAAACGCAGAAAAACCTGTGAAGATCCTTGTTAGTTAGACCATTGTTAATTGTAAATGCCTAAACTATGTTTTAACAATGTTAGACTCATTTAAATCAATTTTAAATTCTTTACTTCAGGAGGCTTATTCTTACCTCTCAATGCTTTACTGAGCTAAGTTGGAATTACGTATTCAAATAAGAATCCCTTACAAAAATTTCCTATAGTATCCCGCAAAATTCCTACAGGGGTCCTATAGGATTCCAGTAGGAATTTTGCGGGATCCTATAGAAAATTTTTATAAGGGCGTCAATTGATTAAGAATCTTTATGTGCGAAAAGTAGAAAATTACGATTTTTCTTAAAAGTTTGAACTAGTTTTGAGGCTTTATTTGAAACTTTATCCTTGATGTGACCTTGAAAAAAAACTAAAGACGTATTTGTATGTAAAATTTTCCGCTATTTTTCAAATTCGCAACAAAAAATGGTTTTTTTTTATTGAAAAATCGATTTTTGGTTTACTGATCGCTTTGAGGTTATGTTTAAGGACAAATTCAAGGTCACCATTGAATTCCGTGTCGTATACAGAGTTTATGATTATTTTTAATACACTGCAAGATTTCCAGGGGTTTCCATACCTTTGCAATACCTTGTATATACCCGGGTGAAACTATCCTCCGAAATATTATAAGAGATCTCAGTGAAATCACAAGTAGGATTTCGGGAGATATTTTTACCTGCGAGTTTTGATAATATGTATTAGACGGTTTTGATTTTCCAAAGTGTTTCTATTTTCCCGTCAGATACTGTTTCAGTTAGTTTTAAGGGTTCCAAATGTGATAAAAGCGAGATACTTAGTTCAAAACGGCGATGAAAAAAGGTAAAAAGCGTTGTTTGAGTTGTTTTAGATGAATTTTTGAAAATGATTCTATAAGTTACAAAAAATATATTCGTTAATAACTTGTTTATGGACGCATCCAGACTAATGGTACTTTACGATTCAAGTGCTATAAGTTATATACATTTAATAGCATGACGTTTGTTTAAAAGCGTATTCCACGACCCTAATAGCCGTGCCATTCCATAGCTTATGTAAATCGGGCCTTACACTTACATATATTAGCATTGATTCTGAGATCAGTCCGGTAACTGAGTGGAAAAATATGTATATAACTGTATAGGCTGGTAAAATTCAGCGTTCTATTAAACATGCAGGACATTCAGCACTCAAAATTAATTTAAAGTTGACGACCTTTAAAAGTAAATAAGTAAATAACATTTTATAGTGAGAATTTCTATATTCCATAACTGGATACATACTTGAAAAAGTGATTAGACATTTTCTTTTACCATGTTATTTGATTGGACTGCATCATTTTTGTATCTATAATGAACTTAAATAAAAATTAAATTAAATTTAAGTCTTGAAAATCGAAACAAATTATTTCAACTCAATGGTAAAGTTAGACCAAATTACTTACACTTTTTAAGATTTAAACTACTAAACTTTCTTGCATTAAAATTTGCTCGATTTAAATATATGTCTGCAGTAAAAAGTAAAAATTTACATTTCGTTAACAGTGTCCAAATTTTCGAATTGCAAACATTCCGTATCCGTGTCTTTGATTACTCATCAATATTTTGATAAAAAAAAAATATAAAAAAGAGTAAAGAAGTGCAACATTAAAGGGTTTTGGATTTGAATTATTACTTGATTTATTTTAGCATAGACTTTAAAATAACAAATTGAACTTTTTCAAAATTAAAAAATCTATTTTATTACAAAAACTAAAAAATAGATTTCATTTAAATTTACAGAGAACATGCATATTTCTAATTAAACATAATAAAATATACTTAGTTGTAATAAAAGGTGATAAAGTGTAAAAAAATAGCACATATTTTTTACATATTATTTTTACTTTTTATTACAGTTCACAGATATTGTGAGATCACAGTATTGAAGCTCAAAAAGTTTATGCTTATGCTTGTTACAGCAGAGATTAAATTTTAAAAGTCAATTAGAGATCAAAGATCATGTAAAGTGTTAATATTCTTAACTAAAATGACAATTAAGATGAGAGTCGTTAAAAAAAATGTAGCATTTTTTAAATAAAATAATAAAATTATGGTATAACAAGTTATTGAAATATTTAATATTCATGATAACCAAAAATTTAGAGTTAATTGAATAATTTTAAGGAAATAGCAATGAATATTCACTACAAAAATTAATTTTTAATTGTAATAGAAAACAGAGATTAGGAGATAAAAGGGAAGAACAAGTTATGATTAAACATTAACTTCAATATATTTTTCATAAATTTTGATATGAATTATATTTATTGTATAATTGTTTCTTTATAATTATGTTTCTTTTACAAAAAAATATTATTATTTAATTCCTATTCAAATAATTTCTATTTGGTACAGCATAAATGATTAGTTATACTAAATGAATGTATACAATAGCTTACTCTATGAAATTATTCCTATTTGAGCAGTTTTTTTACTTTTTGGTGAGTTTTGAGGGGATGGTTCATGGATCGGCCCCAAAATTTAATATGTAATTTGGGTATATGAAAATAGCGTTCACTTAAAATTTTATTCTAATATCTTCTACTATTCTACAAATAGTCATAGCTCAGGCACCAAAGCATATTTTTTAACCCAGAGGGTCGCATTCTTTTGGTCAAGACATGTACTTTTCATGAAAAAAGTATGTAGAGTTTGATAACCACACCTACGGTTATGGGATGGGATTGAAGGGGGACGAAAAATCCCAAAATGGTCGTTTTTAGCGTTTTTTAAATGGATGCAGAAGGCGATTGGATTAAGCTATCGATTACTGTAACATCTCATTCGAAAGGTATTTTTATTACCTTTTAATTGTCATACTTAGATTTAACATTGATTTAAGAACGACGAAAATACAGCCATTGAAAGATATCTTAATTACGAAAAGTACCGTTTTTTCAAGGTTTGCATAGGCTGTAAACTCCGGTCTGGTAGAATGAATCTTCACGAAATTTTATGTGAAAGTAGTTGATTATTTTTTTATACTTTGCCGGCTGGGTGCTACCGCACCTCTTGATAATATGTAGGTTGAAGCCTTGTAAACTAAGTTCTTGGTTTTTGCCTCTATAGCCGAGAACGAGACTCCTGAAATCTGATATTTTAGCTTTTATATAAGTAAAATACATTATAAATTGAGTATCAAGAATATTTGGAGACCCCTGGAATTATCGTAAAGTAAGCATTAAAAAGAATCAAGAACCCATATTCGACGTATTTTTCGACGAGGAATCTAATGGTGACCTTGAATTTGATCTTGAACATGATCTCTAAATTACAAGAAACTAAAATCGATTTTTAACACGGTGACTCCCATTTTTTACTTCAGATACGAGCAACAAAATTGACGTTAGACATTTTTTTTTTCAAGGTCATTGATAGCGCGCTTACAGTAAGAAATAAGTTCATTTTTTGACCTTAATCTTATTTTAAATAGGGGTTTTATGCAAGTCTGTAGCGCTCTGAATCCTGCATAAAGTGACAAAAAACATGCCTTTCAAGAAAATGCCAAAAAAGAAAAAATTCAAAACATATAGTATACAAGAAAATCTTACGGAAACCGCTATATCTTTGTGAAAAATTAAAATTTGGAGGTTTTGAAGAGGCAATGTTAGGGGAGGAGAAATACTAAAAATATATTGTCTTGGCGTAAAAGAATTAAAACGATCAGTTTTATCGTATTTCTATTGTTCAACTGTTTTCAACATTGTGTTCTAATTAATCTTATGTCTTGATTCAAAAAGAAAGTCTTTCAATGAAAAAATGATTAGAACACAAGTTTTAGAATTCGTCTAAAATTACAACAAACATTCAAATTTTTGTATTTGGTTTAAAGGCCTGTTTATGTTAAAAATATGGTGTTAGCGCCCCAGAATTTGAGGTTGCATTTTTCAATGCGGTAAAAAAGGGGAAAAGTTGTCTAGTTTGATATCGACTCATATAGCCGAAAATAAATTTTCATAATTTTAATAGAATATTTCGTAACAAGTGCACGTAGCAGTTGACTCATCCAGGAGTTATTTTCAACCGAGCGTAGCGAGGGTGCAAAGACACCTGGGTGAGTCAACTTCCTCGCGTACTAGTTGCAAACGATATTTTTTAAATTAAATAAATTTTGTCCTAAATTGAAATTAAGGGCACAGGTTTGATATTTACAGGACACAGGTTTGTGCCCTTTATTCCAATTGAGGACAAAATTTATTTAATTACAAATACACGGGGCAATTGAAGATAATTGTACTATTATTGATATTTTTTAAACTTACTTGCGAGAAACTAGGATTTTCTAACTACACTCGGCAACAAAATTATCGCAACAAAAAAATTCATCGAAATTTTGTCGATTTTCAAATGTTTCTATCTTGGGCTAGATTTATCGTATCGACACGCTTTTTTTTTAATTTCTTGGAAATTTTGTCTTCTTTAAATCCATATAAATTAAGATAAGATTTGAGTCAATGTTGAGTTACCAGTAGTATTTGAGCGTGACCCTAAAAATTACTGAAAAAAAATGACTGTTTGAACGTGTACCAGTACCACAGTGATTTTTTTATCGAAATTTAACAAACACCATCGCAAAGTGCTCTTTTTAACGAGTAATTTAAAAAAAAAAAGACCTCTCTACGATTTTTTTAACGCCCTGTAGGTCGATTTGAAGGTACGGTTTATGTACGCATAATGCCCAGAAAATCGTCTTGATATCAGGTAAACGGGGGATTTTACGTACTTTAAATGGTATCTTCAAATCGACCTACATGGCGTTAAAAAAATCGTAGAGAGGTCTTTTTTTTTTTAAATTACTCGTTAAAAAGAGCACTTTGCGATGGTGTATGTTAGATTTCGATAAAAAAATCACTGTGGTACTGGTACACGTTCAAACAGTCATTATTTTTCAGTAATTTTTAGGGTCACGCTCAAATACTACTGGTAACTCAACATTGACTCAAATCTTATTTTAATTTATATGGATTTAAAGAGGACAAAATTTCCAAGAAATTAAAAAAAAAAGCGTGTCGATACGATAAATCTAGCCCAAGATCGAAGCATTTGAAAATCGACAAAATTTCGATGAATTTTTTTGTTGCGATAATTTTGTTGCCGAGTGTATTTAAGGTTAGAAAACCCAGTATTAAAAATGATTTTTTCTGATCTCTGAAGTATCCAAAAAAATCTAAAAAATTCAAGGTTGTTTGCATTATTAAAGTGTGCCTTCATGATATTTTTCAGATTTTTTAAGGCAAAGACGTCTTCAAAATCGATAGTAATACAAGAAAACGTTCATACGGAGTGTGGAGAATGCGAGCGACCCAGGAATCGAGAATCTTTGCTTACGGAGTTTTTCTATGAACAATAACGTACCAATAGGCGTGTCCATATTGGGGACATATATGTGCGTGGTTTTGTAATGAAATATTATATTGACCCATGTATATAGCATAATAATTATATTCAATTCATTTTATTATTTTTCAGAGCATTTAAGTGACAGGAAAAATTTCGGTACGAAGTCTCGTTAATAACTTTCTACCTCCGATTGAACGGAACTACAACTAATTTAAATCTTCAATTTCTTTTAAACAGTATGATGAATTCTCAAATTAATATGAAAAATTTGTATGAATTCCATGGGCAGGCAGATAATTGTACAGACAAATCATTTCATGAAAATTTAAAAAAAAATTCGAAGCCAGCCAGTGTAAAAACTTCAAAAATATTTATATTCTGTGCTAAAATATGTTTTAAACTCAGTCTTATTATGATCTTTATGATAATATTTAACTCTTTGAGTAATGGCACATTAATTCCCTTTTCAGTGTTTACTATCAATTCTATCATCGGTTTTCTTTGTTACTCTCGATATGTCATTATTTCAAATCACAGAGTACAAAATTTTTCAAAAGACTTGCATGTTTTTATAATATTTTTAGTTTTTAGCTATATATTATCACCTGTTTTTAAAAATCTTACTGAAACTGTTAGTACTGACACTGTATATGCACTGACAACTTTTATGTTTGTTATACATTTGTTACTTAACAAGTATGGTTTATCTGATGTTTCATTGACTCAATCATTATCGATTACGTCATCACTGTTTGGTTCTATAATGTTAACATCTAGGTTGCCTTCAACGCTCCATGCGTTTTGTTTGTTGCTAACTTCAGTGCAAAGTTTTGTACTGTTACCAAAATTTCTTTTCAAAATTGCTAATCCGATTTCGTTATGTTTATTTACAGTCTCTTTAACTGCGTTTATACTTTACAATACATCTTATATATTGTTACATATATTTCTTTTGATTTCATTATTTATGCAACTAATCTGTCCTCTTTTTTTCGTTAAGTGGCAAGTTTATAAAGAAAATATTTATGGTCCTTGGGATGAGGCAATAATTCAGTTTTAATAATAAGAACACTGAAGTGCGAAGAAATGGATTCAATATTATAACTTGAATCACAATTTATATGTTTAACTTCTAATAAACCGTTTTATACAAAATATCTAGATGCACTGTTGACAATAAATGATTTATTATAAATAGTAGCCAATTTTTATTTTATTATTATCTCCTATCAGACTTGTACATTAGTAGAGAATACTGTGAATAATTATTTCTGTTATCTACAGAGTGGAACGGTTTTGATGTGTAACGTCTTAAAGCTCGTTGGGTAGGCTAGTGAATCTATAAAAAACGAGCGAGCGCGATAATCGTAGGTTTTTAGTCTCAGTAGCATCTGTTTGCTTCTCGCGCTGTGATTTTTATAGCTAAAACAACGTCATCTTCTGCATTGATTTTTTATTCTATTGTTTTTTTCTTTGAATCGTACAAGGAGAGCTTTTCAGATCCGGGTTACACGATCTTTACTAAACTTGCTTGGGGGTCTTCTGGTACATAATAATGAAGCCCTGTATGGTCAGTTGGATCTCATGGGCCTTAGGGCCCATTTTTTAGAGGATTTTCCACATTATAAAAAATCTTTGTTATTTTCTATGTCGATATAGAAGTACTTAAACGAAATAATGCAACGATCATAAGTTTTAAAATTTTTCAAAGAATTTTTTCAGAATTTTTGGGACCATTTACCACTCTCTTTAAGAAGTCCTGAAATCTATAAAAAAAGCGTCAAATTTGGGCCTCTTGAATTAAGTGATAGATGGTCCCAAAAATTCTGAAAAAATTCAAGTAGATTCTTTGAAAAATTTTCAAACTTTTGATCGTTGCATTGCAGAAAGAGAAAGAGAGAGAGAAAGAGAGAAAGAGAAAGAGAGAAAGAGAAAGAGAGAAAGAGAAAGAGAAAGAGAAAGAGAGAAAGAGAAAGAGAAAGAGAGAGAGAGGAATTAGCGGTATGGAAAGATATATTTTTTAACTGCAGTATTCAATTATCGGAATTTAAATTATTAACCATGCACAACAAGGATCGTTTAGGTGAAATTGACCCACATATAATTTATTTGTAAATTAAAAAATTATAACAATACCATTTATTTATATTTTAAAATTTTTGATTTTAATAATATCATCATTGTTTAATATGATTCTTGTCCAGGTAACGAGAATGTTTTGGCGAATTTCTCCACTTCACCTTTAAGATCTTTAATCTTTTGTTGGAATGTCTGATCTGATTGCATTATTCTATTGAAGTCATTCAATTTTGGACCAGATTTTTCAGTTATTTCTTTGGCAATAGAAAGTCCTAAAAAACAAAAATAATTAGCAAGTTAAATTTAAATTGTTTTTTACAGTATATGTTTAATTTTTGAATGATTAAGTAGATTGGGTAAATGAAGATTAATTCTGCGCAAGTGCAAGAATAGTTAATTATTATCGGGTCATAATAGTAATTTACGATACAAGTGCCATACTTATGCCACCGAAAAGCGTGCCATAAATGTAAACTTATTTCACGCCGTACTAATAATATAAATATTACTAATTTGCAAAGCTTAAAATTTCATTTTCTGATTTAAATATCAAAACATACTATTGAAAAAGTTGTGCTACGTCAGGAAACATCATTTTTTTAACGAATATCATTCGGTGAAGACAGACAGTTGGATAAAATATCGAAATTAACCCATTAACGCCCAAAATGGCCAAATTTTTCGTTCACAAGGGATGTGTTTTTTCCCCATACTTTGAACCTTGAAAAGACTTAACATATAAATAATTTCATGTAAAATTTGATGACCGTTCAGGGTCTGGAATCAAATTTAAGGAGGCTGTAGCGATGCAAGGTGGTTCTGTATTAGAACGCTACATGCACAAGGCTATATGCATTACGCAGCGCACATCGTTACATGGTACAACATAGGGGAAATGCGTTAGACTCTTATATTTATATCATTCGAAAGCAAATAAGATTTCTTATGACATATATTAATTTCATTAACTTGTAAAGTGATTTGAGCTCACAGTACACTAAAAACTGCCACTTCCCATACAATTAAATGTTAAATGGCCAAAACTTTGAATCTCATTATTTTCCAAGTTTGCATGGTAAACTTTTTTCTTCGATCAACTTTTTCTTCAAACTCAATAGGTTCCGAGTAAAAAATTATACATTCTCACCCGTACATGCGTTTTCTTGCATGATGATATGCATGAACAGTTTACTTTACGGCCGCCATTTTGTTAGGGAAAGTGGTTGGAAAAATCTTTAGTAATTCCCTAAGGTACTTCTACATCTATGATCACCTATATTTTGATCATATTTATATTTTGAGTTTTTCACCGCAACAGTTCGAAAAAAATTCTCAAAGTCGATCGTGGCAAAAATTTTTACGTTTTTTCTGTTTAAACAATCATAACTTTTTAATGAAGCATCAAATCTTAAATTGGAGCCTAGATTATGAAAGGGCATTACATTTTACATGAAATTATGTATATGCAAAGTCTTCTTTAGGTCAAAAACATGGGAAAAAATTGCATTGATATATCAAGTGTTATTGGGATAGTTGCTTGTAGAAGAAATCCCTTTTTCAGTCCTTGTGCACTGATCTCCCACCTTAAGTGAGCCTTTCAGCTATGCTTCATAACTATTACTTATATTAATTATTATTATTTGTTCTTGATAAACAGAAGCAGTCATTTATTAACTCAACACAACCAAGTGTAGCTTAATTGATGACTTTTATAGTTTAAATTTATTATTTTTTTCTTTACTTATTTTCCCTTACAAAAATTTTCTATAGTATCCCACAAAATTCCTACAGGGGTCCTATAGGATTCCAGTAGGAATTTTGCGGGATCCTATAGAAAATTTTTATAAGGGTTTCTTCCTCCATTTCACCACTTCAGAGATCTCGTGAATATTTTAAAAATATTTTCAGAACTTTTGAAAGTAATAAAACATGCACTACTGATTACAGGCGGGGATGGAATTTTCAAGCGCACTCTCGATTTAAAACCGTCACTATCATTTCTGCAAGACGTCCTTCAGAAATTGCGGCACGAATTTACCCTCAGAAAATCTCTTAGAATTCCTTTTAAACTCCCTGAGGATTTTATGTAGGATTTTCTATGAGAATTGCTGCAGAATTTTCCTGCATGACTTTTTCTTAAAGTATTAGGATTATGCATAGTAGTTTGTGTAAAAATTAAAAAAAAATCATGCAAAGTTATATTGATGCAAAGGTCTATCAATAACGAAAAGCTGAGTTTCTTTTACGTATTAATAGCTGCGAAATCACGCAACGTTTAGTCATTCAAAGATAAAAAGCAGTTTATTATTATGTAGTTTTTCAATCTTCCTATGACTTGGTGACACTATTATTTAATAATCCAACAGCCGATATATTGACAATTGATTTTCTTATATCTTAATAATTGATTTTGAATTAATAACTAAAAATCAATTATTAATTAAATAAGATTTTCAATTATTTAATTGTTCTAAATTCAATTGAGACACAATGGAATCATGACGTATAAAATAACCACCGCGTGGTTAAAAATCGAATAGTTATTATTTTCTTTTATTAATATTTTATCAAATTTTTCTATACGTTAGCCGCAATTGTTATCAAGTCAATTTTAATGCAGACTTACGAAGCGTTATCTCTTTAATCATTTACTGGAACTCACACAGGCGAGCCTATTAGTATCGATCTCTATTAAACCATTATTTTGGAATTTCCCTTAACTTTAATCACGATTAAATAACAGATAGTCCAGTGCAGATAGATTTTTTTGGGCAAAAAATAATAGTAGCAAACGACCTATACCATGTTGTAGGGGGAGTCTCAGGGAGTATGTAGACAAAATCTGTCTCCATATGGAGGTGAACTTTTTTAGTTATTAACAAAAAACCGAGAAAAATTTGCCCTGTTTTTGGTTTTTTGAAAATAACTCGAAAACGAAAAAAGCTACGGTATTGGCCCCATGAGATGAAATTTAGAGAATTTAATCCCCTTTAAAACCCATTTTGTTACGACCCGATCGGATAAATAGTTTCCGAGAAAATTGAGGAAATGTGTGGAAAAACGTGGTTTTTTGCAAAATCTTCAAAAATTCATATCTCCGTTAGTTTTTGGAATTAAGGGACGAAATTTTGCACAAAAGTAGCTCTTATTATGTAGAATAACTGTGCAAAATTTCAACCAGATCGGATAAAAAGTTTTGGAGATATTAATTTTACAAGATGGAAAGCGGCGATTTTGGTTTTTTGTTGATAGGCCGATTTGAGGTATAAAAAATTAACTTTTGGAACTTTTTATTACGGATTTGGAAACTAGAATAAATTTCCGACAAAATGTATATCTCAGTTCTCCCATTAGTTATGTAAAAGTATTAAAAAAATGCACGCAAACATTGCGCGTTTCGGCAAAAATTCGCGTCGTCGCGCTGCCGGGAGGCGGTGGTGGGGAGTCGAGGCAGAGGAGAAGTGCCGCGCGACGTGTGTGTTGCCGCTTGTTGTCACTTCTCCTCCGCTGCCTCGACTCTCCACCACCGCCTCCCGGCAGCGCGACGACGCGAATTTTTGCCGAAACGCGCAATGTTTGCGTGCATTTTTTTAATACTTTTACATAACTAATGGGAGAACTGAGATATACATTTTGTCGGAAATTTATTCTAGTTTCCAAATCCGTAATAAAAAGTTCCAAAAGTTAATTTTTTATACCTCAAATCGGCCTATCAACAAAAAACCAAAATCGCCGCTTTCTATCTTGTAAAATTAATATCTCCAAAACTTTTTATCCGATCTGGTTGAAATTTTGCACAGTTATTCTACAAAATAAGAGCTACTTTTGCGCAAAATTTCGTCCCTTAATTCCAAAAACTAACGGAGATATGAATTTTTGAAGATTTTGCAAAAAACCACGTTTTTCCGCACATTTCCTCAATTTTCTCGGAAACTATTCATCCGATCGGGTCGTAACAAAATGGGTTTTAAAGGGGATTAAATTCTCTAAATTTCATCTCATGGGGCCAATACCGTAGCTTTTTTCGTTTTCGAGTTATTTTCAAAAAACCAAAAACAGGGCAAATTTTTCTCGGTTTTTTGTTAATAACTAAAAAAGTTCACCTCCATATGGAGACAGATTTTGTCTACATACTCCCTGAGACTCCCCCTACAACATGGTATAGGTCGTTTGCTACTATTATTTTTTGTCCAAATCGGCCTTTTTTCAGCTAAGTGCACTGGACTAAGAGTGAAATGAAAGTGAAATGAAAGTGAAATGGAAATGACATTTAAGTGACACAAGTTTTTGAAAACCTTAGTAAAATGCAATCGGAACAGAAAGACAAAAAATTATGTCAATTATATCGTTTTTAAAATCAATTAAATTGTTTTCCAAGTATTATACATATTGTAAGTGTAATTATAATTCGATTCATTCGAACTAAAAAATATATGTACCTTGATGAATAAAAGTGGCGACTTGTTCAATATCCTTTTCTGAAAATCCACGAGTGGTAAGAGCAGGAGTTCCAAGCCTAATGCCACTTGGGTTAAATGCACTTTTGTCTCCAGGAACTGTATTTTTATTGCAGGCTATAGAAATTTCTTCTAATATCTTTTCGGCCTTAGATCCAGTTAAGCCAGTATTTCTCAAGTCAACTAACAACATGTGAACATCAGTTCCATCGGTACATATCTTGTATCCCAATTTTTGTAAGCTATTACTCAATTGTTGAGCGTTATTAATAACTTGTTTTTGATAAAGTTTGAAACCGTCAGTTTTGGCAAGTTTCATAGCAACTGCTATAGCTGCAATTGCATGATTATGTGGTCCACCTTGTAACCCTGGAAAGACAGCCATATTTATTTTATTTTCTATGTCATAGAAAATTTTCTCTCCATTTTTGTTTATCTTCTTTAATCCTTTTCGGTAAAAGATTACACCTGCACGTGGTCCTCTGTAATTAAAAATTATATTTATTCAAAAATAAATCTTAAATTATACATATTAAAATGCCATATAACACAGCATTTAATAAAAATACTTGTATAAAGTTTAATAATGCATTTTTTATAGCACCGTGGCATAAGTTCACATTTATAGCAAACTTTTCAGTGGCATAAGTAGTACATTCTGACACCGCGGTACCAGAAACTGCGACTTATGACTCGGAAAAGGGGTCATAAATGTGGGCTTAGCGCAGTGCTATAAAATTGAGTATGATACTCGTGCCGTAAAGGACTCTTTCTGACTCGGCTATTAGACGTACATACACACAGACATCATTCAGAAAGTGCGTCTATTTAGTCGCGATATTTAGTCGGGATAGGCTAGACACAAAAATTGACAAGAGTCTATTTCAGACCTAACACAGAGCTTACTTTATGAGAAAGCAAACAAATTAAAAAATTTATCGATACCTTTAAAAATAATTTTTTCGATTTTTTAATTCTGCTTCTGTTGGCACATACATTTAAAAAATTGCATACAAGGCTGTTAAAATGTTTGCAGTTAATTTTTTCTTAAATCTTTGGTTCCAACTGGATTCTAAGACAAAAACTTACTTCTCAAGATTATGGGCTTGCTTTGTTAAGGAGGGTTTTATTCAAACTGTTTAATTTTGCAGATTTAAAATATTGTTCTCACATTATAAAATAAAATTACATTGAACTCATTACAAGTTGGTTTACTCGTTAAGATAAATGATACACGATATCTCGTGGCCTGGGCAACATTAAACAACTAAGTTGGTTTCTAGAGACGCAGCACAGTGGTCGGAACAGTATTAAAAATTCACTAAACCTCAGTGTCAAGCGTGTGAGGCACCAATCGAAAATATAGACATAGTTTTCGATTCGGAAAAACATGACGAATCTAAAACCGTTTCCCTTTTTCATTTAGCTATAACCATCCGTACTCTGCAAACAATGATAGGAGCGTAAAAATGATGATTTAATTTAAAATTGGTTTATGAAAATTAGTCGCTGAAATAGATCACTCCAATTATATTCAATAATAATTATTTTTATAATGGGGTTAGCGTGACACTGGATGAACATTGGTCAAAATAAGTGTTAGAAGAAGTTCAAGCATATGAAAAAATAAATTTTAATTGTTTATGAAATATTATTAACATAAGTTAATGAAATCTAAATTTATGGATATTCCTCATTGGATCGATGATTATCATCGGTTTTTCTCATCGAGTAAATGAATGTTATGTTTTGACAAAATCAAATTGTTTAAATAAATTTTTTATAAAAATTCCTTAATTTGATTTTGTCAAAACATAACATTCGTTTTCTTGATGAGAAAAACTGACGATGATCATCGATCCAATGAGGAACATACATAAATTCAGTTAAATTTCATTAACTTATGTTAATAATATTTTATAAACAATTAGAATTTATTTTTTCATATGCGTGAACTTCTTATAACACATATTTTGACCAATGTTCATCCAGTGGCACGCAAACCCCATTATAAAGATAATTATTATTGAATATAATCGGAGTGATCTATTTCATCAACTAATTTTCATAAACTAATTTTAAATAAAATCATCATTTTTACACTCTTATCATTGTTTGTAGAGTACGGATGGTTATAGCTAAATGAAGAAGGGAAACGGTTTTAGATTCGTCATGTTTTTCCGAATCTAAAATTATGTCTAGATTTTCGATTGGTGCCTCATACGCTTGACACTGAGGTTTAGTGCATTTTTAATACTGTTCCGACCACTGCGCGCAGTGTCCAAAAGCATTTGATAAAAGTATAATTTACCTTAAAGTTTTATGAGTTGTAGTAGTCACGACGTCACTATATTCAAATGGACTTGGTATTACACCTGCAGCTACTAATCCAGATATATGCGCCATGTCACTGAAGAGGTATGCATCGACGTCATCTGCTATTTCTCTAAACCGCTTATAATCCAAGCATCGACTATAGCAAGATACTCCTGCTATAATGATTTTTGGTTGGAATAATTTGGCATCTTCATGAAGTTTTTCGTAATCAATAATTCCAGTTTCAGGTTTGACCTTGTAAGGCATAGATTCAAAAAAAATTGAAGTAGCAGATATTTTCTTTTGTTTGGTTGAGAAACCTAGAATAAAAATAATAATTTATAAAATTTCGACCTGTAAAAGTACAAACTCAGGTATTTGAAAACTGAGGGACACGAAATAATAGTTTAACTGTTGAATGGTATGTTGTAAATGTGGATTATATGAGTAAATAGAACATGAGTAATAGAACAATAAGCTCGCAAAGGACCCAAAATCATTCAAGAGTAAATTGTATTTGATTCAATTTTTTTTTTAAATATTCGGGGTACGAGTCAACAGATTATACCAGATTATCTACACAACTTGAATTATTGTACTTTATAGCACTGCGTGGCATAAGTTCACATTTATGGCACGCTTTTCGGTGGCATAAGTCGCACATTCTGGCACCGCTGCGTTCGCATCACACTCGCATACGCTCGTGCGCTAACCTTACTTCGCGCTAACAGAAAGTGCGACTCATGACTCGGAAAAGGGGGCATAAATGTGAACTTAGCACAGTTCTATAAAATGTTGTACGATACTCGTGCCACTAGTATCGTAAAGTACTATTATTGTACATCCAATTTGCAAATTTTTTACGTAACTCAAGAGGGAAGTGAATAGAAACAGTAAGAAGACAGAGTTTATTAGTACATTTAATAATGTATGCATTGATATCATACCATGAGTCAAGTGACCACCATCAGGTAAATCCAATCCCATTATACGCCCATGAGGCTGAATTAATCCAGTGTAAACAGCAAAATTAGCTGGGCTACCAGAGTATGGTTGGACGTTACATCCCCATTCTTCGGGAGACAAATTAAAGGCCTCCAAACATCTTTGTTGGGCCAATATCTCAATTTCATCAATGTACTCATTTCCACCGTAGTATCTTGAAAAAAATTTTTTTTTTGTAATATTAAAACTAATATTGAAATAATGGAATTTGAGAATAACGTTAGCCAAAAATAAACACTATATATATTTTACCGCTACCTACGAAAATACCTAAGGTACGGACATTTGGGGCAAAAAATATGTTATTATACAGAACTTTACGATATGATTGGGCTATAACCTATAAATAACCCTTTTCGTCCCGGCGTGGTTTCGGCTGCGCTCGGACCTTAATAGCCATGCCAAAAAGTGTTACTTATGGCACTAGTATCGTAAAGTACTAATATTATATCCGCATCATAATTTACTATTATAGCAGAAGAGGCTTAAATTATTGTGTAGAGCTTTTAATTAGTACTATAAATTACTGCGATGATTTTCATAACTACCCCAGTGGATAATAGTACTTTACGATACAAGGGCTATGAGTAACACTTTACTTATAAATTGCGATTTATTATTACGCACCGTAATGCTATAAAAGTTTCAGATAAAATATGTGATTCTTCTAAATTTTTTATTACAGTTCAGTACATTTAATTATGTTTCATTACGTATTATTAGAAAGATGAAAAACCTATATAAATTTAACTTAATTCAAGCATCAGTTTTAAATTATAATTTTTTTTTGTAAATCTTTGTAAAAATTTTTTAATCTGTTTTAGAGAAATGAAAATATTGAATGAAATTCAAAATTCATAAAATAATATGAATGAAAATATTTAAAAATTTGTCATAAAAAACATGATCTTGTTATGAAAATTTATCTGACTAAATTCTCTCTAGAAGTTTAAAATATTTTTACATTTCATTATAGTACATACTGTAATATGATATACTTTGAACTTTTATTTTACTCTTTTTTAAATATCTTTTGTCAAGACACCTGTTATATTCTATAATGTGTATATGACACCTCATTTAGTGCTGGCCTCAAGTTCAATCGATAACTGGTTCAAATCTGATTTTTGAAATAAAAATGATCCAACTCAAAATTAAAAGATTTTGTATGTGGGCATAATTAAAATCTCTTTTGATTTCCTTATTACTTAAGTATTACAACTGGTGCTTAGAAAAATATATTTTTTGTGTTTTATTCTCTTTATCACATGAAAAATTTTTGTAGTACTGAATTTTTGCAGAATTGATGAACTCTAATAAAATTTCATTGCCCCTTAGAAACTGTTATTAGCTCTTTTTAATTCCCATCCAAACTTTTGGTTAAAAAATAGTTAAAAAAAAAAAAGGTAATTTTTGTAAAAAAATCCATATCAATGAAAAACTTGTATATACTTTTAAAACTCTCAAAAAGCATCTGTTAACAGTTATAAGACTTTTCATTAATCTTTTCTTAATAGTTCATGATTTTTTTCAAAAGTTTATAATTGTGGTTCAAATTCTATTAGAGAAATAATTTTTACTTGGGTAACTACAAAATTATATAACATGTATAGTTTACAAATTCAATTCAGATTCAGATAGTATAAAAATTGACACAAAAGCAAAAAAAAAAAGAAATAAAATATAAAACTTCTCAAAAAATTAAAAATTTGAAACTGAAGTTGAATTGAACATGTACATATTTAGCTTCAATTTTATGATTTTTTATCTACGATTAAGGAAAATGGTATAAATTTATTGAATAAAATCTTTAGTTCATTTAGTTTTTCACCATTTCTTCATGATATATTAAATGATTTGAAGCTGGTTTTTAAACTTATGTTAAAAAGCGAGTTTAATCTTTTAATATTTATTAACACTGGTTTTGAGGGTCAGAATCAACAAAAATAAAAGTTGCAGATAAATTAAATGTTAGTTGAACAAAAATGATTTTTAGAACATGTAATTTTATATGCATAAAATACTAAGTTATCTTAGCTAAAATATAAGGAACTGATTTGAAGAAAAGTTCGAATTCTAACCTTTGATGAGGGAGTCCTTCACTATACTTATTGTGCAAACAGGAACTCAAACATTGGAGAACACTCAAAGAGGTAAAATTTTCACTAGCAATCAACTCTAAACTACATTTTTGTCTTTCTTTTTCTTTTTCAATAATTTGAAACAATTCTGGGTCCAGCTCCCATAAGTTTTCCTGCAAAGTTTTATCCATCTTCTTTTGATAAAAATGTATTCAACTAGTTATAGTTAAGATGTATAACGTTCCTCAAACACTTCTTTTGAACTAAACTAAAAATCCGTTGCTTTTGGCTCTCAAAAACCTAGCCACGCGGCAAAGTGAGAAGAAATCTCGCAGAACCAATACTGTAAGAACTAATTAAACGGAAGTTTTATAAAGGGTACTGTGAAACTTATAAAAATTTTAAACTCAATATATCGATAAATCAACTATTGCACATATTTTTATCGATCATATTTGCGATGGATAATCCATTGTTATTATAATTTTTTCAATAAATAGTCGAGTGAATCTACCAGTACTCGACCGATAATTTAAATTTGAACCCTTAATATGAACGTTTTTATCAACTTAAAATTTGGGAAGAAATTAAATGATATGTTTACCTTTTAACTATGAATTTTCAAAGTGGTATTTATTATTCACATTTTATTCGTTATTGAATAAAATACATTGAAGAAGAGATACAACATTTGTTTAAATTTAAAATCCATAATTGTTTTCTTATGCTATAACTAATTATGTAATTATTATTATTTATATTAATTATTATTGTCAATTCGATAAAGAGGCTCTTGGCTAGGGAAAACAATAATATTATATGTATTCATTTTATTATCAGTGCAATATCTTAATGACATTATTTTTACCTTGTTTAAAATAATCACTTCTCAAGGCCAATATTTTTATAATCTTCGTAAATAAATACCGTTCAAAGTCATTGACAATAAAAAAAATGCAATATTAATTAATACAATCAAATAAATATAATTATTTTTAAATTATTTTAAAGAAAAAAAAAAATTTCTATAAATACCTATACTTCTTTAAAAAGATAATTTTCTAAATTATTTGATTAAGTTATTTAATATCAGTTGTTAAAATGTACCTTTATTTATTTGTTATCCAAAATTAATAAAAATATCTATGAAAAATGGAAATTTTTAAAGAATTATACTTCCATATTCAAACATGGTTGTTTTTTTACCATTAAAAATAGGTTTGAGAACATAAAAAATTTTTCTATTGTAAATAAAATTCAATCAAGTGAATTAATCAATCAAGCGAACTTGTGAAGTTCGATTGTAATTATTTGAGTTCCTTGTTCGAAAAGATTACTTTGTAGTACTACTCCTTGGTCGTAGATGTCGCACTTGTTTAAAGAGTTGTGAGTTTTTTTGCCGTCTATATTACTCCTCTGCCACCGTGCAGCCACTGGTGGCGCTTCTTCGTCATTTGTAAAGGGTAGAATTTTTTTATTTTTCGGACGGGAAAGTTATCTTTTCGAACAAGGAACTCAAATAATTACAATCGATTTTCACAAGTTCGTTTGATTGATTAATTATTTTACGTTCCTTGTATTGTTTTCAAGATTACTTTGTAGATTTTTAGAGTAATGAAAAGATTACTTTATTATTTTATAACATTTTATGTTCATACAATTTTCAAACATTGTTGATATTATTATTAAAAACTTTATAAGCAAAATTTTCCTTAATATTAACAATAGGTCTATTATGAAATTTCATGAAAACGGTAGAATTATATGACCACCCAGCTGCTTTTTTAATAATATTGATGTTTAGCCCGTTTTCTTTGGCTTTAGATGTAGACGCATGTTACGTTGAGTGACCTGTGTACACCCACCGGGTTAGATACTCGGACCTCGAAAATTTGAGATCGATTAGTTGCTTCCTTCACTGTTTATAAACAACAGCGCGTGACTACATTTTTACGACGGACGCTGCGCAGTGAAGGAAGCGAGTAATCGATCTCAAATTTTCGAGGTCCGAGTATCTAACCCGGCGGGTGTACTTAGGGTCTATGTGACATCATTTTAAAACTGTTCTTAGCCATTGACTAATTGTTTGTGATGTGGCTACCTGATATGGCTTTATTGTACTGATTAATAGATTATCTGTATCTGCTCGTAAAGTAGCGGTAGTGCTTATATAGTGCAGTAAAGTTTTAGCTATGCAAATCTCTTGATTCTTATTGAAGAAAAGTAAGAAGGCATAAGGTTGTTCCTTTCCCACCATAGATGTTTTGATTAGATCCTTGATTCTTATTTCTACTCCTTCTTTTTGTTTCTTTATATTTTCTAACTTAATCAATGCTATACTTTGAGCACGAAATCCTGTACTCAAAGCTAATAGCATAGTTAATTTTAAAGTCAATTTTTCCAAAGAGAGTGATTCCATCGGCCAACATTTCTTCATTTCCTCTAATACCGGAGTTACATCCTATGTATCTGAATATTTTGGAGTTGGAGGTTTCCTGCGATACACACCCTTGAAAAATCTTTCTATTTCTTTAGAGTTTTGTAATTCGTTGTTATTTAGTAAAGAAATAGCTGACCGCATAGAATTTAAAGAGCCATGCTTGGCGCCTTTGTTCATTTCTTGAGTCACGAATTTTAGTACACTTTTAACTTTAGTTTGAAATAAATCGTGGTGTTCTGACTTGCAGAAGTTTGCCCATTTCTTCAAGACTGAGTTATATTGTTTCATCGTACCTTCTGATATGAATTTAATCAATACGTCTACAGTTGATTTGTCATGCCCTCTTCTCTCAAAGGCTTGCCTGATAATACACCTGCAACTAGGGTCAGCTGACTAGCCAGAGGATGATTTTCCTTGCCGTTGGTGGAAATTAATAGTGAGTTAGACGGTTTAAAAAAAATAGGTTCTTTTATCAACATTTTTGCAAACGTCGGGTATCATGGTTGTGTATCCCATGCTGGTAAAACCATAATTCCCGTACATTGCTGTTCTTTAATTTTTCTTAAGACTTTTGCGATGAGAGCAAATGGTGGAAAGGCGTACCAAGACTAGTCTGACCAATCTATTGTAAATACATTAATGGCATGTGCTAGAGGATCTCGTTGCCAAGAGCAGAAAATATCACACTTTTTGTTCTCTCTTGACGCGAATAAATCAATATAAGGTTTTCCCAGTCTTTTTATAATTTTAGAAAACGCATCATGCGACAGTTCCCCCTCTGTATCCGAATTTTTTATTCTTGAGTCTTCATCTGCTGGATTCTCTTCGGATGCTACATATTCGGTGAATAGCCATATGTTACGGTCTATGTACCATGACCAAATCTTTCTTGTGATCTCATTAAGATATTTATATTTTATTTCCCCCATTTTATTTATGTATGATATTGCTACTAGATTATCGATTCTTAAGAGTATCTGACAGTCTCGGTAGTGTTGCGCAAAGCTTTGTAAAGCCAAGTATGCCGCTAATAATTCCAAATAATTTATATGTTGCTTTTTTTGATTATCATCCCAAAAACCGTGAATGTGATTCTCATTGCATACACCACCTCAGCCAGTTATTGATGCATCCGAAAATATTTCTTTTTTGAATTTGAATTCACGTATATTATTGAAAGATGTCTGTATTTGCTCTTTTCACCATTTTAAATCTCTAAGCGCCTGGTCCGTCATTGTAATTATTTGCGTTTTATTGCACTCATTAATTGGGCCTAGCCTCCATTTTATTATTTCCAGCTCTTTATAATAAAGCCATCCATATTTTACTGCCAGGCAAGCACTGACTAACGTTCCAATGAGGCTCAGTAATTCTTCATATTTACATTTTTTGTGTTTTAGAACCTGAGCGACTCTGTTTTTCACTGTGAGTTTCTTTGCTTCCGTTAATTCGATTCTCATAAGATCAGAACTTATCATCATACCCAAGTATTTACAAATTCTTTTGGGTTCGAAAATTGACTTGTTATGGTTAATAATAAATCCAAGACTTTGAAGCAATATTTTAGTGTAGACATAAGGTACTGTACTCAAGCCAAATGGGCAGCACGTGAATTTATAAATGTTGTTGTTCCATATGAATTTTAAATACTTCTGTGATTCTTTGCTTACTGGGATGAGAAAATAAGCATCTTTACGATCTATGCTGCACATGAAGTCTCCTTTTCTAGTATGTTAATTGCTGTACGCATATCTTCCATTTACGACTTCAGGTATGAATTCATTGAAATTTTTTAAATTTAATATGAAGCGATGCGATCCATCTGGCTTGGGTACAGTAAAGAAAGATGATATAAATTCATCTGATTGATGGCCAGTCTGAACTATCGCACCTATCTTTTGAAGTTTCCTTATCGATTCATTTATGATTTCTTTATTGATTTCTAAATCTCTTTTAATAGAGTATTTCTGACTGGGCTTATTTATCAAAGGTATTTGTAATCTCTTATTGTATTGAGTATGAATGTATTGTTTGTTATCTCTTCCCATGCTAAGGAAAACATAGCGAGTCTTCCTGCTAGTTTTACCTAAGTTAAGCTCTCCTCTTGAGTGGTTGAGGCTGGTTGTAATTGCGACGGTTGTTCTGCTTGCTGTAGTTGCTCTGGCCCTGAGAGCTGCTCGCTTGATGATTTTTGGGGGCAAAGTATGAGAATCTCCTGTTCTGGTTCCTCTGACTGCCCACCGTCTTGGTCGAGGAACTCTTCCAGTTTAAATTACTGCTTGATTTTGGTCCAAGTAAATCTTTCTTGAGTTGTTCAGCTATTTTAAGATCGCTTATGAGCTCTTTGACATTGTCTCCAAATAAGTATTCAGTTGGTTCTGCTTTGTCAAGTAGAGTCTTGATTCTGTTGTCAAATTGTGGTGGACGTATCCACGAGATAAGACAATGATTAAGCAGAACGTATTACTTAGCAATAGTTACGTAGAATGGAGTACTATGTGTACGTGTGGCTTGCTTGAGCAACCAGCTCGGACTGGCGAGCGATGCGCGTGTTATGACCCAGTCACGAGAACGTAGTCGCGTCGCTTCGTTCCCTACTGGTATGCGTAGCTGCTTATTCCTTCGGTGGGGTTGCTCCTCGATAAACGCGTAGAAACGCGAAGAAGCTGCTGTGTCCCTCCTCGGTAGTGATTTACCTCCGAAGGTGGAAAATAATGACCTCAACGAGGTGGGCCGACGTTGCCTTAACTCTGGCGAGGAGGACTTACGTCAGGGGAGGTCACGTCAACGAGTGCAACGGCCTCGTTGCTGCTCGATATGCGCGTGCTCCGTTCGTTCAAATTGCAAGTCGGAGCTTGCGAGGGTCGGTCGGTGACCTGCGGGTCGTGAGACTCTGTGGCGCGACTCTTTCCTCTGGACGATCTTGCTCGCGTCGAGAGTCAAAAGGACATCCGTCCAAGTTGGTACCCGAACACGAGGTCGACCGAAGAGAGGGAAAGAGGGATTATCGGCACTGAACCGTCAGAGTCTCATACCGGGATATTCTCCCGTGCGCGATACAGTGGCGATGAGCGACTGTGATAATCTCGTTCGACGGACTATGTCCGGTAATTAGCTCGGAGGCTAACTTCACTAAATAACTCAGAGGCTAAGTTCACTAATTGCTCACGAGACTAAGTCCACCAACTAGCTCTGCGGCTGAGTTCTTCACGGATATGCTCCTAACAAAGTTAAGTCCAGCAGAGGTTCGTTAATGTAATCGGTTCGTAAGTCAATTAGTAAGAGCTGGGGTAGTGCTCGGTTGGTCGTTCAAGAATGAATGATCCGTGGCTTGGATGCTCCTTTCCTTTTACACTCGCGGTCTGGGCGAAAGGTAGGGGAGAAAGTGAAAGAGAAGACAAGAGAGAAAGAGAGAGAGAGAGAGGGGAAAAGAAAGACACGTGCCGCGGTGGCTCTGCTGCTTTGATCTGCGACTCGCCGGTCAGCCGATCTTACGGGCCGCGATTGTCGGCCTTCATACTTTGATCTACGACTCGCGGGTCAACTGATCCTTGACATGCGCTACCGTGAATCCGATCGTCGGCTTTGCCGATTTAAGGGCGCGTGTCGCGCGAGTTCGATTGTCGGCTTTATTGCCTTGATCTCTGACCCTCGAGTCAGCCGATTTCCGAGAAGCGGGGGCAGGTCGCGGCAGTAGCCCGTTTTGCCGGTCTAAACCTGCGTTGTTGTTGTTGTTTTTAAGGAGCCGTGCGTTGCTCAACTTCACCATTTCGATGAGCGGTGCGTCGGTCGATGTGGGGCTTTTCATCGCCTTGAGGGAGCCGTGCGTCGCTCAACCTCGTTACTTCGACGTGAGGCTTTTCGTCGCCTCGAAAGAGCTGTGCGTTGCTCGATGTGAGGCTTGTCTGTAGTTTTGAGGGAGCTGTGCGTCGCTCAACCTCGCCGCCCTCGAGCATTGGTCAGCTTTGGAGCTCGTAGCGCGCTATCTCTAGAACGGAGCCGAGCATCGCCCGTTCAAGCGTTTGTTATATCTTCCGGATGCTCCGGCAGATGGCGCTGCTGCTCAGGGCCGGATTATTACAGCACCTTCCCCGAGAAAAAGGTGTGATCTAGTGATCGCACCCTTTAATGTTCCTTCTTCTGCTGCTTTTTATTAATATCATTATATATATATTTTTCTTCTCTCTCTTTTTTTTTTTTTTTTTTTTTTTTTTTTTTTTTTTTTTTT